GACTCTGGCAACGATAGGGGACATAACATTTTGGTTTATAGTTAATTGATTTATACTATTATATTTAAAGAGAGGAAACCTAGGATTTTAAATAATGCGGTCCAAGATGTGGTAATTAATTCGCATTTCTCATTAATTCACTTTAAAACATACGTGTTTTTTTTTTTTCTTGTAATATTAAGGAAAAACTATATAATTATTTAAAAACTACATAGAAAACCTGATTCATATGAATCGGAATTCATTTTAAAATGGGAGATGTTTGGTTACATTATTTTTGTGATTTTTTTTTAAGCGAATTTGCTAATATTCACATTTGAGTGAAAGACCGAGATAATAATATAAGTTGTGCTTCAGTCACTGGACGAAGCTCAGACTTACTATATCGTGGTCGGAACCATAGTTTCGTTATGATTTGAAAAAACCGGTCTATGATGAGGTAGGTATGGTCGGGGTGGTGGTGCTGGCCAATAATGGCTTCGAGTGTATAATTTCCGGAGGAATATGTCGTCCAAAGTTCACTAGTGACAGGGCAGTCTTGATAGATGTGGTGGAGATCGGGAGTGATGATGGTTGTGTTGAGACATAAAAGACAGTGTCGTAAGTGTCGGTTGGGGTAGTGTGGTATGGGATGAGTGCTCGCTGTAGAGCCAAGATGGGAGCGATGTCCTAGGTGGATCCGATGAAGTTCTTCTAGCTTTCCTGGATATTTGTGTTTTAGTCTTTTTTGATTAAACCAGTATTGTTGCCAGTCATGTGTGGTAAGATGGAATTGGTAGCTAAGTCGTGGATCCGCTTCAATTTCATTCTTTTTAAGGATTGTCTTGGTCGAGATTGAAAGGAAGTTGCTTCCGGTCAATTGTTCATCGTTGATGTCTTTGATGAGGAAATTGATTTTTTCTTCCGAAGGTGTTTGGTGTAGTATGTTAGCAAGTTGTTCGTCATTAACGGGTAAAATGTTAGTTTGGGTTGATGGGTGAAGTGGGTATGTCAATTCAAACCAGGCAGATAGTATGGATTTTTCAGCTCGTGTAAAACTATCATGATGTATGAAATAGCCGTAAAATTCTCTGGCATGAGGTGTTTGTGTAGGGATTCGTAGCCCTAATAGTATGTCATACCAAGGAATTATTTGATGTAGTTCAGACAGTAGCAGTGTTAATTCTGTAGTTAGGATGTCGCAGGTAGCTTGATGGATTTTGATTCGCCATAATAATGTAGTGGGTGATGGTTCTTTAGCTGTTAATATTTTGTATATTAAGGCAGCTTTTCGTCCTTTTAATTGATGGGATAATTCTAGTAATCCGTAACCACCTAATTCTGGGCGGTTTGTTAGTGTAGACCAACGGATACCATAAAATTTTCTGTCAATCTTTTTTCTAAATGATTCTAATGCATCTAATGGCATTGGGTCATGGAATTCTCGATAATAAATCTTGGAGTATATATACAGATTAATTGCTGTAGTTGAATATGATATAGGCCATTCTCGCACTAAACTCTTGGATATGTAATAGTTTAAATAATTCAAGAACTTTGGCCAATTTGTTCCTTGTATTGGTATTCCTAAGTATGTTAGTTCCGAGTCATGGATGTCAGATTGTTGATAAGGTAATATTCTTCGGGGTGCATAAGTATCATAATAATATATGGTGGTTTTCTCTCTGCTTATTAAACTGTTAGTGGCTCTCTCAAATTTTTTGATTTCTGTAGCAATGTTTTGTTGTTCTTCTAGGTTATTCATATAAATGTTAATATCATCAGCGAAGGCCTGATATTTTATTTGGATTTTGGTCCTATGGTGGAATTCAAGATAATATCCTTGAGTGACCTGACTAATTTTGTGTAAGAAGGGTTCAAGGCATATATTAAAAAGAACAGGGCTAAAGGAGAGACCCTGGAGGATTCCAATATTGATTTGAAACAGTGGTGAGTTGAAGTTATTTATTTTGATGGAAGCCTTCAATTGTGTAACAGTGCTTAGGATTAATCTTCTCATTTTTGGTCCAATGCCTATGTGGATGAGTAATTTTTTGATGTACATGTGATCAATTCGATCAAAAGCTTTGTTCAAGTCTAACATTAATAATTGTAAATTTGGGGATGGGTATTTTAAAGTAAGATCAATTATGTTGTAGAATTCCATGAGATTTTCATCTATTTGTCTTTCATTCATGAATCCTCGTTGCGGGCTTTGAACAAGCTTATCATGGTGTTTAGTAAATCTGCAATTGATAACATTAGAAATAACTCTAGTTAAGATATTCGTTAGAGCTATTGGTCTAAAATTATCAATTGTATCAGTTTTTTTCTTGGTTTTTGGGATAATTCTGATAAGTACTTCCCGGAGGTGGTAGGGTAATATCCCTGTATTCATGATGTCATTGATTTCTTTTTCAATAAAATGTCCTATGGAACCCCAGTGTGTTTTATAAAAATTGACAGTTAGTCCATCTGGTCCTGGGCTTTTTTTGTTATCAATACGTTGTAACGCTTGATATATTTCATCTGCTTCTATTGGACGCTCAAGTTCGAGTTGATCATCAGTGTCTAATGTGATAGGGAAGTTTTCTAGAAATTGGTCAATGTATTCGGGCGAAAAGTGTGTAAGTGGTTGATTATAAAGTTTCTTGAAGTAGTCATATGCAATATCGAGCATTTTGTGAGTTGTGGTGGTGGTGATTGTGTTGTCTTCATTGCTCATGTGTGATATATATTGTTTGGTATGTATATGACCTTTGAATTCATTATTAAGAGTTTTGTATATTTGGTTGGTAGTCTCATTGATTTGTAAACGTAGAGAGAGGGGTGATTGTGTTCTATGTAATTTGTATTGTAATTTATTCATTGAAATACCGTAATTTATTCCACGTAGAATGAATTCATCTAGGTTTCTTGAAATGATTGAGTTTAAAAAGGTATTTGGGATGGGTAGTTGCAATAATTCATCATTGTATACAAATGGCTTTGGACCGATCTGAATTGCAAGATCGGCAATCGGGGTAATGGTGATTGATGTTCCGTCATGGGTAGATTGAAGAATTTTTCGATGAATTTGAAATGAATGTAATCGATGGTGTAAATGTTGACTTATATATATTCTATCAATTCTTCTGTTCAGTTTGTAATGATGATTGGTATAGTTGATTTGGTCTGGTTCGATGTGTCGGTAAGCGTCAATGATGTTGGTGTGGTCAATTATGTCTTGCATGGTGGCTTTGATTTGGATTGCCGTGGGTTGGATGATGGTGGCATGGTTAAGTTGGGTGTCAATCTTCTCATTCATGGTAAAGTTGAAGTCTCCACCTATGATGATGTGAAGTGGATGGTATTTGTGTTTGAGTTCTTCATGATATGGGGCTAGTGTTCGTAAAAATTGTTTTAGGTAGTTTGTTTTGGTAGTATCATCTTTAGAAGGTACGTAAATTGAAATTATGTAGTAATATTCAGCGTGGATTTTAAATAATGCATCGGTAATATTGTGATGGTAAGGATGGTGTATTAGTTGCGTTATAATGTTGCTTTCTTTAGGTTGAAACACTGAAAGAATGGCTGTGTTTGATTCATGTGTTAACGTAATTAATCTAATTTTTTTTTGATTTTCTGTCTTCCATAAGTCTTTTTGAAGTTGGGGTAGTGTGTTTGGTTTAAATCGGGTCTCTGATAATAGGACTATATGGTGTTTTTTTAATAAGCTTCTTAAGGTCGTTATTTTAGTGTTGTGTTTTTCTATATTTATTTGTAGTATTGAGATTTCATTGATTGTGTGTGACGGTTCTTCGGTCGTAGGGTTTAGAAATGTAAGAGTTTCTTGCACCCTTTTAGGAATCAGTATCAGACTCATTAATATTGGTTAGGAGTTGTTGTTGGATCCAAGTCCATGGATCCTTCAGGTGGGTCGGTTGATGAATGATGCGCTGGTAGGTTTCCACTTTCAGGTAAACCCTCTTCTTCCATTTCTACATCATCATCCATAGAATCATTTGATGAATTGTAAGAATTATCAGAGGAATTATCAGTGTCTTCTGATATTTTATAATCCAAATCATTTGAATCATCAGAATCATTTTCATGTCCAGAGGTTGTGGAACTTGTTGAGGGTTCCAGATTGTGGTTGTTGTTGTTGATATTCGTCTCTGACCATTGACTTACTAATGGTTCAGTGGAGGAGACAGTGTTAGTAGTAGTATTGTTTTCAGATGGTTGTTGATTTGTTTCTGAGGGAGGTAAAGTGGTAGAATGAGCATTCCTTTTTAAAATAGTCTTGGGACCGTTGTTTGGCTTAGTAGCGGTTTGTTGAGATTTGGCTGGGCCATTTGTGTTTTGTTGTTCTCTAAGAAGAGCTTTTTTTTCATTGGCTGATAAAGGTCTCTGAAAGCCATCAGCATCAGGGATAGTGTAATGTTTGTTTTGTGTTTCATCAATAGTGACATTCTTTTTTGGTTGTTCGTTGTGAGATTGATGAGTCGTTTCAGAAGTGGAGTCATCCTCTGTGGTTTCTGATGCATTTCCATTTAAGTTTTCACGTGTATCATTGGATGGTTGTTCATCATTGTTGCTTCTTTTTTTTAATCTGTCGGGACATTTTGGTCCTGTGTGATCAATCTGATGGCAAATGACACAAGAGTTGTGTGGGCACCGAAATCTGGAATGGTTTGTAGTTTTACAAAGTCCACAGTGATTCAAGTGCGAGATAAATTCAATAGTTGATTGAGTGGATTTTTTTGATTTTGTTGGAGTGATTTTGTCCGAAAGGGCAATTAATAATTCAATTCGGATAGGTTGAGCAAAGGGTTTGAAAACTTTGCTGGTATTTTTGTCTACATGGACATGATAATTATCAACGAATCTATATTGCATAATCATGGGCTTTATATAAAATCAAATAATCATTTTAGAAAGAAAAAGAAAAGGCTTACCAGCCCTAATAAAGCTCAGCATTTGGTAAGTATCAATGGGAATACCGGTGAGTCGGTAGTTTTGGAATAATAAAACAGCCAAGGGAGAAGATTAAATGCAATTTAAATGAAATGCTTGATTGTTGTGAATGGCTTCCTCCTTTAAAATCTGTCGCAACAATTAGGTAGAAAGTCAAAACCCTGGGTCAGGAAAGTTACGCATTGTAGCCACTCAAACTAACAAAATACAGGTTTTATTTCCGGGCCATGTATTGCCACTTTGAAGAACGACTCTCAAAGTGCGTATAAAATTTTTTTTTCACCCTTTAATTCATTGGCATAGTCTACAGTTTTCAATAGACTAACATCATTGTAATTTTACAAAGAATGATTTCTTAATAAGAAACCCAATCATGCACTAAGATTGCATGTATTTGCCATATCGCATACAAAAGGCTTATAGGATGAGAACATGCCTTCTTTAAAGATTCAATAAAGGTACAATTGACAACCTCTCCAACTTTAAATATTCATGAATTAATGTAACAGTCGTGGAGAGGGTTCCGTCTCGAAAGCACGTGACAAATTGCAGCACAAATGGGATTTGTGACTGAGTGTGAGGTAACACTGCACTGAAGAAAGATTATGTTATGTTTCTTGGAGTACAGCAGTAACTGATGGTTAAGTGAATAGAATACTAAGGTCTAAGAGTCTAGATTGACTCACATCGTATTCAGACTGAATAAAGAAAGTCTAGAATAGATATGAGTTACTGTGAGTGAATAAGGTTGGATGACCAAGGCTGTGCAACCATTTTCTGTAACCAAATTAGGTTAATTGAGAATTGAAGGAATTAAAGTTTAGGGAGTTCAGAGTCTAAGTAGTTCTGGCTCTACGACATTCAGAGTGAGACGCTCATAACCCCTTGTCTTTGTCAGGCTTTGGGATAGTTTTATAAATCCCCCAAATTCTCAGAAAAGAATTTAGAAAAGAATTTTCTCTTCTTCTTTTAGGAGTTAACAATTCTAACCAGAACAAACCTATCCATTGACTGATTAGTATATAGAAGAACATATCAATACATATCGTTGGAACTCAAGAAGAACTCAGAGACATTTGAGAGGGTTTCAATATCATCTTATCTCATAATTTATTATTCTGTAATTCAGATCCGAGGGTTGTAAGCGCTTCCGTTACAATTAAAATAAAAATTCTGGATTAGAATACTTGTGACCATTCGTTCATAATAAATAAAAATTATAAACAATACGTGACACCTTGTATGTAAGTCGCATTATGCAATTTCAAGTTTGTCGTATGTTCCTTGTGCACGGAATCACAGGATGAGCTGAGATTATTATTTTCTATTCCGTCATTGTGATCACACAAAAGAAAACAAAAAAATAAATTGCAAAAAGTTCCCTTGGTTATCTCTTCTCCATTTAGGATCATCATATACCCAAATGATTCATTTAATGACATTTAAATTCTAAGTTTTACAAATTAGTAGCCAAATAAGGTCTATTTCAACACAAATAGATAAATAGCAGTTGCAATCCTTTTGCTCACACGACTAAATCACATACTATCTACATACCATGATGTTACATTACAGAAGGTCTCGGATTGTTTTATTAGCATCTTTGCTTGCGACCACAATTTGGCTTGGGTATCTTCTTTGGAATCTGCATTCACAACCAATAGAAAATCCGGAAAACTTCACTAGACGAATAAGACCCGTAGCTTTTGCTCCAAATCAATTTGACACCAAAGCAGAAGAAATTCGAAGACTTAAGGACGTGCGAGGTGTCGAAATCAGAACTCTTGAGGGCTTCAATAATATAGAGCTACCTTCTACATTTCCAGATTATCAACCATTTGATGCAAGGTTTACATTTGCCATATTATTGCATTATCTAGAAAAATATGAGCATGACGAACTACCTGGTTTCCATTGGGCAGATTTTACAAGTATGGAACCATTGGAAAAGTATCTTTTCAGTGTGAAGATGTCTTGTTCTGATTTTGATATTAGAACACATAATGCATCAAGGGATACTAAGGAAGACAGGAGGAATCCAAACAGATACTGCATTGATGATACGAATATACCAAAATTACTTGAAACTTCAAAAGATGAGGAATTAGTTAAAAGTTTGAAATATATTCAACAACAAAAGTATTCGACTGGATTTCATATGTTTACGAATTGTGGCAGACAGTCCTTCGAGTTCCGTTCTATAATAGGTAGATCTTATTTATATGAGTTTATGCCACCACCACAATCATTAATTCTTTTGTTCCCTGAATTTAAGGCATTCCAAATTGATATAAACCAAGACAAAAAATTGAAATTGATTCAATATGCCGATGTAATAGAAAGATCCATAAATGTTAAGGATCAACTCACTAAGTTTATGAAGACTTTACCCATTAAAGCGAACCCAATTCCTTACAGTATTGAATTGAATCATGAAGAATTTATAGATAAATCGCCAGAAATAATGCAGACTTTAAATGATTCAGAAGAGCCACTATCAGAGAGGGATCAAGCGTATTTAGAAGGATTGAAGTATTCTTCCGCAATCAAATGGCCCAGCAAGTATTTCTCTGAAGCGCTTATACTCAAATCACAAAGGGGATTTTCGGCCGGTCTGCATTATGATTGGAGATTTTACAATGGAAATGTAGTCAATTCTCCCAAGAATGATATGTCTATCCATGGATTATTAAAGGCGATGTTTAAGCTAGCAAATGCATATGATATCAAATGTTGGATTGCACATGGATCATTGCTATCCTGGTACTGGGATGGTATGAAATTCCCATGGGATAGCGATGTTGATATTACAATGCCAATTGACGAGTTGCATAAGTTGGCCAGACTATTTAACCAAAGTCTCATAGTTGATTTTGGTAATGATATTGATCTGCAAATTCGTTATGGTAGATACTTTTTTGATTCTTCAACGTTTATTAGCAGAAGAACCATGGAGAATGGAAGAAATGTTATTGATGCAAGATTAATTGACATAGATACCGGTATTTATATTGATATAACGGGATTAGCAATAACCACAGCTAAAGCTCCCGAACGTTATGATTTTTTGCTAAAATCAACTAAATATGAACGTGACTCCGAAAGAAATCTTAAAGATAAGTCAGTTGCTGAAAATGATACCAATACATTCTTACAAGCTTATAATTGCAAAAATCACCAATTCTTCAGGCTAAAAGAATTAAGCCCATTGATGCTATCTTTATTTGATGGAGAATTCACATATGTCCCAAACCAAATATCTAGAATTCTAATGAATAAATTCTCTCCGAAATCAATTATTAATACACAATACAAAGACTATACATATGTCCCAATATTACGACTTTGGTTGAAAACAGAAGTACTTTATGATTTCTTAGCTGCCACTACAAAACGAACCAAGAAGGCGATGAAAGATAAAAAGGTTGTTCCAGAATTAAATGAAGAGCAGTGCTTGGAGCTATTGAAAAGAAAAAAGGATATATTAGTGGAATATTTAAGAACTAGAAGATTGACAGCATTCCATGATGAAGAAGTGAGGATGATCTTACAGGATGAATCTACTGAGTCATTGAATTACGAAGATGGCACTTTGATAGATAATACCGCAGTCTTTAGACCCGATATGTTTACATCGACTAATAGAATCACCTATGACAAGGCTTGGAAGCGAGTGAATAAGCTACTCAAGGAATATGAAAAGAAAGGGAAAAAGGCGGTGAAAGTCATTCTTGGACCGGACGTCATCCCAGGAGCCAAAGCAAACGGCAACGAAAAGAATACGAAACCTGGATCACCAAAGGTAAGTACGGATAAGGATAAAGCCGCAAGTGCCAACATAGCTAACCAACAACCAACAAAAGAGCACCAACAACCAATAAAGATTGATGGCAATCTTGAAAATAACAAAGCAAACGAAGCTCGTCAGAACATAGAAGAGAAGAGGAACGTTCGAGCTCCTCACCCACCCGCAAACCCTGCAGCAAAAATGCAACAGCCTATAGGTCTCAAGCAAGAGAGAACCAAAACTGATGCAGCGAGTAAAAGCGATCTAGACAATAAAGCCATCGAAGCCGGTAACCAAATAGGAGAGAAGACAAAGTCCAGGGTCCATCCAAGTTCTGGTCCACGAGTTAAACAACCAGTAAAAGCTGGCCAGCGGCCAATGAAGTTCGATCCAGACATGAAAAATGCAAAGAGAGCCTTTGAAGGTCTTCAGCGTATGGAACATAGGACAAACCCTCGCTTCCCTGGAATTCCACGAGTACCCCTTCCACCCCCTACTGAGGAAGAACTAAGGAAGCGTCGTATTGATAGAGACGAGCAAATAATGAAAGCAAATAGTGCATATGCTCAGCGTCGGAAGGAAGACTCTGTTAATCCTTTTGAACGTGCTAAACAAGTAAATCAACAAAAGAAGCTAGACAAGTTCGAAGACAAAGATGCAAAGAGTGGAGAACAAAAGGTGAGATTAGTGGCACCCAAAGCTGAGGCGCGTCATTCTGGAAAGGTCGTATCACTGAGCTAGTTTAAGAATGATTGCTGTTTAATTAGTGGTTATTAATTTACAAACAAGGGGTTATTGTCAGAAAGAAATCGAACTCGGCTTACATTTAATATTAGACGATCGGGTATTATTGATAGCATTCTGTGGACTTCAAATTTGATTAAAGTTGATATTTTTAATAGAATTTCTATGTTCATTAGTAGATTATAAATCTTTTCATTCAACAACGATGTCGAATATTCTTTATGGTTTAAATTTATGGTTGCAAACTCAAAACAAACAAACAAAAACACATAAATTCCTAAAATTTATTAAAAGGAAATCATCTTACTAACGAGATTTTATTCTTATAATGCCGCAGAAGAGGAACGAGTCTTTCTACTAATTCCGAGTATTTAAAGGCGTCTTCAAACCATGGGCATTCACTCGATACTACTCCAAGCTACGGAAGAATGTGCTTGTAACATTGATTTCCAAAATCCTATGGAGATGGAGGCTCCAGTTTAGTAGTTTCAAATTTTGGCTTATAAAGCATGGAGCAAGGTTCACCGGTTAGTTTATAATCAGTATCAATTTCTGTAGGAACTGAACTCTTGATCACTAAGCTTGAAAGTAGATGAATACACATTAAAGGAATCTATTTATCAAAAGAATACAATAAAAAGGTACATAACAGTCCAACGGTTATGTGGGTGGAGGGTTATTGTTAAAACGGAACACAAAAAAAAAACAAGGCTGAGATTAAATTAAATTAAAGAGGGGTTCCATATTAATTTCCCAAAAATTTTAATATCTCAACGGATCAATATAATATTACGAAAAACCACTTAGATTCCATTCGTATCTCGGTGATTACTTGAAATGGACTGTATTGTCCGCAATTCTTATTATAATCCTTGATACTGGATTTTATTCGAGTTCCGTTTTAATTGTCGCACAAAAGAAACTGAGCCGCAGAATTACAACTCGAGCCAATTATGTATTTTCAAGGCTGTTTTTAATTGGTCATTTACTAAAAGGATAGACATCGAAGCCACTATTTGAATTTTAAAATATTATATATAATGACAAATTCTTCAGTAATGTCAAAAACTTTTAAAACTTAGATTCTAAAATAGATTGCATCTCTCACCTAACTATGCGTCTAACCATACATGATAAATATCGGAATCCATTCCATATGAAAAGGAACCGCAAAATTCGATTAGCATTGTTTCTTGCAATAGTGATATCCCTAAACTTCCTAATTTGGAATCAAGATACATATCTACAATATTCAAATCTTATAACATATCCAGAAGACACTACTATAACAATCCGACCCACGACTTTTACAAGTGAATTTGACACTAGACTAGAAAAAACCCTTAGCAAGGAAGATGTAAAAGGCGTAGCCATTATAACCCCCGAGGACTTCAATACTATTGAATTACCTTCTGCAACGCGTGATTATCAACCATTCGATGCCCGGTTCACCCTTGGCGCATTGTTGCATTATCTTGACCAATCTGACATAGAGGAACTACCTGGATTCCACTGGGCAGATTTCACAAGTATGGAACCATTGGAAAAGTATCTTTTCAGTGTGAAGATGTCTTGTTCTGATTTTGATATCCGAACAAAAAACCAAGCCAGAAATGCTAAAGAAGGTAGGATGGATCCAAAGAGCTACTGCGTTGATGATGCAGATATACCGAACTTAATTGAAACTTCAAAAAATGAGGAGCTAGTTAAAAATTTGAAATATATTCAAGCACAAAAGTATTCAACCGGATTTCACATGTTTAAGGATTGCCTTAGGCAATCCTTTGAGTTTCGGCCCATAATAGGTAGATCTTATTTGTACGACTTTATGCCACCACCACAGTCATTAGTTCTTTTGTTCCCCGAATTCAAGGCATTCCAAATTGATATAAACAAAGACAATAAATTGAAATTGGTTCAGTATTCTGCACTCCTGGAAAGAATTATAAACGTGAGGGAGATTCTCAGTAAGTTTATGAAGACTTTACCTATGCAAGCTAACCCTGCGTCCCAGAGAATAGAGCTAAGTCACGAGGATTTTATTGACAAATCACCAGAAATAATAGAAATCTTGCAAAATTCTGAAGAACCATTATCACAAAGAGATCAACTGTATTTAAACGGATTGAAGTTTTCCAAAGAAATAAAAATCCCCTACAAACATTTCTCTGAAGCTAGGGTAATCTCAACCCAAAGGGATTTTTCCCTCGGTGCGCATTATGATTGGAGATTTTTTAACGGAGATGTAAAAGGAACTGATAAAAATGACGTGACTCTTCACGCATTAGTAAAGGTACTTTTCAAGTTGGCAAATGCATACAACCTTAGATGCTGGATTGTACATGGATCATTATTGTCCTGGTATTGGAATGGTTTGAGGTTCCCTTGGGATAACGATATAGATATTTCAATGCCAATTGATGACCTACATAGGTTGACTAGACAATTTAATCAGAGTCTTATTGTTGATTTCGGTAATGATATAGATCTGCAAATCCGTTATGGGAGATTCTTTTTGGATTCGACAGCTTTTATTAGCAGGAGAACCAGAGAGAATGGAAACAATAATATCGATGCAAGATTAATTGACATAGATACTGGTATGTATATTGACATAACCGGGTTAGCATTAACGGATACTAAAGCTCCCGAACGTGATGACTACTTACTAAAGGCAACAAAATATGAACGCGACTCTGAAAGAAACATTCCAAATAAGTCAATTACCGAATACGATGTCAATTCATTCTTGCAAACTTATAATTGCAAGAATAACCATTTTTTCAGCTTAAAAGAAGTGAGTCCCTTACGGCTTTCTTTGTTTGATGGAGAATACATGTATGTCCCGAATCAAGTAACTAAAGTTTTAATGTCTGACTTTTCTCCGATATCGCTTGTTAATAAAAAATTTCAGGGATATACATATATACCAATATTGCGACTTTGGTTGAAAACTCATATACTTGATGATTTCTTATTTGAGAATGCAAAGAAAACCAACAAGCAAATCAAACAAAGAATGCGGGTTATAGAATTAAATGAGGAACAATGCTTAGAATTGTTAAAATCAAACAGGGATATACTAGTGCAGTATTTGAGAACTAAAAGGGTGACGGAATACCACGACAACGAAATTAGGAAAATCATTCAAGGTGAATCCTCCGCATCATTAAATTTCGAAGACGGAACCTTGATAGATAATAGGGCAGAGCTTAGACCTGATCTATTCACCTGGAATTCCCTAAATGAAGCAAACAGCTATGGCAAAGATTGGGAACGTGTGAATAACTTAATTAAAGAATATGAAGAGAATGGTAAACAAGTAGTGGAAGTCACGCTTGGGCGCGACGTAATACCGTTAGAGAAGGAAAAACCCAACACTCCAGGTGATATTGGAAAGGTTCTATTACAAGATAATTTAAGGATCCCTGGTTAGTTATGGGCTGCAAATAAGTGTTGCTGTTAGTAAGAGACCCTAATACGGTTGCATTTTTATAGGATCAGGTATTGTTTCTATTCCTTGAGTTTCAAACTTATGTTAGGATTCATTCTCTTTAATAGAATATTATATAGTTTTCAGTAATGTATGCTCATTAGGTTTATAAATAATTTACGATGTTTCCAAAGACTGCAAAACGGAAATAGCTTGAAAGTATGTTAATTGTATATTTTTTTATTTCCGAGTCTAGATGAGAAAGTGGCTGCAAAAAAAGCCCCGAACTGCCACACAAAATCCATGATTGCAAAAACAAAAAAGAAAAAACAGGAGATCACACAAACTTCTCGAACTACAATTAAAAGACAATCATCTAGGGTAAGTTAGCCGATTCGCGCAATACTATGGAGTCCATACGAAGTGTCGTTTAGCTAGCTCTGAATGTTCGAACCCGTCTACAAACCTCCGTTACTCGATATTGTTGCAACCAATGGAAGATGCTTGTGTCCTTCATTTTCAAGAATGGATTGGTCGTGCGCACGACAAATCCAACAACATACCAACGCCTCACGATTAAACAAGGAAATTCACGCAATACAATGTGTGCTCCTTATTATAACAATCTCAACATAATTGAAGCAGCGAAAATTGAAGTTATATGATGCAATACGCAAGTATAAATTCCTACAGCCAAGACGGGTCCTTCCTCCACCCTTATAAAATGAAAATCAAAGTATAAATTAAGGTGAAATTAAGGAGATGTGTTACATATTGATTGTCTTGAGTTCTTAGAGAATAAGGAAAAATCTCTCATGTAACCATAGAATAGCAAAGTAAATAAAATGACTTAGATTTTTTCCGAATCTCCCTGATTACTTGAAATGGACAGTTTCTTGGCTTCAATTCGCATAATAATGGACGATATAAGTTTATTAGTCATTGAAAAAAAAAAGAAGTGCAAAAAATATCTAAAAGTGCCTCTCAAAAAAGAATCACTGGATCCCTTTAATACACACTAGTCGACCCAGGACCAGGATGTGCCATTTTCTCCAATATGATGCAAAATGATTAGAAATGTTTTCTCCAAGGACCATTTAGTTTCCTACCACTGTCAAGTTGAGATGTTTCGTTGGCTTATGATGAAATCAAAATTATTGTAATTTCTAATCTTGTGATCACAACTAGACAATTAATATCAAACTGGAGAATGATGCTATTTCAATTTAATCATATGTTTTCTAAGGAAAACGGGATCACGACTAAGATTTATTTTATTTATTGGTCATCGCAAAGTCCTCGACGTTTCTATTGTCTCACGACCAAAAAATAAAAAGAAACTCAGCCCTAAAAAGGGACAACTTTCTAAAAAATATTCTCGGAGCCTCAGATCACTTCCAAACACATAATATTTTTTTTTGCAATAATTACTATTTTTAAGCAGTCATCAACAAAAGGGATGACGAATCAGACTATCTTTGCATTTAAAAATATTATATATAATCTCAGATTCTTCAATAATGTCAAAATCTTGAAAGCTTAAATTCTAAAATAGATAGCATCTCTCACATAACTATGCGTCTAACCATACATGATAAGTATAGGCATCCTATCAATATGAGAAGGATCCACAAAATTCGAGTAGCATTGTTTCTTGCTATTGTGATTTCCCTAAATTTCCTCATTTGGAACCAAGGTACAGATTTACAATATTCAAATCTAAGAACATATCCAGAGAACATTAATAAACGAATTCGACCCACGACTTTTACTTCAAGTCAATTTGACACCAGACTAGAAGAAAATCTTAGCAAGGAAGATGTAAAAGAGGTAGCCATTATAACACCAGAGGACTTCAATATTATTGAATTACCTTCTGCAATACCCGATTATCAACCATTCGATGCCCGGTTCACCCTTGGCTTATTGTTGCATTATCTTGACCAATCTAACATAGACGAACTACCTGGATTCAACTGGGCAGATTTCACAAGTATGGAACCATTGGAAAAGTATCTTTTCAGTGTGAAGCTGTCTTGTTCTGATTTTGATATCCGAACAAAAAACAAGACCAGGGATGAAAAAGAACAAAGGTGGGATCCTAAGCGTTACTGCATTAATGATGCTGATATACCGAGCTTAATTGAAACTTCAAAAAATGAGGAATTGGTTAAAAATTTGAAATATATTCAAGAACAAAAGTATTCAACAGGATTTCACATGTTTACGAATTGCGGTAGGCAATCCTTTGAGTTTCGGCCCATAGTAGCTAAATCCTATCTATACGATTTCATGCAATCACCACTATCATTAGTTCTTTTGTTCCCTGAATCTAAGACATTCCAAATTGATATAAATCAAGACAAGAAACTAAAATTAGCTGAATATGTTGATGTAGTAGAAGAATCTATAAACGTTAGGGATCAACTTAGAAAGTTTATGAATACTTTACCTATGAAAGAAAACCATATACCATACAACATAGAATTAAGTCACGAGGACTTTATTGACAAATCACCCCAAATAATAGAAAGCTTAGAAAACTCAGAAGAACCATTATCAAAAAGAGATCAATTATATTTAGAAAGATTAAAGTTTTCCAGCGCAGTAGTTGGAAATCCTTATAAGACTTTCGGGGAGGCTAAGATAATACAAAGTCAAAAGGGGTCAAATGTCGGTGGCCATTATGATTGGAGATTTTTTAATGGAAATACAAAAGGGACTTTTAAAAATGACATGTCTATTCACGCATTAATAAAGGCGTTTTTCAAATTAGCAAGTGTATACAATATTAGATGTTGGATTGTGCATGGATCATTGTTATCATGGTATTGGGATGGTTTGAAATTCCCTTGGGATGCCGATGCTGATATTACTATGCCAATTGATGACCTACATAAGTTGACTAGACAATTTAATCGGAGTCTTATTGTTGATTTCGGTAATGATATAGATCTGCAAATCCGGTATGGTAGATACTTTTTGGATTCGACAGTTTTTATTAGTAGGAGAACCAAAGAGAATGGAAAGAATAATATCGATGGAAGATTCATCGACATAGATACCGGTGTTTATATTGATATAACCGGGTTAGCGTTAACGGAAACTAAAGCTCCCGAACGTGATGACTACTTACTAAAGGCAACAAAATATGAACGCGACTCTGAGAGAAATATTCCAAATAAGTCAATCACCGAATACGACGTGAATTCATTCTTGCAAACTTATAACTGTAAGAATAACCAATTTTTCAGCTTGAAAGAAGTGAGCCCATTAAGGCTTTCTTTGTTTGAAGGAGAATACATGTATATCCCGAATCGTGTAACTAAAGTTTTAACGAATAAATTTTCCCCAAAATCACTCATCAATAAAGAATATATGGGTTATACATATATACCAATATTGCGACTTTGGTTGAAAACGGATATGCTTTTTGACTTCTTAGCAGCTAATACAAGGAAGACCAAGAAACAAATCAAAGATAAAATGAAGGTTCCAGAATTAAATGAGGAACAATGTTTGGAATTATTAAAATCAAACAAGGATATACTAGTACAATATTTGAGAACAAGAAGGGTAACGGAGTACCACGACAATGAAATCAGGAAGATCCTACAAGATGAATCTACCGAGTCATTAAATTTTGAAGAAGGAATCTTGATAGACAATAGGGCAGAACTTAGAGCTGATCAATTCACCTGGAACGCGCTAAATGAATCAAACAGTTATGACAAAGTTTGGGAACGAGTCAATAACTTAATCAGCAAATATGAAGAGAATGGTAAACAAGTAGTGGAAGTCACGTTTGGGCCCGACGTCATACCCGTAGAGAAGGAAGAAACCAAAAACGAGAATTCGAAAGACGAGTCCCCGAAAAAGAAGACAGGCAAGAAGAAATAGGCCCGCTGCAAACAACTTCCACTGGTGGGTGGTTCGTAATTGTTAGGTATTTACTTAGACTGTTTATATGGGAAAAGACGTTGCAAATGATTTGTAGTAGGCGAACTGGGAAAGATACATTCAAAAAGATGCCCAAAAGGTTCCACATCTCCAAAGTCCGACTGTAAGAGTACTTTAGATTCGACAAGAAGCTTCCTGTACAGATCAACGTAAACTGTAAAGGCAGCTTTTCAAGATTTTTAATTGCATAGTCAAAATGATGAACGTGGGCCAAAAAGATTGTTTGAATTTGAAAAAAAGGTAGTTGATAGTAGTTTTTGTTTCAGTTTGAGTTTTGTCTTTTAAATAGATTTGTCAACAGTATACACTAATCATTTGAATAGATATATAGGATTTAGTAAACAATTGCATTATGATTCGAAAGAATTGCGGGAGGGGAACCTATGTTAAACAAACTATTTGATTTGTGAACTATGTGAGTCTCAGCTTAATGAAAGGAAACATGTTCGACAGCTTTCCTCCAACGCGCAAATTGAATCACCCACAGGTAATTTGCAGAATCAAAACCAATTACTGAATTTTAACAGAAAATCGCAATAAAGTACTTGCCAAGTTCACTTGAAGTGCATGTATAATCTTAGTAAATTTGTATTCAAAACTAACAATATTGTTCCTGCTAGATGACTCTTTCAATTCCATCCTGAAAATAAGGAACTCGATTAATATTGTTTTAAAGTTCGGATGTGTTATCCGCTACTTCTGAGGTTGAGAAAACTTCGTCATCACTGCTAAAATTCGCTCCAACAAAAGAATGGCTGCAAAACAAAAACAAAAAAAGAAATTTAGATCACATGACTCGTGTCACATGACCCAAATTCAAACCAATAAAATTTCTCAAATACAAATTAGAAATGAAACCATTTTTTTTCTGTTTCTTCTACTCGTTGTTTTTAAAGGCTCAAATAAAATTGAGAGTAAATTAGTTACATTTTCATTATAACTCAATTACAAAGTCAACAAAACGATGTTTAGAAGAGCCGCACAACTCACTGCAAGAAGATTCAACCATCATGGTTATGGTACTTCCAAGTATATCAATGATTTAGCCTACGCTGGTTCTAAAGTTAACAAGAAGGCCGGAGAAGAATTCATTAAGAAGTATGAAGAAAAGGTTCATCATTCTGAAGGTATTACCAAATTATGGAAGAAGTTAACTTACTTAGTTGCAATTCCAGCTATTTTATTAACTGCTATTCCAGTTAGTAAGATTGAAATGGAACATGCTGAACATAGAAAACATCAACGTCATTTAAGTGATGATGAATGGCCAGTACAATATGATTACCAAAACATCAGATCTAAGCCATTCTTCTGGGGTGATGGTGATAAGACTTTATTCTGGAACAATGATGTCAACAGACATGTTGTTAAGGATTAAATTTGGAATGTTATAGTTATATGATTTCGTTTTAAGTGTTGTGTTTTTTTGTTTTGCATTTTTTGTGACGTTTTTGGAAAGAGTACTTATTGAGTAAGTGGTTCTCTGGATATATTTGTCTACTTTAGTTTAAAAATATATAGTCTATAATATGAGAAGATAATTATTGTTTTTGTATGTTTTATTAAGGAGTTTAAATTTGTAGAAGACCGAATTGTGCTGACAAATTCGATGGGATCGAAGGAACATTGTTGTCAAGAGTCAGCATCTCTGAAATAGCAAAATAAGATCGATTGAATGTAAACTTCCTCTTTTTACAACTCAATTGAGCTTTCATGGCTCGATGCTGTCTATTACATATATCTGGGGTAAGTAAATTCCGGCGATGACAACATTGGGCTAAAATGGACACATTACATGGCAAATAATTACCTGTACTTATATAAATTATAATAAAGTTATAAAAAAGACAGTCAAAAAAGAAGCACCAAAACGAAACTATACAGTATATATATAAAAGGCAAACTAATATAAATTATAAGAAACAAAGACGAGAAAGAGTCAAAACTAAACAAATGAATTATTTATAATCACGTCAACATAAACAAAAAAACTTTAACATGCACGTTCATTAAAATGGGATGGAAAAACTTGAGATGAAAGTAAGGGGCAAGGGAACTTGTTCAATTTCACAATGTAGAAAAGATGTATAAGTTATTAGTAGCCGCAATTGCTACTGAATTCTCTCTAGGATGCCAAGATAAATGAAGTATACTCTTTTTGAAATCAGTATCATCAAAATCATTCCCAGATGTGCTACCTATACCGCTCATCATTCTACGTCTCATTGGATGATGTCCTGATTTTTTGGATTTGAACGCAGATTTGTCTGCTTGTAAAATGATTTCTTCTTGATCTTCCTCTTCATCTATTGAACTTGGTGATTTTTTACTTGGTGGATTTTGATTGATAGAACGATCATCGTCATCATCATCGTCTCCACCTTCTTCATCGTCATTGAATGGTTTCTTTCTACTGTTTTTCTTAAAGGATGTGGTTTTAAACATTGGTTTTTCAGGTGGGGATGAAGATGCGATTGAATTTGAGGATGAAGATATGGCATTTGGATAAATCATAAAATTATTATTATAAGAACCAGTCATTACTGATTTATTATCTCCACTAAATTGAACTTCAAATTTATCAAAGATTGCATCGTTTTCATAAGTATCACATAATCTTTCTCGTAAATGTTCATGAACATTTATTGTTTTAACTGGTTTATTTTCCATTGCTAAATCCCATATTTTAACAGTCATATAATCACGAGATGCAATATATCTACCATCATAACTGAACCTAACATCAGAAATTGAACTAGTAATTTCAGTAAAGAAATTATGAGATGATGGATCTAAATATTCTTCGAATATTTTAGCATGAGAATCACACAATGAATTTGATCTCATATCGGCTAATTTAATAGTTCCTTTTGAAGATGAATACATAAATAAGTTACAATGACTAGGATGGAATTCAGCACTAGTAATAACTTCGGTCAATTCTTCCATATTTGTTGGTTTGATATCTACTATATTAAATGATTGATCAGCAATTCCTAAATTCCATAAATTAATTCTTAAATCATCTGAACTTAAAAATGTTTCTTGATCTGAATTAACAGAAATCGAATTGATATGATAAGCATGAGCATTTGAATATATCTTTTTAGGTTGGGCTGCAATTAATTTATCATGTAATTGTAATTGAGGTAATTTTAAAGATGATACATCAAAACTTCCAGTTGAAGGTAAATGATTTAAACCATTTAAATTGTTTTCACTTACCAATTTGATTTGTTTTTCCATAATTTTCCATAATTTAATTGTTTTATCATTTGTGGATAATAAATAAAGTGAATCATTTGAACTTCTTAACCATTTTATTTTATTAATCTTTTCTTCAATTTCTAAAGATTTTAAATAATCAAATTCAGCATCATGACTTTGAAATTCTGTAAAGAATTTATATTCACAACTTTGTTTCTTTTTGGATTGATTTCGTTCAAATAAAACAACTCTACCACCTTTATCACCAGTAGCCAAAAAATCACCTGTATGATCAAATTCTACTGTCGATATAATATCTGCTTCGGTAATATTCTCAATGTCTCCTTTATCTCCGAAGCATTGAGAGAACTTCCAAGTTTCGTCTGCTGTCATCTATGGATTATTGTAATTGTGTATAGTAGTAGTAGCTATATTATTTAATGTAATTTTAAACAAGTATTTAGTAGTCAATTGTGTTTCAAAATGGACAAAGGGATTTTTTTTTGAATTTGGAGGTGAAAGAAAAAATAGAATCAACCACCGGCAAAGGGAAAAACTTTTTTTTATTTGCGATTGGTATTGGTACGGTTAAATTGATTGAATTGATTTGATTATCAATGTGGTTAATTGATAATAATAATAGCAAGTTTCTTGGAATCAAGAAATGTATATATTAAGTTTGAATTGAATTGAGTTTGAATTGATTGTGTATGACAAAATAAGGCTCTTATAAACAATCTGTTTATAATTTTATCTTTGTAAATTTCGTACGATAATGGAGGGGGGGAACGGGGGACGAGAGATGAGAAAAAATGACGTTGTAAGTTTATAATGTAACTTTCCAAATATGTAAATAATTAATTCTTGTAATGTTTTTTTAGAAAGAGTTAATGATTTCTGATTACTAGTTCTTATATGTCAATTGAGTTGGGAGATGCAAAAAAAAGAGAGAACAAACCTTTGTATATCAAACTTTACAAATGATGATGTTTGTTGTTGTCGATAATGACATTTTGAAGTCAAGTAAAGATGCCCCCAAAAAAAAAACAGAAGGAGAGAGAGACAGCCATTTATTGAATAGAGAGAGGATTAGAAAACAAAAAAATATTTTATGTTGTGTGATTATTTTGTGTGTGTCTCATTAAAATTTCATTTTCTCAGTAAAATTAGATGATCAATTTTTTTGCTTTCACATTCTTTCTGACGAGAAGTAAAATTTGCTTGTCTCTTGTCTATTTGCAACCATCTCTTGGTAATCAGTAATCTATTAACTCTAAGATTACAATAAATCTACAGGAAGTTCGATGACCCCAAGCAACCAAGTCTACTAAAAAAGGAACAATGAACAGTAATTATACAATTAGACAATATCAGCCGAAGAATAGCCACAATTCCAGGTTTTGCAGCATCTTTATTTTTTGCATGACTGTGATGTTGAACACCATATCATCAGAGGCCATAATCTATAAATCGGGGAAAGCGGCTATCCCCTTTTGGTCTACATTAAACTGGATAGAAGTCATAGGATCGATTAAACATTTGATCATTGAAATATATAGCTTGTTACCAATTGCCGCCTTAGTATGAGATGTGGCTGCGTAATTTTTGATGGTTGCATTTTTTTTTTCGATAGTCAAAATTTGCAACCTATCTTTTCTTCAGAGCACTAGAAGGGGCCGATCATATTACTACCTGTCTAGGGTCACTCAAGCTTATTGGGATCAACAAATCAAAATAATTGATCGCCTATCTAACTTATGACAACAAGTGATACCTTTTCAAGTCCCTATCATTGACATTTCATTTCATTTCTCGTTTGGGTTTTCTAGGTCAAATTACATACCTTGTACTTATCGAACTTGATTCTACAATACGTAGCATACGATCCAAATCATTAATCGCCATCTACCCAAATTAGAAAATATGACATCTTTATGATCAGGAGCAATCACGTGATAGGCATAACCTCACTTGTGTAAAGTGTATTTGAGTAGTTTGAGGAATCATTTACAAAGGCAATTACCAGAGGTTCTTGGGAACAACTCTGTCGATCCCCGTATTATTATAGTCTAACATATCTTGCTTTCGGCAATATTATTTGTATAATCCTTGCTTTCAAGTTTTGCATACTTCGAAATTCTAGCTGCGAAAAAGTTACCAAGTATTCATTTACTTAGAAATCCAAGCACTCAGAAGTAAGACAAGAGATTCTTGAAAACATGCCTTCCAATCTGATAATGGAAGCTCACTACTAATGGAATAGTTCTATAGGTTTTTTAGAGAATGAGAAACTAATTTGTTAAGTTAGATCAAAGTTGACTTCACTTGAGTTCCACGTACAACATACTCTGCAAATCAATATACAAGGTTTTCGTTATATTATGACATTTGTTAATTTTTATATTAAATACAGTTATTTAAGTACAAAAAAAGAGTTTAGTTAGCCTTCTTAGCAGCATCTTGTGGAGCAACCTTTCTGTCAGAAGAGAATCTCTTTCTTTGTGGTGGGGTTCTGATTCTTCTGTCGGTTCTAGATCTAACTCTGACAATTCTGGCGTGAATAGCACAAGAGACACAGTAGTGTAATTTGTTGTATAATTTTGGTAAAGCGTATTCAGCGTAAACAGAAGCTTCGGATAAATCTCTGACAGCAGCAGCTTCAACCATGTTTCTGATGGTGACTCTCTTGATAGCCTTATCCTTTGGAACACATCTGGCACAGTTTAAACATCTAACTGGCTTGACGTGACCTCTACCCTTCTTGTTTCTACCGTTGGAAGCTCTCTTTTTTGGCATATTGAACTAAAAGAAATGTTAGTATATTGATCACTTCATTTTATATCATAATTAACAGTCGAACATTTTTTATTAAACGATGAATGATATTGATCTTGGAAGTATGTGATCTATGATTAAGTGCATAATATTTTCAACTTATCAAAAATTATTTGGAATCCCTCTCTTCGAATTGGAGATCAAAAAATCATGTAATAAAGCCTATATGTAAATCATGAATGCATTGGCGGTTGCGATGTTCGTTTATACATTTGTTCTATTAAACTTATCATATTAAAATTTTTCACAAATTCAAATCTTTTAAAGTGGTCGTAAATAGTTATCTGTAGTCGTAAATAAGTAGTATTCATTGGGTTCTGTCCCTCTCATTCATTCATTCTATATGGATATAATCAAAAATGTAACGTCTATTATATGTATAGGTCATTCACATACCTATTACTTACTGATGTAAATTGTAAAAGAAGAAGGTTGAAAATTTATTAAGAAGAAAAAAAATTTTAATAAGGTGAATTGGATTGTTTGGGTCTCTACACAGTATGGGAAAATTGTTTGTTAGTGTGAGTGCATTCTAAACAGAGAATCAAAGGTACTGCATATTAAGATAGGCAACTCTTTAACTATGGTACTATCTATTTTTGTATGGGGGAACGCGCACTAGCTTTTGGGTGTAGCCAGAACAAATGAAAAAAAGTTTCCTGGAAAATGCTTGAAAAAGTCGTGCGAAATCAAAATATAAATTCACGTGACAGCTTAGGGTTTCAACCCTAGCTGAAGAATTAAAAATCGGTCATGTGACTTAAATCATGTGACTTTGATCACATGACACATCACGTGAAACTGATCAGCTGACTAATTCACCCAAAATATGATACAAAATTCAAACCAATAAAATTCAATTAATAATAACGAAAAACATGAAAAAAAAATAGCTGTACAAATTAGCTGATTCTCAAATTTGGTTTATAAAACAAATACATTGCAATCGGGTTTTGAATTTTTAAGTGTACAACTAATTTACTACAACCATATAATCACATAAGTATGTACCTACTCATTACAACTATTATCTAAGTAGTACAATTGGACCAATTGCAGGCAAAGACAATCTCGTTAATCATAAATTGAAGTAGAAAAGCAGATGAGATGAATTCCAGTGGAAAAGCTAATACCAATTGAGAAACTTTGACTCACCACTTAAAGAAATATCTTCCAAATATGCGTCCTGGATTACGAATTGAGTGTATTAAACTTAGAAATTGTTTGCAAGTCTCCACAGTTTCTGGATTTTATTTAACAGAATCTTGAATGTCAAATGAACTGGGGTACTTAATACATGGACATAATCCATTGACCAATTGTACAATTAGACAGTTAGACACCTTTTATCCAACCTGTATACATGGATACTAACATCAATTCTAGTAATGCTTTCTCGTACTACCTTCAGAGTTGCCAGACAACAAGTTAGATTATTATCTACTTCAAGAATCTTATTAAATAAACTCCCAACTGAACTTAAGACCGCTGATTCTTTAGCTGAAGTTACTAGTGAACGTGATTTAATTGGTAAGGGTGCTAAAGCAGGTACTATCCCAACAGATTTCGAACAATCTACCGGTTTACAAAGATTAGAACTTTTAGGTAAGAGAGAAGGTGTTGATGTTTTCGATATGGAAAACCCAATTTGTGAAGGTACTGGTACTTTTGACGACCCACTCTTAGTTCCAACCTTTTTCGGTTACAGATATGTTGGTTGTAGAGGTAAAGGTGATGACGAACACAAGGCTTACTGGATGAAGGTTGAAGATGGTAAGAAATCTAGATGCTGGCACTGTGGTACCGTCTTGACTGCCAAGTACTTGGGTGAAGAAAGTATGCACCACCATTAAATTTGACAGTTGGACATTTAAGAAGAATGGAAACATAAGAAAACGCCCTCAAGATAATAATGACATGAGAAAATGTGCAGGTACATAATTGCATCCGTTATGTTTTCTAACGGGATTTGATTTAGGTGTTTTCTTTTAGATTTCAAATTCCAACAAGTTTCATCACGTTTCCATTAAAATTTCAATATTTACATCTATGAAGGATATAAAGGAAACGATTCTTTGTTAACATATATATTCATAACTATGATTTCATTTTGTTTAGTATTTTTTACAGTTCTCAGAAACCTTTTTTTTAACCGATTTTTTTCTAATAAAAGAATATAAAAATGTGAAAACCAGACGAAGAAGCTTATCTTTAGAAAGCATTCTCGGCATTGCTTGCCTAGAAGAGGGGTGGGTTTGGGATGTGCTTGAAGCTTTCGTGGAGATAGTATGAAAAGATTCCAAATTGCCAAGACCAAAGAATATGCTGACAAAATGAGATAAGCTGATATCAGAAATATCGCGAAACAGCTGTAAAACACCAAAACCACTCTAGATCATATGTTTCCAGTGTAAATCTACGTTTCTGCTCCCATCTGCCCATTCGGCTAATACGCTGGTTGTAAATTGCATGAAGCCTTACCAGAGATCTTTTCAACCCCTGTCACAAAAAGGTACACGGCACTGCTAAACCAAACCATTGTAGTCATGTGTAGACATAACCACTGTTGCATGCAAGAAATTCTTGAAATTGGAAGTGCGGTTAGATCCAACGGGATTCAGGAGGTGGTCTCCTTAGGTGTGGCACTTTCTGTGTAGATAGCCAATAAACAGTCAGTGTGCTCGGCTTAAGCTTGAAAAAATATCGATGAGCCGCACGGTAATCGGTGGAAAAGTGGTCGCTTATCTTTGTGTTCCAAAAATATGGATTGCAAATGTGTGGAATTTTACCGTGTATCTCCGTTAACACTTTTATCTGAAACAATATAAATATCTATGAATTTCCACCCATATTCTATTGGAGGATGACTTCTAATCACATATTCTACGTAGTTAAAGATTCTGAATTATGACAGTTAAACAAAAAGTTTTAGTACTTGGTAAACCCAAGCAACAGTTCCTCAAAGAATTCAATGGGAAATTTGAATTTATTCATTATGAAATAACCACACTTGAAAAAGTTTTACATGATTTTCAAACCAAGCTTGCAGATATAGAAGCAATATATGCAGGCTGGTCGGGGTTTCACAAGATTGGTGGGTTTAGAGGAAAACTAATAAGTTTTGCTCCCAAAAATCTTAGGATTATAGCTAGTTGTACAGTAGGTTACGATCATTACGACAGTCAGGGGATGGCAGAAAGAGGTATTATATTAACCAATGTCCCTTCTCAAATTGCCTTTGAAGCAGTTGCAGATCTTGTCTTATATAATACAATCACAAGTTTTAGAAATTTTAAAATATTTGAAAATCACTTTGGACCAGATATTGGTCATACTGCTATAATAAGAACATCTGTAGTCGAAGGTGAATTTGATCAGCAGTCAGGAAAAGCTCTCATACAAACTACTTTTGGTGATGGATATGCCGATGCTTGTTGTGGAAGAGAAAACCTCTCTCCTAGAGGTCATAATGCAGTTATTGTTGGTTTTGGAAATATTGGGAAACTAATTGCAACCAGGTTGGCATGTATAGGAATGAATATACATTATGTCAAAAGAAGACCTCTAAGCGCTGAAGAAGAGAAATCTGTTGGTATTAAGATGACATATCATCAATCTTTGGCAGATACAGCTGATTTTGCCGATCTTATAGTGATTGCGTGTCCAGGTACTCCTGCTACCAAGCATATGATAAATGAAGACTTAATAAATAAAATGAAGAAGCAAGTGAGAATAATTAACATTGGTAGGGGATATGTTATACATGAAGAAGCTTTAGTCAATGGCTTGAAACTGGGTAAGGTATTGTTTGCTGGTTTAGACGTATTTGAGCATGAGCCAGGTGTTCATCCTGAGTTGTTTGGTAGAGAAGATGTAGTTTTGACCCCACATATTGGCTCGGCTATAACAGAGAATGATAAATTTACTGCTATGACATCTTTGAAAAACATTGAAACCGTTTTGTTTGGTTATAGTAGGGAATTAACTAGAGTAAATTAGAAAGATTATGAGTATTCGTTTGTTTTATTTAGAGTTAATAGTTTTTTATGTTTTTTTTCGCAATCTATTGTTAATTTTTGCAACTTTTTACCGAAATAAATATATCGCTCCATATCTCCATTCAAAGGAATTACTTGAGGTACTCTTTTTCTTTTGCAAATATTTTACTAGTTACAGCTTTTAGCTACGGAGGTTTGGTAACTTTAACACTGGCTTTGCTATATTGGTGCCAACTACACGATGTTTTTTTGTGTGGAAGTAGTCTATTGTCTATTGTTCCACAATTCCAAATATTTTTTCGGTCTTTTCTCGATTTCTCAAAAAATTGAAATTTGGTGGTTAATCTAATTTTAAAACTAAAAAGAAAAGGAGGGAGGGTGTGCCGATTGTTCAAAAATCTTTAAATTTTACGTCCAAATTTCTGACATAATCTCCAATTTTGAAAGGTACATTTACCATAGATCTTTTGACACCCAATCAATTCGATTATTGATGCCAATGCAGTCCTTATACATAGGGGTATACAAGGCAGTGTATGACTATACAGCTCAAGCCGAAGAAGAGTTGACAATAAAAACTGATGACCTTTTATATTTGTTGGAAAAATCAGATATCGATGAATGGTGGAAAGTTAAAAAGAGAGTTTTAGCTGTTGGAGATGAAGAAGTAGATGAACCCCTGGGTTTAGTTCCTTCGAACTATATTGAAGAGGTATGTTTTTCTTGATTCCGATCTTAGATTTATTTGCATGGGATCTGTTACTAACCAGTTTTTCATAGGCCCCTGTTATCAAACAAGCAACTGCATTATATGATTATGATAAACAAACAGAGGAGGAACTTTCTTTCAAAGAAGGAGCCAAATTTAATATTTACGACTTGAAAGACCCTGATTGGATCTTGGCTAGCAATAATGACAAGACTCAATTTGGGTTTGTTCCATCTAACTATATCCAAATTGGGTCTAGTGAAACACCACAGCAAGCAGCTCAGCCTGCCACCTCTGTCCCAGCTACACAACAACAACAACCACAAATCCCAGTCAACCAAAATATCCCTTCTCTTACGAAAGAGAGATCTCCAGAACAAGCACCAACAGCATCAATGCCTGTAAGAGACTTCCCTCGTCCAAATCAGCCTGTTACCTCTGGATACAATCAAGTGGAAGAAGAGGAAGAAGAAGCTCCACCGCCAATGCCAAATAGACCGGTTGGTAATGAAACTCCAACCAGACCATCCCGCGTAGAACTGTACGAACAAGTAGAAGATGTCGAACAAGGTAGAAATCACACATTTGATGGAGAGTTTTTCACCTGGTATATTGATGAAGTCGATGGTCGCAAGAAAAGATCAGTCGTTTTATCAATTGGTCAAGGTTTAATCATAGTGAAAGCAGATAAGGGTACACCAAAGAAGTTCAAAATTAGAGGCGCTTCAAATCGTGATGACCAATGGAGAATTAGAGATTTGATAGATTTTAGTCATGAGAAGAAACATGTATTCTTGGAATTTAAGAATCCTTCAGCTTCAATTGAATTGCATACTGGAACAAAGGATGTGGCTGATGCTATAATGTCTATTTTGGGAGATTTGAAAGGAGCAGAATCAGCTAAAGGATTAAAGGAAGTAGAAAGAGCATCAAAAGCAAAGACCGGCGCAGGCAATAGAAAAGTTGGTAGATTGATGTATGATTTCGAAGCACAAAGTAGAGATGAATTAGACTGTAAGGAAGGTGACGAAGTTTACGTTATAGATGAGTCAAAATCAAGGGATTGGTGGATGGTGGAAAATACCGATACACGTCGACAAGGTGTTGTCCCCTCTGCATATATTGAAATCATAAGTACCTCGAATTTGGACAAATTGACCGAAGGACCAGTTAGACACAAGTCTACGAAAACTAAAGAAAAGGCACGTCATCATCATAGATCTAGGGAAGAACGTGATAGAGTTAGAGAAAAAGATAGACTTCAAAGAGAAAAGGAATCAAGTAAACAGAAGAATGAAGAAGACAAATCAATGCCAAACTATCATAGAGTTAGAACTTGGATTGACAGTTCAGGATCATTTAAAGTTGAAGCTGAATTTTTGGGTTGTCATGAAGGAAAAATTCATTTACACAAAACAAATGGTGTCAAAATTGCAGTTGGTGCCGAAAAGTTATCAATTGAAGATTTAGAATATGTTGAAAAAGTTACAGGTACCTCATTGGAAAAGTATAAGGAAGCAGTGATGAAGCAACTTGAAAAGAAACCAAAGGCGAAGAGTGGTGCAACTAGTGAAATGAAGAAGGCTCCTTCAGCAACAGCTGTAATTAATGATGTGACTCCAGCCAGACCAACTAGACAAAAGACGAAATCTATGCTTTCTCCAGCAGGTCGTGCGCCTGAATCCGACTACGATTGGTTTGACTTCTTCCTCGAATGTGGTGTGGATATTGGGAATTGTCAACGTTATACCCTCAACTTTAACCGTGAGCAAATGGATCAAACTATTTTGGAGGATATTTCACCATCATTGTTAAGAACCTTGGGATTAAGAGAAGGTGATATTATTCGAGTTATGAAATACTTGGACAATAAATTTGATAGAAAGAAGACTTCAGAAGAAGCAAAACCTGCTGGTGGGTTGTTTGTGGACACGAACGGTGCTCTTAAAACCAATATCGCAGCAAGTGAAGTATCCAAAGTAACTGCAGAGGCATTGCCTTCTCCAGTCAAGGCAGCAACGCCGGAAACGAAAAGTACCAATAAAATTGAAGATGACGCATGGGCAGTCAAGCCTGCTGCAAGGTCAAGTGAAGATCTTCTTAAACCAGTCCAACCTCAAGCACCACAATATACGGGCTCTTTATCAGATCTTGTTAATATCAAACCAACTATTGATAACAAACCACTACCAGCACCACCAGCCTCTTCATCATCTCAGATCCCATCAGCTCCACCGCTTCAACCAGTAAAGACCAATAATACTTTAATTCAACCAGATCAAAAGTTTGCTATTCAAACTCAGGGTGCTGCCGTCCCTGTACCTGCGCAACGTACCGGTACCCTTATCCCAGTTCAAAGAACAGGAGGTGGTGTTTTGGTTCCTGTCCAAACCGGTGGTATTTTAGCTGCCCAACCAACAGGTTTTGTTCCAATTACTGCACAACCAACAGGTTTCATGCCAATTCAACAAACTGGTATAATTCAACCACAATTAACATTTGGTATAATTCCATTACAAACTGGTTCAACTACATTTGTTCCTCAACAGAGCGGTATTCAAAGAGCAGATAGCGCACCACCCGTTACTACATTTGGTCAATCATTTGTTCCATTACAGGCAGGAACTGTTACCATGCCACCAACCACTTTTGCAATTCCAGCTCAACTTACAGGTGGATTACCACCAACAACGTTCAATCAGCCAGCAATGGTCCCCGCTCAAAGAACTGGTGGTCAAATTACAGGTGGATTTGTTCCACAATCTGCATTTGGTAAACAAATAACTGGTGGCTTCATGGGAACTAACGTTGTCCCTAATACTTCCTTTGGTCAACAACCAGTGGCAGCTGGTGGACCTGTTACATCATTCAGTCAACAACTTACTGGTGGATTACCAGCTACTTCATTTGGCGCACAAGTTACTAGTGGACTTCCTCCTACATCATTTGGAGCTCAACCAGCTATGGCCCCAGCCCCAACTCCACAACCAGCCTTCGGGGCACCTGTTGGATTTGGTCAACAAGTTACTGCAAACCCTTTCCCACAACAAACAATGAATCAATTCCAATCTCAACAACCAATGAATGCATTCCCACAACAACCTCAGCAAGCAATGAATCCATTCCCACAACAGCAACAGTCATATGGCCAATTCCCGCAACAACAACAACAACCACAACAGTTTAACCAGTTCCAACAACCATTTAATCAGTTTTCTTCTCAACCAAATATGAACCAAATGGTGAACCAATTCCAAGCAACATCTATTTCTTCACCACCATCATTTGGTCAACAAGCTCCAGTTACTTCTTTTGGTCAAGCACAATTTGAAGGATTTAGTAATCAACCGTTACAATCACAACCAACAGGAACGGGATTTGGTAATGCTCCATTACAAACACAACCAACTGGTCAAAAAGCGAACATTCTGGCTGCTACCCCTGATAATCCATTCGGATTTGGATTTTAGAGTTATCTGCTGAGAGGTATTACGAACTTGTTCTTATTGTTTATCTTCTATTTTTATAAATTTATTCATTCTTCGATTATATTGTTTTTCTAATTGTTACATTTTTTTATATATAAATTGAATATAAAATTATACAACATATATATATATACGCGTCTTTGTAGTTAGAGGTCAAGTAATACTTTCCTCTATTGTGTGGTTTGTTTTGTTTAATTGTTGTTGACAATTAATACACACACAAAAAAAGAACAATCAATGAAATTGAAGGAGGTTGAAATAAAAAAAATGCTGCAAAAATCAAAAAATCAACTTTCCTCCCACTTTTCTGAACAAAGAAGACTCTTTGGACACGAAGTAGAAGAAGGAAAGGAATCCACGTATACATCAACAAGGTATAGAATGATCTATAGTAAGGATTGCTTTGTTCCATTTGTTGAGTTTATCTTGTATCGTGAGGATGTCTTAACAAAGCCTCCAATTGATGGAGATCTCTGGAAAATTAGAGCATTGTTGATTCAATATATTCAAAGTAATCCGAATCATCCAAGTATCCAATTAACCAATATTTCCGAATTTTTAACTTATCTTATTCAGTTTAACTTAATTAGTGGAAATCTGTTGAAATTCTCAAAATTATTGAATAGCAATGTTGGATTAGAAATTACTCCCCCGAAATTAATATGGATAAATGTTAGTGGTATTCTTCTTTTGAAAGCTAGACTTCAGGGGGGTTCTTTTCCTCAACTGATGATCGTAAGTGGCATTCATAGACCTCAAAAGGAACCGAAAACATTGTTTGAACTTTTAGAAACTCCAAAGCTTAAGATGGATCCAATCTATTCTCATGAGATTGTTCTTAAGACAAGCTTTACATTCAATCCAGACATGTTATTCGAACTTATCAAAAGACCAACGGCAAGAACTATATTAAGCAAAGAAAGAGCTAGATTAAAGACCAAGAAAGTTTTCTTTTATAACGTTTGTAACGATTCTAATCATAATCACATTTTAGGAACAGTGGGGCTTAATAAGAAAGAGTATTCACAATATGGAACTAACAAACAGATGATTCCCCAAGCTACAGTACACCAACGGATATCTCAAAGTAAAAACATGATATCCAATGAAATTTATAAATGTTCTCAATGTAAGATCCATTTTTTACCTATTATTAACAATCATACAGATTTAAATTTAGGAGATTGTTCTTATTTAGATACTTGCCATAAAATGAAAACTTGTCGCTATTTACATTATTATACGCTCAATCTGAATTCGTCACATTATCTGCTGGATCAGAAAGAAAACGAAGAAAACAATCAGGTTCATGAATATTCAATCGGTGATTGTTTTAGTGAATCATTTAGAGAAGTGTTACCCGCACAATGGATCAATTGTGACATTAGATATTTACCATTCAAAATTCTCGGCAAATTTGCAGCAATTATTTCTGATCCTGCTTGGGATATTCATATGTCGTTACCTTATGGAACATGTAAAGATGAAGAATTGTTATCGTTACCAATGCACGAATTGCAAGATGAAGGCATTATAATGCTTTGGGTTACTGGTAGATCCATAGAAATTGGAAGAAGAGCATTATTGAAATGGGGATATAAAATATCAGATGAAATGATCTGGGTCAAACTAAATCAACTTAAGAGAACAATCGTCACTGGAAGGACTGGCCACTGGTTGAATCATTCCAAAGAACATCTTTTAGTTGGCTTGAAAGGAAACCCAATTTGGATTAATAGAAAAATAGACATGGATGTTGTTGTTAGTGGGACAAGAGAAACTCTGAGGAAACCAGATAGATTTTATGATATAGTTGAGAGATTAGTAGGGATTCACTCTCGAAAGCTTGAGATATTTGGTAGGGATCATAATACAAGACCAGGATGGCTCACAATTGGAAATCAATTACAAGGGGTATCATTATACGAACCAGAAGTTAAAAGAAGATACGAAGCTTATACACAAAGCAACAACTTGCATTTAAATTATAATTAAACACAACATAATATTCGTTAATAGAGTTATACATAATATTCGTTAGAAAGGGTTATACGTAATATTTCTTTAATAGGTAATACACATGTAATAGGCGAAAACTAGATCCAATTCTACTCTATCCGGTATAAAAATCTACTGATCCTTTTTAGCTGCCTTCTTTGCCTTTTCTCTAGCACGGAAATCTCTAAGATTAGCACCAGCCTTATTATCCATAGTCTTTTTCAAGTCACTTCTTAATCCAAGAGCAAAAGCAACTTCAAAAGCAACAAAAAATGGAGCCAAAACTAAAGCTTGTAAAAGATTATCCAACAAAGCAGGGGCACGTCTCTCATGAACACCATGCCCATAAAATTGGGCTAACCAAGCACCAATATGAAGATAGATTGCATATTTAACAAATTCACTCAGAGTAGGTTCACTAGTTTCGGACAATGTCAAATAATAATTCTTGATGAAATGAGCATAAGTTGTCAAGATGGCTGCTGATGGGATTCCAACTTTCCAATCCAATAAGACGTAATAAATACCATAACCCCAAGCTAAAATAGAACCGAGATTCACGGATTGGTGAGCTTCACCTAAGACATTTTGAGGAATCAAGAAGGTGATTGTTGATAATAAAATAATCGGGATACACATTAAATGAATTGTCACATTAACTTTGTTGAAGTGATATGATCTGTAAAAGATCAAGTGAGATTCAAGATCAAATAATCCGGCCATTGTAAATTTCTAATTGAATTGTAATGATTAATAAGAAGAAACTGAAATGAAAGAATTAAGAAAGAAGATTAACAAGGAGCGAATTAGCGGGTTTAAATAACAATTCGCGTAAGCAAACTTAAAAATAAAACTGGGGAAAATTGGTGGAAAATTAAGATTATTTTTCCGTTTATAAACAAATAATTAATTTAACCTTTTCTTTGGGGTTGCTGTCTTCAAAAGAAGGTGGGGAGAAGAGAAAGATCCGACCCAACAAACGATTGTGGGATCAATATCACCAATACCGATCGGGCCGACCCCTGGGGTAAAGCCATTGTTTACAAAAATCCGTTTTATAATATTGACATAGAAGTATTTAACAATAATTACATGTTATAAATATAAACACGCCTATTCTCTTATCTCTAACTTTGGTCTGGTGATTACTCTACTCCTCTTTGAGCCAGCATCACTTCTCCTCTTTTCAAATTCACTTGCTTGCTTTAAGTCTCTACCGACATTATCCAAGTCTTTGACTTTATAGATTCTCACAAGCCAATTTTCGGAAGTATAAGCTTCTTCAAGAACATTCAATTCGATTGGAGAAGAGGCAGGAATTTGTTGATTTCTTACTCTATCATTCCCATCTCTACCACCAAATAATTCAGCAAATCTATAATAGGACATCTTATACATCAACGAGTTCTTCATAGCTGCAGCAGCAGATTGATCGACTTTATATTCACCTCTTTCAGTAAAGTAATCTCTTTCACGAACTTCATCTGGCCAAATACCTTCAGCAATTCTAATCATCCATAAGAATTTATTGATATCATCACCAGAATATCCCAATAAACCACCAAAGATAACCAAAACATAGTCAACATCATGCTGTCTCAAGATTTCATAAGCAACGTCTTCAGAAGAGGCCATGGCCTTACCAACTGTGGCAATATGGGTATTGTTCCAGGTATTATTATCAACTAAAGTGGTTCTGTCGGCCATTCCTCCAATTTGATAACCATAATCCCACCATGCCATAACTTTGGCATCTTCTGGGGTGTTCATTCTTAACCAATAGTAAGCTTCTCTGTAATCGTCAATGATACGTTGAGACCCATCTGGGTTTGAAGATGCCAAGACCACGGATGGAGATGAATAGGCATTAGATGTGACCCAAGTACAATGTAAAACAAAGTAAAATAAGTAGAAGGCAAATGATAACAAGACAACTAATTTAGATAATAAGGCAGCAAGTGGGAATGCCTTTTTAGTCTTTTTAGTAGTCTTCTTTTCAGCATCAACTGATTCGTCTTCTGAGAAAAGATCAACAATGTTCAAATAGACATCAAATAATTTGGATAAGGCAATAGCACCACAAACACATACAATTGGGGTTAAAGTCAACATCAATCTAACCATAACACCGGCGAAATAAGAACATAAAACACCATAAATGATAACAAATACGTGCTCGTCTCTTAATTCTTGGAAACATAAATAGATACCTGCAGGGAATAACCAAATCAACATACTTGTATCAAAGAAGAATGCTGGCCAAGCAGTAGGTTGATGTTCAGAAACGGAAGCAATAATAGGAATATGGATCTTGGCATAGTTAGTATCCCATAAAGAATAGAAACGACCTGTCCAAGGAGCGATCCAACCCATTGCAGTCAATCCAAACAATGCTCCAACACCTAAAATAAATACCAAAGTTAAGGAAACAATTAAGAATGATCTGAATTGTCTAGATGGAACTTGATTCTTAACGTAATGACCAACACCAACTAATTGTAATAATCCAAATACACCCAATGCAGCCATATGATCATTTGATCTAATTGGAAGGAAACCGACGAATGGAATTTGCATGGAGGCTAAAGTACCCAAAGCATACCAAGTTGTGTATGCAGTATATAATTTCTTATTATAACGGCCCATTAAAATCAATACGAAAACATGTAATGGAATTAAATTGGTAATGAAGACATAACCACCCCATGCCGAAACCATATAGAAATAGAAAAGGGCAGTTAAAGTTGCAAAGAACATTGAACCCAATTTCATGGCTTTAATCCAGAAATAAAAGGTTGCCATTAATAACGTAATTGCAATTGCTTCATTATCATAAGAACCAGCCACCGATCTTGAAATATACCCTGGGGCAATACCCATGAAAAATCCAGCCAATAATCCAGCATTTGAATCCTTCATTTCTTTAGTGAAGAAATATGTACAAATCGCAGTTAATCCTGAAAATGCCGGTGCTAACATAACACAAATATTTCTAATATCAACAGGTAAACATAACCATTCTCTTAAAATATGCCAAATCGCCCCAGAAGTAACCATAAGTCCAGGATATAAAGTCCCACCAGTCACTCTTCCTAAAGGATACCAAGTTCTATCATCAAACCAATTCAAGAATTCATAGAATGAATGGGAAACTAAGTATTTAGTAGCTCTGAAATTAAACCAGGGATCGAATTCATGAATAATACTTTCAAATCTAATGACTGAAAATAATCTGGATGAAATTGCAGCACCTGCAATTGAAATGAAAATGATCACTCGTAATAATGAACGAATTGAGTTGATGCCAACACCCAACACTTTCACTTGTGGTTTGTCAATTGCCATTTTGTTTTATTAGCGATTGATATTTCTGTGTATTTGCAAATCAATTCCAATTGATGATGAATTGTTTGGGTTGTCAAAGTTGTCAAAGATCTTTAACAGCGTGTTTTCAAAAATTCACTATTAACAGGGAAAAAAAACGGAGTTGGACAATATGCAGGAGAATTTATCATTGCGCTACCAATGTTAGATTTTGACATAAAAGGTACGAAACTTCCTCATATTTAAGTGGATCTGTTTCTTAGTCGGTCTTGTATTATTGTCTCAAATTAATTTGTATACACTATATAAAAGCATAAACGACTTTCCAAAATATAAATATAAAACAGGCAAATCTAAATAAAATTTTGTTATACACTTAAACGCAAAAAATACAAACTTAACTTATTTCATAAAATAAATAATCTTATTATTAAATTTTTATTAATCTAGAACGAACTCCAACTCCAATTAGCAGGCACGCTTCCTACAAGGTGTTGTTCATTTCTACTACCACCATTGGAATTATTATTATTATTATTAGATGGTCCACTGACTGGTGGGGTATCATTATAGTTATTATTAATGACCGCAGCCATCGCCTCATTGGTACTATTATTATTATTGATCTGATCTCTGTATTCTGGAGAAGTCATCAAAGGCGGTTCTTTGGGGATATGTTTCGATATCATATAATTAGGTCCAACAGCATTTATCTCTTGATTCTTTACTTCTTGTGCAGTCATTGGTTTGTGATAGACATGTTGACTTACATTCACCCCAAATTCCTTCTTGATAAATTCATTATATTCTTCAATACAATTATCACAAACCTTGGATAAAGTACCTCTACCACCAGTGGTAAATTGAGCTAAATGATTGATATAAAGGAAATGGGAAGTATGTTCTTTACAAAAAATCCCACCACATTTTCGACAATGATGTCTTCTTTCAAAAAAATTAAATACTTTGGGACAAGCAGGCATACTGCATTTTAAAACGGTTTCATCTTTAACCCAATGTCTTCTAGTTGGGGGTGCTCTCAATAGTTGATCATGACTCCTATTGGTTCCGGAAGAAAAGAATTTCGTCAACGAATTAGGAGTACTGGCATTTACCGTCAATGAATGACCAGATTCTATCGAAGCTTGTGAATCTATAGATTTAATTGATGCCTTGGAGGATGTAGCTTCACCTTGTTTAAACATCTGTAATTGTTGTTCATATGATAATTCAGGTTTAGGCGAGGTCGTAGATGTTGAAGAATATGGTTGGATATCTGGAGAATGGGTATATGATCGCACACCAGCAGCATGGACCAGTCCATTTTGAGTTCTTCTTAACACACATGGGACATACATTGGACTTCTTAACCCTTTGATTTGTTGTAATTGTCTGGTTACTCTTGGATGATTAAGTTGATATTGAGGTTGTGATGGTTGTTGGGCAGAGTGGGTGGGTGAAGCAGGGAGAGTTTGCGAAATGCCCAACTGAAGGGAAGGATTCAGTGGAATCCTTTTCGCATGCATATTTTGTGGGGGGATTACTGCTGCTGGGATGCGCCCGCCACCACCTTGTTGAGACTGCTGACCAGCAGGATGTGATTCTGCATTTTGAATTTGGATGTTGTGTTGTTGAAGTGCATTCTGGATTTGTTGGGCATGCGACATCTGTTGCTGTTGTTGTTGCTGTTGTTGGTTTTGGTATTGTTGTTGGTTGTGAGGGAGAGATTGAAATTTTTCCAGTCCATTTTGTGGGGAATTTTCAAGGGTGGTGGACGACGATTCTTGTGTGGCTATTTTTCCCTCCGGTAATTTTGGTAATGATGACTTGTTATTCATGATAGAATGATAAGTATGATGATTATGTGTAGTATTTGGAGAAGTCTTTAATTCAGATGTTGGACTAGTGTGGGGTTTTGGTTGTCTAGTTAAACTAGCAAATGAAGATAAATCGACTTCAGCTGGTCTGTAAGGTTCAGTCATTTTTGATTGATCTTCTTGTTGTCCTAAGGTTTGATGATCGTCTTGTTTTAAAGTTGTTAAAGGGGTTATATCAGAATTTATAATTCTTCTTGGTGATAAACTTAATTTTTTTAATGCCTTTAAAGTTAAATTTTGTTGTTGAATTAAAGGATCATCATCCTCCTTATTCTTATTGTTCTTATTATTGTGCGAAGTAATGGCGGAGGAGGAGTTCGAAGAGGTCGTGTCAAAGGCAGTATTTTTTTCGGCATCCGATTTCGCACTATTGTTATTGTTATTTAATTTGTCACTTGATGATGGCTTACTTAAAGGTTTATCATCAAATGGTAATTGTTGACCAATTTGAACTTCATCTTCTTGTTGTTTTAAATTAGTAAAACTTGATAACACTGGAGCTTGAATGAAGGATTGAAAATTCTTGGAATTATTTACTGTTGAATTACTGCGAATTAATGATGGATTATTAACAATGTTAGTAGTATTATTTGCTGACGCTAGCACTTGTTGTTTTAATGAAATCAACGATGCAGTTGAAAGTACAGATTGGAATGATTGTGCACGACTCTTACTTATATCTTTCTTGGTAAATGATAATTCTGTAGAAGATTCTAATTTAATTGCTTCATCGCCTGATGATGAATCTTGATCAACGGTATTATCGGAATGACGTTCATGATGTCTTCTAGGGTTGTCATCAAGATGATGATGTACATGTTGCTGTTGTGGAGATTGGCGGATGTGGTCTTGCTGGGTGTTATCATTTGCAATTGTAGTTGATGTTTCATTGTTGTCTTGGTAATTTAAAGATATTTGTTTGCTGGTTGTATTTGTTGTTGCTGACATCATTTGGTGTTGTGGTTGTGGTTGCGATGAACGATGATGGGCTGTTGTATGAGTCAACGTTTCTATCATACTATGTGTCTGAGTTTGTTGTGGTTGCTGCCGTTGATGATGATTATCTTGGCTATTTGCCATGTGATGATGATGACTAATTTTGATTTTATAAAAAAGATACAAAAGGTAGAAAGAAAAAAAAGATATAAACTCTTTATTATTATTCTATGTAGTTATTCGTTTCCGTTTAAAGAATTATTTTTTAAGTTATTTTTTTCTTCTTTTAAGCTTTGTTCTTCAATTTCTTTTTTTTTTTTTTATTATCATGTGTCAGTGTTTGTTTGATTTTATTCAAACCCATCAATACACACACACACACACATTCCTGAATGTATAATATGATAACGAACTTAAGAGTATTGTAAGGATTAAGGAGTATTATACAATGGTTATAAATTGAATGGGTAAAAGGGATTAAACTTTATTTTGTGTATGAGATTTCATATTCCATGTACTGTACACTAAAACTATTACGAACTTTAATAATCTAACGGTAGTGTGAAGATAATCAAAAATAAAATATTTTTTGGGGGAGTGCAAAAAATCAACGTGTGTGTCGCAAGATAAGAATCACGTGAGGTTTAACGCGACACATATCACCTGACTTGTGAGTGCGTAATTTAAAATATTCTAATTGGCTGAAATTATTTTCACTCCCTTATTTCCCACCCTCCTTTCTCCGGGGTGTGATTTTTTTTTTTCTTCCTTCTTCACTTGCTTGAACAAAAACACATCAAGTTTTATATTTTATTACTCAAGCAACCCTTTCTTTTAATCAGTCAGTTCTGCTTTACCCCCCATATATATATAACATCTAACAACCATGATTGCTCGTTTAGGATTATTAAAGAAGCCAACTTTAAACACCATCTACAATGCATCTAAATTACAATCATCAAGATTAGCTTTAATTAGATCTATTTCTACCATTAAAGCTTCAAGTACTCAAGAACAAGATATCTTAGTAGCACAACGTAAGAACAGACCAAGTTCTCCACATTTAACCATCTATGAACCACAATTAACTTGGATCATGTCTTCATTCCATAGAATTACTGGTGTTGCCATGGCCGGTGCCTTTTATGGTTTAACTTGTGCTTATGCTGCCACTTCCATTTTAAACATCCCATTTGATTCCGGAATGATTGTTGGTGCTTTTGCTTCTTTACCAGTTATTGTTAAATTAGGTTTCAAGGCTGCTTGTGCTTATCCATTTGTTTATCATGTTGCTAATGGTATTAGACATTTAATTTGGGATTTCGGTAGAGAATTGACTCTTAAAGGTGTTTACAGAACTGGTTACGCTGTTTTGGCTGCCACTGCTGCCATTGGTTCATATTTTGCCTTCTTATGGTAAATCTGTTTGAGAGATGACAGAGTGAGTGAGTGAGAGTGAGAGAGAAGAATGTATAGTATATATTTCCAATGTTTATTTATCATTATGTTTTGAGAAGCATAACAATTCCTTTATTTATTTATTTCTAATGAGGTACGATTAGTCATACCTATTATAATCAAAAAGTGCTAACCGAATTAATATTACAATTGTAGAAGTCTGGCATGCTGAGTATGTCCAATGTAAATACATGATTTCTGGCAATTTCCGTTAATTTGCGGAACTGAAGAAAAAGTTTTTTGTTGCACCCCGGAAAAGTTCGCTAATTGGCTACAATTGCAAAATATTTAATTAAATAAATAAATCCCGTTTATCATTATTTTTATATAAACATAAAAAAGTTCTATATACAAGTCTTTTCTAATATTTCATAGTTTGTTATTTGTTCATATCCTGTTTGTTTTTATACATGTAAAAAAAGTCAAAACCAAAACTACCCAAAAATATACCCAATATACAACAACATTTCTCTCTCTCTTTCTCTCTCTCTTCCCCATCAATCTCTCAAACTACTAAGATCCAATTCTGCATCAAAACACAAACATGGAGTATCATTCGTACAAAATCCACAATTGAACTTCTGCTTCTTCTTAAGTATATGATCCCGAATCGAAGTCTTCACACCCAGTTCCTGTTCCTGCTGTTGCTGCTGCTGTTGTTGCCCCTGTTGCTGTTGAACCGGCGGTTGTGGCAGCAGTTCAGAATGTATCTCAACCTTTCCCAAAACATCCTCTTCCATCTTCGCAAAACCATCATCTTGCATATTTACATCCCCTTCATCATCTTTCAATATTAATCGATTCAAGAAATCATGAGTATCAGCCATAAAAAAATCCAAATCAGTGTTTACAGTATTCACCCCACCACCAGCACCAATATCGCCATCCTCATTGCTATTCATAATTGTACCATTTGTCAACATCGACCCCGGAGAACTTTCAATAGTGGCAGTTTGTAATTCTTCCACGATTATATCATCATGGAGATTGTCATGATGTTGATCACTCATGAATAAATTAGCCGCCTTCATGGGTCGTAATAAATCAGGAGTGAATTGTCGTTCTGGTAATGTCGTGCGTGAGAAGATCGAAGATGAAGGGCCAGCCGGTGGTGAACCCGATGTTGTTTCCTTGGTGTCGATAGGCGATTTGGTTGTGGATGTCGACGCTGATGTTGAAGTTGTTCCCTTGGAACATTTCTTCTTTTTGTTGGTGCCGGGAATTGTACCGGGATTGGCAATTCCCAAAAAACTGGATTTCTGTTTTTGCACTTCTTGTTTCTTCATCGCTTTGAATTTATTCCTAACATCGACATAATGATTGATTTGACTATTTAATACCTCATCACGATTCTGTTGTTGTTTCTGATGCAGTTTTTTGGCTGATTGGATAATATTGGACGATTTTGTAAGATAGTTCAAGAACTTATTCAAATCATTCAAATTATTAATTGACTCCAATTGATCGTATTTAGCCGCAGCCGGTGGTGATGCACTACTACTACTACTGGCAGTTGTTGGCGAAGAAGATTTCCTAGGAATAGGAACACTAGCAGTGTTGTTATGATTGTTATTATTGTTACTCAATGCATCAAATGTAATAACCCCATTCTGAACAAAACTTAATTCCTTAATTTGATCAGTTATAACTTCAATATAATTTCGGATCAATTCTTGTTCTTTAAGTTTTGCCAAATATGTCATTTTCATATCATTTAATTGTGCACTTGGATCAATTGGTTTTGGAATTGGTGGAAGTGGAAGTGGAAGTTTCTGATTTTGTTGATTTTGAGAATTCGATCCTGAGGCCAGTTGTGATGGTGCTATTGTAGTTAAAGTTGCGTCTGCAGGTATTGCAACTGGTAAGTTCAGTATATCCATAGAATCCGATGGTTCTTGTTTAACAACTACAGCTTTAGGAGAAGTGATTGTAGAAGTAGCAGGAGAGTTGGTTGTTGCCATGCTCATACTTCTTGGAAGTGCTGGTAATGGTGATACACTACTCAGTGAAATATTGGCGGAAATAGGAGTATTGAACACCGTAGTATTGTTTTTGGTTGGGGATGTTGTTGTAGTTGTCATAGTTGTAGGTGAATTGACAATTGTGGTAGATGTAGAAGCAGATGTCGATGTCACGTTTGAAATTGCTGGCAATCCTCCTTTCACTTGATGTTGTTGCAGTATTTGTTCAAGTGCTTTAATATTACTTACTGCTTCCTGTTTAACAACCATGGCCTTAGTTGACGTTGTAGGAGCAACAATAGTCGACAGCCCCGTACTTCCAGCTTTCAACTGAGCTTGTTGAAGTATATTTGATGTAACTTGCAGTTGCTGCTGTTGTGCAGCTGGAATACTCCCTACAGTTTTCTGTTCTCCTGACTGTTGTTGTAGTTGCTGCTGTTGCAATTGTAGTTGTTGCTGTTGTTGTTGTTCAAGATCCTTCTTTTTTGTTCTTTTCCTTGGACTCTTTGCCGGTTTTGCTTTCTCCTCCCCACCTTCTGCATTAGTAGGTTTCCTACCTGGTCTTGGTCTAGGTGGCAACACCCATCTCTTTGACGTATTTATATTTAAGGAAGACTTTGGATTCAAAGATGCTGCAAATGTCAGTCGAATTTGAAATGGAGTTTTCCCCAGTGGCAATGGACAAAAACTAGTGGGTTTGGGTAGGACAGCTACTGGTTTTGGAGCAATTGCGGGTTGAATTTTAGCATATTTGGGCGCTATATGTTGAGGTGTAGCACGAGGTTGAGCTGGATGAGTATGTGGTGCATGAACTAGATGTTGTGAATGTTGTTGGTTGGCATGGGTAGGATGAGGATGTACCTGCAGATGTGGATTCATCTGTTGTTGCTGTGATCGTGCGGTTGTTTGTGGTAATGTGGTCGGTATTGAAGGACGGGGAGTAGGTCTTGGTCCTCCTATTGCGTTTGGAAGTGGTTGTGATTTTGTAGGCAAGAAGTTGGATAATTTTGAGTCATCATTTTTCTTATGTATGGTGGAAGTTTGATTTGTATTTAATGTAGACATACTATGGGTGGTACTTAATGGAGATGGATTTGATGTCTTTATCTGCACATTCGCTTGAATCGGTGATGTTGTGGGTGATTTTACAGGTGATGATTGTGAATGTGACAATAGATTTGACTCTGTTGGTTCTTTCTTTATCGGTTTCACTGTAGAGTCCATTATATATTCTTTTCTATGTAAAATCAATCTTCAACTTTTCTTAAAATACTGAATTTCTGTATTATTACTAATAATCCTAATATGTGTGGTTGATCATCAAATCGTTCAAATGAAATCTCCTCTGTAAGTTCTGTTGTATTGATAAGGGTTCTGGTTTTAATATGAATTGGATAGAAAAGTGATAGGGTACTATTCCACTTTTCTTTTGGTGGGTTATTGATATGTTAAATTTATTGGACGTTTTCAATCTGCTAATTAATGTCCGGCAAAACGTTTTCGGGGGATGTGTCGATGGGATTCCGATAATCTTTCTTTCCTTTTGTTAAAATATAAATATTTAAATCCTACTGGTGTAAAGTAAATGTCTGTTGATATAGACACTTGTATATGTATTTGTTTGTATATAGAATGTATTCTGGGTTGCTGCTATCTGCTAGTGTAAATGTTTTCTTATTGCTCTCTCCTAAGGGATAAAGAACGTTTAAAGATTTTGACATTTTTTTTGAGTTGAAAAACTTTTTTTTTTTTGCGCTCGGAATTTTTTCGTTAAAAATCGGAAACTCTCTTTAAAACTTTTGTTTATTTATTATATAACCAGAGTTACAAGATAAAACATAGACAATTATGGATATTCAAAAGACTCCATTAAAGATAAAGACTCCGAATAGATCATCTAATGAAAGTGTCAATACTTCAAATGCTGCTGCTACTAGAACTCAACGTCAATTAAGTCATTTGAATTCTCAAGTTGCTCAATTACATGCTAATATATGTGATTTTAATGAACAAATTGCGATTACAACAAGACAATATCAAGATATTCAAACATTGGGTAAAATACATGGAAGTTTATTTATGGCTTCTCGTACTGTTTTTGAAAATGATAATTTCGACGCTGATGGNAAATACATGGAAGTTTATTTATGGCTTCTCGTACTGTTTTTGAAAATGATAATTTTGATGCTGATGGAGATCAACAAGAGGTTTCAAATTGATTTGACCTCAATGGGCTTTGCAATCAAAACATCAAGTCCAGAGTAAACACACTTTCGCTAGTTCAAAGTCGAAGAAATATTTGCTGCTACATGCGTCGATCTCTAACTGAACTAAGCTGAGCGTCAGAGTAATTATTCTAACAAAGCTAATTTCTAGTGTTTCCGAAAATAGACATCAGTTGGGTAACTTCGGTGATATACTACATACAGTTTCTTTGTCATCAAAATGGATTTGTAATTTAGTTATAAATGGTTTTATAACTCTACTATGTACAATGAATATATATTTGTCTAAAAAACAAAAACGAACTCAATTAATTAGCTTCTTGATTCTTCTTAGCTGCTTCTCTTTCCAATTGTAATTCTTTTAACTTCTTTTCTTTATAATAATTATATAAATCTCTCTTTTGTTTCTTTTCTTCAACCAATAAATCTCGTTCAATATCTAAATATTTTTGTTTTTGATATTTAGCAACACACGCTAAACTCTTTTCATTTATAGCTTTACATTTCTCCATACCTTCTATTGGATTCTTATAACTATTTGAACATTCAACATAAGCTTTAATTAAATCATCACATTTAGCAAATGCTTTTCTTCTCCATCTGGCAAATATAACTTTTTCTTCCTTGGGAGAAATGATCCATGGTGGCATATTTGGATCAGTTGGTAATTCAACATCTTCAAATTCTTTCTTTTTTGGGTAATAACTCATAGTTTCTTATACTGGTGTCTGTTCTACAGTGTCTCGTACCTGATTACAATTATAGTGGAATGATTTTTTTTAACCCTGATTTTCATTTTTCTGGTGGGTTAGTAATACATCACGGGTTTTGATTTTTCATTTTGGAAATTCTATTTCAAAAAACATAAACAAACCACCAGATCTTATAATATAACATCAAACTGCTGTACAATATGACAACTCATCTAGAAGAGATAGACACTGCTCTTAGAAACGAACAAGGACTTAGATTCCTCGACGAATTCGTCGTCCAAATTTTACTTTACGAATTTTGTTTACTGTGCTTCTAAGTTTTATTTGTTTGACTTTAGTTATCATTACGTGATCAAATCTTAGAAATGAATAATAAATTATCCAATTTATATAAAATAGATGATGACAAATATTCTCGAATCAAAAATGCATCCCAACTCCCACAATATCAAGATATTTCCATAAACCGAAATGATAACATCTTCAATATCCTAGAACAAAGATCATTATTATTGGATAAATTGCATGAAGGTATAGTTCGACAATTAGTCAGACTAAACTCCAAATCAAGTTCAATCAAAGAGAAAGAAGTAGAGTTAAATCGAACCTTACTGGAAATCACAAAACGAATTGAAGAATTCCCCGATGATGATCGAAATAGCAATAATCGAGATTTTTTAAATCAAGATTCAATTCTACTTCAACTTAAATTATATAAAGCTCTCGGGGTCTCAATTAGTCTGGAAACTAAGGAATATGTGGAATCGGGTATACGGAAACAGAAAGAAGAAGTGAGGATAAGTGTTATGAATCCGGGCGATAGTAAACCTAGTGTATTGGTCGTACTAGGTAATATATCACTAATAATATAGAGCTTAATATAAACCCTATTTAACCTTGATAATCCCGATGAGAAGCTTCCCCTTATCAAGACGAATCAACAAGCTGGTAATGTCCAGGAAGGTAAAGATAGCTCCCAGGAATTTGAACAGTTGCAGAGTGAACCATTTGAGGAACCTCCCGTGGTTACTCCCCAAAACCCACCGGATGCCCTCTTGGGATATACGACTGAAGACGATCAAGGATTTGGCAAAGACAGTCAAGAAGAGGAGCAGCCACAAATGGATCTCACTCAAGATGTAAGGAATATCGAGAGTGAGGGAAATGGGGAAGAAGTTAAAGTGACTAATACGGCAGATGAGGAGACTAATTTGCAAGATAATAGCGAAGTTGAAAAGGAAGTAGATGTAGACATAATCGAGGAAGATCAAGACGTAGGCGTCATAGAGGTTCTAGTTCTGCACCTGTATTATCGAGTTCTCGTTCTGCACCTGTATTATCTCGTAGATCAAGATGTAGATGCGGAGGAAGAGGAAGATGCCGATGCTGACATGTCTATGGAATGAGAAACAACTATGTATTACTAGAATCCCCGGTAATTTCCATACAACAATTGTATAACTATGTATTAATAAATCAATTAATTCATTCGAATTAACTCGTATCATTCCATTCCCTATAACATTGATAGAATAAATGCTTCTGTATAAACTATGTACAATTCCCTCCGAAATATGATATATATATATGCTTCCCATATAACCGAAATCCAATATAACCACTTTAGAAATACTTTGGATTCTCTCTGAATGACAATTTGGTCCATTTTGGAATAAAATGAAGTTTTCTTCTATATCCCTTCTCTTTCTTACTAAAAGTGGTATATTTATCTCTTGCACTCATTTCATTCTCCTTTGGCATCTCAAATTTTAAATAATCAATTAATTTAATCCCTACTTTATTACCTTCAGCTTTGCCACTAGTATGAATAAGTCCTTGATAAATTGCTTCAATATTACTATCAACTTGTTTCATACGGACTCTTAATCCATCTTTTTGGTCTCGGGATAATCTGGGTGCTTTTTTCGTCTCTATAGGAGGGACAGACCAATTACTTCGAAACTTCCGTGGCTTGTATAACCTAGTTGTGAGGTATATATATCGGACTCTTAGGTTGGTTCTATGAGAACGAATGTGTTTTGATACCTGGTTAATTGAAAATTTTTTCTGTGGAAATAAAATCAAATGAAACGACATGCGACATTTTCAAAATGTCGTAAGCGTTTGACCAAAGGTTTTTTTTGCAACCAAATGAGTTGAGTTACTTAACAGGTGAATCATGAGGTACCTTATCACGGTATTATAGCTACAAGATAACTCTATAGCTACTGGTTATTTTATGTAGAAATAAAGAGAATGTTTTTAATATATTTTATCAAGGTAATCGTTTTAAGCGCAACGTGGAATCAAGATATTCCCCCCAAGCGTATCTCGTCAACCGGTGCTTAAGTCTGCTCCCAATAAAAAAATCTGACAACATTCTTCTATGAATACAATTTCTTATCTCCTAAAGAATATCCCAAGAAATTTCAATTCTTGGTCCTGTCTAGTTTCTTCTATTCAGGTGATAAGATATCTTTTGTTTCGAATTGAAGCGTCTTGTTTAAGGGGGATCCGGATTTTAGCCATCTTGATATCAGCCTTGTTTTTTTCAACAATAGAGTTCTAAAACCCATCGTGCGGTGTCCCCCACAAGATTCTTCTTAGAAACAGCGCCTAGTTGATGGATTGCTTGGCAAGTCTCCCGAAGCATGTTTTCTCCGATTTCTGAGAGGTTTGGTTGGAATAGAACCTAGTGTCTGTCAATTCATTCTAGAGATGTTGTATAGCAAGAATGTAGATAGGGAGATTGTTGGGGGCAATACGCTACCTTTTATGAAAATACCCTAGTGGAACACACTTCTGATTATTCATTCTCACTAGTATATATCTTTGAATCAGTTAGAAAAATCGTCATCCCTCTATTTGATTGTTCCCGGGGCAATGACTAAGACAATTTCATATTCTTGCTTTCCTCTCCTAATCTTTCAATGAGCCGGGTTATTGTCGTCATCTCGATTAATTCTAAATTCCTTCAATCATTCGATATTTTTTTTCCAATAGTGGAAACAGATACCCACTCCCACCGTGTTGCGCGTTTTACCCATTCCACGTAAAACTCCAAAGTTGCAAACCTCCCAAATCAGAAAGGGTGATGACTCCCTAGTCCAAGACTCTAAGAAGCACTCAACGTGGGGAAGAAATTGAAAGAGAGAGAGAGAGAGAGAGATCAGATCATCGTGAGGAAGAGCATGTACATTTGATGTGTTGGTGTACATTGAATATTGTGATTCCTACTGCCTTTACTAAAAACGACGAGAGGCATGAAGTAAATTCCGGGATTTTACGTGAAATGAGGAGTTTAAAATACATACAGCTGTAGTTGCAATCTCTCTCCAGTTTAGGCAGGTGTGATAATGATTAATGAGTCAACTAACCAATGGAGAAGTCGAATACAACAAACTATGACAATAGGTAAGTGATCTCAACCCCAACATTCTTGCTCGAGGGTCTTAATTTCAAACAATGGGTCTCTTGATCACTTTTCGGGAACTACAGTACTATGCAACTTTGACATTGTTTCAATATTTGATTGAATTCTTAGACAATTAATTCATCGAGCACTGGCCTAATTCTGTTTATATTCTGTGCTTGTAAACAGTCTATGCATTGATCATTGTTTAAATCAAATCTTGTTTTAGAATCGATCGTTTTCTTCAATCAACCCCTCCTCTCTCTCCTATTTGTAAGAACGACATTCGATGGGACATACCATGAATGAGAAAAAGCCCGCACCATCACTTGATGATATCACTCCACTATTGAGGAGGTAGGGTGCATATAGTTTTGTACAAGAAAAAAAAACTTCAATGGAAAAACTTTCATATAGGACAAACGGAAAGTATTTTGGGTTTGGGGGGCTAGAAGGGTTTCACAACCCAGCAGAAAGGATTAGCCCACCAAAAACACCCCTCGTCAAAAATTTTCTCTCTTTTCTTTTTTTGCATTTTTAGAATTTTCCATAATTCCGTGTTACATTCTTTTTTTGATATATTGAAAAAAATTAAAACTGGTGATTTGTACATGTAATATAGCCCACTTGATTGAAAAATATTAGTGATATTCATGTAATAGGGGTCTTTTCATTTTATTTTATTATTGTACGGTACATTTTTTTTTTGATTTGAAAAGTAATTAGAAGGCTTAGAATGTTTAAAGAAATTGGTAGTTGGTTGACGAATAAGTGTTCAACAAAGAGTGTATCTTCTTATGACAAAGCTTAAATGTTGCAATAAAAACTTATTAAGACATTTTTCTTAATGAAAAAGCTTATTGGGTTAGCGGGGGGACGAGAGAAGTAAGTGAATACGATAGAAGAATGTATGTTTGTACCTGAAAACGAGCAAATTAATGATGATAAGAATTGATGAGTATTTTTTTTCTTGAATCCGTCAACCAACCAAGAAAACAACTACATAAAGAAACACCTCTCTAGAAACATAAATGGGTATGACGTATGTAGACTACTGTAAACTTTGAACTACATAGAGATACTCAGAGTATGTGTACATAGATGTTGCAATTTCTCTTTTTAAGGTTTATAAATAAATTTGTATTAGATAAATAAATTTATATATATAAGATATGTAACTTTATAAACAATTGATGTTAGCCAAATCCAACTCCCCTTAAAAAAACTAACCTTTCCCAAAAAACCATTAAATATTCATTAAAAAATCGTAAAAAAACTATAGTATAGTTGATGTTGTAGTAGTTGATTGCTACAACGCAGTTAACCATTTACGATAATTATGGGAAGTTGAATTAACTAAATCAGTAGCATTAGAATAATTAACATTTGAATTAACACTATAATTCAAATCAAAATAATCCAATTCTCGTGTACTTTCTTCTTCTTGTATTATTCCTGTATTAGTACTAAGAATTAATGGAGATTGACATAATTCTGAATGTAAATATTGATGATGATAAAGGGCTGGAGTTAATAATGGAGAAACCAATTCCTGATTGTTATTGGTGGTATTTGAATAAGTCGGACTGTTGCAAGAAATTGGAGTCAGTGATTGTTGATATTCTATTGATTTACATTCTTCTGAACAATAAACTGAATTTTGAGTACATAACTTATCACAGTTTATACAATAATTATTAAAGATGTCTGACATTGTGATTGTGTATGTGTGTAATGCTAAAAGGGTATTTGTATATGCTAAAAAGTAGTGTTTCTATGCTAATGAAATTTCTGTAAAAGAACTTTTGTTGCTCAATTATATATGCTGTAAGTGTGGATACTAAAGGATTGTACAGTAAAAGTAGGATAAATCCTAGTGTTTGTTTCTTAATGAAAGTATTGATAATTTAATAAATTTATAAATTTTCAGAAATGAAAAGTAAAAGAAGTAAAAGAGAAAAACGTTTATGTATTTATAATAATCCTAGTAACTGTGAAAAAGAGGTGTTTTATTATTTTTTAATGAGTAACTTAATTTAATAATTAAATTAAAACTTTAAAAAAATGAATCATTAAAAAATATTTTTTGTTACACACACTTTATTACAAAAGCACCACACTTCTTTACCACACAAAAAAACGCAAAAAAAGAAATCCTGATTTTAAACAGGTGTTTTTATTTTCAGTGAAAAATCGGAGATTTTATTTTCTTGAACAATTACACGTGCTTTGAAGAATTTTCTTCTAGTTTCCATAGTGGTCTTTTTTTGACATGGCCACCCACCACCACCACCACAATAAACAACCACAGCAACCATCCACACACACACTCTCTCTCTCTCCCTATGTAATCCACAGTTGCAAAAAACAAATGTATATTTATAGATTTTTCTATGAGCTTTTTACTAACTAGCTGTAAACTCATTTTACGTACATACAGTTTAAGATTGCTACTGTAAATCTTATTAACATTTTACTTTTTTTTTAGCAATCTTTGTTTTCGTTTGTTTTTAGAAAATTGCCTTTTTTTACTCTAAGGGAAAACTATTACCGAAACTACAATTTTAAAACGTTAATTATCAATCAAATCTAGACACTCCACTCCTAAACCAAATCGAAACTTAGTTTCTCGGGAAGAAGCCGAAGGTATCCATGGTCATATGATCACCATATAATATTTCTTGTGTAACGTGTTAGCAATTATATATATTTCCCCCATCTTTTGAAACATTTCTTTTGCATAAGTTTTCTGGGCTCCGCATTAATTACGGAGGGGCGATTAAGAGAGGAGTAGAGAGACATTTTTTTATTTCCCTCGGGTCTAAGAAAAAAAAAATCTGGTTTAAATTTTAATTTCTGGTACCGGCATTGCCTCCCCGTCTGCTGCCTCATTTTTTTTCTTGCATTTTCCAGAAAACTTTGAAATCCGAATGACAACTGAATGGTAATCACTCTGGGCGGTGTCAATGTGTAACACTGTTGGGGTTTTAAATCACTACCCTTAAGAATTTAAGTTATTGCAATGTTACATGGTGATTTTTTTTTATGTACGGGATTTCGAAACTAGTACCAGAACTCCGTTTCAGGATAAATCGAGACCGGTCCCCACGCCGCGCGCAAATTATGGATCTATTTTTGTTTTAGAAAACAACAACGTTTACTTTTATCGGTACAACGGGGTCGATGCCGATATACCACATTTTACATCTTATATTGTATTAACTTCTGTTGAAGTCATGGGTCTTCCGTATGGAGCGATTAAAGGGGTCTGTTTATTATGACATCGTTTCGTGGGCTGGGCTGCGCTGTGGAACGTGGCCCGTACGAAAAAAAAAATTATGAAATTTCATAGCCGATTTGTCACGACACTAAGCTATTTTTGGGCCCACAGGGCCCAAAATAAACAGAAAACGTTTTCTACTGAAATTCCTATTAAAACCGAGAAAACGTTTCTATTATTTCTTTTTGAAATTCCCTAGTTGATTCTATGATTGCTTCCTAATTCTTCCTATAAAGAATGGGCTTATATTACTAAAACCTCGACCCTTCTTCTCGGTTTAACATATTTTAGAAAAACGTTGGGTGTTTTAGTATATGTTGCAAACTTTTTGGTCTCGAAGCCGGAGTTGGCTATTTTGTGGTTGCGAAAAAAAAAAATTATGGTCATCGTTTATGATTTTGTACTTTTAATTATAAATTGATGCTAACCCTCGTGTGACACGAGGTTATAGTAGTTATGCTCAAAGACGTACAATATCAATTTTGTCCTTTTAATATCCATCGCTAAACTGTCGTATGACGATGAGTTGTACTACTATAGAAATATCTCGAAGGTCATCGAAAAAGCTCTTGTGATATATTAGTTTACCACAGTTGTCACAAAATACATGAAAAAGGCATCACAGTTGAGCCAAATCACGGCGCTAAGATATCAGATCTGCCTGTGGTTGCGTCGAAGTACATAGTTTGGTATCCTTGTTGCATAATTTATTCTTGAGAGACAGGTTGAGATGAGCTTCTATTCTATTTTTCTAGGTTTCATCTTACATTTGCATACATTGAGCAGCGAAAAAAAAAAAAAATTCTTAGAAATACGACAGGTTCAACGGGATCTAAAAAAAATTAGTAATCTTGCACGTTTCCGGACTTACTTGAGAAACTACACCCTACACACAGTTTTACAATGGGATACACGAAAGTGGTTCGAGTGGAACTCTGGGGTTTGACGTGTTTGGAGTCCTCGGGTACCTAATTAATTTCATATGAAATAGTAATAGGTAGTAGCAATTATTGCAAATTGTTCATGTTATAAAAATCATCAGATTTTAAAACTAGTCTTTGTTTTAAAATTTTTAGCGAGAAAAAAAGAACGAAAAAATGACACCACCACCAGATTTTCTTAGTGCATTTTTTCTTTTCAATTCCATATTTCGGAATTGTTGGAACTAACTTTGCACAACTCCGATATTAGGAATAGAATGATAACTTGGAAACAACCTATCATCTCGATTTCTTCTTTTCGAGTTTCCAAAAAGTTTCATATGCATCTGCTGATAGATAATTAATCTCTCTATCACCGAAATATGTAGATATAAGGATACAATGTAATATATTATTAATAGATTGGTAGATAAGACTAACCTATTTTAGGAATGAGTAATTCCCATAAAAGATAAAACAGAAAAAAATTTTCACACCACTCATAAATACCCCTCTTAACAGGATAAATTTTAATTTTTTGAAATATTTTTTTGCCGTCAAAAAAATTTTTTTTTTTTTCTTTAAAATGAAAAATAGAAAGAATGAAAAAAAATCTTCGGTGAAAAAAAAAAATAAACTTATTAGTGATCTTTAAAGATAATTAATAATCAGCTAATCAGCTAACTAAATAAAAACTTTGATTAGTCATTAAGGCGTGATATCCCCCAATTTAAAGTCATTATTCATGGTTTACAGTTGAGTCATGGTCGTATTACTTGACTAATTTGACCATTTGGTCAAACGTCCCCCCCTCCCCCCTCCCCCTTCCCATCCCACATGGTTATTCTCTTTGTGTATCGCTTAATCAACAAGTGGAGACAATAATTAATTATTGTTCTTTTTATTATTTATTAACTTCTTCTCCGTACTTTAATAATAATAATAAAACCGGACCGTCTTTCTTTCTTGAGTTGCTACTAAGAACATAAAGGACTTGAATTCTTTTGTTCTTTTTCAGGGGGGGAGCTTGTTATTCATGGGTAGGGGCTCAATGAAAGGGTCATATTATTAATTTGGAGGTTGTACTCTCTTCAAGGGGATATGATTAGTCTAGAGTGGATGTGTACACCCTTTAACTTCTTCTACTTCGTCTTCGTGTGTGTGTAGTAATTTTAATTTATTATTTAAAATAAATTGCTGCAAAAAAAGTTAGTTAGATGGGAGTGGGGAAGGTGGGTGAATTTTAAATTTAGAGTTGCAATTTTTTCCTTCTCAAAGTTTATTATAAAAAATACGATGGGGTTGTTCTTTATTGGGTAATGGGCGGTTAATAATTTTTGAGTTTTAAGTCTCCCCCAAATATTGTCAAGAGCTATATGCAGGGCTTTTTATCAATTTGCGTTTATGATGAGAAGAAAAAAAAATTTTTTGTTCTGTTTGTGTGGAGTAAATAATTAAGCTTAAATTAATTACCATACACATTTATCATAAAATGTGGGACAATAAAAATTAAAGTTATTTTATCATCTTCTTCTGTTATGTTGTGAAGAAGACAATGTGGGACAAAGGGTTCACAAAACGCATTTTTAACTTCGGCATTTTTTTATTGGACTCCGTTAACGGGATAACCTTTAAAGTTTCGAGGGAGAAAGTTTATCTTATTCTTGAACCAACAAAGTGTACAGGTGACGGCTAAATCCAATATAGAAGCATTCCATGAATGAGAGTAATGAGCAATAGAGTAAATAGACACCTGTGTCTCTCTTGGATTCCTACCACAGGCTTCTTGATTTACTGGTAGGGCGTAGTAATTGTCTTGGGAAAATTGCTGCAAAAATTTGTAAGTAAATTGACAGAAAAAGAAGTTATTCGTCATTTTTTTCGAGGTCATCTTAATTAGTTCTACATAAGCTTTCTAATCAACTCTTAAAGTCGTCACCCCATAGGCCGTTTAAGACAATTAATCGTCAATGAGTAAGGCGTTTTTTTGTTTAACATACGATTCACACACTTATTAAGTAGAATATATCACATTTGAACGAATATTTACAAACGTATCTTAGAGAAACGAAAAATTGGGATGGATTTCATTTCTTCCAATATAGCAATCTATCCGTGCTTGCATAAGTCTGAAATAAACTCTTTAGATATTTCGAAACTTATTTTTTTCATTTGATCAACTTGGGGGACTTTTAGAGTCTCCAGAGGCAGTCAAACCAGGATCCACGAACTGTAAGAAGACGTTCATCGTTCTACCCTTCAGAACAGATTCGCCGTTAGTCATATTCCTCAATTACTAAGATAGGGGTAACATTTATTTGATTATTCAATATATTCAATTTCTAGATAAACCTAAAAGACCAGAGACGAGACGCATATTCCAAATTTGGACATTTCAATAGATTTAAAAGAATTTCGCTTGATATTCCAACCCTCGATAGAAAATGCTTTTAGTTGTCTATTTCTCAGTATTTAGATTGGGTTGTCAATTTTAGTCTGAATATGTGCCCAGTATCTCAAACAAAAATGAGAAAGAGAATTTCTATAGTGATCACCAGCCTAAGACCTGAAATATAGGTGTGAGCAGCTAGTTTCAGTAAAAAACATATTAACAGTTTGTGATGCTCCCCTTAAATTCCTATACATGAACCTGTATAGATAATGGTTTTAGTCGTCTATTTATCGGTACTTACATTGAGTCGTCAACTTTTGCCTGAATATATGCCCAGTATCTCAAAGCAAAATGAGAAAGAGAATTTCTATAGTGACGACCACCCTGCCACTTGTTATACAGGAGTGGTATGTCAACAGTGACTAATGGTCACATATTAGATTCGATTGGGAGAATTACACCAAATATACCACATTAGATCAGTCTATAGTTTGTGATGTTCCGCAACATCTAGAGTGATGACGAAGAACAAACCTGTCTTATATCCAGCATATTAATTAACGCGATAAGTACAACTTCAGATTTTTGGTTCTTTTACATCATAATGCCTTTTTGGTGGCCCTGTATTCATCCAACGGAGGCTCCAACTCAAACTCAGCAAGATTTTTCTCGAAGATAGCATATTCAACCAATCTCTTCTTCTTCCATTCTTCAACCCTTTCTTTCCACTGTTGAAACTCACTATCCTGGGGCTTGTATTTCAGTTTTTCCTCCTCCGGTAATTCCTTCCATTGCTTAGCAATCGCCTTAGATTGTTCACCAACGTCCTGACGACCACCAGTCACTACTTTGGAGGAAAGAAATTTCAAAAATGACCGTTGCGGACCTTTTGGTTTTGGCGTAAAATGTTCGAATAATTTTAGATATCGTTGATAATTATTCTCCCAATATTCTTGTTCGTCTATGGGGACTGATCCGATGCGTCCTGTGCCATATCTTGAACCAAAGCTGTGAAATGTGTTGTGAGCTCCCGCATCCCCTGATTAGATACGTTTTTCTAACTTGTTGGCTTTGTCATTTGATTTTGAAATGTTTGTATCGACAATCTCGGGGATTTCTACTGCAAAATTGAACACTTGACCATCGAGGTCAGTAATTTGTCTTTTATTGATTTTGCGCTTTTGATTGCCGAGTGTATGGGTTGGCTTTGGTAGCCTGGTGATTAGATCATCAACTCTGGCTTGTATTTCAGGACTTAAAGATTCTGGTATGGTCGAAAGAAATCTGAATGAGTAGATATTCTTAACATGACGAGTATTTCGAAATAAATCAATGGAGATTGAACCAATTGGTGGCCGATTTAATAGCTTCAACATAGTGATTAGTTGAGAAGATTTGGTTGTGGAGATGGCGAAGAATTTTTCTTTTGTTTACAATTTTTATTTATTTTTTGGGAGTAGGAAATTTTGCAATTCATTTTGCGTTTGTTAGATTTTCTGGATTTCTTAACAAACAAATATCAATCTCAAGGTTCTAGAATGATTAATGCAAATTAAGAATCCTTTGTGATATATTGCATGGTCAAGGATTCGTTGATTCCTCTGTTGTACTCGTTGCATTCGAGAGAATACATACGTTTATACAACTATCTACATGTAATCGTAGACTCGAAGTACTCCTATGAAGGGTTTCTCCACCAATCCTAATAAGCAATCACAGTGCTCGCTCTCAAATTGAATGGACGGATTGTAGATGTATTAATAGTTGTCTAAAAGGATTAGCAGGGACTACCCAACACCTTCGTACATTCGGACCAGCTTGCGCCTGAATAGTGTTTTAGTCTTCCCACATAACTCATTATCGACAGTTTATCTATTTGATATAAACGAAAGTATCAAAAGTTTTAAAAGACATCGTTGTTCTGTTTTGGTTTAATTGAAAATGAAGATTGCCTACTTATTAGCAACTACCTGTTATTTCATCCGAGACCTACCGTGGATCTATCAATTATAGATAGGAAACTTTTCTATTGTTGTTAAATCTGGCTAATCAGGTTTTGACGAGCTTTTGGGAACCCAAACCCGAACTAAATCGATATTCAGATAACCTTTATCACTAGTAGGCACTATCAATTTCAACCCCACTGAATACTTCCAATTATAACCCCCGATCAGATCTAATCAAAAACTATCTTATCTACACCTTATATTATCAGCCTTGCGAAATCAACCAGTAAGGTCAAACTTTCCTGCCAGCCACAATCCAAATCCAATCGATTCGGGACCGACATTCGCTTTGAGTTTCTCAATTAGGTACTCCCACCAGTTTGTATAATTATCTATTAATCTTAAAAACGATAAACAAGCGACAGGAACGATTTGTGGGGTGTAACAAAATAATAAATGTGGAGGCTAAAATGAAGATGCGCGGGAAGTTTTTTAGTTATTGCGAAACCTTATCTTTTATTTCGGCGTGCATATAGATACTGATAAGAGATCTACATAGAAAATATTATTGGCTATGATGATGATAAACTATCTTCATATGGATTAGGAGTCTTTGATAGTGCTAATAGTTATCATGATTGTGGTTGATGCCATCTGTGTATAGCTTGCTGGCGAATGCGGCTTTTTTTCAAGCTTATCACTGATGTGGCTCCTAATCTATAATTAGCAAATCACCCCAGATCCAAATCTCTGAACTGACAGAAACTAGCAGAGCAAAGTATAAGATTCTGAAACAAGCGAGTGGGGGATTGCTTTATCTTTCCAGATTAGATCAAAATTTTCAGATATTTCGGGAATCTTCCCCGGATTCGCTTTATCTTTCCAGATTCGATCAAATTTTTCAGATATTTTTGGAATCCTCCCCGGATTCGCTTTAGCGACTACAAAGAAAGTGGAGTAAAGCTGATGAGATTATGTTATCTATGGTATCAAGTGAATTATCGAGATTTATCTGTTGGAACACCCGGATCAAAAGCCATGGTAAACTTTTATTGACATGACTAATAATATAAGCTTCTCATCTAATTGCTACATGTCGCCGCCTGCCTGCATTCATCACTTACACATCTCTTCTTCTGAACGTACTTTCAATAATCCCACAGTGCTTTCGCAAGGTACGACATCATCACCTAAACTTGATCCTTCAACTATTCGCAACAAATACCTGTACAACAGACGTCTCACCTCGACTATCGCTTTATAGTTCTGGAGTGCCACATTATCTCCATCCTGGATCACACCAAAAACAACTTTTGGTGTCTTAATTATTTGTAGACAATTATATAGCAAGCATATGACCCATAGAATTGAAAGTTGATGATTGTATAATTCTAAACTCCAAATCATTCGTTTCCTGAACTTAATTAGTTACACCGACTTCAACACAGCATGATTCAAAATACAGGTTATCTATTCAGTAGCACTGATAATGCACATAAGGGTTCTACCTCTGTTAATCCTAAAATCAACTAGAAAATGGACATACATTACAGGTGGTGTTGATTAGACATTCTTAAATTTATACTTCAATTTATCCAATTGATCCACATGTTGAATCATATCTTCAAACCAATTTCTAAAACACCAAACACTAATATTATTAAACACGGGCAAAATACAAAATATTTCTCTATCCTCCTTTATCTTCATCACCAAAAGTACAATACATTGGATACAAATTCCCCAATTCATATATTTCACATATGTTGAATAATAATTAGGAAATTTGATATTTATGACCGATAATGCAATAGATAACAATATCAACAACGTGATTAGCTTAGGTTTAGTTAGGAATTGGATTGTGATTATTGCCATGATTTGGATAATGTATAAATATGATAAATATTTCACATACTTGTCATAGGTTTGTTGATTTGAAATTGATAAATTGTTGATTAGATTCGTTTGATCTTCGGTGTCGAGAAGTACGGGTTCGGATGACGATTGTTCGAGGATTGATTTGTCTACTTTACGTAATCGTGACATCATAGATGGTGGTGATGAATGAAGTGGGTGTCTATATCTCATTGATAATTTTTTTTTTAGCCTTATAATTGAATCGGGCAGTGCGGCTCAAGATAAATTTTGTTAAATATGTTTTGCAACCATTTTTGATTTTAAAACTGGAATTTACAAATCCTTTGAATGATTAGAGGTAGTGAAAGGAGAGAATCTCGAAATGAATCGGCACAATTTGAAAGAGACTGCAATATTGAATGGATATAGGTCACAGTCGGCAATTCATTATGCGAATTAAACAATCTGACCGACTACTAACTCAAAAGGGCCGTTCAACTGGGATTATTGTTAACTAGAGTCCACAAACAAGATGGGGGCAGGCGCACGTTCTAGAACGATAACAGGGGCTAAACAGGGAAACCAATTTATTGTATACAATTCTTCTGATTACACAAACGCGTTTTAGCTTCCAATTGTTAATGGTTATTCCAAATCGTATTCTTCGGCGTTGCCTGACTGTGACTTAGGAGGGGAGACGATGGGATTGTTACAAATTTTACTATAAACATTATTTGATGAAACATATTTTGTTGTGTGATTTATTTTTTTAACGTGAAGAATAAGTGTCAACTGAATTTATAATTATTGTGCAACTATTTACAGTACAATCAGACAAAAAAATAAAATGAATTTTGATCTAGATTCGAATTACAGGTTAGATGGAATATATATTTTTTTTTGACGATAACACAATACGATAAAAGGTTAATCCGATAATATTTTCTCCCTTTCGTTTTGGGATGGGTGCAAATTGCAAATGTTGAACCAGAGCAAGATAGAAAGGCCAACAGTTGACCACCTACTAAAGGGTAGCCCATCTGTAGACAGAGAATGAGAAAGGAAAGGGAACTTTGTGAAACTCTCTCGAATGATCTATACAATTGCAATTATAGGATCGTGCTGATCACAGCACATACTAACATATAATTCGTAAAGCTTATCCAACGAGAATCCCGTAGATCAGTTATCCACAGAAGGAAAACTAGTTAGGTAAATTCAGCAAAGAGAGGGTAGCATCCAGGGTAGTCCTCTCTGCCGTTCTGCTAGCCTCAAACGCATACGCGATTATTCGAGATTAGTTGCATTTGGGGTAAAGAGAGCTATTTTCATGTAGCCAAATGCTTTCCGTCTTATACTTCTTTCGATCAAATTCGTTAAAGTTTACGATTTAGGTTTCACGTGCATTGGTGTTCATTTGATTGCTTGATCCGGGAAAAAGAATTTTTGGTTGACATGACACATGAAAAACCTTAAATCTCTTCTCCTGTCGACAACAAGAAAAAGAATAAGAAAAATAACGAATCAAGATCATTTGAGTGTGCATCGGGTTTGTTGTTTATGAGTTGTGACATTAGGGAATGCCAATTGAGTGAAACGGTTAGTTTCCGGTACTTACTCGCTTGAGAACTGAGATTTAAGTTGTACTGCGTTTTGACATACACTGGTTTTTTTCTTTGGTGTTGTTAGCAAACATAAACGATTGAAAGAACATGCTAACGAAGTTACATTCAATCAATGAAATGAATGTGAATTGGTAACTAGAAAGGTTTTTTATGAGTTGCATTTGACAAGACAATTGTTAGCCAATTTAGGAAATTGTCAATTGTTTTATAATTGTTTTATGTCAGAATTTAAATTCCCACGCGTTATTTTTTTTTTTTTTTTTAAGATTAAAATATTTTTTTTTCACTCATTGTTTTTATTTTTCTAATTTTTTAAGATTAATTATTGAAGAATGGATGTATTTCTGGGATGGGGGATACCTAACATGTAAAATCCTCAGACTAACCTGTGTCAAACTCAGAAAATTTTTCAGGAACATTACTTTGTTTACAACGAGTTTTTTTTTCTTATAGAAAGGGGGTGGCATCCTTTATCTGAAACAGATCAACCTTGTAACAGAAGTAGAAATCAACACGGATATTCTGTCAGTTATCATTTTTACCAGTTGCAGTTTTACTGTTCAATTGATTGAGTAAACCAATACGATCGAGAAGGTACATGGCGTGATGTTTAACTGAGATATCTCGATTAATATTTAAAATAGAATAACATCTAAAAATAGGAATTATTTTTTAAACAAAAGGGTAGATTTACATAAAAAATAATCTGTTTAAACTGTAAAAAAAAGACAAGAGTTACGAATCAAAGAAATTTTTTTTTCCTTTTTACCTTTTTTTCGTCTAAAAACTGTACTTTGTACATATAAACAAAATGAAAACAATGAACAAATGTCTGTCTGTCTGTCTGTCTCCTTTTCTTATTTAAAAAGATTTAAATTTTCTGTCTATGATTTTTTATTTAATCTTTTTACAACACCTAACACCCATAGTATAAGTGAAAGATCATTTAAATCAACCAACCATCAACAACCAAAGAAACGACAAATCAACAACAACAAACCACCCTTTCTATCGTTACGAAGAATTTCACATCCCAATCAATTTCAACAGTATCGAAGAATACAAACAAACAAACTATAAGTGTGTGAAATAAATTATTGACAACACTCACTCACTTATCAAAGATCTTTATGCCAATATTATTAAGATAGAAAAGGGAACCAACAACAACAAAGTAAAGACAATTTCATTTTATTACTTCAAATAAACAAGAAGAGAGACACTATTAAACTTATTCAATAACAAGAAGAAGAAGAGTTCCTTTCCATTTGATTGATTTCTTTATATTATATTAATTATACCAACTATTATTCATTCTTTCATTTAAAACAACAGATAATTATAACAAAAATAGAATCAATTAACCATTCATTATGTTTTCAAATATTAAATTGAATTTGGTTACTGCTATTTATGTCTTGTCTTTTGTGACTTCCATCAATGCTGATAGTGCTACCATCAATTTCGACAGTAATACTTCTAAAAGTGACGATAATACTGTCGATAACAGCAACAGCAACAGCAACAGCAACAGCAACAGCAACAGCAACAGCAACGACGTGTTGTTGTTGTTGTTGTTGTTGTTGTTGTTGTTGTTGTTGTTGTTGTTGTTGTTTATTTACAGTAGAAGTGTAAGTGTTAGTGATTCAGCCAACAACAACAACATTTACAGTAGAAGTCTAACTGATACTGATTCAGCCACTTTGTTGGCAAATGATCAAAAAACTTGGGATGAATTGATTTCCGATAGTATTGCTAGATTTCAAAGTGCAAATCCTGATGTTATAAATGCAGTTTCCGATTCACTTAGTTCTTCAGTTGGTAGTTCAGTTCAAGATTCACAAAGTTCTGCAGCAAATTCATCACCTCAAGCTCCAACTGTCCAATCTTCAACTAGTACTCTATCAACTTCAGATCAAACAGATTCTGGATCTCAAGAAAGTTCTAGTCAACAGCAACCACAACGTCCACAGCAAACATCATCTACCCAGCAATATATACCCAAGGTGTCAAGTGCACAACAACAAGCAGAACCTTCAAGCGACCCACAACAACAAACAACAACCAGTTCTACTGGGCAAAGACCACAACTTTTCAATGACAACACTTCATCAAGTCAATACCAAGCCCAAACACAATCATCAAGCTCTCCACAGAATAGCAATCAACCTACCACTTCTTCTGAACAAGACGACGATGAACCTGCCACCTCAGCTGTACAGATCAACAATCAACCTGCTACTTCATCTGCACAAGACAATAATCAACCTGCCACTTCAGCCGAACAGGACGATAATCAACCTGCCACTTCATCTACACAAGGTACCACTACAAGTCCACAAGACAATACCCAAAGTGCTACTACCACAACAAATGGAGACACTACTCAGGCTACAACCTCAACTACAACAAATACCCCAGATGCAACTTCTGTCCAAGCTCAAGACGACGATGATGATAATAACTCATCAACATCGCCAGATGCTACAACTGCCCCAACTACAAGCACCGCCACAACTACTCCAGTAGCTGCTACCAGTCTGACCCAAGATATCGATGATGACGTTGATAGTGTTGTCAGTTCAATTGTTTCCCAGGCACTTGACCAACAAACTTCACAAGCTTCTACTACACTGACCGATGATCTGGTAACCACGTCAAGCGATTCATCTTCATCGTCGTCATCATCATCATCTATTTCATTAGTTGAAGCTACCTATACCTCAATTGACAGTAGTTCCAGTTCTACAAGTGATGATGACACTTCAGCTTCTGTTGTTGTTTCTTCAGCTACTACTGATGCTGCTACAGATTCTTCCAGTTCTTCATCAGATGATACCTCAGTCCAAGGGTCAAGTTCTTCTTCAGATGAAGTAACCCTTGACACCACAACAACTACACCAGCTGAATCGATTGTATCGGATATTTCTAATGCACTTACTAGTATTGTTGAAGCTTCAGAAGTTACTGCCTCGTCAGACGATACTTCAGTTGCATCAAGTACTGATAGTTCTCCAGTTGTCTCAAGTACTGATAGTTCTCCAGTTGTGTCAAGTTCAGATGGTACTCCAGTTATTGAATCGTCTTCAGAAATTTCACCCGTTGAATCAGGAGTTTCAAGTACAGAAGGAGTTGAAGAAACCGCACTGACATCATTAGTTGACCCATCAAGTTCTGAATTGCCAACTGAAACAGCTTCCGATTTAGTTTCATCTACTGATGAGGTTCCGGTTGAATCATCTACTGATCTGGTTGTTGAATCATTATCTACTGATATATCTCCTGTTGAATCATCTACTGATCTGGTTGTTGGATCATTGTCTACTGATATATCTCCTGTTGAATCATCTACTGATCTGGTTGCTGAATCATTATCTACCGATACGTCTCTCGTGGAACCATCAACTTCAGATGCACTTATTAGTTCAATCACAGGTTCTTCAGAATCATTATCGGGGGATTTATCATCTTCTTCAGTGACGGATGAACTGGCTACAGCAACTGCTTCAGAATCTAGTGAATCTAGTGGATTATCAACTGACTCATCAGCATCAACTGAATCAACTACCAAGGAACAAGATTTTGCTGCAATTAAAACTACTACAACTGAAATTGAAACTGACACTGCACCAGAAACTACTACTCCACCATCAACACAAACAGGAGCTACCATAACTCGTGAACCTGATACTACTAATACTGATTGGTTACCTTCTCAATTAGTCGCTGAAACTTCAACCACTTATTCACTGGAAGCCATGAGTGCCACCACTTCTGCAGTTCTTGAATCAGGGATGCCAAAAGCTATCACACCAGCTGCTGTTCCAGCACAAGCCAAAGATTATGATCTTGTTAGTATTGGTTTCAAAGCTCCATTGAATTATCCATTTGTGGTTAAGAATTCGCTTTCATCGGCACAGATTTTCCAATTCTTGCCCGATGTGTTGAGTTATCCATTCCCCAATGAAAATTATGATGAAATTTCAGTGAAGAGATTGGTACCTTTTATTTCTGATCAAGCATCTTATACGATCACTGTTGCTGAGGTTTATTTCCCCAAAGAGGCGATCACGGAATTAGGTGAATTGCTTAAGGATGAAAATTCAATAATTTATCATAATCCAAATGAAATCCAAAATGCATTGGCTAATTTAATTGATTGGAGAATCCCACTTACAGGTGATTTAACCCCGGCTACGAGTTCAACTACTAGCAATGAAGAGATTCAAGCTGCTGGATCAATGGATACTCCTGTGATACCGAAATCCACTGATCCTGCCAGAGTGGTTGGTATTACCGTTGGTGCTGCCCTTGGATGTGGTATTTACATGTCGCTTATGTTTGTTCTTTTCAAGAGATTTAAGGGTAAGAGTGTTGAATTACCTCCAACTGATACTGAATCTAGTATGGGTATGTCTGAGACTATGTCAAGTGCTGAATCATCAACTGGATTTTCTGCTATTTTTGCAAGAATTAATAATGGTGGATCATATAATAATAATAGTGGTTCGAATAATGAGGGTAGTCCAATTCATGGAAATATGATTTCGGAACCGGTTAGAGCTTCGAATTCATTAGGTTGGTATCAACAATCATAAGTATAGCTTGCGTTTTTTTGTTTTCAGTTCTTTTATTTTGTTGTTTTTATTATTAGAAAATCAAAGAATTATTATTATTATGTGTATCCGTCATTATTGTTTTCGTGTTGATATATAATCGCTCCTTCATAAATATTCAAGAGGAAATATGTAAGGAGAGAGAGAGAGATGTTTATTAGAGTAACTATTTGTAAATTGTTTGCAAATGTTGATATGTTTTTTTGTACTTTTTTGTTTATATGTTTATAATAATAATTTATTGTTTTGTTTGTTTTTAACTAACTTTTACTTGTTATACAAGTGTATGTACGTATTCCCATAAATCATTAACTAAATTCTCTGCATCTTCATCTAGAACTTCTGATAATTCTTGAATAAGTTCTTTTCTACCATTCAGTATCATATTTTGTAAATTTTCATTAATAACATCAACCAACACATCATCCTCAACACCAAGATATTCTTGTACCAAGTCGACAATTTTTGATTGTAATTGTTGTTTCACTTGTTTAGACAAATCATTGATTATGATATCAGATGTATCCTTCTTTGGTTTCTTGGTAACTAGTTGCGATACTACAAACTGATCAACACTTTGAGAAGTTTGTAATTCTTGCTGTTCTTGTTTTTCATCCTGTTCATCCTTCGTTTGTTCAAAATTACGTTTCTGGATTCTCGTTTTCAAATACAGATTGTAATTATAAGTATATAGATTCACCAATGCACCTAATTGTGAAGTTGATTTCCCAGTAGAATCCTTATCTATATTTCTGAATTCATCAATAAACTTCAATTTATTGTCAATTAAATTACTTTCATATTTTTCTAAACTTTCAAGTCGATCTAATAGTTGATATCGTTCAATTCGTTCACGATTCTTCATTTTGATAAGTTCTTCTTGATATTGTTTTTCTAATTTATCAGCTTCTTCTAATTCCTTATATTCCAAATATTCATCATCATTCATTTCCTCATATTCATCACGGGTGCTTTCTATTTTTGGTCTTGCCGATGATGATTCTGGTTCTGGCGTGGCGGTATTCTTTTCTAATTCATTGGTTTCCTTTATACCCTCAAATAATTCTTTTAATTTATTCTTAGTCTTGATTCTTTCCATTTCAATTTCTCGTTTCCGTTTCTCTTTTTCCTTTAACAAGACTCTTGATCTGAATTTTATAACATCCTTCACGATTGATTCTCTCATGTGGGTAGGGACATCGATTAATTCACTATTATCAACTTTATAATTACTATAATAAGCCAAAACTTCATCCAAATCTTCCGTACCTGTCTTCTTTGATTTCTCCAAATGTTTGGGGTTTTGTAACATGATTTGAATCCTTGCTTTGGTCAGTTCTGGTATTTTACTAGGTTGGATCTTTTCATTATCATCAATTTGATCGAAATATTGGGATAATTTCTCATCGGTGATGATTTCAACTTTGTCATTCTCAAAAAGAGTGGATATGGTATCTTTATAAGTCATCAAAAACCATTTCAAATCTATCAAGTGATCAAAACGAATAAACACAATTTTCTTATCTACATGTTCATAATTCACTACTGACCATTTAAACACTCGTTTTTGATCAAGATTTATTAACAGATATAATAATTTCTCAATTGACATTCGTTTGAAATTTGGGAAATTCTTGATTATGATTATTGAGATTTGATCTTTTAAATTAGTTGGATTTAATTCATTTATATTGATGAAATATTTTGGTTCTTCATTCTCATCGATTAAATCATCAACTACTGAATTATTAGTCTTGTTGGAACCATTATGAGTCGATTGTTCGGATTTTTGGGATAGGATGATATTGTTATTGAGTTTGACTAGATGTGAGACATCAATAGATTTTAAGACTGGTATGGCGATGTCTAATTGGATGTTCTTGTTGGTGATGTCATTATTATCATTCTCTTGTGTTGTAGTGGATGCTATTAATGGAGATGGTTTTAATAATGAAAGTAATTTAGAATTATTGGATTCTGGAAGAGTATACGGACTGATAGTCACCACTGAATCACCCGAGGATTCTTTAACTTGACCTTTCATTTGGATTAGTCTATAATATATTTCTTTGCTTAATACAAGTTTATGCCGACTTCTTCTTCTTCTGGTTGTAGATTCATCATCGCATATTTAATTTTTTTTTTTTCACTGACTGCCCCATCTATATCACCATCAATATCAATCCTATTAGACAAACCCCACGGTATCCAATGGTCAATATCGAATCCCTTCATCTTCCGCAAGATGCAGAAGTCGACAAACTCACAACCACCTCCCCTCCATCATCAGCCGAAGGCTCTTCCACTTCCCCATCCGATCCATTAACAAAACTAATTACCAAAGTAAAAACCCATCCCAATGATTTATCCAACTGGGATAAATTAATATCAGAATATGAAAGATTGATCGACAATTCAGAATCCCCCCAATCCGTATCACAAGACATCAAAGATGGAATCAAAAACACATATAAATCATTATTAAGTCGCTTCCCATATTTGATTTCATATTGGAAAAATTGGTCAATCATGGAATATAAAATAAATGGAACCCAAGCATCCATTAAAGTCCTAGAAATTGGCATTGAAAATTTTCCGCAATGTGTTTCGCTCTGGGTTGATTATTTATCGGCATTGATATCGACATTTGGAGAAGACTTGAAGACTAAGGAAGAGAATGTGAAGAAGATTAGGGAAGTTTATGGGGAGGGATTGAGATATAATGGATATCATTTCAATTCTCATTCGTTATGGGATAAAGTGTTTGAATTTGAAAAGGGGTTGATGGCAATACTGGGCGGGAATTCGACTGAGGTTTTGGGATTGTATTTGAGGGTGATTAAGGTTCCGTTGTACGAATATGCGAAATATTATAATCAATTCACGGAGATTTGTAAATCATATGATATTCAATCTATAGTTCCAAAAGAGAGGATGGAGAGTTATTTGGAAAAGTTTAATAAAACGAAATTGGAACATTTATCCTTGATTGAAAAACATCAGATAATTGATGATTATACATATAGTGTTTTCTCCGAGACCCAGGCGAAGGTGAATTCCAATTGGCAATTTGAATCATCATTAGAATATCAAGAATTCTCAATTAAGAATCTTAAAGAGATTGCAAAAGAACAAGAAACTTGGATATCATATATCGACAAAGAACAATCCATCTATCTCGCCCTCCTTATCCAAGCCAACGACACCACCGCCATTCAGAATCAATTCGATCTAGTTCAGAACTTATATCAACGATGTCTAATCCCCAATTGTCTAGATTCCAAAATTTGGTTGAAATATATTGAATTCTTACATAAACTGCATTTAAAACCTGATGAGAAATTCGAAACTATCCAACAAGTCTACCAATTAGCAATTTCAAAATTTATCCCAATTGATGAAAATAAATTCAGATTCATATATGGGAAGTTTTTATTACGATATGAGAAATATGACGCCGTGAATGAGTATTTATTCGATTGGTTGAAATTCACCAGTGGATCATCCGGGAGTAATACGGTTTATTATAAATCGTCATATCTTGAGACGATTAAGGAGATTTGTGATGTTTGGATCAAGTTATTGGGACAGGGGAGATTTGTTGAAATTTGTGATAGGTTGATAGTAGGATATTTTGATAAGATAGATAGATATACCAAAAAGAAACAACCAACAACAACCAAGAAATCGGACGCTATGAATGGGGGATATGTTTCTGATTTTGAATTATCAGAGAAATTTATTTCTCTGGTTGGGAAATTCTTAAACGATGAATCTATTTGTGTGATTGTGGGATCATATTTGAATATCATATCGAGAGATGCTGGTGGTTCCAATACGGAGAAGATTAGGAAATTTTTCAATAAGTATCATAAAGAGAATTGTTTCAAGAAATCAATATTATTTTGGAAATTTTATTTCGATTTCGAAACTATTCAAAATCATAATATCCATAATGTAAGATATATCATCAATTATATCCGGAATGAAACACAATTACCGAAAATATTCATTGATAATTTCATTGATTTGAATTATGAATTTTCATCGGCGAATATCTTGGGTATACTTTCCGAAACCAATGGATCGTCAGATCCAATGATGATTATGAGAGATTTGGATAAATCAAATTCAATCTTTTATAATAAATCAAGTTGGAAACGATTAGCCAAAAACAACTACCTTATAAAAGATAAATCCACAGGACATCATCAATTTGAAGAAGAATTGGTGAAATTGAGTCAGAAACATATCGGACATCCTGGGGTTTTAGTAGAAGTGACACCTGATATTACGAATAAGATTATGAATGAAGGGAATGAAATTGATTTATCGGATCCAGAATTACAAATCCCTCCATTACCGACTTATAAAAATGTTGAAAAAGCATCTGCACCAATTAATTTTCCAAAAGAATAATAATAATGTATTACTATATATAGAAAATGTATGTATTATATTTCATCAGTTTGACGTCCTATAACCATTAAACCATCTCTTATTTTTGCCCGTGCCGTACATCGATTATTCCCATATATTTCCAATACTTGTAATTTAGGACAACTCTTCCCAATCAATGATAATAATTCATTATCGATAGATCTCACGAATCCGGCATCTAAATATGTCAATAAATGAAGATTAATATGATGATAATATCCCCCTTCCCCAGCCTCCCCATCATCATCGGGATTTTCTAGTTTCTTCTTGATGGCTTTTTTAAAAGGATGCAGATCTGGAGTAAATATCTGAGATAAGAAATTCTTCGACAATTTATATAACGAATTTAAACTCAATTCAACCAAAGTATGACAAGAATGATTTAATAATTCATATATTGCCTCATCTCCCAATTCTGTACATTTCGTCAAATCGACTTCTAACAATCCTCCGGCATTAACTTTCAGATATTCTTCAAAAGCGGTTGCGAATCCTTGATTGGAAATTTGATCTAATTGTTTGAGTGAGAGTTGAGTTAAATTGGGACAGAATTTGGATAGACCTTCGAGGAGGAATTTTTCGGTTAGGTAAGTACACCCGTCGAGATTTAATGAGAGTAAGGTATCTCCGGTTATGGATAGGATGTTTATGATTAGATCGTCATTGATTAATTCTTCGGTATGGGGATAGGAGATTTCTAGATGGGTTAGGGTTGATGTTTGGAGATAATGGGGGATTAGGTCGTAGAAAAGGCTCCTCCAATAAGGTAGATTAGCACTATTAAAATTACTTCAATCTAAAGCTCCACAGGTTTCGAGTAATGAAATTAGACAGTCATTGCCAAATCTATGAGTATTACGGATTTCAAATTTTGTTAAGTTGGACCCAGTGGGTTGTTCAAAGAATTCTTGCCATTTTAAGTCACTGATTAGGAATGGACCATTTAGGGATAATTCTTTTAGGTTTTTTAATTGATGACTGAAGTATTCGAGGTTATCGTTATGGAATTGTCCACACATGAATAATGTCAAGGATTCTAGATTGGGACAATAGGCACCGATTTTATTTAATGAATCTGAATTTACATTTGAACAATCCCAGAATTGTAATTGTTTTAATTCTGGGGATAAGAATAATGAAATTGTTTTATCATTTAATGAACGGTTTTTGGATAAGATTTTTGATATTTTATTCATATTCAATTGACCAATATCACCTAACATTTCAACATCATCAATATTTGAAGTTATTTTTTGAATACAAATATCTTGAAGTTTAGGTAATTTGATTTCGGTTTTATTTAATAATGCTTGAGCAACTTTTTTCCTTTTCTTACGAGCATTTAATTGATTTACTCTTGCTTTCTTTTCTCGAGTTTTAAGGATTGCATTACATGATTCACATAAATATCCTGATTTTTCAGAAATGAATCGTGAATAAACCGTTAATTCAAATTTATTCCCACAATCTACACAAATATCTTGACTACCAAACTTTTTCACCGATTCAAAGTCGTCGTCATCATCTTCATCGAAGTCATCATCATTATCGTCATCACTACTGCTATCATCTGGAGATCCTCTACCGCGTCTTCCACCACGTCTGGCCGCGCGTAGTTTTCTCTTCCCTGCGCGTTTTATTTCCGTGATTTCTTCGTCATCATCTTCTTCTTCGATGGTTATACTAACTTCATTGCTAGTTGTAGCTGTTGTAACTTCTGATTCGTCTTGAATAGGTGGAGTAGGGGTTGGTTCTGTAGATTGTTCCTGATTCTGACCATCGCGTCTTCCCCGATCTCTTCTTTGTCTGAATGCGTCGGTTATACCTTCATTCCTTAAGAATTCTGTTAATGCTGAGTTGGGTCCACTTACTCTTGAATGATTTCTAGTACGTCTAGACATGTCTTATATCTTCTTGTTGTAGTTTTAGTGAACAAAAGAAGATCACAAAAATGGGTGTAAAAAAAAAGTGATGCAACAAGATATATTAGTAAGATTGCAAAACTCGGTAATTAAAAATCTTTTTTTTTTTTGGTTTGATGAGAAGAAGAAGAAGAAGAGAGTGAAGAAATAATTATTTAAGACAAAGAGGAAAAAAAATTGCCACTCATTTTGAAATGAAAAATATTCAAAGCAAAAAAAAACATCATCAAATACGACTTTATTATAGATCTACTTCCCCTGTGATACAACTTCCATTGAAGATAATATATATAACAATATAGAAACAGGGAGTATCAATATACAAACAATTAAAATAAAAGATGCAAATTATATTTAGAGATTTTAAAAAACAGACAATTCCAATTGAAGTGGAATTATCTGATACTGTATGTACACCCACACTTACACGGTGTGGGTATCCCAGAAGTTATGATTGATTATAGGTTTTACCATATCCAGAATACAGCAAAAGAGAAATTAGCTCAACAAAAAGATTGTGATGCATCTCAAATAAAATTAGTATATTCAGGTAAAGTATTACAAGATGATAAACCATTAGAATCATTTAAAGTTAAAGATGGTGCTTCTATCATCTTTATGATTTCAAAAACTAAAAAAACCCCAACTCCTGGTCCAACTATAAGTCCTGCCCCTGCAGTTGCTGCTGCAGCTGAAGCAACTACAACTGCTTCAACTAATGATTCCAGTCGTGCAGAACCAACCGTTTCCACTTCTGAACAACCCCAATCCAGTCCCGTCGCAGCTGCAACCCAACAACCAGCAGGTACTCCAACTACCGCTGGAGGTGCTGCACCAACTACTTCTGAATCCACATTCGCATTAGGACAAGAAAGAGAAGCCACAATTTTGAATATAATGGAAATGGGATATGAAAGACCACAAGTTGAAGCCGCATTAAGAGCCGCTTTTAATAATCCTCATCGTGCTGTTGAATATTTGATTACTGGGATTCCTGAATCTTTACAACGTCACCCTCAACAACAACAACCAGCAACAGCAGCCCCAGCAGCTCCAGTGGGTGCTGCTACCGGACGGAGACGACTATGATGAGTACTGCTACTACTACTACTACTACTTCGTCCTGTCGGGGAGAACTTATTCGAAGCCGCTGCTGCTGCTGCCGCTGCACAACAACAAGGTGGTGCTGGAGCTGGTGCACCAGCTGGTGCCGGTGCAAGTGATGTAGGTGGTGATTTGGGACTACTTGTTGTTTACGTTAATAATTCTCGACGAAATGTTAGTTTAGGTCTTAATTTTCAACCTTTATTAGAACAATTAGCGGCTTCGAATCCTCAGATTGCAAGTTTGATTCAACAAGATCCGGAAGCATTTATAAGAACTATTTTAGGTAGTGGTGGGGATGATTTTGGGTTTGAGATTGAAGGTGATGAAGGTATGGGTGGTATTGGTGGTGGTGAAGCAGGAGGAGAAGGTGGAGAACATATTACTATTCAATTAAGTCAACAAGATCAAGATGCAATTAATAGATTATGTGAATTGGGGTTTGAACGTGATTTGGTTATACAAGTATATTTAGCTTGTGATAAGAATGAAGAAGTTGCAGCTGATATTTTGTTTAGAGATTCATAATTGTAGTTTGTAAAAGAATAAAGTAATAACTCTGTACATTATGATTTCTATATATTGTCTGTCTGTGTAGGGTAATTATAAATCCAATTCATCTAATGAATGGATTATTTTATAAGTTGATTTATCATCATCTGATAATGGAGAATTACCAGGTCTAACCACAATATAACTTTGCATCCCAGCTTCAATTGCTGCTTTAACTTCATTAACATTATCACTTAAGAATAAAACTGATTTAGGAGAATCCAGTTTATTAATTTCATCCAAGATTCTAATATAAGATGAAGGATCACTCTTAAAACCAGCACTAAGAATATCAAAATATCCACTTAAATATTTCGTTAAATCAACTGAATTACCATTGTCATTTACATGACTAAATAATAAGATTTGAGCATTTATACTCCCAGAAGAATATATATATATCTTATTACTATTTTCCTGAGTAAACTGTTTTATAAATTCAATTGAATCATCATAAATTGGTGCCTGTAATTCTCCATCATTATATCCTTGTTCCCAAATATGCCCCTGTAATGATTTTAATATTGGATCTTTAATATCATCATCTACTAATTGTTTAAAATGTTTGAAAGTAATCTCAGGGGTTGATCTTTCTTCTGGTGGTAATAAACTAAGGATTTGTATTATTGAATCTGATGACATTGAATTAATGGGGAATTGTAATTTAGATAATACCGTGGGTAATTTATTTAGGAAATATGGAAATAATATTTCCTTAACAAATGTGATTGGACATACTGTACCTTCAATATCTAATATGATTGTATCAATTGGAATTGTCATGTTACTTCCTCTTCTTATAGTATATACTTCCAACTATTGAGAACGTGTGGTAGCGATAAAATCAAAAGGATTGAAATTTTTTTATGACTGTAAATCTTTCTCTGATCCCTATTTTTTTTTACTTACTGTAATAATCCAATTCTCATACTTTGGGGGGATAAGTAGTGGTTGTAAAAAAACTTAAAGTAAATTAACTTCTTCTTAATCACTACAAGAAAGTCTCTCTTTAACTTTATTGATTTATTGTAAGTTGCAAGTAGAGGATATGATCTTCCAAAGAAGGTTATAAGATATCTCTCACTTTAATGAAATAATACCCAACAAATTGAATTGTTGTTTTACGAGAATATAAGCATATTGATTTTTAGGTTTTTATAGAAGGTTAATTTCTACTAACTAGATATACAAGTGTTACTAATAACATTAAGATCTTAAAGAAACAGAATAAACTAGAAATTATTATAACTACAATATCTTTGTGTATTATTATATTATTGCTTGTGATGGTTATTTACATAAGAAGGTGATCATTTAGTATAAAATTGGGTTGTTAAGTTTTATTATGGTTGCTAATTGTTACAGAAGTATATATCAATAACAGTAATATATAACGTCATAAGTAAAGAAAAAAGAATAATAAAGAAAGAAATCATCAGTTTATTAATTTTTAAATTTTTTTCTGTAGGCGAATTTATTAAAAATATCAATAACCAAACCAAATAGAATATAAAAATAAAGTTAAACTCCTAAAGAATTCCAAATTAATTTCTTTTACTTGAAGAAACAGTGATAATAAAAGAACTCTGTTGTTATATACTTATAAATTATATTAAACAAATGACAGAAAGGATTCCATTATTTGAAGAAGATAAAGATTATATTAATGAAGATCATATTAGTGCATTTGCTCAAGCATTAATATGGGAACCTAATAATGAAGTTCCTCTGGGGGCATTAACCCCTACAACTTCCAATATTAATAGTTTATATCGATCTAATAAATCAAATCTATCCCTTGATTCATATCAAAGTATGACGGATGAAACTGTTCCCAAACCTGATCTTATCACTTCCAAAAGTGATTGGTTCCCAGTATTAGATGAGACAACTAAGTCTACTAAAAAGAAAAAGCACCCCAAAAAAATGGATTATACAATTCAAGCATTACAAAATGAATTTAGAAATAATTCAACTTATATGTTATTAAGGTGGCCAATTTTATTAGGAATATTTGGTTGGATAACAATATTAGGAATATTCTATTTTATTGTTCGAATATATGTTGCATTACTGGAATATTATTTCACTTGGACTGGTGAACGGAAATTATTACGGGATAAATTAAGACAATCAAAAACTTATGATGAATGGGTTCAAAATGCTATTCGTCTAGATAAATATCTTCATTTAGATCGTTGGTCCAAAAATCCTAAATTTTCTTATTATGATTATAAAACGGTTAAATTAAGTATTATTAAATTAAGAAAATTACGTAAAACTAATAATGATCATGATTTAATGATCTTATTACAAGGTTGTTTGAAAAAAAATTTCGCTGGGATTGAAAATCGTCAATTATATTCTCATCGATATTTTGGTACCAAGGATTTAGTTGAAGATTATTATCAAGAAGTTACAACATGTATTAATAAAATTGCAATTTCAAAAACTATAGATATTGATACAAAATGGAAATTCTTCAAAATTGTTCTGAAAAATTATGGGAAATCAGCATTATGTTTAAGTGGAGGTGCTTGTTTTTCATATACTCATTTCGGTCTAGCAAAAGCCCTTTTGGATCAAGATTTATTACCCAATATCATTTCCGGAACTTCTGGTGGAGGATTAATCGCTTCATTATTATGTACTAGAACCAATGAAGAATTAAAAAAACTCCTAGTCCCACAATTAGCCAGAAAAATCACCGCATGTGAAGATCCATGGTATATCTGGCTACCAAGACTTTGGAAAACCGGTGCAAGATTCGATGCTATAGCATGGGCCCGAAAATCATGTTTTTTCACCTATGGTTCAACAACATTTGAAGAAGCATATCAACGTACAGGTCGAAAATTAAATATCTCCACCGTGCCCGCCGACCCTCATTCCCCCGTGATTTTATGTAATGATCTAACCGCCCCCCATTGTATCATCTGGTCGACATTATTAGCCTCCTCAGCCGTGCCGGGGATCTTAAACCCCGTGGTCCTAATGTCAAAACACCCCACGGGGGAAGTTGTCCCATTTTCATTAGGAAACAAATGGCGAGACGGATCTTTGAGAACAGATATCCCCGTCGATGCATTAAATAATTATTATAATGTCAATTTCACAATTGTTTCACAAGTCAATCCCCATATTTCATTATTTTTCTTCGCTCCCAAGGGGACAGTGGGTCGACCAGTTGCCATTCCGCATCGGAGAATAAAACGGAAAGGATATGCGTATTTCCGGGGTGGATTTATCGCGACGGCATTAGAACAATTATTTAGATTGGAGATTAAGAAATGGTTACAAATTATCAAAAGTCTAGATCTCTTGCCTCATGTGTTACAACAAGATTGGCTGAATATTTGGTTACAAACTTTCACGGGATCGATTACGATTTGGCCTCGGAATCGATTGAAGGATTTTTGGTATATTTTGAGTGATCCTACTGAAGAAAGAATGCATGAGATTTTGTTAAAGGGGGAACGATCGATGTTTCCCCGGATATTGTTTGTGAAACATCGGTTATCGATTGAGAGGGCGATTGAGCTGGGGAAGAAAGTTACGTTTGCTCAGATGAAAGCTTTGAGAAGGATGAATGGAAGGTTTGAATATGATGATATTGATGATGATGATTATGATTATGATGAGGAACAGGATGGACATTTTTCGCCGGAGGAGTATGATTCGGGGAGGTTTAGAGAAACACTTGGGATCTCGAAGGCGGAATTAGAGTCAGCTATTATTGATGAGGAGGAGGATGAAGTAGAACTGATTGTGGATGAAGAAGAGGAGGAGGAAGAGGAATTGGAGATGGAACATATGGTGGATGAAGTTGTTGATGAGGATATTAATGAAGAAGAAGAAGATAATAATGACAATTATGATATGAATGGTAATAATGGAACAATAAATGGTCGTGATAGATCAAATACTGTTTATTAATAAGGACAAAAGGAAAACAAAATTTATTTTAGACGTTTATTTATTTTATATAGAGAAATAATAATTTGACTATAATGTGATAGATGTTGTAGCTGGGAGTTATGGCTGCAAAAGCTGGATAACTGTATAACAGTTACAGAACTGGCCGCCCACTTGACTGCCGAAGTGCTTTTGTTGCTGGTCGAGAGGTCGTCCATACACACATATCAATGTGGCGTCTCAGTCCAATACCTCTAATAGTCCTTAAGCTGGACGAGGTCCAGTTGGAAGCTAACCCGGGAGTCTATCATCTGACCTACAAAGGTGGTGTAAATTCTATTAAAATCTTCTTCTAATGAACAAAGCTATCCCTCCATTGATTTCCACATTTTATTTAATTTTGAATTAAATTTATTAATATCAATAATATCACCATGCATTTCCATAATTTCTTCAATAAACATAATCAGTTTTTGTAAACTTATAGATTCAAGTATTGCAATTTCTTCTGGTTTAAATTTACTTAATACCCAACTTGACATAATCTCCCGAGTGGCATTTTTTGGCTTTGGACCAATTCCAATTCCAAATTTATAAACATTATCAAAGTTCATTATGGTCAGTAAATTCTTAATCCCATTATGAGATTCATTCTTATTTTTGAATTGTGATATTCTGATCTCTGATAAATCATTTTCAAAATCATCATAAAGAATTAATATTATTGAATTTACCAAATTCAATTTTTCTAATTTAATTAAAGATTGCCATGATTTATTAGATTCATTCATATACAGATTTGATTTTATAAATATCATTTTATAATTATTTGATGATGATATTGAATATGTTGATTTCTTAACTAATTGTTTAATTGAATAATTATCCATTAATAATTTTAACATTAAATGACCAGCTGAATGTCTGTTCATGGGTCCTGGATTCCCAATTGAGAATATTATCATCTGTCTATTCATATCTGTAACTACTACTATTCTATGTACTCTATGACTAATTGGGACGGCTATTGCTAAAGAGTGAAAAAATATATGAGGTCGCGACTTTTGATAGTTGACACATAAATTTCAATTTTTGTTTTCATTTTAAACACCCAAACACAATCAACGAGAGTATAATATGAGTGAAGACACGAATGACAGGATAGGAGAGAATATGGAAGAGATTAATGAACAATTGAATGATGTCCAATTGGATGCATCAGAACAAGAAGAAGTGGAGCATATCCACAATGACAACAATGACGAAAATGACAACAGTGAACATAAAGGTGAACATGAAGAGGAGGATGAAGAAGATGATGATTTTGACGATTTCAATGAAGCTGGTGAGAGCGATGCTAATCCGGACGACGATGAAGATGATGATTTTGGAGATTTTGATGACGTAGAATATGAAGAACCCAAAGAAGAACCACCTTCACCAATATCAACAACTACAACAAATATCCCCACCTTCGATGAAGAAGTCCTTGCTGACAAATCCCAATTCAACGAGAAATTATCCCATATAATAAATGAACTATTCCCAGTATCCAACCTCCCCGAAATCATTAAACAAGACCAGCAAACAGAATTACTTAATGAAAGATCTAAAACAATCTATGAACAAATGTCAACCATGCCATATTTACATCCTCATAGTTGGACAAAACTGAAAATCCGTCATAATTTATTAATCAAATTAGGAATACCGATAAATCTTGATGAAATCACCGATACTCCAAGTGCTCAAGGACATCGACCACAATTAAATCCAATACCTACAAGTACGACCACTATCAGGCGGAAATCAATCGCGGCTGAAGATATCGATTGGAAAGGATTTGAAATTCCCGAATTTACCCAGTTGGGAATTGACCAACAACAAAAATTGGCCATGTTGAATCTGACGGTTGATAGTTTGTCCAAGATTGAATTTGATAATTTGAATAATATAAGTGTGGGATATTTGGAAAATGCCCCGCCTGAAGCAATTGATGATAAATTGATACAATTAGAACGTCATTATCAAGAATTAATCCAATTAAGTAGTTGTTGGAAACAGAATATTAATGATTTACAAAATGATTTTGAGATTTATGAAAATGTGGTTCAGAGTTTTATTGGATATAGTCAAAAATTAAGACGAGAGGAAATATTGGATAATTTAAAAAGATTAAAGAATACAAAGAAGAAGAAATTCTGGAAGTCATAATTTACTCACTTAATAATAACAATAATAATAATATCTTATTAATACAATTTATAAATCACTTAAACAAAACAAGTACTATATATATACACAGTAAATATACTGAAACAAAAAAATCAAACATAAAAAATCACAAACTGTCTTCTTCTCTCTAATTGTAAAAATTAAACAAAGCTCCTAAATTATCTTCTAAAGGAAGCCCAGATTGTAAATTCATATTAATATATGAACTATCAACGAAATTAGTCTGGAATCCCGGGGTGTTTGGATTCAAAATATCGTCTGGATGATGATGTTGGTGTGGCGTCATATGATGATGGTTCAGTTGCGGTTGTGGTTGTTGAAGGTGGGGTTGCTGTTGTTGTTGGTCTTGTGTATGTTGCTGTTGTGGTTGATGGGGCTCGTTACCTTGACTTAACAGCTGATGCATGGTACTATATACATTACTTCCAATAGGTCCATCTTCTGGTGGTCCTGGAGTTTGATCCCTAGTTGGAGGAAGACTGAAATTTGGAAATAATTGAGTTGGTTCAAAATTAGCAAAGAAATTTTGATTATTTTGGAGGTTATCAGTAACCAATGAAATATCGGGGAATGATTTGATTGAAGATGATGGGGAAGTTTCATTTGTGGTTGGTTTATCACTGGTTCCGCCTGTTTCGGCAAGTTTCTTGGGTAATTTATATTGAGTAATCAAATCTTCAATATTTGGTGTTTCTCCTTCAGTATGATGTTTTGGTGGCATATTTGGAAGTTGTTGATTATTTTGTGGCATTGATCTAACTGCTGATGTATTTAAGTTGGAGAAGTTATCATACACGCGTCCAAGTGGAGAAATACCAGATGTAATTGATGAACCAGGAGGTGAAAACAAGTTTCTATTGTTTGCTTTTGCTGGAGTAGCTGTTGGTTGAGCAATTGTATGTTGATTTTCTTGTAATTCCATTGGACTATCATTTCTTCTTTCTTTATTTTCTTTATATTCTGCAATGGCAGATCCATTGGCAATAACTTGTTCACGTTTACATTTATCATCGGCATATTTATCAAACAACTTCATCAATACACCAGCAATAGGCCAATAACGAACCAATTCTTTCAATACTGCTCTTGAAACAAATAACGAATCAGATGCAGTGGAGGCAATAACTGGATTGGTTGAATCAACATGATAAATCAACATAACTAACGCACTGAAAGTAATGTATACATAGATAGCCGGCACATATTGAATTTGGTCACGATCTAATAATATCTTGGAAATGATAGAAATCATTCTGGCGGATTGGAAAGAAATACCCCAACTTGGATATTTATAATTATTTGGATTGGTAGATGATGATCTTGCCATTCTTATCAAATTGGATCTATGGACCAAATATAATCTATTATAATATTGGGCATTCAAAAGACATGAATAGAAATTTTGAGTATCATTATCAGCTAATGAAAATACCAATTGATGAGGTAAATTAGTAAACCAAATACCCATCAACATATCACAATGTTCAATAATAGAAAATGCATTTCTTCTTTTCATTGATTCTGATTTGACACTGTATTGATGTTTGATAATGATACCAGTGATTTCAGCTAATTTGACCAAATGAATAAAATATAATGCTTGTGTTTCATCAACTTCATATGGTGAAACAATATCTAATTCTGGATCATCTTCATTAAAATCATCTATAGTCAACATTGGAACGTCACAATCATTTAAATCGATAACCACGGGTCTACCAAAAGCGATAGCCACATTTCTATCTTTTTCAAAAAGACACCACCAAATTCTTCTCCATATTCTCTTTTCTGAAGTTGTTAAATTCTTATTATTATTCACATCACGCTGAAAACCAAATCCTTGAGCTACACCAACTGCAACTCTTGTCCAATAGAAAGAATTTTTAGTCACATCTTCCGGTCCATCCCAATAGGATCCAATAAGAATCAAAGTCTGTATAATCGAAATAGGATCACTTTCATAATTCATTTCATACAATGCTTTAGCTCTTCTGAAAAAGGTCAATGCAGCTAAATTCTTAGTTCCTTTTGAATCCAATAATAATGGATTCTTAGATACTCTACAACCACATAATAACACAGCATGTAAAACCATTAAACTTGGACTATCATCTGGATCATTAAATTTCTTCATAAACAATGTACGATTAATGACTGGCATTAATGGATGTACATGTTCAAAATAAGCATTTATCAAATCAAGTGCTAATTCCTTATTTGGTAATAAGAATGCTCCTCTTAATTTCAAAATCTCTAATTCAACAGAATCTAATGAATTATCAGTTTCTTCAAATACATCATCAGTTAATTCAACATGATTATCACCAATACGTTGAGGTACGACTCCAATAGAAGATGCTCCCAAAAAGGTTAAAGCGGCTTTGTTTTTAAAGTTGTGCATTCTACGTTTGAGAATTTGTGGACGGGTATTATAAGTTGAATGTAATGATGGTGGAACACTTACTTGAGAAATATTTAATATTGGACCACTTAGACGTGGAGATGATGCCACTGACACTGGAGTAGCACGATGAATACTGAAATGAGATGAGTGGTCGTCATGATTATTCTTGACTGCAGAAGTTGTATCCAGTGGATTTACAGTTGAATCTTCTTCTCCTTTAATTAAATCCTTTTTTCGTTTCTTGGTTGTTTTCTCTTTACCATCTTGAACTTGTTGTCTCTTCTTTTTACCTTCACCTGGTTGATTACCTCTCTTCTTAGCTTCTGGTAATATACAATCACAACCAAATGTTATACAATTGGTACAAGGAATATGAATCTCAGCATCACATCTTACCTTTCTTGATCTACAAACAGTACAAGCTCTTGATCCTCTTGGACGTTTGTATTTGATGGTAAATGCTTTTGGTTTATCCTTACTGGAATCCTTACCATTATTGGAAGCATCAGAACCATTTGCAGCACCCGTCTTTTTATTCATGGTTTTTGTCTGTCTGATTTTGGTGGTTGTTGTTGAATTTATGTCTGTATTATCAATTAAATCCTGTGACATTATTTGTCGGCCGATAAAAGCGGTATTTGTCTGAAGTATTCTTTCCTAAAAAAAAATGTGTCAGATGGATGATGATTATCTAACAATAAATGTAAAACGACAATTACTTGATGATATAAATAAAGAAAAAGTCACTTGATGAAAATCTGGATGGCGAGTTTTTTGGAAAATTGACTGACTGTCCGTTTTATTGATAAAATGTGGAAAGAAGGGACGGGAAGAATAAAATAAACCAAAAGAGAAAATCCAAAGAAGGAAAAATGACTGGTATTTTATTTTATTTTTTTTTTTAATTTTAAATTTTAATTTTATTTTATGTTAGTTGTTTGGGGTAACAAAATCGTAGAACAAAAATAAAAAAGGTATCAAATTGATTGTTTAAAAAATATCTCTCACAATAATGTCGCTTTTGTTGCCTAAAAAATAAAAATATTATTGCCATTTTAGACTTTTTGTAAGGGCTCAGCAGAATTTTTCAAACTCCCCACATCCATCCATGGAAAAATGTTCAACGAGTTAAACGCATTAGGAGGGGAATATAGTGAACTAGGTATACTTTTGGGTAACGTCCGGAAAGGCGATATCTACACACTCCGATTGGTGTAACAAGTAAACTTTGTACCGATCTATATGAGGTGGAGATTTAATTTTAGAGCAAAAGAAGAATTATTCAGGGTGCCATACTTGAGCTCTTGTAACTCTTTGTGACTGCAAGTTTATTATTTTGTTTCAACGCGACGTTTCCATCTGGTACGGGCAACTTTGGGGCAGTCTGGGGTAGTGTGGGTATCGACCTTCTGGGTCTAGATAGTTAGGCATTTATAAATTTGTGTGTGTGTAAGTCCGAATTAAACACAAAAATTAATGGTAGGAATATTTAAACGACACATAGCATTCCATTTTCCGAGTATTTGTGTTGAAAATGGTTTTCTGAGCAGATCTGTTTAAAAGATTGGTCAGCTTGTAAAAATCGGAGATTTCTCGCTCTTGATTCGATGGAGATAGGGACCCAAGATATGTCCGGAGGTTTAAATAGGTTAACAATTGGTGGCACTTCCATTCCAACGTCGAGGGGCAAGTTCGAGATCAATCCTTCCAACGTCTTCCGAAGGAAAAAAAAAGGGGCGGCTTAAAATGTCGTTGTAAACTAATTTCGAGGGGAAGAAAATAATTAGTGACAAATGTCTCCCACTCTTTCAAATTTTAGGCAGCATGACTCGACTATAAATCACATGTAAATGATCTCAAACTGTCCCACTAGTGAGACACAATTCTTTGGCTTTGTATAATCTTCGGAACAATCGATTAAGTATCGTCTGTACCCCTAAACAAAAGAGAGATCTAAGGCACGATTGACTAAAACAAAGACTGCCCCTCTATTCGGAGCGGTTATGTGTCCGACTCGAAATTCGGGGTGGAGGTCGAAAGGAAGTGTGGTTGAATGGAAAATAAAACATTAGTGGGCGATTTTTCCGCACTTTATCCGTTTTTTTTTTTGACTCATGCATTAAACGTATGGAAGCCACCTTCATCTGGTTTGACAGAAATTAATGCATAAAGCTGACTAGGTTACAAAAGAAAGCTGTTATAATAATAAAATTTGTAACCGGCAGAGAAGGGACTATCGCATAAACTCCGTCCCTTTTTGTGTTTCCAATGATTTAAAGCCTTATTTGCAGCAACTGTTATCATTTACAATTATTTTTCGATCTATGATCGGTTCGTAAATAGGTCACATCGGCAAAGGACGACTCAAGCGGTTGCGGGCGGGCTAAATTGTACAAGAAAACCTTGGAAACTGTTAGTTGCTAGGCATTCTCCTCTATATCGACTCAGTTTGGAGGTGGTTTCTAATCGAAGATGTTAGCTTTACTGATCGAGACCTGGGGTAAAGCTACATATCACCTTGGCAAATCTCCACAACTTATTAAAAGTTACAATCATCGAAAGAAATATAACTTATGGGATAATTCTCTAGAATTGCTAACTTGGAAAATACGCTAAATTTGAATGATGGCTACATAAAAAATATGGCAACCGTTTTTCTTGGAAAATATCAAGAAGAAAACAAGAACCCTTGATCAAGACTTGATTAGATCGATTTCGGTGATTCTTTCCGAAGTGGAGTATTTGGATAAGCTTTTGGAGAAAAAAAACCCACCAAGTGATGATCGAAAAAAAAAATGTCTTGGAATATGGACAGGTACGGTTTCACTTCCCAACAATTTCACATTCAGATTGGGTAGATCTACTAAGTAGCGACGACAATTTGTTCTTCTATTTCAAAAAATCTCCATTTTGAGTATCTCAGATGTTCTGATAAGCTCAGTTTGAAAAAGGTGGATGGGGTAGTTAAGAATGAACAAGTAAGCGCAATACCGTTTTCTGTACTCTTCACTTTCTCAATTCAAACCTAGCACGAAGCCTAAATGATTCTAGAAAGATCTTACAAGTATGCTCAGGTAAATTACCTGAATTGTAGATATTCCTGAACGATAAATTTATCCAGATGAACCATTCTTACAGGCGCATGGCAAAAATAACAAGAGCTGATTACACAGTGGAAATGTCAACAATTTTGTTCTTTCCAGAATTCTAGGCTTATGTATACCAGAAAGAGCGCCACCTTAGAGAAGTTTTACAATTTCCAAGACTTGTTTTCTCGGAAATACCACTTAAATATTGTTAGACGAATAATATTGTATCCGGCCGGGATATGAAATTTCCACATGTCTTTCTCCGACTGGAAGCGACCAGCCGGGATCAATGCAAAGAAGAGCGTGTTTTTCAAAGGGTCCATTCCTACAAGGATCGATAGATTTGGGCCCATGGTCGGAATATGGGGTAACAGCTGCCCCTCTATACTAACCGTTGATGTACAAAATAACAAAGCACTCCAACCGTTTTCCCTTTTTCTCAACAATGTAAATCGCTAATCACAAGCATAAGGCGTCGTTCTTGCGTTGCCTTTGTATGAGCTAAACTACATTATGTCTTCTAACCTGCCATACGATCATGTGTACTGTCATATTGCTTGTCGTCAAAAGAATCGAAAGTCGCGATACTGTAAAAGGTGGGGGACTGAACTAGAGTTTATTGCCGATGGTACCAAGACGTAAAAAATAGTGGAGAACGTTCTATGAAGAATATTGACAGGCTATATCAGTCACAAAGAAGGAACTAAAAAATATTAACACATAGCTTGCTTTGAGTAGATTTGCAAATCTAGAAATTTGCTAGGGCATATTACCTTGGGAACATGATATTGGTGTCCCGTTTTTCTTGTGCCATTAAGGAAAATCTACAAACTATTTAAAACCCTATAAATTATAAAAAAGATCTGTTCTCGTAGATAAACAAAGAAGAATTTTGATTGAAATAAAATTATTTCGAATGATGTGTAAGCAAATGATTTAAAACCTGGTTCTGGATTATTTGCAACTAAATTTATTATTTTGACCGCACGCGATTAACAACAATAGGAAATAGAAAAAAAAAGTTTTGTAAACTGAAAGCGGGGTCGAAGAAGTTTTTGGTATTTTTGTATATTTCCGAGGAATAAAACCACCACAAACATCTTCCACCAGAGACCTTTCCTGACACCCTTTTCCAGAATGCTGTATAGATCTTTGAGATATGTTGATTAACTCATATGTCCTACAAACCGCTCTCTTCTATGTCACTTTATAGTTGTTTTTTATTAGAGAAGTAATCATGTTCTACGAGGAAGGTAACTAATAGTATTTCCGAAACCCCCCACCTTACGTAATCAGAAGAAATGAGCCAGGAAATATTTTTTATGATTTCAATGTCCCCCCACACAATTGGATCCAATTAATTTCAAAAATGACGCACAAAAAAGGATAAATCATTGCGCTTAGTTATTAACATGCAGTAGAAATCTATGTCCGAATTATCAGCCAGAACTTATTTTTGAGCAGTTAGAACTATAAAACGTTTAACTTAGTCAACGGAATCAGTTGGTATGGTTGTCATTTAATTTAGTCCTTGGCTTTGGAAACACAAAAGTGGGAAACAATACGTGTAGATCTGGTTGTTCATTTCTAGATCCCGCATAGAAAAATCTCCGTAGTCCCTGCGAAACTTTTGTATTTATTATTTTCTAATAAATTTCTAAATAAAAGTTTAATAATTATCGGACATTTTTCTTGGAAACTTTGGAGTTCTAAGCCCATCATTTATATACCCTTAGTGAGAAACCAAAAATTATGTTTTTTTTTATAAAAAAAATCTAATCAATCACAGACAGACACAAAATAGTAACTACATAAAAAATGTCAGAGGTTACGAAGGGAATATCAAAACCTGCAACAACTGCAACGGCAACGACAACATCAGCAGCAACGGCAACGACAATGCCATCTAAACCTTCAACAAATTTAAACTCTAGTACACCCCGACCAAAAGGTAGACCAAGAGTGTTTCCAGTGGCACAACGAAAGAAAGTATCAAGAGCATGCGATTTATGTAAACAAAGAAAGATGAAATGTAATGGAGCTTTACCTTGTTTATTCTGTAAACTGAAATCTTTGAATTGTTCATACTTAAAGGTTGATGGTCGATCCCTAAAATCAAAAGCTTATATTGAAGCTCAACAGAAACAAAATCAACAATCACAGACATCAACACTTCCACAATCTCAGATATCAACACTCCCACTACCTCAAGGTTCACCAACCAGTCAAGTAATAGCCCCAGATGCACAAAGCCCGTTAGGTCCTTCACCGATCTCATCGCTCCTAATAAATAACCGGACCCCCATCGGATCAACTCCAATATCTCCCTTGACTACCAGAAGATTATCTGTACATGAAAGTCAATTGCCTTCATTAATGAATAAACCAAATACGAATGGAATGAAGATAGAAAAACCAAAGAGAGCCGCATCTATAACAGCATCATCTCCAAAAGTTTCCGGGGTAGTGCCAATAATGGGCACCAATGCAACCCCACTTACTAAATCAAATACAATAGACTCAGTACTAACGAATTCTAGTACTTCAAGTACAAATACCGGAATGTCCACTGCCCCTACATCTAATAACCGCCAATCACCACCGCAAGTCTCATTATCAGTGATATGTCGTAGTTTACAACACGCTTTAGTTGATGACACTCACAATGGAAACTCAATAGATAAGATAAAGACCGCTCTCAATCTTTCTAGAGGAACTCAGAGTGAGGGCTTACTGAATCTTAATGGTCAACATACTCGAATATTATATAATCAGACTGGCGATATGAGATTCTTTGGTGAAAGTTCGGCTCTTTCTTTATTGAGTGAATGTCGGTCATTGTTTTATGATACATTAGGTCCATCAACTTTTACGAATGACCCAAGACAAGAATATATAATTGATGAAAGTAGTGATTATACCAAACCAACTTTACCTATGCAACTTCCACCTAAGGATATAGCATTGATTTTAATTGATATGTTCCAAAGAGATATTAATGATACATTCTATGTATTCAATATGAAATATTTCATGAATCAAATAGTGGAACCAATTTATGCCAATCCATATAAGGCAAATACGAGAAAATTATGTTTATTACATCTTGTATTTGCAATTGGAACATTATTTGTTGAATATTCTCCAGAAATCAATTTGGATTTACCTAGTTCGGAAGAGTTTTTAGCTGGTGCGCAAACGTTAATGAGGGATAATGTCTATGATGGGAAATTATGGATGGTTGAAGCTAATTTCTTAAAATATTTCTATTATCAAGCTTGCTGTAATCGATCAAGTTCCTGGATGGCATTAGGTATAGCAATCAGAGCCGCCCAAGCTTTGGGTCTTCATCGTCGAGTTATAAATTCTCGCTTTGCAGATCGAGCAATTGCCAATCATAGAAGACGATTATGGAGAAGTCTTTTTGTATGTGATTGTGTGAGTAGTGTGAATTTGGGACGGCCATTATTGGTAAGTGGATATGATTATGATGATGCAAATTGTGAGATCCAAGAAGATGATATAGAAGATGAAGAAAGGATTAGAATCATGTGTCAGAAAGCTACTAGTGATTCTGCAATCATAAATGGCCGTATTGTTGAGAATATCTTTAAGGATGGTAGAATTAATATTAAACGAGCCCATCTATTAGCATTGGAATTAAAATTATGGTCGATCCAACTACCTCAAGAATTACAATTAACTTCAGCCTTGGAGAAACAGTTAGAACTGGGTGCAAATGGCAATAATTATTTATTGGTATTTGTTCATATAGGTCAATTATATGGGATTATGGCATTAACACGTCCATTTTTGGTGTATGTTGTCACGCGCAAATTAAAACCAGAAACTAAATCACAAGTTAAAGATGAACATTCATTAATGAGTTTTTGTAAAGCATGTATCAAAGCAAGTTTTTTGGTTATCAAGTTATTAAAATTCTATACAGTCCATAATAATTATCGCAAGGAAGTGTTTACTATTCAAAGTGCATGCTTTTTTGCATCCATTATACTAGGATTTACTTTATTAGAACAAAAGAACCTGGCAAAACCTGATCTTCATTATATGGGTGTATTAGAAGAAGCAATTAAAGATGGTATTGATATCTTATCAACTTATGCCGGCTTCAACAATACTTGTAAAAGATGGTGTCAGCATTTAGAAAATATGATGATTGCATTGAATTGTGAAGAAGGTGTAGATGAACTGTGTGCTTCATCTATATCTAGTGAAGTTGAACAGTTTAATCATGAGATTGTAAGTTGGAATATTGAGAATAAGGCATTGGAAGAATTATTGAATTTCCAACAATATTTCGTCCCAGTGGATGTGACAACTCAAGATAATTTACAAGATTTATTAAATATTAATCTGAATGATTATTTGAATGCTTTCAAGTATGATAATCGAGATCACATCGTATTTGGAGCGAGACAACATGATGCTTAGAAGTTTTGTTTAGTTTGGTGTTTTGATTGCCTTTTGTATAATGTTTTAGTATGTGTTTATACAGTGTCATAGCGACACTGACGATGTACAATTATAAGTTTATAAATTGATAAATTAATGAATTAATTGGGTGGTCTTCTAAGTAATTATTCACCTATTTAAATATAAATACTAAAACAATATTTTCTAAGATTTAAAACAAACTATATAAATTATAATTAAAAGCTCTACTCTACTAGTCTACGTTACTGACTTTGATAAGATCAGATGATTTCTTATACCCTTTAGTTAAATCATATTTTGACAGAACTGAGTTGAATATTCTTAACAATCGATTGCGTCTACCCTCTTTACTTGCTTCATCAACGTCATCTAAAAGTTCATTACTACTAATGTTATTATTACTACTACTGCTGCATCTGCTGCTGCTATCATTACTTTGGACATCATATTCATTAATAAATACTTCATAATTTTCAGTACAATCACCACAAACAAATTCATGATGATTTCGTTTAACTCGTTTCTTTCGATTGTTAATAATCGATGATATTTCATATAATGGTTTTTCACATAAATCACAATATTTTAATAAATCGCTACCAGGTATCTTACCAAATATTGCTTCCAAATCTTCAAATTTTGTAAATTGACGATCGTCAGAAGAATTACTGCGTTTATTATTGGATCTGAATGATGATGATGGGAAATCTTCATCTTCATCTTCATATATTATAGATGACATTTCACTCATTGAATCCGGACATAGTATCCTTTGTTTAAAATCAGCTAAGGATTTTTGTCGTGACATATGGGGTCCAGATGATTTTCGAGGAATGTAATCTTCAACTAATACTATTGGATCTTGACTTTCTTCATCGATATATTCTACATCTTCTTCTTCTTCTCCTTCCTCTTCATCATCATCATCGCGTTCAACGTCTTTATTTTCAAGTTCAACTTGCTCTTTGTCGGAATGGCTCTTTAAAGTATCATGCAGATTGCGTCGCACGTGCAGTAAAGTGCTAGAGGATGCTTTTAAAGACGACGCACCTGACGAAGTGGAAGTCCTTTTGATTGGTGGAGGTGGAGGTAAGGGTAATGAAGTTAAGGTTGTGTCATCAATCAAGTCTAATTTCGACTGCTGATGTCTAATTGTTTTAGTTGAGTTATTAAGGTTTAAACTGTTGGACGATGAGCTAAGTGATGAAAGATTGTTATTGTTCTTAATCTTATTGGTATGATGGCTTAGTATATGTTGTTGTTGGTAGTGGTTATACGGCTGTTGTTGTTGTTGTTGTTGATGAAAGTCCAGTTGTTGTGGTGATAGGGTTGGTGGTAATAATGGCAGATTGTTCATCTATGACGTATGATGGTGATGGTTATGGCAATCGACACGAAGGTGGAGGACAGTGGAGGAAAGTGAATTGGAGGTGCCAATAGATGTAATAGATATGTAATTGGGGTGTGGGGATAATAACTTGTGAATAAATATATTTTAGAATTACAGTTGGGGGGGATTTTATAATTAATTTATAAAATTTAAAATGGAAGGGCTAAATCTGAAAAAAGAATTTTGGGAAAGGGAAACAAAAAAAATAACAAGACCGACAGACAGTAAGCAAAAGAAAAACTGTAGAAAGGAAAAACTGTAAAAAAAAACTTTGGGTACGAACTTTTTGAACAAAGTACACTACTACGATTTTCTCTTCCTCGTTTCCCGGAATTTTCCTTACGGGGAAAATTTGACAACACAATGAATTTTTTTTCTTCGGTAAATTGTCGAGATCTTCATTTTTTTCCTGCATGAGGGGTGGGACAATGACATTTTGGACATTTAATTCGGTCACAAAAAAAAAACCACTCACGTGAATGTGTTTACATTTTAAAATAACAACCTTGACGTTTTATTGACACATGCAATATATTAATGAACACATCTATAGTTTCAAAAGGGTTACACACTCTTATCTCTACAGAGGAAGGTTAATTTCAAACGAGATCAGAAGGTTTTCAAGACGACCGCCTTGCAAATGGTTTTTCTTTTACACTTTGGCTGTGGCCAGTGGTACTAACGGTAATTTTTTTGGGCACGGCTACAAACTTTATAATTATAATCAAAGTTATAAATAGTACATTGTTCATAGAGCTTGTAGAAAAAGAATCTACAGGTACGCTCGTTGAATAAAGGGTCTAGACTTCAATGCTTTGTAGCCAGCTTGTACACTTCATGTGATTATTTTGATTTGGAAGACGCGTCGGAATGTGTGTGTTATTATCGTCTGAGTTGCCACTGCAACAGCCATACACACACTTTTCGGACATTTATCTCCTTACTTTTTGAAGTAGGTCTAAGTCAACAACCGTCGCTGTGCTTATAAGTCACTTTGGATATAACGGTTAGGAAACTTTTTTTAGTGAGTGATTGTTGCCGTTTCAATTTAAGGCATCTCAGCCAAGGCGCAAGTCAGATTTCCCAAAAGAAAATAAATGCTGCAAAAAATGAACTGATGGTTACGTAATCAGAAATTGTAGCCAACCTGGCAGACCATGCTACCCGATGGTTAACTAGTCATACTATAAGAGTTCAGAAATAGTCCAATCAAGAGTTGGCATAATTGATATTGCAACGAAGGGTATCCCCAACAATAGGTAACGTTGAGCGACCTTCAACTCCTCTTATTCCCCTCCCCCACAAAAACTGATGCTGAAGGTGCAATCGTGTCAGATCTAGTCAAGTAGCACACTACTACTATTGGACGGTTATAAGGAGACCAACATACTGAGTTGAAATTGTATGACCTTTTTTTGAATAGAAGATATAATATCAGAATTATAATTGAAAAGATAAGGACCCTATTTCGAATCTTTAATTAGTCATTGACTCCGGCTACTTGGCAGATAAAACGTACGACTTCAGACATTATAACCGGTACGCACGTTGAATACAAGAGTCACGAGCTATTAAGAAGAAGGGTATGACTACGCGACAACATTTCCAACTGATTAGAATCTAATATTGACAGGGGGGAATACACTACAGAATTCTTCTATTTAATTACATCATAGCATTGGTTGCCCTTTGTTTCATCAATTCATGAAAGCTTATATCTCCATCATCTTCATCATTATTAACCCATTCCAAAATATCCTTGAAAATCCGTTGAGATATCATCTTATCCATTTCTAATTCTTGTTGTCTAATACGCAACATTAATTTCTCGCATAATTCAATAATCATAATTAATCCCTTAGCTTCTTGTCTTCTCTTAAACTCAATTATTGGTTTCCAATTAGTGATATTACTAAATCTAAGTTCTAACACCGATAATCGAGGGAAATATTTCGGATTTGAGATAATGACCGGCATACCCATATCCGTTAATCTCGGACAATTATTCAATGAAAGTCTTTCTAACCAACGACAAGAATTTGCAATTTCCCAAATCAGCCTATCAGAAATATCGGTACCTGCCAATCCAATAGTATGTAAATTTGGGTTTGATCTAATTAATGAAACAATTGAGGAATCAGTAATGAAATAGCCTCGATTTTTGCGACCGAAATTTATCAGACATAAATTATGACAATGTTTAGATAATTGATATACACCAAAATTCGAGATTTGTTCACAAGCACGGAGATCTAATGTTGAAAGATTAGGACATCTTTTGGCAATTGCAATTAATGCATCATCGTCCATCGATTTAGAACCAGTGATTACCAATTTTTTCAAGTTTGGACCTGATTGAGATATGATCTTTGAACAAGGGAAGAGCTTGGGACACATATAGATTTCAAGCCATTCTAATTTTTCGAAATTGGTATGTTTCACGAAGGCATCAAGATAGCTCTGTCTAGTTTGGAAAAGTTTATGAAGGATGAATACTTTAGGTCGAAATTTGATCGTATTTGGTGAATTGATGACTTGTAAATATCTTTTGAATTTATCTTCTGAATCAAAGTAACATTTGTGGGATATTATTTCCTTACTGATTTTATGAAATAACTTATTAACCAGCAAGCAATTAAATAATGGATTTTTGTGTGCTATTACCTGATTTTGTGGTTGCAAAAGTGATTTTTCGGCCATTTCTTTGGTACCATGAATTAACATTGCATGATTGTAACTCAATGGTCTTCTTCTAACTGGTGGCACCTCTTGAGGTAAATCAGTGTATTGTAAATCAACATAGTTTAGTATCTTATTTACAATTTCCGGGATTTCAAAGATACTAATCTTCGTCTGTTCAGCTTGTAATTTATTCAATAAATTCACTTTTGAAACTGGAGCAGGACAAGGATAATGAAAAACACGTTGCTGTTCAGGCGTCGTGAGTGGACTATAATCCTCATCCTCATCACCATCTTCATCATCAGTCAAACTAGGTAAACTTTCCAACTCAGAACAGGTAGAATAGAATGAAAACTCTTCTTCTTGAGGAAATTTCAATGACGATGAGACTGATGGAAGACGTGAAGGGATAGGAGTTGGGGTTGGACTATTTGGTCTAGATAATGGATGTCTTCCCTTTCTTCTGGTGGAACGTGTTCTAAAGAATGCAGACAAGGAGTTTGTAGAAATCTTGTTGCATGATTTTGATCGTTTGATGACTGGTGTATCCAGAATATGACTCAATGTTGGATATGTATATATTTGATTGTCGACAATTTCATTGGTAGGCAATGGCTGTGTAAGATTGAACTTCATGTTCTAAAATGATGTAATAAAAATATAAATGAATAGAAGGTACAATATGATGTAAAATGATTGACTGGGGTGAGTTTTATATATGAAAGTGAAGATTCAATTGAATGAGTCCTCTAGAGATTGCTCTTTTGGAATTGAAATATAATCTATAAAAAGTTGATGATTATCAGAAATAAAAACCTCAAGGGGGGGGAAGTAGTTGGAACCTTCTCTGGGTATTTATATAATATATCTCTCTCTCGATTCGAGCCTCGTATATGACAACAACAGCTATAGTTAAAAATAAACCAGCAATGGGATGACTTACGATGTTAGTCTGATTAAAAGTGGAAAACACAATAAAGAAATGTCACTTGCCAGAACTAATTAATTGTTTCTTTAAAAATAAAAAAAGAAAATTAAAAAGAACCAGCTTCTATATGTTAACAATTAACTCGTCATCTTAATAGGCATCGTCCCCTCCCCATGAGGAAATAAAATTAAGTGTAATTGTAACAAATTTTTAAGGTACAGATAATTTTATTCTCATGCACGAACCAAAAAAATGGCTGGTTGAAAAGCTAAATTTAAATGTTTCACCGAAAGAATGCAAAAAAAATATTTTTTTCTTTCCTTACAAAATATTCGAATTACTACTTTACGGAAATGAAGATTATGTTTAATCTTCTTTAACGGGGTCTAGATCATTCCAAGCGAGTTATAGGGTGTCAGTACATGTAAGTGATACATTTTTAATAAAAATAGAATGTTTGCTGGTTGTGTAGCGACCCTAACTTTGCTGAATGTCACAGGAGCGTCCGTTTTGGAAAAGCGAGATCTATAGACAATTGTTTTACCAGGACCAATTCAACTATCCATCATACCACGGATGTTTGTTTCAGAGGTTGTGGAGTAAATCCTGGAATTATTGCAAGTGATTTGAGAGAGGAATTTGGCCAAGCCGGTAATAGTTTACCAAGGGTCTTGGCTGCGAAATTTTTTTCTGGGAATATATTTGTAAGAATGTAACAGGTTTTGTTCAAAGAAGAAAACACAGAATAAATGTACTAAGTCTCATGGTGGTATGCTGAGACTTATTTTATATGCCTTGTGAAAATTATTTTTGCTTGAATAAACTCGTGATATCTGCATTATCCAACAGAAAGTTCCTTCCAAGCGGGATGCCTAACCTCGGCCCTTGGTCTACCTAGAAACTAGCTAGATTCTAAAAATCTTCAGCTTCGTCTGATCTTGCCATCCAGTCATTGGTTATATTCTCCAGCCGTGTGGTCAATTGTCTGTTTGTAGAACAAATCAAATCTTATTTTCAAGAAAGCTAAATTTACAAAGAAAGTTTTAAACTCATAAACCCGAAAGAAAGGATTTGTTCATAACACCATGTCAAGCCACATAACCTTGCTTGCATTATTTCTTGAATTGTTCCTAACGCTAAATGATTCGTTACTTCATACCTTCAATGAAAGTCTTGGTCTAGGTTCCTGGTAGATATGCTGCATACTAAAACTTAAGCGAGTTACAAAATTAAAAACAAAAGAAAAATATTTCTAGTAAAGTGACGCAAAAAATTTGCATCCAAAAAAACGATGTGCATATTGCGAAAAAATAATCTAATAAGCCAGCCACTTAATATTTCAATAAAAGGGTACAATAAGCGAATCTAAATTTATGGTATGGACCTGGTTCCTACAGACAAAACAATAGGAGCCCAAATTTGTAGAAGGCGAACAATAAAGATGAATGTTACTGTGCAGTAAGGCGTGGCTCTTAGCCGCTGTTGATCTATCTAAATTCGTATATGCAAGTAGGGGAACTGGCTTAATTTTGCTTGCTACAGTTGTGAATAACCAGGAAGCAAATGATAATACGAAACGCGTAAAAGTTCAATCGCGTCTTTTGGTTTTATGAAGCAAATTGCAAGCCACCACTTGAAGCTAATCACAATAATTTTTCAAAATTTTACCAATTAATTAGAAAATACTGGATATTTCCTGATATACACACATGGCCATGAACAACTTGCGGTAGAAATTTCACAAAAATTTAGCAGTCTCTTAAGTTGAAACGACTAATAAATCACATTTTTATGAGACCACGGGATTGTTGCTGATTTAACACATATTTATGATATGTTGCGATTCTTCGTACATTCGTGCTTCATGCAGTATAAGTCAATGCGAATGCAACCACCATGTTTATGATAGATCACATGCAGCGCCTCTTTATGGGATTGACTCCAAATAGTGGTCGAGTCTTCAATGGTAATCGCCGTCACTGCATTTATTGTAATATGTCACTCCGTTGCGTAAAGCAGTCTGCAAATATATAGCCCGTTTTCGGAGAAAGAACGCCTTTTTGGTGTCCTATTCCGGAACGGTATCGCCGGTCAGGAAATCAATAGTTTTGGTCATTGAAGATTTTGCTTAACGGGTGTACACGGTGTGGTCTTCTCAGAACACCTTTTGAATGCAAACGAGACATGTATGGAGTCACTTGGGTTTGTTTCAACTTTCTCTTAATGCCTTCAAATATGTATTTTATCTTTTTCGAGGTTCTTTTGCCTCAGAGGGCCTGTATTGCCAGTGCAACGTTGCATTTTATTCTTCGTTTGTGCTAAATTTAGAAAATAAAATTTGTTGAGCTATGCGAAAGGGGGTTATTCCGCGAACGAGGCGACAAATACTGTTCTAGAAAACCTAAATGCACGTTGTAATGGAACATGAAGTCGTGCGAGGTAAGAAGATAAGTGTTCTAGAAGTACAAGAGTGGACCCAAGAAGACAAGCAGTAAACAAGAGGCGAGCAATCTGAATTTACTTTATCCATGGATAACTGTAATTTTATTGTTGATTTTGTAACATAGTTGTAGGAATATGGGAAACCGCAACATCAAACTGATGTCATCTTTTTAGTTCTGGGAACGACAAAGGAGAATAAGGGGATGTTTGAAATACAGTTCTAGACAACGTGTTGAAGTGGAAAACTCAAAATATGTGGCTGTATCAGAATACTCCTTATCTTCACTTGTAATTATTAGTTTATCAAATTTTCATCAACTGATTAAAGTTAAATTATTAATTGATTGATAAAAACGTTTCGCTTCATTGTTCCGGTGGCTTTTTTTCAAGAAAAAGTTTTTCCGATGCGTTATTTTATGGCTCGGATAAATTTTGTTGGTTGATTTCTTTTTTTTTGGTTCCCAATTAGGAAAGAATTCCACACTAAACACGCCAGAAAAATGATGATGCGTAATGTGTGAAATTGATGATTCATCCGTTAATCCATTCATCGTGAATTTTCATTCTTATATTCACTTCCTTCTTTCCCCTTTCTTCTTCATCTTTGGTAAGATTTCATTGTCATTTAAAGAAGGAAAGAGTTATCTAGTTACCTAGGAATACTACTATCACAGCTAATACTGTAACACGCCACGCGCACAAAATAGAAGCCCATCGCATTAAACACAATGGTAAAGAAAACAGCCACAACATCAAAATCAACACCTTTATTTGATATCCGATTAAGCAATCTAGACCATGACGTCCTAGTTCTCAAAGGTACTGAACAAGAAGCCGCTTCAGTACTATTAGCTGGTAAAATTGTCTTATCTGTAAATGAACCATTAACAATCAAGAAATTATCATTAAAATTACAATGTAATTTAAGACTAAGGGCAGAAATAGCAAGAAACGGTAAAGTACCTGCATTCCAAAAAACCATGTATGAACACTGTTGGGATTCCCAGGAATTTTCAAAGTATCTTAGCAATATGTATGAAAATAGTTTAATGGCAAGTTCAAGTTCTCAACTGCTGGCTCCTCCCGTGAGTAGAAATCAATCCACCACATCATTAAAAGGACTCGGATACTCCCTCCTACACAAAACATCAAGTTCAACAAGTCTATTACATTCAGCAGCATCTGCCACAAATCTTCAACAACTCCATCCATCGTCCTCCACTACATCCTTATCCAAATCGTCACATCACGTGTTATCACCAGGTAATTATGAAATCCCATTCAGTGCAATCCTACCCGGAAACATCCCAGAATCAATTGAGGGACTCCCAGGTTGTTCATCCTCATATAAATTGGAAGCAACTATAGATAGAGGGAAGTTTCATTCTAGTTTGGTGGCCAAGAAACATGTATGGGTGATTAGGACATTGACTACCGATGCGGTAGAATTATCGGAAACTAGCGCAGTTGATAATACGTGGCCCCAAAAAGTTGAATATTCATTAAGTTGCCCTTCTAAGGCGTTGGCGATTGGGGCGGGCACGCCGATTAGTATGATGTTTGTTCCATTATTGAAGGGCTTGAAATTGGGGGATATTAAGATTGAATTGGTGGAACTGTATGGATATGTGGGATATATCGGACCTCTGCATAGTGCTGAAAGGGTGATTGCGAGAAAATCAATCCCGAAGAAGGAGGAACAAGAGGGGGAAGAAGAAGAAGATGGGTGTCTGTTTGATAAATGGGAAGTGGATACTTTTTTGAGATTGCCTGTTTCATTGAGTAAATGTTGTCAAGATGTTGAATTGAATAGTCATGTTAAGGTGAGACATAAATTGAAGTTCAATATTGGTTTGATTAATCCCGATGGTCATGTTTCGGAGTTGAGAGCAACATTGCCTATTCAATTATTCATTTCTCCTTTTGTTTCAGTAAGTTCTAGAATTGATGAAGAACCAAATTCTGAAGATGAAGAGGTATTATTTATCTCAAGTAGAGATTCATGCGAAGCTTTGAATTCATTAGCCAATAATCCATCCTCCAATAACAATTCTCATACCTCGTTAACTGGACTAGTCGCTCCTCCATTATATGAAAAACACGTCTATGATAGATTATGGTCTGATGTATCACCAGTAGAAACTCCAATCACATCAGGTGCATCAACTCCAAGGAACAATTTTTTGCACAACAATAATCAATTCTCAATGTCATGTTTGGATTCAAATTTGTTAGCAGAAAATTTACAACAATTAAGTATGCAACGACAAGCACAATCACCAGATGAAACAAACAACACATCCATGAATCTTCTGAATTCAATAATGTCGAATTCAAGCGGTTCACTGACTCCATTACGTATAGGTCGTGCTGCAACCTTCAATCTCGATGGTGGTGATGAAATGTTGAGCAAAAGAACTCCATCTTCTTGGACACCCCAAAATCAACTGTTTCTCAATGATGCCATCCTAACTCCACCCGTCCATCTTTCAAGAGCAAATTCAGAATTATTAGTAAACGCTGATCAATTGAACAAAGTTCCCACATATTCACAAGCCATGAAATCAAACACTGATGACGATTTGTCACCAGCTTATGAGCCACCGTTACCGGGGTCAAATATCAATCTACAAGTTCTTGGGAGTAATAAATTATATGACCCCAGGAGAATGCCAAATAGCAGGGGAGGTAGTTCGTCACCGCCGATTCAGTCAAGAAATGCGTCTAGTAATAATCTAACGGGGTTGTTAATGGCTGCGAGTGGGGGAGGAGGACAGAATAAGAAGAGTTTTACGAATTTGAGTGAGATGGGTGGATCTCCTCCTACTGATAGATTGTTTAGGAGTGGATCACCTCCGACTGATAGATTGTTTAGGACTTCGAGTTCTTTGAGTTTACAATTTAAGAAGAAGAAGTAGAGAAGGGTTAGTAATAATAATTGTATGAAAATTTTATTTGCATATTTAGAGAGTATTTAGTTTGCCTTTTGGTTAGAATAGAAATTAATGTTTAATATTGGGAATAGTTTACGAGATGTTGTATAGCATGCATTCTTCTAATAGCTAAGAGTTATAAAAACCAATATCCAACGTCCTCTGATAGTCACATTGGTAGCGCTTATCGGAGGTTGCCGGGTTTTGTATTAAATCAACTCAAAACTGACAGACCAATTGCATCAAAGCAAGCGAATTAACTTTACCCAATAGTCATAGGTATCAGCTGGAGCTGTTGCTCAGCCTCTCATCTTGTTATAGCTTCTCTCTTGTCGAGGGACCTTGTCCCACATGGAAACGTTACAATCTTGAACACATGTTTGGTAGAGACTGCATATAATCATCTCCTATTGCCCAAAAATCCAAACCCTCAAAAATCAAGCGGTAATTCCACATCACCCTCAATCAACCACTAATCGTTCAACATCAGCAAAGTAATAATGTTCAGAGACAGAACAAACCTCTTCCTATCCTATCGTCGAACAATCCCACGTGACTCAATCTCCCCATACAAATCAACAGGATTCTCTAGTGCCACTGCCGATGACGATCTAGAATCGCAACAACCTGAATCACAATCTTTCTTGCATTCACGATATTCTGACCAGCCTGATGACAGTGAGAATGGAGGAGGAATTGAGATGAAGCCGATCATTCCTAGTATTTTCGACATCGCGAAGGAGTTAGATGAGGTCTTAAGAGTGATTCAGAATGATATTAATAGTTTGAATACTAAATATAAGAAATTGATAATTATTAATAAGAATGAAAGAAAAGATCATGAACAACAAATTGATAATTTGAATTATGAAGTATTAAAAAGATTTGAGAAAGGATATGTCTTAATTAAGAAATTTGAATATTTGAGTAAAAATCATGAAAAATTAGGATTGAATTATAGTTTACAAGATTTAGAAATATTACGAAATTTTAAAACTTTTTATGCTAGTAAAATACTGGAACATCTGATTGTATTCCGTAATCTTCAGAATAATTATATGAAATTCTTACAAGCTGATGAAGATGAAGAATTTGGATTATTGGCCAGTGATGCTAGAAAATCAACTTCACGGACTTCGACTCCATTGCCATTCGATCCGAATGCTACTACAAGTGCATCCACTGACAACATCGAAGACTACTCAAAGCAAGTCTTACTCCAACAACAACAACAGCATGGGGATTCACAATATTTACTCCAACGAGAAAGAGAGATCTCAAGTCTTGCAATGGGGATATTGGAAATCTCAACCATTTTTAAAGAAATGGAATCATTGGTCATTCATCAGGGGACGATATTGGACAGGATAGATTATAATCTTCAAACTACAGTCCAAGACTTAAAAGAGTCTGATAAGGAATTGATTAAAGCTAAAGGATATCAGAAACGGACTACGAAATGTAAGATAATTTTCTTTTTGTGTTTGTGTATTTTTGCAATTGTTATGATTATAATAGTGCGTCCTGGAGGTGGTGAGACTACAAGGGTGATTGAAAAACCTGCGCCTACACCTACACCTACACCTGCTAAACCAGTTGCTGAACCGGAAAGGCCGACGTTGAATAAACCGGGTGAGGATGTCCCCAATAATAATATTCCAGCAAATGAAGTCAACGAACCAGGAAAACAATAGAGTATATACACATGTACGTAGTTTATCAACGAAGCTAATTTAATAAAAATAATAATATAAAAAACCTGTAAATTATACAAAACTATAAAAGAAAGAACATCATCAACTCTCTGCAAAACAAAAACGCAGTTGTAAAAAATTCTATTATCTCATTCCATAAGCGCCACCAGCAGCTCCGCCAGGTCTACCACTCCCAGGAGCACCACCAGGTCTAGGTCCATTATTATACCTAGCAGCAACAGGCACAAACCCAGGTGCTACTTTTCGTTTATTAGCCGCACCAAATCTTCCACCAATACTAAAATCGGGATTATTACTCAATGCCGCTTCTGACACACTGGGCCTAGGTGGGATGAGACTACTTCCACCTTGAACAGGTTGCATGTTGTATCCTCCAACAGGCGCGGGTCCTGGTCCCGATTGCGGGACATATCCTGGCTGGACAGGTCCATATTCATGTGGTGGCTGTTGCATATGTGGTTGTTGTTGATGTGGCGCGTATTGCTGTTGTTGATAATATCCCGAATTATCTACATATTGAGGATTTGGTGCTCTTTGAGAAACACTAGTGAAATCGGAATCGTTGTCGGAGATTTCTTCATTCATCATATTATCTTGACTTGTGCCAGCACCTCCTCTGAATTGACGGGCGTTTAGGTCTTCTTCATCGTCGAAATCGTCGTCGAGTTCTCGATAGAGTTTATGAGAAGGGTCTGATGTTGTTTGGGGGCCGAATTCGAACATGTCGTCGTGGTTGTTTTGATATGGGTTAGGGCCAGTGTGGTTGGTGTTTTGATTTACTGGATATGGAATTGGTGGTTGATTTGGGTGGGAGTTATTATATTGGAATTCAGGTTGTGGTAAATTGGAGTCCCCGGTAGGAGGATCATCGAAATTACGAGGTGGAGTTACTTTCCCACTATATTGGAATGCATTTGGAGTTGCATTACTATAATTCGAAGTGAAAGAGTCAGTACGACCAGGTCCCATACCTGCAGATATAGGAGCAGCAGCAGCAGCAGCAGCAGATATAAGGGCATCACTAGATTTGCTGTATTTAGCATTACTCTCAGCAAATGCTTGATATGGTCTAGTATTCAATAATGAAGTTGATGCAACTGGTGCTGGAGCATTACCGTACGCTGAGGTAGACCCACTTGAACCAGTAGGATGGCGCATAGTAGTTGTATATCCTCTATAATCATAATCTTTCTCTAAGGAACTTGTTGCCTCGTGAGCGTTTGTACTTGGGAATCTAGCATTGAATTTTTCAGTATTATCAGCAAATGGAGTTGAATTTGCCAATTGGGTAAGACTCTCTAAATCGTCATCATCGTCATCAGACATTACTCTTAAGGATAATAATAAGAATGCGATTGAGACGATGTTGGCTGCTGCAGATCCAACTAATAACCAACCTGTCCAACTCATATTTGGATAAAATGTAAGAATGGTAATAATTGTGGAAACAATAGTCAAAACTAAAGACAATAAATTAATAACGATTGCAATTAAACATACTGATCTTGAACCAAAATGGGTAGCAATAATCAATACAAATAATATGAAATTGAATCCTAAAGCAATTGGAGTAATAATGAATATTTTAGCTAAAGTATCTCTCTTTGAACCATCAAATATCCAGTTTGTAGTTCTGTCAGATACAGCACTTAATATTATTGGATAAGTTGCACCCAGACAATTGTTATTATCATCACAATAACCAAATAAACCATAAGTATGAGAAGCAGTTTTAGCTAGACTGAATGTGTTGACTATGGGTGTACTAATAGTAGCTAATAATAAAAACACAAACGATACTAATATTACAATGAATGATACTGAATTGAAACTTATTTTAAATCCCATGTTTGCGTGCAAATGTTGTCTCTATTCTATATGTTGTCTATGTTTATGAAATGTAAAAGTGTTCAACCTTTGAAGATCAAATGAGACACAAAATAAAAGGGGTGTTGTTGAGCCAGGGTTATCTCTGTGTTGATATTGGTAAATTGATATGATCCCCGAGCAGAAAGAAAGTTAAGCGAATGTGTGTTTGAAAATATACTCTTATTAAATCAATGTCTGTTTATGTATAATAATATTGATATATAAGATACTCTCTTTCTGGTTTAATTCGAATAAAAGGGAAGAAAGGTTTAAAACAAGAATTGAAATGAAGAATTTTAAGGAAATCATAAAAACTTAAACAAAAAATCAAAAAAAATTCAAAAGAAGAAAATAAACAAAAATAATTTAAACTTTTTCTTTTATGGTTAAATGACAAAATCAATAAATTACCACACATGTTATTGCATATTCATTAAAAGATATTGGTCAGATTTAGTTTAAGAAGCTATCCATAGTAGTCACAGTAACTATAGTATCGAATCTCCAAGGGGATATCCCATAAAGAGAGTGACAGGGATATGAAAAGACGAAGAAATAGAATAGGGGTATCCCCTCCATATGGAACTGGCTTTAATCTTTTTGTTTATCAGAATAAGCGCATGGCTCACAATTTAAAATCCACACCAAAATTATTTTTAGTGCCACTCTTTTATATTGTTCAACTTTGTGTTTAATTAGGAATAAGCGTGTCTTGATTAAAAATTGTAAAGCCACCGCATACGTCTACTTGAGTATATAGCATCGCTTCTTAAACAGATACTTACGGCTGTGCGCTTGCTGCAGAATTTAAATTTCCGAGGAAATCTATTTCTAGTTACTAAATATGATGATTATGTATTTGTACATACACGAAAGAAGAAATTGAAGTAAATACGCCGTGAAAGATTCACTCATTACTCTACGAAAATCTTTAAACTTTTTCTCGCCAACTTTTTTCCCCCCAAGGAATTATTTTTTAAGCACAATTTCAATACGAATATTTTTTAAGCCTTGTATAAATAATAATACTGCATATAGTACATTAAAAAAATATAATCAGAACAATCAAGTTTTATTCTTTTCTCTCACTCATTCTCTCTAATAGTTGACATCGTTTGGTACCACTTAGTATTTCAGGGAGTTTCCTTTAAATACGGGTAACTTTCAATCAACCGCCCTATTGAAATAGCGTCTAATACATATAAATAGTAACTCTTCTCCTCTACGCTCTATTTCCAAGACTAATTCCAGGGTCGGATTCGCTACACCCCCTTCGAGTCGCGCATCTAAGAAAAGTTAAACTGTCGCCAAAAAAAGATCAAAAACTTATATTCTTTGCGAGAAATTAGACGCGTATGCTCTTAAAGCCTTATCTTCTTGTACGATCTACATACTGTAGATAAATAAAAATAATTGAAATATCTATAATGTTGCAAATTACCCTAAAAAATCCTAAAACTACAATTAATTAAACAAACTAAATACATACAAGCAAAATTCCTTTACTTTGGTCCTTCATACCAAATATCTGGTACTTCTAAAATATACCTCTCCATAGCTTCTCTAAACCTAGCTCTATACTGTTTTGGAGTCACAATAGTAGGATCTTTCCCCCTCTTGTTCCCTCCAATCAAATTATTCCCCTTCACCCAATTCTCAACCTTCTTATCCCATGTAAATGTCCTTAACCAATCAATTATACCAATATATAATTTCTTACTTGAATCGTCAATTCCAATAACTAAACTATAATCCATCACATCCATAGCAGAAAGAAAACTGGTATCATTGAATAAACATCCTCTTAATAGTTTCTTCAGTTGTTCTTTAACGAATACTGGTGATTCATAAATATATTCAATCATATTCTCATCTAATAAGACTTCATTTTCTTTCCCTGTTTGTTGAACATGACGATTTCTCATTGAACCCTTTAAATCAAAAATACGGGTAGTTTTATGATTATAGAATAAATTCTCCATGATTAAGAAATCCATCTTGAATAATTTCCCAGTGGTTGTGTTTTTGATTTGAACTTGATAAAATCCAAAGATTTTGGCAATGGCTGTAGTAAGACTATTATAGATGGCTTGACTAATATATTTGAAATAAAATGGAGCAATTGAAACGAATGATTCTAATTCAGACTTGGATAATTCTTTAACGATATATCGATTATCTAATGTTTTCAAGAAATTGGATCCACTTTTACCTCCACTAGACTGCCATTTGATACATCTACTCAAACTTTGAATAAAATTATCATTATTCCCACAGGTTCTTCTTAATGCTTCAAATTGTTCACTATAGAAAATCTTACATGATAAATTGGTATTCCCATCAATAAATTGATATTTCAAATGATTGGATTTATTCTTAGTCAAAACATTCTCTAAGATATTTAATCGATTAAAATCATTAATATTCTTCTTAAACTTCTTTTCAATTTTATAAAACTGATTCATCTTCTTTCGTTGAGAACTATCCAATTGTTCATTAAACTTCTCGCCATCACCTCCATCACCACCACTACCAACAATATCATCATTCAATTCTAACGCAGTTTGGATCTTCAGTTTATAATCATTCGACGACAAACAAAACGAAACCAACGAACTTGGTTCATCTTCTCTCACAATCACATCAGAATCAGCAAATGTATGCTCATGATCTTCTAACGCATATGCCAATGGATCCCATAATGTCGCCGAACGATCTGCCCAGAAATTAGTCAATGATTTCAATAAGGATTGTTTCTCAGGCTGAGAGATTTCAATGGCTTGTTGTGCTGGTGGTTGAGTAGTTGGGATATTCATTTCTCGAGGTTCTTCATCACTACTTCTCTTACTGTCAATAACTTGGTGTCTGTTTAGCTTATTCTTATCTTCATCCAAACCTGCTCCAACCACATCTTCAATCTTGTTATAGATTTCCACAATTGGTTTACTTTCAAATATAGGTTGTGCTTTGACTTTCGGTTTTTTCTTTAATTCACGTTGACGTTGTTTGGAAAATTCCAAAGAAATTTGATCATAATATATCTTATCGAAATAATTTGCCAAATGAATGACTTTGTTTTGCGATGGGATAACTGTATTGGTTGTGCCCACAGGTTGGGATGTAGTCGTGGCTGGGTTGGGATTAGAATGTACACTGTTTTCAGAAGTTCTACTTGAAGTAGACGACACTCTGCGACCAAGCACAGGAACAGTGGATGATGAAACATTTATCAAAGCAGTAGGCTGTGGTTGTTGCTCACGTTTAGTATTCTCTTCAACTGTTTGTTGCCACTTACTTATTCTTTCAGAAATATTTGACCCTTGATGATATAATGTATTATTGGAAAACATTTTCGTTTCAATATTTGAATCGGAAAACCTTCTATCCAATGGTATGGTTTTAGGTAATTCAAGCAATGGAGCAGTTTCAGAATTTTCAGCTACCAGCTTAGAACTTGATTCAGATTTATTAGATTCTTCTTGAACATTACTCTTTCTATGTGATGACATATCCACCATTTCCACTTCTTTATTCTCTTCATTATTGTTAATAGCTTCATCGTCCTCTTTGTATTTATCCATCAAGAAATTACGTAAATGAAACTGAGTAATTCTAGTAATTTCATTTTCACTAGGTAAAAACTTCTTCTCAAATTCATTAAATTCATTATCCCAAATCACACCTAATTTCTGTAAATCTCTCAATATCACATTCAATCCAACATAATTGGTAGGAACAGTTGAATTATAAATATTTTGTAATTTTTCAACAAGTTGACTCTTTTGTTGTTCTAAATTATCCTTCAATTCTTTAATCCTCTTCATCCCATCTTCTGCCTTCTCAAATGTATCCAATTTAACACGATTCAATCTTTTGGATATCGATTCAAAGAAATGGATTGTCTTGGATTGAATATTATTATAAGCATCCAATTTCAATTTCACATCAATATCAGGAATAAATTCCAATTGTTTCTTAGGCACCATAATCTCATAATTATCAATCATAGAATATTCCATCCGGATAACCAAATCATTAAATGCAAAACATCTGACATAATTCGTGGTGAAATCATGCTCACATCCTCCATGAATATTTTCTCCATAAAACCAAATCTCAAAAAATTTCCCAATTGATAAATAATAAGTCTCATCATTCATGACAATTATAGGTGTGGCATAATTACATACTTTACAATAACTCCACATCACTCGTTGATTCTTACCTTGATAATTCGAATTGGTAGCAATGTCAAATTTCTCTAATATTAAATCAATCTTGGCATTTCCGTGGACATAACTCTTATAATGATCAATAATGGGTTCTTCACAATCAGTACATTTCTTGGTACTTTCTTGGAAAGTTTGGTCTAAGAACAACCCTAAACATTTATCATTATCGGTATAATAATCAATAACTACAATACTTGGCCCCGTACAAGGAGTTGCATGCTTGATGGAAACAGTAGAATGTAAAACATGGATATTTCTATGGAAGATCGGATATAATTGATATGAATTATATCTCATACAATTGGACCAAATCCGGGCTCGGGAATTATATTCATTGATTAATCCTTTTAGGTGAATATCACTGGCAAATTGCAATATCCTTAATAAATCATCTTGTTTGTTAGGTAATGCAGATATATCTAAATTCACACGAAGTTCATCTAACCAACTATCATCAATTCCTTCTACTGATTCTAAATTCTGAATGACCTTATTTCTTTTGAAATATCCATGGAAATTATAATATGAATCAATAACATTCACTAATGGAGTAGGTAAGGTAAACATCAGGATTGGAGAAAGACTTAATTTCCGTTCATTAAATAACTTGACATAATTAACAACTTCAGTACTATCTAGACTTAATTCACAACTCTTTGATTCTTCTTCTTTATCATCATCATCTTCCGGATTATTAATCTCTTGTAATTTCCGATTAATTTCAACCACTTTTGAATTCGTCAATTCTTTATCAAATGACACTAATAAATTATCAAAATAACTCTTTTCAAACCTAGAATTAAGATATCCCGAAATCAACGTCTCAGCCGCATATTTTATACTATTCAATAATTCCTCATCACCACCTCTCAAACAAATTGTAAATCCATTTGCAAGTTCACTTCCTGTGAAAAATGCAAATGTCTTAATTATGTTATCAAATTTATATCTCTTAATTTCAAACCGTTCACAAGTGCCCAATTTCCCCTTTTTGAAAAATAAATCATTCACCGATTGGAAGATATCCGCTTTACAATATCGAGAAATTCTTTCAATCACTTGGGGTTTAACATTAGACATAACAGTTATCCCACTTTCTTCCAACAATTGTTCAGCTAATCCACAAACAGAATCACCCACGACGATAATATCCGGCTCTAATGAAATCAATCTCGAGACTAAATTGGAAATATAGACCGATTGTTGAGCATGGATAATTCTCAAACTAATAAACTGTTCTTTCTGTTTCAAATATTCCACCGGGAACATCAACAATGCAATCCTGGGACTATCAATCTCAAATGACATCCTCTTCGAATCGATATTTTTGGTCATGAATAATCCATCAATAACACTAGTTTCTTCAATCTTACCTCCCAATATCTTCTTTATCTTAATATATTGTTTCACATCCAACGTATCCGTGATTCTTATAAAATTAATACATTCCAACAGCTTTTGTAATGCCTTAACCCAACGATCTTGATGTTCTTTAATATCACAATCTTCCAAACTTTGTCGTAATACAGTCTCCAATAAATCGGCATATACTTTATTCCGCACTTCATGATTCCGCTCATGTTCATTCCAAGTATGGTCTTGACTGAGATGTTCTTCACTGGATAAGAAATCTTGACTGGGGATTGCCGTACTGGTAGTATCATCAATTGCACTTGCTGAAACATCAGATATCAAATTCACTGACGAAGTACTGACAAATTCTGAAGCACTATGATCGTTTGTAATTGTTTTCGTCAACGTATTCGAATTTGAATGAATTCCATTCTTGTGATTATTATTATGACCAGGAGATGCGGGTGATGAAGGCACAGTCATCAAAAAACTTCCATTATGTTTCTCAAAACTAGGAAATCTATTATTCTTCAGCACGTTTCTAACTCCTTTACTCTGTCTTCTTGATCTGATTCTTTGTAATGAAGCATGAGCTCTTTCTTTCGATCTCAAACTTTCCTTCCTTGGGTATTCTTCCACAAATGCAACTGAATTACTTGGGAACATTCTTCCAAAATTACTCGACGTTCTAAAATTCCCGGAAATCATCGATGGGAATTCTCCTAATGTAGGCACAGTGACACTCGTATTCGTATGAACTGGTGGTTTTGGAGTCGTGGGGTACGGAAGATTTAAGGAGGCATATAACGACATCGCATGCTCATCTTCTTCATTATCACTAATGCCTCCACCATGGGCATCGATCCCATCTTCATCATCGTCATATCCTTCGTCTTCATCTTCATATTCATCATCATCATAATCATCATCATCGGCGTCGGAATATATGCCTTCAAAATGACCAGGATGGGGCATGTCACCAGGCTCGACTGATCCTTCTTTTCGTGACATATGTCTTCTTAAATCTGTTCCTGAACCTGATTGGACTCTGAATTTCTTGAGTGAAACTTTTCGAGCAACGAAGGTATTGGTGGCTCCACTTATGTTGTCCAAACTTCGACTAGTTACTAATTCTGGACGATGATGAGAAATCGGTGATAGATGAGAATAATTCATTCTCCAATTCTTATTAACATCATTTGAAGTTGATGATTGTGGTGTATGATAATGATGAGGTGTTGTTGGTGTTAATGTACTCACTTTTAAACTGGATCCATATCCACTTGAAGATGTCTTTAGGTTTGATCCTGATAAATTACTTCTCATTAATGGAATTTCAACCGATTCCCCTGTTCGCGTAGTTGGGATAGCCATACGTGGTGCTTGTTTAGGATGAACTTTAATTGATTCATCAGGATATGTGAATTGACTATTGATGTTGTTATTATGATTGACATTTCCATTATTACCTCGAGATGGAGAATTTGAATTACTACTAAGTGTAGCATTTGACCCTTCATTCTTTAACGCACCAGCCTTATTCGCCAAAATTGTACCTGGTTCATTCATAACACTATCCCTATATGAAGTCGTCGACAATGACCTAATCCTTGATAATGGATGATTAGGAACAATCAATTCCTCACCATGTTTCCCCTTGGTAGTATCCACCACATCTTCAATCGCTTCTTCATCCACAATTGCATGCTCATCTTCCGAACATGAAGAATCATCACTAAGATATATAATAACATCACTATAACATGGCTTACACACTCTAAGTTTGTCATTATATGGTCTTTTATGGGCACCACGAGGATTGGAATTGTTTCGTTCATCTTTATGTTGATTATATGATATGAATAATGTACAATCAGCACAAAAGATCTGTCCACAAAATCGACAATGATGTTTTCTTCTAAAAGCCGTGAATGGTCTTAAACAATTCAAACAATCTGAAACAAATGCATCATTCATCCAATATTTCTTGGGGATTCCTCCACTCTTTAATGGATTTTCAGATGTCTTTTTGGGTTTTCGTTTAGGTTTCTTCTCTCTTGTCCTACCACTATAGATTGATGATGCTGATGATGCAACCACTCCTATATTATTTGTGATTATTGTTTTTGCATTGTCTAATAATACAGCTGATAAGTTTGATGTTGGTCTTTTCTTGATGGCATTGACTTGATCTTTAGATTGTAAGGCATGAAATGAAGATACAGTTGGTGACTGTCCTGAATCTGACAATATACTTGATGCTATTCTTCTTTCTGCTTTGATTGGGGATGATTTTGCAATGGATTCACTATACATGGAACTTATATCATATGGTAAATAGTTCCCCCTCATACTTATATTGGTACTAGATGGATTCTCTAATGTAAAATGATTTCTATGCAGTATATTGACTGACATGGTACTTTCAGCATCTGACGCGGAATCATCAGAAAGTTCAATATCATTAGGTAGATTATTAAAAATTGAAGAAATCCTACTTTGCAATGTCCTATTATTGGTTGCTTCTGCTTTCTTGGAAGGCTTCTTTGAATCAGTATCCACATTCACTCTTCGATCGCCATCTATAGATTCCACCTCATTGGCACCTGCTGCAGCAACTGCATGGATATTATGAACAGAACTAGTTGCACTATTATTAACTGATTGTATCCTGGGGAAATGCATTGTTGAAATCCTAAGAGTTTTATTATCTGATGTAACCCTAGGTGTATCTTCTGCTTTAGTTTGTCGTATATTCATATGTGGTGGGAGCTTATCTCTTTCTTCACTCAGATGTAATGGAACAGGAGGTGTTGATGATCCAAATCGGCTACTTACTGTAGGTGAACTAGCGATTTTGCTTAAGTCTTTAGATTCTACTGGTGAGGGCATTCTCATTTCAGGAGAGTGCATTTTGCTTCTTGATTCTTTCCCTAATACGGTTGGTCCTGATGCAATTCCAAGACCAACAACACTTGAATTTGTAGTGCCTGCAGTATTTGTAGTTGCAGAAACAGTAGCAGAAGTAACATTTGTAATTGGGATAGCACTTCCAATATCTCCTGGAACGCGTACTATTTGAGTTGTTGTATGTTCATCTTCTTCCTCGACAGTATCTTGTTTAGGTGAATCTTTAAGTTTATAATTCTCAGGATGAGCTTCAGTATATACAGACTTTGGAGAAGTTACATAATTTTGAGAATAATTCAGAACTAAATGTGAAGCATTTGCAGTAACTTTTCTTAATGTTTCTGATAGTAGTCCTGAAATTGATTTTGAATTGTTTAATTCTGGATCTGGAATTGTTGGGAATGAAACAAAGTCATCAGAATTGGATTGTTGTTGCTCTTGGTCTTGTGTATCAGTATCGCTTTCTTCATCACTGTTATTTGTATATGAAGGATATCGTTGCTGTTCTTGTTGTTGTATTGGATCAGAAGTAGTTGTTGCCATTGTCAGGAACAAGTGTTGCAAAGATTATAACCACAATAAAAAGATTGTTAAATTATTGGAATTAATTGAGATTATCAATTGATAAATTAATATTTGTTGATTGTCTTTAGTAATAAGTGTGAATATCTTTATAATATTTAAAGGTGGATGTGTATGTGTTGCAAGTATATGTGTTTGTAAAAATACAGACTTAACGAATCTTGTATGTTTTTTTTTTTTGGAATAAAAATTGTTTTGTGTTTTTAATTGTTTGTGTCTTCTGTTAAATTATAAATACAAATATATTTAATCGTGTAATTAACTGACTGATGGCCAACTGTAACCTTTTACGAAACACAATATATATTACTTTAAGGAAATGAATCAGAATAACTAATAGATCATTATAAGATCATCTCCAGATAAAAATATTTAATTAAATTATTATTGAATCAAGTTGTCAGTTAAAACTGGTGGGGTTCAATTTACTACATAAACATTTGCATTTTGTTAGTCGTGCGATTTTAACCAAAAAAATAATGACGTATCTATAGACGACATTGGGACAAATGTCGCGTCAATTACGGAAACAACCACTCAATCTATAGAATGTGTTATATGACAACCCAGGTAATGTATAAATATCAAAGATCTATAGGATTGCACAAAAGTATAGGAATTAGATTTGATTTGCCACCTTTATCCATATCACACGAACCTTAAAAATGTATGTTATTTTGTTATGTTCGTTCGTTGATGATCACTTTTCTATAAAAATATCCTAAGTCAGCAGTTTTGCAACCATTTTCATCTGAATGTATATCCTTACTCCCATTCTCATACTTTCCTCTATTCAAACTTACTCCCCCACTTTGCTGAACATTATCACGAAGATCGTTACAACACCCCCCCCCCCCCCCCCCCCCCCCTCACATCTATAAAGTCCTCTTGACTTATCCCATGCTCCCAATTACCATCAATCTCCCACATCGATAAATATACCGATCAATGTGTCTCTACTTCCACACACCTACAAATCCATCCCCTATGGGAACATATTCTTCTCCATACATCTCTGCACCCACTGGAGTACTCATAGCAAGAACTGGACCAAGGGGAACCTCTGCTTCGGTTTTCATTCCTATTTCTAGATATAGATATAAATATGCTTCGAGATATACAGAATTTACTCCTCATGTTGCTGGAGTTACTGATCCACTTATTTGAATACGCCTACCTGATATAATAGTTAATTATTTGCATATATTGATTGATCTTATCGAAAAATATATACATGAATGGAATACATATAAAGCTCTGGATCATTGTTATGTCTTTATAATTACACTTAGTTACATACTCATTAATTTTATGTTCTTTGATTGTGAGAAAAAGGAAAGCGTAGAATGTGTGTATATTGACGTTCTATCTTCTGATAAGATTGCTAAAAGCTCCATTACAGCTGTATGTAAGTCATGTTAATCGATGTTGCTACCATAAGGGAAATCAAAGAAACAAGTTACAGTGTGGCATTACCTACCTAAGTTTTCAACAAGTTGTAAAAACCCACTGGGTATTTTGTAAGTAATGCAAGAAGAATTTGTTTCTTATCTTTCCAACTGGCAGCATCTTCGGTCAACAGACCTACATATGTAATATTGGTGTATAAAAACCAAATGGGCTCTTAGCATTCCCAATCATCAGCAAATTGTAGTTAGAGATATCATAAATGAAAATTACATACCATACCCCTTTTCCATTTCATCAGTGGGTAAATCAAATCAATTAACTATATAATTCCCTTCGATTATCGGTCAATTTATATGGCTTGATAATATTAACGATGTCCAAGTTGTTTGTATTAGATATTGGACTTATAAAAAAAGGGATAAAAGAAGATGACGTGTGTCTATTGTTGTTTGAAGAGAGATACACATAATAAGATAAATTTGGTAGTAAACGACATTGTCGTCATGATATAAAATGTCGTTATCTAATATCTTTATATTTTTGTGTAATTGTGAATCAAATCAAAAGCTTAGTCGTATCATTTTATACCTTTTGATAAAAAGGTTACCATTTTTAATAAATATCTCTTTCTTTATAGTAATTGATCTTATAATTAGTTTATATCTCCTTATATGAATCTCTATATGTGTGTACCTGTATTGTATATAATTTTAATATTATTATTGTAAGTATTGCTTATAATTTCTTGTTGTTCTCCTTAAATAGCGTAAAATTCAACGGTATTTTTCTTTTATTTATTAAGGAGACAAAGAAATGAATACTGAATGAAAAAAAAAAAAATTACAGCCAACACTTAAAATTCTTATACACACTACCTGAAACTATCATACTGACATTTAATTAATCACTTGCTATTAAACCCCAATTACCAATCTACAAGTCATCAATCTATAACTGTCTCTATTAATTTTCAATTGGATACTAATAACAAATACAATCCAAATATTGCTAAATAAAAATAGATAGACATTTTAGTATTTTAATTAATTACAACCCTATCGTGTCCCTCCCCCTGTCATAATCAAATAGTCACAAGTAATGTCCACCTTACAAAGACGTCGTGGTGCTAATAAATCATCAACACCAAAACCAAGAGAATCTTCAGATTCACCATATGAAAATAACCATAATGGAAGTCATTCTCCTATAACCCCCAATGATGTTGATCATAAAATTGGTTATGATGCTCGTGATATACAAGATCGTCAATCTTCAACAATAAAGCCTCCACTTTTAACATTGATGGAAGAAGTATTACTTATTGGTCTTAAAGATAAAGAAGGTTATTTATCATTTTGGAATGATAATATTTCATATACTTTAAGAGGATGTATTTTATTAGAATTAGCATTTCGTAATAAAATTACATTAGTTAATGATCCTGCAAGACGTAGATTTGAATTAAGTGATAGATTAGTTGAAGTTATAGATGCCGAACCTACTGGAGAAGTCTTATTAGATGAAGCTTTAAAAATTATGAAGAGTGATGAATCAAATTTATCAGTTACAAATTGGATTGATTTATTAAGTGGTGAAACTTGGAATTTAATGAAAATTAATTATCAATTAAAACAAGTTAGAGAAAGATTAGCTAAGGGGTTAGTTGATAAAGGGATCTTGAGAACTGAAAGGAAAAATTTCTTCCTTTTTGATATGGCTACACATCCAGTTGCTGATAAATTATCAAAAGAATATATCAAGAATAGAATCTTAACTTTATTAATTCAAAGAAATGTCGAATTGGATAATTTCGCCAATGATCAATTCCCAAAAGATACTACTTATAGACATTTAAGATCAGTAGCATTAGTATGTGGAGCATATGCCGCTAATGTATTGGAAAATGTATTATTATCTTTAAATTATGATAAAAGAGATCAAGCTTTTACAAGAGCAGATGAATTATTAAATGATTTTAGTGAATTCCCATTCAATTTAAGTCATCAATCTCCTTTAGGTTTAGGATTGAATTTGGGACAAGAAATTTCTTCAGAAATTGAAAGTTCAAATATAAGTGAATTACAATTGGAATTGGTCGCGGCGGTTTTGAGTGTATTTGCAAGAATGGATTCTATTTTGTAAGCATCGAGTAAGCGAAGCTTTTACGAGAATAATATCACCCTTTCACCATCTACAATAGGTCATCCATTGTTTTGTTTTAGAATAAAATCTTTTATTTACTCTCTTCCCTTATTGTACATTTAGTAGTTTTTTATACACAAATAATATATTCATATAATCTTCATATATATCTGCCTTCGGCAGATAAGGCGAAGGCTATAATTTATGCTGCGTAACAGCTCATTCTGCGGTAGGCATTTAACGCGAAGCTTTTAGAGTATTTACCCAAGGCAGCGAAGGCGAAGTCTAATATATATGCTGCGTAGCAGTTCATTCTACCAAGGCTGATTATTTATAGGAAAATAATGCTGCGCAGCAACTCAATCTGCCTTCTGGCAGATTAGATTAGAGCCATCGCCCTTCAATTCGAACAGAGTGTGAAGCTTCAAGCACTTCGAGTCCTAGGCATTATTAGCTTACGAAATACATATTCTTAGATTCTACATTCAGGCAACCCAGCCCGTGGCTTAATATGCAAATATATAGATTGCCGTACAAATTATTTTATATATATCCCTTTTTCTAAATACTAATAGAACCCCCTAAAGTCCTTTCAAGTAGTTACTACCAGGGTATGAAATAATATTCTCCTTCCGATCCAACTTCTCCACCCCTCCAATCTGATCGACAAAATTACCCACCAAACTTCTTTCTTCACATTCATCATCCCCAGCAGAATCCCACCACATTCCCCCACCTAATCGATTCAGCAAGATATAATTCGCCTTAATCCTCACACACTGGACATTATCATACGTAATCACCTGTCTCATCTTGACATCATAACTCACAGCACCAACTTTTCGTAAATCAACCGATTCTTGTCCAATAGGTAATTTCTTATAGTCAACAATATCTTCCTCCACACAATGTCCATGATGGGATTTATCAAACCCAGCCCCAATTCCTCCTGCTTTAGCCCCATGAAAGACACGACCATACATTGGCATACCTAATATTAATTTATCCGAACATATTCCGGCATCTAGATATTTCTGAATCACGCCGGATGAACATAGGTCGTTATCTCCATTATTTCCGAATAGATTCGAATGAAACCCCGTATGTCGGGACCAACCCTCGCCGGCGAAATCATAACACATGACATTCCAAAAATCGATAACCTGATCCATGGTCCTCAAGTCAAAGTTTTTAATCTTATCCCCACCCGCTGGGGCAGCTATTGAGATTGAATATTGCGGTGGAAGGGCTTTTCGTAATGCATGAACGAGTTGGACAAATTGTTTTCCCTGATGAGGGGTGGACGGATATTCCCAATCTAGATCCACTCCATCAAATCCATATTCGGCGATATGGTCAACTATACTATTAATAAAATTGTTCAATCGTTCAGTATTGGCGACTACGGCTTCGAATAAATGCGCAGTGCCCCAGCCTCCTATAGATAAGATTGTCTTAAGTCCACGATGTAATTTCTTCAATTTGTACAATTGTTGCAAGTTTCCTGTTACTTTGGCACCATTGGGATTGGTGGGGTCAGGTAGTGGGAGTTGAAAGTCTGCCCAAGCGTCGTTGGATTGGATATGTCCCGTAGTGGCTGAGGGGAGGAAGAAAGCGTAAAAGAGATGGGTGTAGTTCTGGAGGGGGATGGAGGTGAGGAAATGGTTGCGGGAGTAAACTGACCAGTTTGAGAAGTAGATTCCTGTTTTCATGGTTGGGCACTGAGTGAGTTGGAATGAATGTTGCTGTTGGGAATGAAGTTTATTGGAAATACGTTGAAACATTTTGCAATTTGATGAGTCTGGGCTATGTGGAGTGTGAAAGTGGGAAAGGAAGAAAAATAAATTTTCAAATTTCCCTTTTGAAGGCAAAAACTTTCTTGTTGCAATTTATAGTGTGTTGCCAATTGAACAAGTATAGCATAACAAAAGGTGATAGGCAAAAGCAATATGTTACAACTTCCTTCTGATATTCCATCTTCAATTCCAATTGGATCCAAAATCTACAAAGATGATTGTATGTACACCTTCGACACCCCAGAAAACAATCCATTAGGTCTCGATATCGATCTCAAGACATATAAAGCATATTCACGTACCCATAATTACAACTACACCAAATCAAACTATCTCGAAACTGGGAATAGATATTATCTCAACATAACCAAAACCTTAAAACCCCAACAAGAACAACCAAAACTCTATGATGATGAAGGAGAAACCCCTCCCAAAATTCAAAAATTAGAAATCAAACCGGTCAAAGATGAAGATTATTACAATACCTCAATTACAATCTATGACGTTGCCGAAGATAAATCCTACACCCGTGATCAAGTCTCACCTGAATTTAATTCATTAATTGATGAAATATTAGCTGCCAATTCTTCCAACACTCAGGATGAAATCCAGACCTGGCAACAAGAAATCCATCCCTGTGAACACTCCCTCACCATCCCACCTACCGAGGTAGAAGCGGTTGATTTATCGAAATGTCATGATTGTGACTTAAAAGAGAATTTATGGATTTGTTTATATTGTGGTCTGCTCGGATGTGGTCGTCAACAATTCGGACTGGATCTCAAAGGGAATGGACACGCTTTGGGACATTTCGAAAGTCTGAAACATCCAGTCGCGGTTAAGCTTGGTTCGCTTTCACAAGAGGGAGAGGGATATGATGCCTATTGTTATCTATGTAATGAAGAAGTCAAGATTCCTGACTTGGCAGAAAAATTATCCCCCTTTGGAATTGATTTATCAAAATCGATCAAGACTGAGAAGAATTTAGTGGAATTGAATATTGCCCAGAACTTAAATTGGGAATTCCGATTAGATGGGGCTAATGGAGAGAAATTACCTCCTGTGTATGGGAAGGGATTGACGGGGTTTGCGAATTTGGGAAATTCATGTTATTTAAATTCTGTAATCCAAGCATTGTTTAATTTGGATACATATCAAACTTTTTTCAAACTGTTGATATTTCCTCCATATAACGTAAACCCAGCTGAGAATTTATGTTCCCAATTGATAAAAATCTATGATGGGCTATATAGTGGTCGTTATTCCGTGCCTGGTCAATCTCTCAAAGGGGATGATTATCAATTAGGACTCAAACCACTGGCATTCAAGACTTTAATTGGAGAGAACCATCCTGAATTTAGAACATTAAAGCAACAAGATGCTTTTGAATTTTTGTTATATTTATTGGATAAATTAGATACAGAATTCGGAATAACATTAAACCAAAGCTTGAAATTCGTAACTGGTCATAAAACAATCTGTCTGAATTGTGCCCATGGTTCAATCAGGCATGAATTGGTAGACAATATCTCCGTCCCCATCCAAGCGGAAGTCTTACTGGAGATTGATGGAAAGATTGAATATAAACCGGTGGAATTGATTGATAGTTTTAGGCAATATTGCGAAACGGAAGCTATTGAAGGATATGACTGTGATGAATGTAAAGTGACTCCAAATGTTGCATTTAAGACTAGTGGATTCCTGAGCTTTCCGGATTATTTGATTGTTAATATCCAAAGAATCGTTTTGCAGAATTGGGTGCCTGTGAAGATCGATGTTCCGGTTGAAATTCCTTATGAGTTGGATCTTGGAGAATTTGTGGCACCTGAGTTTGAAGATGAAGAAATTGAAATAAAGAAGAATGAAGAAGAGGCAAGTGAGAGTGAGGGTGGATTTGTTGCGAATCAAGAAGCGTTGAATATGTTATTAGGTATGGGATTCCCAGAAGTACGTTGTCTTAAAGCTTTGTATAACACTGGAAATTCCGATGCAGAAGCAGCTACGAATTGGTTATTTTCCCATATGGATGACCCAGATATTGATTCACCTTTCAATCCTACCCCAGCCAAGAAAAACACCGAACCCGATGAAGAATTAATTGGCAATTTAACATCAATGGGATTCACTAAGCAATTAGCTAAAAAAGCACTTATATTAAATTCCAACCAAGTTGAAGCAGCAGTAGATTGGTTATTTTCAAATCCAGATGATGATGGAACAATACCTGAAACCGCCAAGCCAATTGTCAATATCTCCCAAGAAAAATCTCAACTTTTGAAAACATTATTAGAAAAGAATGAAACTAATGGGACCAAGTATAGATTGCAGTCGGTCATTTGTCATAAGGGGACATCACCACATACTGGTCATTATGTTGTGTTTATTCGGAAATTGATTGATGGAGAATGGAAATGGGTTTTGTTTAATGATGAAAAGGTTGTTTTATGTGATGAGACTAGTCTACAAGATATGAGAAGTACAGGATATGTATACATATTTGAGAAGATTAAGAGTTAGTCGTGGGTAGGATCTATATGATAGAGAAGTGTATAGTAGTGTAGTAGCTCATCCAATGGAAATGTAATTGATGATATATTTTGTGTAATCTGTAAAAATATTCTATGCGGCTGTTGATGTAAGAGAATTCATTTACGATTAATTTATGAATTGAAAAGTCTCTGCATGTCTTGTCGATATTCTGTTATCTATGAGATTGTGTGTATGCACATGTGGTATACAGTAATAATAGATAGGCTCAACGTGGACAATGTGTAAGTGTGTATGCATGGATACAATGTCTGAGTGTGCATATTACCATTTCTGTAATGATAATTGGATGAATAAGTAAAACTGTAAACGAAAAAGTATAATCTGTAAATACAATGAAACAAGCGAAATTATTTTTTAATGACTAAATTTAATTTGAAAAAAAAAGAAAAAAGATTTTTTACAGTTTAGCGTACTCCGGTTACAGGCCTACCTGATGATGACTCTTCATTTCTTTTCGTTAATCATTTGAATTTTTCACTTTCTCATCTTCTTTTTACTCTTCTTATTCTACTTCTTCTTATACCACCATCCCAATTAAATATAAACAATCAATATGTTCATTACTAACGAGCACGTAGGAGATAGAACTCGTATGGAAGATTGGAGAGGTATGTACATCATTACACTAGACTACACTACACAAACCTTATAGCTATTATAGCTCTAACAACTATAGGGCATCACCATCATCGACCATTCATAGAAATACTAACATAATTTAATAGTACGTGGTTACGATCCTTTAACTCCACCTGATTTATTACAACATGAATTTCCATTAACTCCAGAAGCTCAAAAAACTATCCTAAAAGGAAGAGATGATTCAGTAAATATTCTTAATGGTAAAGATGATAGATTAATGATTGTAATTGGTCCATGTTCTATACATGACCCAGTAGCTGCATTAGATTATGCCGACAGATTATATAAACTTGCTGAATTGCATAAAGGTGAATTATTAATTGTTATGAGAGCATATTTAGAAAAACCAAGAACTACTGTTGGTTGGAAAGGTTTAATTAATGATCCTGAAATTGATGGATCTTTTCAAATTAATAAAGGTTTAAGAATTTCAAGAAAATTATTCGTGCAATTAACTTCAAAATTACCAATTGCTGGAGAAATGTTAGATACTATTTCTCCACAATTCTTATCTGATTTATTCTCAGTTGGTGCAATTGGTGCTAGAACTACTGAATCTCAATTACATCGTGAATTGGCCTCAGGGTTATCTTTCCCTGTTGGTTTCAAGAATGGTACCGATGGAACTTTAGGTGTCGCAATTGATGCCATGAGAGCTGCTTCTCATCCTCATCATTTCCTTTCTGTTACTAAACCAGGTGTGGTTGCTATTGTTGGTACTGATGGTAATAAAGATTGTTTTGTTATTTTAAGAGGTGGTAAGAAGGGTACAAATTATGATGAAAAATCAGTTAATGAAACTCAAGAAGAATTAATTAAAGCAAAAGTTGTAAGTGATCAACAACCAGGTCCAAGAATTATGGTTGATTGTTCTCATGGTAATTCAAATAAAGATCATAGAAATCAACCAAAAGTTGCAGCTGAAGTTGCAAGACAAATTGCTAATGGAAGTAAATCCATTTGTGGTTTAATGATTGAAAGTAATATTGTAGAAGGAAGACAAGATGTTCCACCAGAAGGTAAAAGTGGATTGAAATATGGTTGTAGTATTACTGATGCTTGTATTGGTTGGGATAGTACTGAAGAAGTATTGCAAGTGTTGGCTGATGCCGTTAAAGCAAGAAGAGCATTGTAATACCACCATCTCGTCTCCTTTCGTAAATAGTCCTTTAATATGTTAATACTCCCGTAGTAATATAGTTACAGTCCCGTAGTAATATTTTTTTATTCCCGTAGTAATTTAATACCACGCCTCGTGGTATAATTAATTCTCGGCGGTAAGATTACTTTTTTTGGTACTAACAATGATCCTTTACCCGGCCCCGGAGTACAAACAAAGAGAAATAATCTCCTTTTTACAAACAAACAATAGCCACACCACTTCACCCCTCTCTCTCTCCCTATTCAGACTATTTATAGAACTGTAGCTGTTTTAGGGTTGATTAAGTTACTTTGGCACTATTACTGACTACATCAACTGTTAGTCAAGCAAATGCGATCGTTTATAAAATCACATCGAAGGAATGGTTCTTCTGCAACTTCACAATCAGATCGATCACTGTTCGAAATTACCTTTGCCGCACCTCCACCAGTACAATCACCGCCTCAGGCACCACAACCACCACAACTGGTACCACCATCACTACCGCAAGTCTCGAGATCCACTCCCATAAACTCACCAAGAATACCCTACACGACAGGAGAACAATTCACACCACCATCCATGCCCTCACCAGCACCTTCCTCCTCATTAAGTTCTCCCAAGAAACTATTATCACCCATCAAGAATCTCTTCAGTTCTGGCAAACAACCAACTACACCAAGTTCAAATGATCCACTTCAGAAAATAGCAATACCCCCTAAAAGGAACAGTAAACTCAAAATAATAAAACTGAAAACCACAACCCTACCTCCACTCCCAACCACCACTAATACCAAATTCAAAAAAGTCCCTTCTTCACCCGCTCTTTCCACCACACAACCTCGACCACAATTCCAATCCACAATGTCACAGACCCATGTCCCAAGAGTTCATGTCTGGCCAAATCCAGATCCGACGGTAGTTCCTCCAAAACGAGTCACATCAATCCAACAACTCGGGGCACCTATTTCTCTCTCCTCCAGCACAAATACTACTCCAAATAATAATTCGAATGAGTCGTATATTAGTCATATTAGTGAGAATAATAGTCTAAGGTCCGAGGCAAATTTTCAAACCAAACAAGTCTCATTTGACAATCTATCCCCAGCATCTACCAATCAGAAAGAACAACAGATAGTGTCTGATGGGGAGTCGGAATATGATGAAGAAAGTGATTCGGATCAGTTTTCGTTCGTGAATGATATGAAAGGCGGTAGAAATACTCTGGTTAAATATTACAAGAATAGCGATGGGAGTGATAGACGGAAGAGGAAGAATGAGGTGGGGTTGGGGATACAAGGGGGGAAGAATGAGTTTAGTGAACGGGATTTGGGATATGAGGTTGATGAGTATCTGGATTATGATTTTGAGAATAATGGATTAGATGATGAGGATGGGGTAGAGTTTGGAGATGATGATGATGAGGTGAGATATAATAAATTATTTGATGATGATGATGATCAAGATGTGGTGGGAAATGGTTTAAATATACGAATTGAAAGAAGCAATGATGATCTTGAGCAAGATCTCGGAGATGGAAATGATAATGACGAGGAGGGATTATACAACAACGATTATGATGAATCTTCATACAATGACATCTTCAGCGAATCAACCAACATCTATAGCATCGACCAACCAGCCCCAGAAATATCTCCCTACAACCCCACCCCAAGCACCACCCCGCACCACGAAGTATTCAACCTAGCATATCATCAATCCATCCAAGGCAACCGCACAAACCCAACCTCCCTGCCACCAACTCCATCATCACCAGTCAGACCACCTAGCACGACCGGAGACATACTTGAGAAATATCTCGACCTAACTGACACACATACACCCAAAACACCCACATTTAGTAGCCAATCCACCCATGCCCTGCCACTTATGGAACTATACGACCTCCATAGTCCCCTCATTAACGGCTTGACGATCGGAACTAATCTCCTACATCGGGGAAGGAAGACTGAGGAACGGAGTAGGGTGTTCATACATCGACACCCATTGGATTTGAATAGTGCTATATATGATAAAACTATGGATGCGAAGTTGGGAGGAGAGTATGGGATGAGGAATAGAAGGTGTTTTCATGGGAGTTTTGAAGAGATTGATTTGATTGTCGAGGGGAAAGTAAAGGAGTTTGATCTATTTTCGGATATGTTATTGTCGAAGGGGAAAAAAGATGCTGTTGAGCATGATAGAGAGGTGGAGGAGACTGTGTTTGGGCTCGGGATTGAGAATAATGGTGAAATTTATAGTGCTGATGACGCTTCGGAAATGATTGAAGGAGGGTCGTTTGAGAATGGGTCAACAGGTAGTGTGGCTAGGTTGGCAGGTGAATCGAAAGAAGAACAATCTGTTATGGAAAAGGATGTGAAGAGTGTGGGAGAGGTGTCTAAGCAAATTCCAACTAGATATGAAGGTGGTACTGAATCCGAGAATATTAAACGAAAGTCAGTCCAGGATTTAATGACAACATTGGGTAAATTTAATTTACTGAATGTAGATGGTGCTCCTATACAAACAGACACAAGGAGAGAATCAGTGGTGGATATGATGGAAACCTTATCTAGTCTTACTTTGCAAACTGAAAATAAAGGTACTATTGATCCAAAACATGCCGAAATTGCTAAAGAACAGAGAAAATCTATTGCAGATATGATGGCAACATTATCTAATCTCGCATTACCAAATGAAGAAGCTGCTGAGCCTGCAGCTGCTAAACAACAGAGGCAATCGGTGGCGAATATGATGGCAACATTATCGAACATTGAAGAAAATAATAAATCATCAGCTAATAAGAAATCAAATAGAAAATCGATAAATGACATGATGTCAACATTAGCCAATCTCGAACAGCATACAGTCGTCATCCCGAAATCTAGATCAAAACGAAAGTCCGTAAACGAGATGATGGCAACTTTGGACCAAATCCAAATTCCCCAATTCACCCAACCAGTACCCACCACCACAACACTCGGTCCGGCTCCACCAACAGAAACAATCTCCGATGAACCAGCTGACAATACACCAATCCTAAAAGAAACAGGTTTCTTCGATAACGAAAAATCGCTCATCCTAGACCCGGACCTCCTTGACGAAATTAACCAACTCCCCCTCGACTACGACTTCGACGCCAACCAACAACAGCAATCCACTCACTCCCACACACCTACACCAGACTTCCACCGTTCCAACTCCTACCACAATCGTCCGAAAAAGATCGCACCGCAAGGTCCAGGGGCAGCACCACAAACAAATAGAATCGAGATGTTGGGCGGCAAGACCGTGACGTTCTATCCGAAATCAAATAGTGTGAGTCGTGATACGTCCTTGAGTAGTAGTTGTAGTTCTGGGGGAAATGAGGAGATCTTTACAGAAAAACCCGATGAAGAAGAGGAGGATGAGCAGTCGTCGAATGAGAATGACTATAGTATGCTGGGACATAGGTTACGTCGAGAAGAGATCGAGAAGAACAAGAGATTGTTTGGGATTAATAGGTATGGGAGAGGGGCTACCCCTAGTCCGGTGAATTCGCTTAGAGGTGGACGGGATTTGGGAACGATTAATGAAAGATGATGATGATATAAGTAAGTTTAAACATTTTGATTAATAGTGATTAAATACATAATGATATATAGGAAGTTGGAAATAATAGAATTAATAATTAATAATGTACAAAATAATAATGATGGTGAATTATGGTCCAGTGCTGATACGTTGTTGCATGAACGTATTAAAATCGTAGTTTTCACTGGTTCGATAATCAAAGTAATTAGAATCGTATGTATGCGATGGTATAGTATTTCTTTTTTCCTCTTTCAGAGTGAGCTTTGATGATTCACTAGCACTTCGAGTTCTTGATAGTGTTGCTGTTGTGTTTCTAGGCTTTTCAATGTTCAATTCTTTGGCCATGGTTGATTCTTGACTCTTGTCTTTACTCTCCACTGATTCTTGAGTCTCTTGTAAAGGTTTCATCTCTGGAACTGCCTTCTGGATTACATTCATCTTCTCGGGTGTTGCAACCACATATTTTGGTTCACTCGTTTTCATTGGAGACCTTGGAATCCTAATCCTATTGGAAACATACGTCACCGAACTCCCACCAGCTGAGGACGACAACGAAGAAATTGAACCACCACCTCCAGTTCTCTTCTTAGCTAATTCATGCAACACTCGACTTGAAGTCGGCATCGTACTCAATTCTTTTAATTGAACATTATATGGAAGTTTATAGTTAAGCTTCGTCACTTCCGCTATTTCCGGATTTGATCCTAGTGTCGTACACGATGAAGTCGTGGATGGTTGTCTGGAAGTGCCCCAATTGGTTTTATATTTTGAGATTATGCTCAAGATGTCATCATCCAGTTCTGGTTCAGTTTCAGTATCGTATTGTTTAATTGTGTTATCATTGTCGTCGTCATCGACATCATCGACTATAACGACTTCAACCTCTTTTCCATCCTTAAGTTTCTCAGTCACAGATTTGTAAGAAAGTATAGAATCTTTTCTATTTACCACAAAACACAAATCAATCTTTTCATCTTTAGTCAAATCAATCACCACATTTTCAGTATCCTCTTCGTCAGCTTTCTTTGTGGTCTTTTCTTTGATCTGCCTGTTTTGGATTTCTTTAATCATGTTCAGAATAAGTTTGTCATGCATAGCCAAGCCGGGCAAATCACCATCACAATCCACTGTCTTTGATTCCTGGAAATCGACAGCATAATTAACTTTGGAAGGTGGTGGTGCGACGCTAATATTCATGATTTCTCCTTCGACTGGTTTGGCTTCTTTTCTGGATGGAGAAGGGGAATGATGTTTCGGTTTTATATTGAGTGGCGCTGTTGGTTCTTTGAGTGTTTCTCCTAAAGATTTGGACCTGGTGTGGGTGTCGCTGGGGGTTCTGATACTTGTTTCGGGGTTAAAATCAATGTTATACATTGATCTATGCCTTGTGTGTTTGACTGGAGAGCCTCTTCTTAATGTATTTTTGGATTGTATATATGTTGGAGGAATGGATTTAAAATCGCCAAATGGCAGTTGTGCCTCTTTCTTATCGGCCTCTTCTGTATTCTTCGCCTGTACTGAACTATTGTTTACCTCATTATTAGTCCGTTGTTGTTCCAAGCTATTCTTCTTCCCATATAATTCCTTCAATCTCATCCCGAACCCCATGTCTGATTCCGATTCGTCATCTTCATTATCCAACCCCAAAATACCAAATTGTCGATTGAAATGCCTGACCGCTTCCTTTCCAGGCACATTCAACTCCTTACCATCCCCGCTACCATTAGTTCCTGTGTCAGAGTGTGTACTCACCGATCTAATATCGGAAAACGTAGTTCCATTATATGAGGATGGCGTTCCCTGAGAATATTCATCCAAAACTCTTTGGTCATTTAGGTCAGGAATCTCGATTTGGCCAGTTGAGGAATAAAAACTATATCTCTTCTTATGTTCCGTGTCGGGTTTCAGCTTGGTTATCTGGCTGTTGGTTATGTTGCTGTTATTATTCGGAAATTGAAAATTCTTCCCCGAGCCTTGATTAACTTCTTCATCCTCATCATCATTGGCTTGAGAGTCATGTTGAATGAAAATTGTGGTGGTGGATTTGCGACTGATATGTAATGGTTGAATTAATGATTCTTGGCTGGAGGATTTATTACTCATCACATCTTCCCAATCGTCATCATCATTATCATCATCTTGGCTCATAATTTCTTGTTCTACAGCATGGAAAAGTTGACGTAATTTATTAGAATGTGGATTAAAGTTTAATTGAGGAGCTGATTTTGGACGTCTACGACTAAGATCTCCAACTCTGATATCGATTGATTCTTGGATTGAATTATATGATTCCGTACTGGTTGCGGAATCACAGGAACCTGTTGATGATTCTGAGATGTTTCTTGTATTATTGGTGACAAATGGATTGGGAGGTTTTGTGAGCAGGATTGTGCTTTTATCTTCAACTGTCGACTTGGAACTGTTTAATGTTGCATGAGTGGTTTTCTTGGAGATTAAATGAGTTTCAAGTTCAGGTAATATAGCTAAATTCTTTGCATTGGGTGACCTTGGAATCCCTTTTCGCTGTGATTCCTGCTGTTTCTTAGATTGTTGGATGAACTCCTCTTCAATTGGCGCTGGAGCAAGTTTCAACACCTTTCCGCGATTATATACCTGATTAACCAATGGAGGTTTTCTACTTGGACTCTTCGGAATCACAATGCTGTTTTCAACTTTGGGTTTTTCTGGGGTGGTAGCAGCAAGCTTGTTTGGTTTTCCTGGGGATAATGCTGATAATGTTGGTGATGATGTTTCCATTCGCGTGGTTATAAATTCTCCAATTGTACTGAATGACCCGATTGATGATACTAATGATTTGTCACTTAAGGTACGTTTAACATTCTTTGATATTTCAATTGATTGTTCTGGACTAATGAATAATGATTTTGGTCGGGTGGTGGAAAAAGCCGGTGAATTTGGTAATTTAGGTAATGATTCCTTTTGTTTAATGGTAAAAGAAGATTCCATGTCTTTGGGTTTGTTATCAATAAATGGATTTTCGCCATCTTTAATACTCATTGCAGGGGTTGGAGGAAGACTTTTGACAAATTTCTTAGGAAGTGAGTTGTGTTTACTTAATACACTTGACAGTCTCGAACCGGTATTTGAGACTTCTTCAATTATACTTAATTCATCAAGATCTTTGAATCGATTGGGTATTTGGAATTTATTCATATTAATTGGTGTTGGCAAACTTATTGGTCTTCTAGGAAGGGAAAGTTTGATTTCAAACTCTTGATCATCTGTCACTGTGGATGGTATTGGTTTGCTGTTGGGTTGGATTGTTTGAGTTGAATCTTGTAGGTTTATAAGTTTGTCAGTTAGACTGCTATTCTTACTTCCTAAAGTCATTTCATCCATGTCAATCAAATCTTCTTCTTCCACCTCGTCTTCTGACAGAGTGTCTAGTTTAGTGTAGCCATTCGGTGTGAATATTAAAGTTCCAGATGAAGTCCTGGTTCCATTATTAACTCCATATGGATTATTCTTATTATTATTATTATTAGTTATTCTCTTTGGAGGGGATCGACTTAATTTTGGAGGGAGGGTTAATTGAAATGGTACTGGAATAATATATTTACTATTTTCGCGTACAGGAGTTACATGTAATTTCTTAGATACTGGTGATTTTGATAATTGTCTTAAATGAGTTGGAGTTAAATTTGGAGATGATACTAATGATCTAATATCATTATTGTCATCATATTTATAGGACAAGGGAGAAGTTATTCTTCTCTTTTCTGGAGACATGCTTCTTAATCTTCCAGACATTGGTGATGGAGATGGTGATGGTGATATTCGAAGATCATCAGTAGATGAAACTGGTCTAACTACTCTAGTTGTAGACATTTTGATGGGGTAGTCAATTCTTTAGTCGGTTAATAGCTAACTGTTGGGTGAAGGACTGAAAAAGATGTTGGAAGTAGTTGGCTGGTTATTGTAATTGTGCTGTAATTTGTTTAAGAATATCTTGAATCTTAACTTTTATGCTGGGCATTAAAGAAAAGAAAAGAAGAGATTATATCTTGTTTATATTTTATCCTAATTGGGAAAGAGGTTTTTTTTCGCAGCATGTTCCACAATTCTCGTAATTAATAAAGAACAATGAGGAAACCTCTTTTTAAAAAAAAAATTCCTTTTAATTACACCTTTGTTGTATTCGTCTCTTCCTATCGTCACTTTATTCCAGTACTGGCAATTTGGGTAGTAAAACAATACTATTGTGATAATCGCCTTTGTAGTTTGTTAAATTTTGTAGCAATGGTAACTAGACAATGGGCAGTTTTGCATTCATCGTTTATCTCTTTTTTTTTTAATGCATAGAACAGCTAGCTCTCCAAATCGCAATTGGCAAGAATCAAAACATAGCCATGTCTGATGTGTATAATTATTACCCTAAACGAATAAAACAAGATTAAAGTTTATTAATGAGGAGCTACTATTTTTAGCATTATTGTGAAATTACAACTCAGATCTAGTATTGCCTTTTTTTACTTGGCTCTTTTGAAGGTGCTCCAGTTCGGTTGTCATTTCAACTAAGTGTATCATCAACTTCAATTATAGTTGTTCATGATTTAATAATAATCCTATTTTATTATCCCAACTGCAGATAGATTTATAAGTCATGAATCACCCGTAGAAGAGTGAATTATACTGTAGTTTATTCTCTCGATAACTGAAATGATTTAGCTGTGATTGTTTTAAAAACTTCAGATAACTTATTAAGCATCCTAAACAGCTTGAGTTAACCCTCTTCATATGTTTTGGTAGATAATATCTATAACTCCTGTAAATTACCTATTGTAAACCGTTTGGATGATTGTTTATTTTGACATTTTATATTTTTGCAACAAATTTACTCTTCTTTTTTTGCAACACAAAATCTTAACTTCCTTATCAACTAGCAGTATTAAATACATACAATAATAAACTTGTTAGAGAATAGATCAAATAATGGAATTTCAGATGTCAAACAATTATTTCCAAACACGCCTTGATGCAGCAAGTAATCATCCATTAAATTATCCATCAGCAACAAATAGTGAAAATGATGACAACATTTCCAGTCCGACTAGTCTTACTACCATCCAAAGCGCAACTAATCTATCCAAATTAGATGGTTTAGCCAATACCAGGAACAACAATAAACTGCAACTAAGTATAAGCTTAAAAGAAATCGAATCTGAAATTGGTGGTTTGGTTAATAAATACACTCAAAAAGCTGGTTTAGCATTCTTACCCAAACAAAGACGTAAACATGTTCATAAACAAGGCGGGAATTTTACAATAATGTTAGCGGGCTCAAGAGGGACAGGCAAGACAAGTCTTATCAATTCTTTATTTGGAACTGACTTATTGCCTTTAAAAGTTGACAATGAAAAGAAAGAACAGACTATCAATGTTAATAGATTTGAATTGGTTGAGGATGGATTTAAATTAAATCTTCAAGTTATTGAAGTAAGTCAATTTGGTAATTCTTTAGATAATCGATATGCTTGGGCTTCATTATGTAATTTTATTGATGAACAATATCGATCATATTTATATCAATCTCAACAACCCAATAGGACTTTATTGAATGATACAAGAGTACATGTTTGTTTATATTTCTTAAATGCTGCAAAAGATCAATTGTCAGAATTAGATGTTCAAAGTATGAAAAATCTTGCCAAGAAAGTTAACTTAATCCCAATTGTTGCAAAAAGTGATACCCTTACTCACGAAGAATTAAAAAATTTTAAATCAATAGTAAAACAAACATTGAATACTGAAAATATTAGTATTTGTCACATGATGAAGAATCTTAAATTGCTTGAAATTATTAGTTCCAATATGCCGTATAGTATTATTTCATCAACTGAATGGTTTCGAAATGAAGATAATATATTAGTTAGAGGTAGGAAATATGATTGGGGATTGGTCGAAATTGAGAATCCTGATCATTGTGATTTCTGTCTTTTGAAAAGTCTCTTAATTGACGAAAATATGCTTGAATTTACCTTATCAACTGAAGATTATTATGAATCATATCGAACTTCGCACCTTTCTGAGAAATTATTTTATTTGGCTGCAAAACAGTCTGAATCAATTTTGAATCTTGATGGAATACAACAATTAATAAGTTATAATAAATTAATCACAAAAGAAAAAGCCATCAATGAGTCTTCCAAAAAAGCTGGGAATAATAATATTCAAGATGAATTTGAACAACGGAAACGAGAGGTTAAAATCAGGATTGGAAAAGAATATACGGACGAAGAAAAGAGATTGGATAGTTGGAAAAAGGATTTAATTCGAAAGCAAGAGAATTTTAGAAAAGAATTGGAAAAGCTAGGTAGATATAGAAAAGATTTACAAAAGATGCTTGAAGATATTAATGGAAGACGTAATGCTAGTGACTCAAGTTATCATATAAATAGTGAGATTTCTTCAAGGAGTAGTTTTAATGAAAATAGTATTTCTTGAGAAATTTTACCCAAATATTTGAAATTCTTCAAAATGTTTGATATTTATTGATTTCGGTACTTTCATTGACTTCGTTGACTTTGCTAAAGCTGAATACATTGCTATTTATAGAAGTTAGTCTTCAAATTAGTCTATAAGTTGTACAGTATAAATCCTAATATGTCAATAATCAGAAGAGGTCGTGTATATGATCAATTCTTATGTATTGTATTTTTTAGTTTGTAATTAATAGCCCTAAAAATAATTTCTCACTTAAATATGGAACCAAGAAGAGTTCGAAAAAAAAAAAATTATCCATCACTTTCTCTTCTTCTATAAATACAAACAACATGATAGTTTCTATTTGAACTAAGGATATACAAACAGTATGTAACCCAAAAGATACAATTTCCCCTCACACAAATGCAGCATTTGTTAGTTTTATTTTTTAACAGGATGAATTTTTGATTTCTAAGTATGTTTTTCTGGCATCTCTAATGTTAGAGCTTTTCAGCTCAATGAATACAACCTTTGACTCCTATCTGATCATTAAATTATAAGATTATCAAATTGCTTTTACTGTGGAATACATATGAGGATATTTTACTAACTAAATTTGTTGCAATAGATTTTATAAGAATTTTTTTTTATAGATTTTGTATATTTTTGTTTTAATTGATACTTTAATGTTCATTGTGAATGATTAAGAATGTAGCAAGGAGCTGAGTAGTGGCATTACTAGCACTTGGTCTCGAGAGTTATTCTTGTATGACCGTCTATCATATACAAAGTGCGCCTTCGTTCAAGAATTTGGGGTCTCTATTCTAAATATGGCTGGCATTGACAGGGATGCCTACCATCTAGATTTTAATTATGCCCTTTTGACAAACTCATCCTCTTCTTCTTCGTTGTTTCTTACAGTTTGTTAAGACTAGTGGTCTGTTCTTATCACTAGTCTTTCAAAGTGTACCCTGTATAACCGCAATAGTAACGAAAATTTTTTATGATCGGTGCGCTTACAAAGCTAAAAACGGCAAAAATGAAAATGCATTGCGAGTTCAACAACCACACAACCACAGGAGTTAAACCTAAAGAACGAAGCATGTCCTTGGACCTCAGTTCAGATGAGACTGAAGGAGGTATATACCAAGATGAATTAGCCGACTTTCATCCATTTGAACAACAGCAACAGGAAGAGCAACAGTCACCACCAAAAGAGAACAGTAGACAAGTTCGATTAATATTAGATCATACGGCATTTGTACGTGGGATAGGAAATGTTAAAAGATGGTTTAATGAAGATTACGTAAACCAAAACCTTCGTAAATCAGATGAGGTTGTTGTTTTGAATTTATACATACCTTCCTACACCTTACATGAATTTGAATTTGTCAAGAAGGGAACTTCGATTAGTGCTACTAATGCAAGAGAAGCTATTCGCTTTATTGATAAATATGTAGAAACTGAGAATGATAGCTTTGAAAGGATTAAATATAATTTATTATTAGAAACTCCCGAAGATGCAGCTCCTCAATGGGGAGAATGTTTGAAGTTTAAGGTTCATAAACCACGGGTTAAAGAGTTTCCTAATTATAAAACAAAATTGGATTCAAATGTCCTCGGACAAGGAGGTATTCAAAATGATGATAATGATGCTGAAGATAGTTTTTCACAACAGTTTGGTAGTTCATTATCTATCAGTCAAAGAAATAAAGTTAATGATATTCAATATGAGAATTCTCCATCATATCAAAACGCACTTGAGAATTCAAACAAACATGCGGAAATGCCAGTTAGGTTAAGATATCTTATTAGAACATGTATTTATAAGAGATTTATCGAGAAGCATGCCCCATTTCGTAATGAATTAGAAGAATGGAAATTAGTCACTGAAGATCCAATTGCAAAAATTTGGGCAAAAAGTTTTGGAATTGATTGTTTGAATGTTAATGAAGCTGAATTATTACTTTTTCAAAATTATGATGTGAATCTGTATCATCTTTATAATCCTCACAATAATTTCTTGAATGAAGAAGAGTATGATCCAAGTACAAATATCTTACAACATACAATTGATACTACTTTATATACATATAGAGATGCCCGTCAGGAACCACCTACTGTTAAGACCAGAGGGAGAGATTCTCGTCGTGGCGGAAGGGGAAGAAGAAGAAATAACAATTGGGCAAGATTACCAACTGAGTATGTTGTACAAGAAAGTAGACAAGAACGTGATGGAAGTTCTGTTAAGAAAGAGAAATTTGGTGCGATTAATTATGCTCCCAGACCTTCTGGTGAATTATGGGAGCCGTAAAGAGTGTGTGAATATGAGTTGGTTGACTCATTAATAAGTTTTTGAATCCGTTTAATCCTAGAAAAGTGCAGCAAAATGCTCCTCATACTGTAAAGATTGTTGCAGCCAGATGAGAAGTCTTGTTGCGAAGATTTCATTCTCCTCCATTATTTCCCATATTTTACTAAAGACACACGATGTCAGTGTTTTCTGTTTTTTAAGTTATATGTGTGGCCTACGCATTAACTTATGCTTCTTTGCAAATACATAATTGGGAAGTTTTGGGAAAACTTATATCTGTACTAGAGAAACCTATTTTACATAATAGTGGTGAAAGAGAGAAGTGACTTTTAGTTGTTCTATATGCAGTACGTAAGCATTTTTGAAATATATTACACGACCTTTTGCTTTTTTTCTTTTTCCCTGTTTCCAGTTCTGGTCTGTTTTTTTTTTTGGTTGTAAAAGTTTAAAAAAACATGCCGCTTTGTCTTTGGAATTTAAGTGATTATTGAAAACTTAATCAATCGTATAAACAATAGAACCAACTAAGGATAGTACAAGAGATGAATCGGCAGCTAACCAAAGAAGAGATTCAGAAGATCTTCCAACGTTGGCAACAGTTAAGAGACCACTTTGGGGAACAGGCTGTAAATGTACCTGAGTTCACACAATTGAACAAAGTAATCAACTTTATGAAGAGTCAACAAGCTCAAAGACAACAGCAGTTACAGCAGCAGCAACAGCAACAGCAGCAACAACAACAACAAAAACCTCCAGCTCAGCCACAACAGTCAAACAGGGACTTATCTCAACAATCAAATACTCCAATTTCAATGCAACAACAACCAAACCAATACATATCGCAGAACAATCAATCAAATTACAACAACCAACAATATCCTAATCAGGCACAGTCCCCGATGACAGGTGGAATGATCAGCCAATCGAATAATGGAGCGTCACTCAGTCAGAATGCAAATTTAATGACCCTGGTGAAGACTCCCATGAGTGTTGGTAGTGGTGGAGGTGCCCCACCAAACAATCAATATCAAGGAAATCAAATGTCTGCAGGTCAGCAACAACAGTTTGGATTTCAGCAATCCCCTCCTCAATCTAATCAAAATATGATGGCCAACCAACCACCACCACCACAACAACCCCAACCACAATCCCAGCCTGGCGCAGGAGGAGAATCTGCATTTACAACTCATCAATTCCAATTACTTAAATCTCAATTTCAGGCTTTGAAATATTTACACAAACCACCTGGATCTGGAAATCCTCCTATTCCTCAAAATTTGAGTTCGTTTGTCACTAATGAATCTTCAGCATATCCTAATGGAAATTATTTACCTGCAGTTAGTCAAACAAAGAACTTGAGACAAGCTTCTTCGGAGACTGGGCAACTCCCATCGAATCAAATACCGATCGGTGGTCAACAGCAACAACAACCTCAACCACAGCAACCCCCACAAATGAATCTTGTTACTGGTCAAAATATGTCTCCTTCTCCAATTATGGGAGACAAGGGTCTTCCAATGGAAAAGAAAAAGGGAAAGCGAGGTCCAAAACCCAAGAATCCAGCCCAACCTAAGAAGCTTACCAAGAAACAAATCAAAATGGAAGAAGAAAAACGATTGGCAGCCGAAAGAGAAGCATTCGAATTACAAAAGAGGGTTCAACAACAAGAACAACTTGCGAAAGCGGCTTCTGCAACTCCAAAAGTTATTCAACCAATACTTTCTGATCCAAACCCTCCTGTTAATATTAATGAATTGGTTCCTGATAAGAGCAAAACCACTAAAGTGATCATTCCGGTTAGTATGCCAAACATTCAAGTTGATGCATATGAAATACCTGATTTGGTTGGAGATGTAGTTAAAGATATTTCACTTAGTGCATTATATTCTCCTCAAAGTAGACTCCAATTCCCAGGGTTGTTACCAACTGGTATCAGTATGGAAGATATTGCCTATAACAAAGATGCATTTATAATTATTCAAATCGAGCAAGAAATAGATCGTTTGAAAAAGGAATTATCGTTGGTCCAAGAGAATGATGAAGAACATAAATTAGAATTAGAAGCTGAATTGGCAAAATTGGAATTGTTACCATATCAAAAGCAATTACGTGGGAAAGTTCTTACTCAAACTTGGTTTAATAAGTCACTTCTTCCCAATTCACATCCTAATTTCTTAGCCAGATTCAATACATTATCATTGGAAAATGTGGTAGTGACACAAGATTTATACAGACATCAACTCAAGACATTAATGGCAGCTCAAAATCAACAACATAAAAAGACGATCGATGAAATTCTTTCATATAGTAGAGCATGTAATACCGAATTCATGAGAAGGAAAGATAGATTGAATAAATTTGCATCCAAAGTCACCAGTTTCCATAATCTGACTGAGAAAGAAGAGAAAAGACGTCTTGAGAGAATAGTAAAACAACGTTTACAAGCTTTGAAACTGAATAATGAAGAGGAATATATTAGATTATTGGATAAAACCAAAGATACAAGAATTACTCATTTATTAAATCAAACTAATCAATTCTTGGATTCTTTAGCCCAAGCCGTGAAAACTCAACAAAAGGAAACCCATGAAAGTCTAGTTGAAAGAGGTCGTATTGCCGATGAAGGGGAATTTGATGACACCGCTCCCGATAGTGAAGAAAAGCGAGAAAAGATTGATTATTATAATGTTGCTCATCGTATTAAGGAAGAAATATTCAAACAACCATCAATCTTAGTTGGAGGGACTTTGAAAGAATATCAAATCAAGGGTTTACAATGGATGGTATCTTTGTTTAATAATCATTTGAATGGTATATTGGCAGATGAAATGGGGTTAGGTAAGACAATTCAAACTATTTCGTTAATTACATATCTTATTGAAGCTAAAAAAATCCCAGGACCATTTTTGGTTATTGTTCCATTATCTACGGTGACGAATTGGAATTTGGAATTTGAGAAATGGGCTCCAAGTGTCAAGAAGATTGTATATAAGGGTACTCCTAATCAACGTAAAATTTTACAACAGGATATTAGAAGTGGTAATTTCCAAGTTTTGTTAACTACTTATGAATATATTATAAAAGACAAGGCTCTTCTTTCTAGAACTAAATGGGTACATATGATTATTGATGAAGGTCATCGTATGAAGAATAGCAGTTCGAAGTTGTCAGAAACATTATCTCATGCTTATCATAGTGATTACCGTTTGATTTTAACTGGTACACCATTACAGAATAATTTACCTGAATTGTGGGCATTATTGAATTTCGTGCTTCCAAAGATTTTCAACTCGGTGAAATCATTTGATGAATGGTTTAATACTCCATTCGCGAATACTGGTGGACAAGATAAGATTGAATTAAGTGAAGAAGAAACTTTGTTGGTTATTAGAAGATTACATAAAGTCTTGAGACCGTTCTTGTTAAGAAGATTAAAGAAGGATGTTGAAAAAGATTTACCAAACAAAGTTGAAAAGGTTGTTAAATGTAAGATGTCAGCATTGCAATCGAAATTATATCAACAGATGTTAAGATTTAATATCTTATATGCTGGTGATGCTTCGAATGGAAGTATTCCCGTTACAATCAAAAATGCCAATAATCAAATCATGCAATTGAGAAAGATTTGTAATCATCCATTTGTTTATGAAGAAGTTGAAAATTTGATTAATCCTACCGTTGAAACAAATGATAAGATTTGGAGAGTAGCTGGTAAATTTGAATTATTAGATAAGATCCTTCCCAAATTCAAGAAAACTAATCATAAAGTATTGATATTTTTCCAAATGACACAAATTATGGATATTATGGAAGATTTCTTACGATTCAGAAACATGAAATATATGAGATTGGATGGTTCTACCAAAGCGGATGATAGAACTGAATTATTAAAACTTTTCAATGCTCCTGATTCAGATTATTTCTGCTTTTTGTTATCAACAAGAGCTGGTGGGTTGGGTCTTAATTTACAAACTGCGGATACAGTTATTATATTCGATAGTGATTGGAATCCACATCAAGATTTACAAGCCCAAGATAGAGCCCATCGTATTGGACAAAAGAACGAAGTTAAGATTTTGAGACTTATTACTGAAGATTCGGTTGAAGAAATGATTTTGGAAAGAGCGGCAGCCAAATTGGAAATTGATGGGAAAGTTATTCAGGCTGGTAAATTTGATAATAAATCTACGGCAGAAGAACAAGAAGCAATGTTGAGAGCTTTGATTGAGAAGGAAGAAGAAAGAAGACAAAAGGGCAGTGATGACGAGGAGGATGAAATGGATGAAGATGAATTGAATCAAATTATTTCCAGAAATGAAATGGAGTTGGAAACATTTAGAAGACTCGACGAGGAAAGAGCGGCCGCAACGAAGCAAGCAGGGTATACCACTAGATTATTTACTGAACAGGAATTGCCTGAGGTATATAGGAGGGATCCTGAAGAATTTATGAAAAAGGAAGATGAAATCTTGGAAGACTATGGTCGTGGTGCAAGAGAAAGAAAGGCAATGACTTATGATGATAATTTAACTGAAGAACAATGGTTGAAACAAATCGAAGGAGTTCTTTCAGAAGATAGTGATTCTGATGATATTGAAGTAAAGCCCAAGAAATCTAGAGGTAGACCTCGTGGACGTCCAAAATCAAGAGATCCAGATGCTGACATTAAAGATGAATCACCAGAGCCTAGTCAGACTGAATCTGAAGTACCTCTGAAACGGTCGATAATGGATGATTCTGATGAATTTGTACCCGCTAAGAGGGCCAAATCTTCTACACCAAAAGTTGTTGCTCCGACAAGAGGTAGAGGACGTGGTCGTGGTAGAGGCCGTGGAAGGGGATCTTTGTTGAATCGTTCAACTCCAACTGTTGATCCATTGACTCCAGATGAACGAGCTAAGCTTCAGAATATGATAGAGAATATATTAGGTTTGATTATGAATTATAAGAATGAACATGACCGAAGATTAAGTGATTTGTTTTTGGTGAAACCATCCAAGAGATTGTATCCTGATTACTACGTTTTGATCAAACATCCAATTGCTTTGGATGTTGTTAAGAAGAGAATTTCATCAAAAAGTTATACTCAAATTCGAGAAATGTTGGAAGATATTCATTTAATGTTTAGTAATGCCAAGATTTATAATGAAGAAGGATCAATTGTTTATCAGGATGCGGCATATTTGGAAAAGTTGGCAATTGATAAATTCCGAGAACTTGCAACCGCCACTGGTATGTCAGTTGAAGAGATTGAAAAATGTTTAGATTTCCAAAGCTTTGATGAAACATTTAATTTGAAACCATTGGTGGTTCCATCAGCTATGAAACATCCTCTTGAATCCAAATTAGAGAAGCTTGATAATGGAGAAATGATAGATAGCCCAATTGTGGGAATCCCTATGAGTGTAGATACAGAAGCATCAACACTAGGTAATTTTTAAGGTTTGCACGTTTGATTTATTTTGTTTGATTTATATTTTGAATCCAATTATGGATTCGAAGGACATGTGTATTTTAGTTTATTATGTGTATTACATTTAATTGTACAAATATTATTAACATTATTATTATTAATAATTATTTAATTCTTCTATGGAGCGTATTGTGGGAGTTCTTCATCAATTTCACGATTATTCACAGAATCATTCAATACTTTGTTCAACACCTCTATAAATTCAAACAACCCACCTTCTTGAAATCTTATTTCTCCCTTAAAATATTGATTCTTGGGAAATCCATCACTAGCAATACTTGGTTCCGATGCACTATAAAACATAAATTCCCAATAATTTGCTCCAAACCATGGTGCTTGTATTTTATGAGATAATTGTAGTATAGGAGCTAAATTAAGATCAATCAGAAATGTATCTATATCACCTTGAGTAGCTGTTATGAAAACCATTCTCTTTGTTGTAAGATATATATACCCATCTTTGGCTGATACGTTTATTGAGCTACCATTGCCATTTATATAAAGTGATTGTCGTGACGTCTTTGTACGATATTGTAATGTTTCTAATCCATCAATACTTAATTCAAATGGGATTGTTTGAGTTCCGAGTAATTGATTATAATTATGTTTTAATATTACCCCATTTATTGACATTATTTATTAGTTGCTTTCTTGTAGTTTTAGTTCTTAGCTGTTTAGCTTGTTGCCTTCGATGATAAAAGTCATACTTAGAAATCTATTCTTAGACATTCTTTTGTCCTGTATATGAAATCAGATGCTACCAATTGATACTCCGGATTTTTTTTTAATTCATCAGCTCATCACTATATTTTCACCAAACCAGGTTGATTCAAGTTCTACAATGAGCAAACTAAGGTCATTGAATCCAGCACTAGGGGCTGTGAAAAGTAGTCTAGCCTATGGATTTTCAAGCATAACAAATCCAGAACTAGGACAAGCAATCATTGATAAATTAGATCTTAAATCAAAATATCCCGATGGTTCTAAATTAGAAATAGTAGATTGTGAATCCGGCACTGGATTTCTATCTACGATGATAAACTACGAGCTAAAACCAAGAAAGCATGTCATAATAGATAATAGAAGATACACTGCTCAGTCTTGGAGAAATACTATTAAACACTTAAAAGAAACCACGGGAAATGTGGAAAATTTTCATTTTCTTAACGCTAATATGGCAGTTTGGTCTATTTTCACCGAAATGATAAGAGATAAAACCATCCAACCACGAAAAATACCCTTGGCTAGAGAAAACGATGAGCTTTTAATTATCGGGAACTGTACTAACGGCCTGGGAGAATTACATCTTGCGAATTGGATTAATTGTTGTGGGAATGGAAATTGGTTAATGAGATATGGAAAAGTACGAATGATTGTCTATTCAAGAACAAATACCATTGATAAGTTTTTTAACGAGCCTGGGTTCCATCTTCGAAACAGATCAGCGTTGAAACGAGAACTATTCACCGATTATAAACTAATAGCGATTCCTGAAGGGAAACCTCATGGTTCTCAGTTTGACCCGAGGGTTCTATATAGAGATCAACCTCTTTTGATGCATAAAAAAGACACAAGTGGTCCAGAGTTTGGAATAGTTGAATTGGTACAAAATGGAAGAAGATTTAGTCAAATAGAAAGCATTGAACCATACCTACTGATGATGTTTCAGAGGAAATTCTATTACATTAAAGATTTCCTTCATATTCTTGCCCCCGGTGCAGAAGCTTTGGCTGAATATTTACCAAAGGAAATTTTGGAGAAAAGGCCATTAGACCTTGTACCAGAGGATATACTAAAGTTTGAAGAATGTTATCAGAAATGGCCATTCAAACCTCCAATCTCAGATATAATACCTGCGGGAGAGATGGCTTTAGAACTATAGTACAACAAAAAGTTTAACCTTGTAAATATTTGTGTTTTATAGTAAAAGTATTGTTTATTTTTCAAATCTTGTTTTATATACTATCATTATCTTTAACTATAAACGAAAAGTCATTCCCAGTCATTGGTTGTTTTGGAATAAACCTTCCCAGTAACCTTCCCAGCAGCAGCAGCCCTGAGTTTCTATAGAGTATAGGGGCTGTTGTGCACCGTCTTGGGGTCGATTCATAATCATTAGATGCCCCTTTAGCTTTGTCATCCTTTTGGCTATGACTACTTCTTATCCCCGACTGTGTTGTATATGGTATTTTTCTAATTGAAGGAGGGGGGAGAATCAGTTGTTCAATGCTCTTAACTTCACCAGCACTCTTGGCTTCCTGACTTAGACTTGTCAATTCTTGAAGGGTAATATCTGCAGTCCGACTGGTAATATCAGGATATACCGACGACAGAGTTGAATAAGTATCCGCATTTTGACGTGGTGGCAGAATGATTGGATCATCAAGTTGTAATATCAATCTATGATCAATGAAGAATTTAAACATATAGATCAAATGACAAGAAATCTCAAATGCAATTAATGCAAATATAAATGCATCATTATTCTCTCTTTTCTTGTTTCGAACATTGATTCTGACGACTAACAATGAAACGACAAATCCTATATTTATGGCATTAGATATTAGAAGGAATATTAGGTTGACATAATGTAATGGTAATCTTTTCTTAAAGCATAACAAACCAATATATAGAATAAACAATGTACTCGAGTTGAATAAATATCCATATCTTCCAACAATTGAAATTATGATACTATCAGAAATCATTTGAATCATTCTTGGAGTTGTATTTGAATCTCGATAAAGACATTCTAGGACGGTAGATAAGAAATCATGAACTAATTTGGATTTAGTTTCCAGTAATAATAAGAATAAATCTGAATTTGGATGTTTTTCAACTATTGAAGTATGAACTTCAATTGGATCATTCGTAGCTGAATTATAATCTTTGTATACATATTCTTTCAAACTCAATTCAATAGTCTTATCACTCCAATGTATGGAAGGTTTAGTAATTATAGTAGACTGATTAATTGCTCTTAAATATTCTTGTTCATTTCTTAAATAGACTCCATGGAATATGCTTTCTAATTTTCGAGGAATTGTGAAATTATTATTAAATTGAGGAGGAGGTTTAGCTAATAGATTTACAACATCTATATCTTCTAATTGTATTGAGAAATGCAGTATTTGGAAATTAACAATATTGAAAAACATCAATAATAAAAGTAAATAAGTTAATTTATTGGTAAGATTTAAATGTGATTTCCGTTTGTGAAATTGACTTGATAACCATCGTGAACTTGTTTCTAGGAATGAACTATGAAGATCTTTTGATGATATTTGAAATACAGTCATTTGCAATAATGTTACATATACCGTTTGTAGTAGTAATGATAAAAAGATGAGAGTGTCCTATTGATGAAAGTTACAAATGATAGTTTATTATTATGTTGTTTTCTTAATATAAATGTAATTTTTTTTTTTTTGCAGCCAAAACTAAAAATAGAAAATGGTTGCACAAATGGCAAATATATATAAAAAATATTTACAGAGGAATATTTGATAAATTAGCAAACAAAGTCACCAACTTCTCACAATCAAATACACTTTCAGAAGGAAGTCCAAAATATGAAGCATTAGGTAATGCAGTCATTAATGCAGTAATAGTTGGACCAACAAATGATTCTTCTTGTTGTGGTTGATTTTGATTCAAGATTTCTTCTTCAATTCGAGAAGATTGTTGAACGTCTCTAACAGCTGAATTAGCACTAATATCATCATCTCTGGGTTTAAGTTGTGTAGAAAGTCTTCTTCTTTTGCGATGAGGTTCATCATCGTCAATATCCTCATCCAGATAATAATCACCAATTTCATCACGTTTAATAACATTCACCGATCCAAGTCTATATCTATCAGTAAATAATTCAATTGGATCATCTTCCGGAAATAATTGTTCACAAGTTTTAGTAAAACTATTAGTCACATCCAAGGAAAGATAAGTTGCCGAAAATGAAATATATTTCTTAAACAACTTCTTTAAATATTTTCGCATTTGCTTCAAATGTCTAGTTTTCAAAGTTTTAGTCAATGGATCAATCTCGGGCATGGCTATCGTTTCCGTCAAACTTGCGATCTCCTTTGAGATACTTGTATTGGAAGTCTGGATTACATTTCGTATAGTATCCACATCATTAATCATAATCAAATAATCCAAATATTCCAATAAAAATTCCCCATTAGTTGAGAATTTTCTTCTTGCTAAATCAAATATATTTAGGGCTGCTTTATGTTTATCAGCGTAATGTTCCAATAATGCGTTAGCAACAAAGATTTGATATCCCAATGCATTAAACTTCCTAGCTATTCTGAATGCATTTCTGGCTTCTTTGATTCCTTCAGCACGTTTGGTAGCAATGGTTAATTTCGTATATGAGAGTGTGATTGCATCTGCCAATCGTTTTTGAGTCTTTTCTAAAGTTTGAAGTTGTGTTGAATCGGCTAATGAAATTCTATAAATTGGTGGTTGTGGGGTTGATTGTTCTTTTTGCTTGGGTTCATCTTCATTATCGTCCTGGTCGTTATTATTTTGTTGTTGTTGTTTGGATGCAATACGGTCATTAATCTCAGTGATTTGGGAAGTCACATTATTATGATCATTTGTTAATGTAGAAATTAACTTATTAAAGGTTTGTTTTGCCATTTCAAAAGAGTTATCTTTTTCATATAATTCAGCTAATTGAAATGAGAGTAACATACTTTTTGGATTTAACCCACAACCATCTTGAAGTAGAACAATACAATTACTCAAATTCCCTTCTTCATTATTAGATAATAAATATTTAGAATATTTAAACCATAATTCCCCGACAAATGGTAATGCATAAGTAGCTTGTTTATAAGTATAACTTATTCTTTTTTCAACTAAAGATTCATCTTTAATTTCCAATTTATTCTTCTTTTCCAATTCAATCCATTGTAACCAATAATTCAATTGTTGCAGAACAGTTTCTTGATGATGAGGGTCAATTGTAGAATATGGAGTAATAGTTCTTTTTAATTTCTTTTCAGTAGCAATATTCCATTCAGTATGCCATGATCTAGCAAGCATAAACTCTGCCGATTTTTCAGAAGTAAATTTTTGAGCTGTAGCTGGATTTAATTCATTTTCCCATTTTGTATATTGAGACCAAGCTGTTTGAATATTTTCAGTAGGTATAACTAAATATTTCTTGTATACTTTTCTAATTAAATCCACTTTTTGTTGTTGTTCCCAATTTGCATTTGGAGTCCAACTTTTTAAGAATTCAATATAATCATTCCATAATCCATCACTATTAACATCTATACCTACTTTCCCGATTGCAAATTCAAATGCTTGGATTAATGTACCACGAGCTTTTTCTCCTCCAGTAATGAAATCAGTAGCACTTCTTACATAATCGACATATAATCGACAAAGTTCAACACTATCAGTAATTGCAAAACATTTTTGAAATAATTGTTCCACTTTTTGTTTTTCACCTCTATTTAATTCATATTTAATATATTTACACCATTGAGTTGCCTAGATAGGATATTTGTTAGTATATTTCTTCAGAAAGATTCTTTTAAGGGCATTGATAGTTGTTTATATCATCAAAAGGGATGAAAAGCTTTTTGAAAGGTACGTAGAAAGGTTGCTCTCTTTTTCAATTTGCAAAGAAGCAAACGAATCTCTAAACTATAATTAATAATTAAAGAAACAAAAAGATCTATATATAAAACACATATAATAAGAATTGAATAGAAGAGAATTTCTAATTACTCTTCTCCGATGTTAACCCAAAATACCCAATAACCCTATACCCATAAAACTCATAAAACCCATAAAACCAGCCAATATCTATATACAAAACCTTTTCACCTCTCTTTCTCAAATATAAACAACAACAACCATAGGAGAATTCACACATACATCATGTTTAAATATTGATAAATATTTAGAATATATATTTCTAACTTGTTCTTGATTATCTTTATTTATAACTTGTTCAATTAATTTATTCCATTTTAAATAATCCAATGGATTTTCTTCTAATTCTTCTTCCAATTGTCCTATTTTATCTAGTGTTAACCTTTTGGGTTGTTTGTTTTGTTGGATAAACATAGATGATGACATGATTGGAATGGCAAGTGATTTGATGACTAAGAATGATGGAAGTTTGGAAGTGTCTATTAAAAAGATTGTCTTTCTTTTCTTTGTTGTATTTTGGAATAATAACTTCAGTGGAAATCTTATCACAAGACTAAAATATGTTTAATGGATTGATAATTATTTGTAATTAAATGATTTGATAAATTAAACCACAGAAAGAAGAAGTTGAAATTGAAATGTTTAAATTTTCAATCTCATTTTCATTCTCATTTCATTTCCCAAACTCATACGACATTACAAATGAGAGACATTTTATATCGACGACATTATTCATTTTCTGTGAATTTTTAATAATTACCATTATTTTAAAGCAGTATAATACTTTCACTAAGACTAGAGTTGAATAAGAAAGACATGACATTACAACTTCATGTCTGGGGAACTGAATCCAAAATCTCCTTAATCTCACCTGAATGTCTTGCATCATCTTGGTTACTTTGTTTAATCTTATCCCCTAAGAATATCCCATTTGAAATCATCCCATCAAATAATACAAATCTATCCGATATAAATAAATTACCAGTCTTAATAATCAACGGCAATGAAAAATGTAATGGATATAAATCAATAGTCGACTATCTCGAAACTACCTATCCAAACTCATCCAATTCATCATACATAAATCTGAATTCATTGGATAAGAGATATCAATTAAGTAATTTATGTTTAATCAATATCTTAGAAACAAAACTCGAATATATAAATCAATATAATTTATATTCAAACAACCAAAATTATGAAAAATATACACGAAAATTATTTCAATATTATTTCCCATTTCCAATGATGTATAACCAACCTATGAAATTCTATAATCATGCAATTGAACAAGTTAAATTATTAGGTTTAAATCGAACCAAAACAGGGTTTTTCGGCTTGGGAGGTGGTGGAGATGTAGAAGTTGCCGAAACGGAATATTTCAATGATGAACTCAGTGATAATGATGAGGATGAAGGAGAAGGGGAGAAGAAGGTAGTATTGAGTTCCTTACATGAACGTCAATTAATCTCAAAATCGAAAGCAAATCAAATCTTAGCTGAATCAAAAAATTCAATGAGATGTTTGGGATTATTGAATCATTATATAAATGAATTTATTCAGACTTATAAATCATTCAATCAAGATACGGAAGAATCATTTGGAACTATTTATTCGGCCACTACTCCCTCATCGGCGGAGATTTTGTTATATGCGTATATTTCAAGTTTGATTAGTGATGAATTACCTGATGGATTTATACTGAGTTATTTAAATCTGAATCATGGAGAGTTTGTGAAGTTTTGTAATGAGCAGAGTAATAAGTATAGATCTATATTACAAGAGAATAAGGATAAGTTTAGAAAACCTGAAGGTATTGAAATACCTAATTTATTAAATGAGATTGGATATTGGATTGGTACAATTAAATATTAATGTTACCCGGATTTCAACTTAAGCAATCTAACAAGAGCAAAGGAAAAAATCAAAGTGAGAGAGAAATGAAAAATTTTCTTTAGCATTTCCTTCTCTTGAATAACTACACTATAATAATACATGTGTATCAATCTCTGTAAATAGACAATTGACCCCCGTTATAGATCAATACATACACATATATAAACACATTACCCAATCTGTAGTAATATATATATTTGGCAATCTAAGCATAGTTTCATTTATACCAGTATTTTAACCCACGTATTTAAATGATGGAATTTTTCTTGCCATAGAATAAGAATCGTATAGTTTAAAATCTAATTTTATGAGTATCTAATATGACTAGATAAATGGTTAATTAGAGTTTATTACTTATTTAGATAAAACTTACATTTCGCCCGTTAAAGGGTATTATTGAATCGTAGAATTGGTCTTGCATTGACTCTGGAATGATCGGCCTGGGGCTGTTTTGTGAAAGGAGCGAATTTATTAGGAATTCAGAAAAAAATCCCGCGCGGATGACAGTGATGTAAGAAGACCGGCCGAATGACGTTGAATATATATATTTTTTTTTTTCATGATCATCATCAATTTGATCATTCGATCGTTTTCTCTTCTTTTACCCAAAGCTACCCAACACAATGAAGATAAGTACACTTATAGCATTGGCTTCCATAACTTTGGGAACCGCCAATGCCCTCCAACTCCCCCATATCGCTCAAGAAACCCCAGCCCCTGAGCCCCGTCTCATGAAAAGAATGAGAGATGTAATCATCAATAAAGAATATGCCAAACAACAAGAACTCAAAAAAGCCAAAGAATTAGGTCTAACCTCCTCCAACAACATTCCACCCAAATGGGTCAGAACAGTAGGTGATATTGTCGAAATCGTCCAACCAACCGTGATTGAAGGGGTTACATTCAGTGCCAAACCACCGGCAACTACTAATGGATTAGAACCTTGGGTGACATTAAAAGACGATGGATCTCCCAAGACGATTAAACCCCAGGTTAAGAATGGAATCACCAAGAATGCTTGGCCGACATATGGGACCTGGTATCAGACTGCTACTACGAAGGTATGGACCAAGGAGGAATTAAGAGCGCATAATATGGCTGATGATGAGGTGTTTGAGGAGGTGATATATGTTGAAGAAGGGGATTTGCATGATCATAATTTAAGTCCATTGATTAGGTGTGTGCCTGATAGATATAAGAAGAAGGGGATTGGGAGGGATTTGACAACTGAACCATTTTGTACTCCTAAAGATAATGCTCAATGGAGGAAGGATAAGACATATTTTATCACTTGGTATTCGAGATATTTTGGAGACGGTGTTAAGAATGTTAGATTTCATTTATCTCATATTAAAGAGAGTGCAAGATATAAAGGATTGAAAAAGAGGGAAGATGAAGTGGAAGGTGATGAATTGGTTGAAGAAGCAGTTGTTAAAAGAGACGATGACAAAGAGGTGTCTCTTGACAAGAGATCAGCTGTATTACAACAAGGTGGTAAGATTAGTGAATATTCATTTTATAGTTCTGATTGGACATCAAATGAACAAGGTTTTTTCCCAATATTTATTGATAAATCATGGTTTGGTAAAGAATATGTTAGAAAAGTATTATTATCAATTCAACCAGATGATATAAGTGATGAAGATTTTGATCATTATAAGGATTCAATTGTTGTTGAAATTTCGCAAGGTTCAAAAGTAAGTAAAGGACATTTAGAAGATTTAAAGAAATTAGAAGAAAAATATGCCAATAGACATTTAGGTGAATCAATTGAAGTTGAAGAAGGTATTGATTATGAGAAATATATTTTAATGATGACAATGCCAACATGTGTTATATTAGCAGCATTTGGTATGTATATATTTGTTACTATAAACAAGGTTGATTTAAGTGGTTTAAAAAAAAGAAAATTTGCAAGAGAAAGAACAACTCATAGAAGAATACCATTTAAAAGAAAGAATGATAATCCTTATAGTCCATTACCACAATATAATTCAGAATTAAATACCCTTAAACATGATTAGTCTGGATCAAGAGTCAACACAGACAACAGCAACACAGACAGAAGTAACAGCGTATTGTCTATAGTTTATAGTTTAGTTAGTCTTTATAGAGAAAGAGTGTAAGATACATATTTTATAACTACTAAGGTTACAGTAAAAGACAGAAACCAAAAAGATGTTTTTGCAGTAAAAATAAAACAATTAAAAAGTCAGTGAATAACCTGTCTCCAACTCCCAACTTGCAATTCTAATATAGTTATATGTCATGCTATGTAATAATTTGTGATATCTCTCTGTTTAAACTTTTAATAAGTAATTGTAATATATATCTATTGTGTATATTAAATATTGATATAATGTGGTATTACTTACTTTAATATTTTGCAACCTTATAATTTAATAATAAATTTCATATATTGGTATGTAAAGTAGATTGATATCAATACATACACATAAATATACATAAACACAGAGATATGTGTATAACTTGATACTCTTACAAACTATTTACTACTGATGTAATGGAGGTTATGTACTACTAATTACTTAATGTATAATGATTCTGTTGTGTTTAGTTCTACTACTGTAGAAGAACAAGAGAAGTTGTTAAAAGAGATTGAAGCTATTAAAGTAAAGTATAATATCATTTCATATCCAACTCCACAAGAAATTGTTAAATTGGAAATTAATCAATTAGATAAAAGTATTAAGGGGGATGAATTCCTTAAAAGAAGTCAAAATATTCAATTCATATTGTCAGAATTAATGAATAATGATAAATATGCTTCATTTAGACATAAAGTATTAAATGCTAAGGGTAAGAATAATGGTAATAATAAAGATGAAAAACATATTGTAAAGAATATATTAAGAAAATATGTAGTGGGGGTCATCGTTTTAATTAGTAATTCTTAGTTTCTATTCATATTTCCTGTTTACAACTTCTCTTATTTCTTTTAGGATAAAGTAAAACAAACTACTATGGTATAAACCCACATGCAAGGCAATGCCACCCACATCAATTAAATTTAGAAACAGTATTGAACGAGTCAAATCTCGAATTCAACCAGATGAATCATATTTTACAACTGTAAGTCATCAAGGATTACAAAGTTATCAAGACAAATTAACACCATTACTTCATCATAATTATGACATAGGATCCCACTCACCGTATCAGAAAACAAAACCACCAGTTACTCTTTCCAATGTTTTAGAAGTCCCTATTACTGCAATCATCGATCTTCGAATACGACCAGGTGAAGATTATTTCGTATTATGGCTCCTCATATCTTCATATTTCCCATTAATTGCTGCATGTTTAGGTCCATTGGCAAATATGGTTGGGATAATTTCTATAATGGAAAAATGGAAAGTTGATTTGGTACTGTTAGAAATGGTTAAAGATAATTATAAAGTTTTAATCATGAATTAAATCTCATTAGCGCTCGGTATCTTGGGAAATATCTCCCTATTAATGAATTTCTCAGGCACAGTCAAATATCTAATAAGTCAATGCATATCCATCGTATCCTGGATTTGTGCCTCGATATTCCTTCTCGGATCCTCATCACCAATAATCAATTCCATCACCCGGAACATAAATATGGCCGTACTGAAGGGTTTTATTGTGCAATCTTTACGGCATTCTTTTATTTCTGTTGTACTGTAATCCTATCGATAAATTTCATCGGTTATAAACTCAACAAATATCCCGCCACATTCAACTTAGACCACAAACAACGGACTCTAATGTTATTCACTATCCTATTCGCAATCTGGACAATCATCGGCACAGTGTCAATGGCCCACTTAATCAAGGAGATCTCATATGGAGAAGCATTGTTTTTTTGTATTGTCACATTCCTAACTATTGGATTTGGAAGTATTGTTCCCACATCAGCTGGAGGAAGATCGATGTGTATGATATTATCAATTGTTGGGGTGATCATAATGGGATTGATTGTAGCCACTTTACGTGCTGTTGTTTTATCCCTGGCGGGTCCTGCCATATTTTGGCATCAGATTGAAAAAGAGAGATTGAGGACTTTGACAAAATTGGAAAAACAAGGGAAGTGGTTGACTCCAGATCAAGCGTTTCATAAGATGAGAATTATCAGGAAAAGGGTGAAATGGAGACAGACTAATTTTAGTTTAGTATTGACAATTGTGATATTTATTGTGTTTTGGTTATTGGGAGCAGTTGTATTTTGGGTAAGTGAAGATAGTGGGGTTAATAATGATTGGACATATTTCGAAGCGGTATATTTCTGTTTTATGACCTTGTTAACTATAGGATATGGAGATTTTGTACCGACTACAAGTTTTGGTAAGATATTTTTCGTATGTTGGGCAATCGGAGCTGTTCCATTGATGACTATTTTAGTATCTAATTTGGGTGATAAATTATATGACTTATTTAATCATATGAGTTTTCTATTTCTGAAATGGGTATTCAAAAGTGGAGAGGAAGAATATGAAGTGAATCAATTTAAAAAGAATCAACAAAAAGAATATCAATCATCAACTGACGTTTCTACTGTGAATACAGAAATGGTTGAACGTGAAGAAAGAGATGAAGAAGAAGAAATGTCCACATTGGAAGAAGGCGATGATCCAAATGCAGTATTAAAGAATCTTTATGTAAAAGCTAATCCTCAATTTCAAAGAAAGTTAAGCATATTAAAGAACTCAACCATTAATAGAGTAAATGAAAAGAAAAAGATTCATGAAGATTTATTAATATTTCTTGAGAAATTAAAACCATTAATTACAGATTCAATTGAAAATCCATTTATGAAATACCTGCATAAAAAATGGAAAGAAATTTTAGAAGTTTTAGATCAGGATGAAATTGACGCAATTAATATTTCAAAGATTGAAAAGACTCCAGATGGGTTCTGGTTAAGTGATAATTCCCCCTTGAGATTACCTTTAAAAGAACCTAACTATCTTATTTTAAGAATATATTTTAAAATTGAAGAAAGTTTAAAAGATCTTGTTGATAATGAAATTGATACTTTAGTAAGATTGGAAGATTTTCATTCAAATGGTACAACATCAAAAGTAGAATTTTCTGATAATTAAATAGATTATAGAACCTTTCTTGTATATTACCATCATCTGCATATATTAATAATTAAATTTAATCTCCCCTAACCCTGTATTGATTATATCGTTATGACCTTTTACTAAATATAAATATTCAATTGCAAATTCTTCGCAGTTTTTTCTCGGTATATCTTTGAGATTTTTCTAGTTTCAATTTTGACTTCAGATGTCCCCCTGACAGTCTTATTATCAAGAATATTTATGTGATGACCCCGCCCCATGTGATTCAACAACGTGGACTCTTCGTCTATAGATAAACATTCAACCGTATCCACGTTATAGTTAGTATTTATCACCTCAGAGTCATAAGCATGTCTGCTTGCGACCAAACTTTTGTGTCCCAAGGAATTGCGAGAGAGAGTCCCCATACGTACAACAAGCTTCTAGGAAGAGGAACTTCAAGTTTGTATACTTGCATTTTTTTTTTGCAGCCAAAAACGCTTTATATAGTTCGGTTTTGCAACAATGGAAAAAAATCGTGAGCCGCAAGCTGGTTTTGTGTTATTCTCATTTATTTCTAATCTAATGTTATACTAGTGATTGTTATGCATCACAACTCTCATAGAAAGTTGAAAAGGTGGTTATCGTCAGATGGTTGTTTTCATTTATTCCTCAAAATATGTAATTTTAATAGTATATCAATAGTTTTGTTTATAACCTTTAGGGGGATTCTCCCATCTCCTTAAATATTCACTATCAATAACGGTAGGTATAGCCATAATTCTCAAATTTCGTGAAGTAAGCGGAAACCTGTCAGAACAAAAAGTTTGTAATGCCAACTAGTAATCTCAATAATTGGAAATTCGTATCCTTATATTATCGAGCTGGAACTGGCCTTGTGAAATCAAACCAAGCTCTCATAACAATTTCTTTCAACGGAATAAAATTGGCAAACTACAGTTGCTTCTCATCAAAGCTCGTAGGTATATTAACAATCTCGTGTTTTTGATAATTATGGTGAGGCTTTTGAAAATTGTACCAACAGTGATGGTTTGGCATTCGAGAAAATTAAAACACAGTATACATCTTCTCAAATTTCCTGATGAACTACTTGACAAAGTCCTCGAGTATTTGGAAAAAGAAGAACTACTTCAGATGAATATGGTATGCAGGCGATTTAATCATCTTGCTGGAAAATATTTATGGCATTCCATTTTCGTTTCTACTCCCATCAATGACGTAGCTATAGGAACACCTTGGGCAAACTATACGAATATTCCCCAGGATAGATTTATGGAATTATTAAAGTTGAAGAAACATCAAACTAAGTTTATGAAAAGACTAGTACTCGGACATATGAGTGTTGACTCTTTTGGTTGGTTTCGGAATTTGGTTTCCGAGCTTAAGGGGTGTCATATAGCTATTAGCAAGGTTTTTGAGTTGAAGCTTGTCAAGAAATTAAATCTTTTCAACCGTTCTTCACTGATGGGAGCTGGTGTTTGGTGGAATGAATTCGGGCATCTTGACGTAGCCATGATAAGAAACCCATACTATGATTTCACTCAATTCCATCTAATTAAAAGTCTCCGGATAGGTTCAGTTGACCACGACTTTTTAAATAATTTGGTGCCTAGATTAATTCTGTTGGAATCCCTTTCCATTACATTGCTGGAGAGGTTCAGGATCCAGAAAAAAATTCGTGTAACGACCCTTGAGATAATTTATAGCCGGCAATATATTGACTTTTCTGAGATTTTTGAGGTTCTGCGCTTGAAATCGTTGAACCTTGAGGGGCACCAGGTGGGTTGGTCTGATGCATTTCATGGGTTGGTATCAGTCACGTCTCTCAGAATGGATGGTACGATACGCAATTTGCCAAATTATTCTCTCCGAGAACTTCATTACCTTGGCGAAATACACCAGGGAGACTTCGATCACATACTCCGTCATCCAATAACTTATTTGACTTTGGATAGTTTGGGTCGGAATAGATGGCTGTGGCGGAAAGTAAAGAAGATAAAGCACAAATTCAAAGGGATGTCCTCTTTAAAAACATTGAAGATTGGTAAGATTAAATATCGTGTTGTTCAATCTTGTTGGGGTAATAAATACATTAGAATGACTATTGTACCGGATACGATAACTATTTCAATATTTTAAACAAAAGATTTCAAAAAGAAAGCGAACAAAGAAGTCATTGAACTTGTACTCTGAATATAATATGCAGTCAATGAAGTAAATACGAATTTAAAATAGAAATAACTCTAGTGTGCATTTGCAGCCAAAAAACATTATTTGGAGACTATACATTTAACAAATCAGCTTATCGTTTAGAAAAACAGACTCAAATGGATAAGTTCAAACTTTGGGAAACCGGCATTTTCAAAACAATTCTGCCCATTGCCAAAGGTTTCTCTGATGAGGACCAAAGTAGCAGATGTATTACATTCTTTCCCAAGAAATGATTATTTTCTGTATAATTTATGGATTGCGATTTTCATGACATAGAACCCTTTTAAAACCACCCTTCTCATCAGGATCGCTTTTCACGTTAATGAAGACAAAAATAAGCATAAATCCGTGCTTATGGTTGATGAGAGGGTGACATTTTCATTTTAATGCTAATAACCGTTCATCTTTATTCACGAACTGATTTTATTTTTAAAATATATATATCTATTTAGTAGCAACAGTACCCCATTCTATGGCGGAAGGGTAGTTTTAAGATTATGGAACTATGGTTAAAAAATTTAGGTAGAAAAATAAACTTATAGTTAAAAATCAAAATATTTGGGAAATTAACTGATCCCGTCAAAACTGTATATTTATACAACTGACTCCGTGACGGCAGGGAGAAATTTTTCATGCCACACCCGAATTCGTTACACAGATTTTCAAAATTTACTAGGAATGGATGTTAACTTCATTGGAAATGTAAGAAATATTGTATTCGAATCCAGCCTCGTTGTTTCAGAGGGTCATTTAAAGGAGGTTTTAAAGAAAGTTAGAGACGACTGCCAAATAATATTTTCGGAGGGTTCACTGCCATCCATTCTTAAAATTTTATGAGATCATGGTCTAGAAGCAAGCAAGCATGTTTGCATACCTATGTCGGGAGATTCCTTTTGACTAGTTTGAAGAATGGATGGCAGTGCACCTTCGGAAAATATTATTTGGCAAATATCTCTAACAAAAAGCTCCTTTAACAAGCCCTATGTAACAACGTGGCAGTTTTCAAAAACAATACTTTTTAGATTTCCAAGGGGGTTAACATTCATCCGTAGTAACCTTTGAATGTCTGAATGACGAATTTGGTGATGACCTGAAAAATTTCACCCTGTTGTGATCAGGTCCTTGTTACAAATATATAATTATGACGGGATCAGGGGCACCTATTTTCCAAATATTTTGACTTTCAACCATAAGTTGATTTTTATACCTAAATTTTTTAACCATAATTCCATAATCTTAATTTTACCACGATCAGTAATCGGTGACTGGGGCCCTAGCAACTCTAGTGAAGTTTGGATGCGTGTCCACATCTTATAACAAATGAACAACAGTTATCATGCCCCAACATGACCATGGTTGTAAAAAGCAAATGGCAAGTGTTGAAGTGTTGTGAGCAAACCACTAATAGAATTAAATCTTGTAGTTAGTAAACTGTATTTTAAACCAATAAAGAAAAACAATAGATTCAATTAAATTGGAAACGTACAACAAACTTTGAGGAAGAGTCACTTAGAATTTGTAAATATACTTTGTATTTGTTTTGCCACCACAAATTCTTAACAATTTACCAACCATCAAAAAAAAAAATTAAGTGAATCAGTGCTACTTGATCCAGCCGGTTGTTCAGTGGCAGAAACTGAATTAGACTTTTCGTAGTCGGCACCTTTTTGGTTTCTCTTTTTTGGAATACTTAATTTGTTGGCAGACATAGTAGTAGGGTTTAAAACGAAGAATTGATTGATTGATTGAACTTCACAAACTTTTATTCCATTTTCTTTTTTGGAGGATTTGGTAGATTATTTGTATCCCTTTAATTCTATTTTTTTTTTTGGCAACCATTTTGAAAGTTTCATGCATACCCCTTTGATTCTAATTTTAGAAAGTCATTATGAGGGATTTTGAATATTATGATTCTTGGATCGAAATTTACACTTTTTGAGGGATTTTAACTTTGGTTGCAAAATTTTGATCTCAATTATTTTTTTTTTTTTTTTGGAGGTAAAGTTTCAAATGTTGTTGTGATTTTTTGATTATTTTATTTTTGTAGGATTAACAATGGATCCTTTAAATAAATTTAATTTTCAATGATTTACATCCAGACTTTAGCAACGCTCTGGATTGGGTTAAGTCAGTTTCTGGCAACATTTGATTAGTAATGATATTATTTCAATAATAACCCTGTATACTGTTTTATTTCAATAATTATGATCTAATTAATTATTATTGTTCTGTAAGTAGTAAATTGAGTGGGATAACCAAATTTTGTATACCTTTGGACAATTCGTTATTGTATGGACCCATGTGACACTTTCGCCAATTGATATAATATGAATACATCTATTCTAATGGTAATCTAAACTAATATTAGTAGGTATATTTGAACCTTTATTTATTTTTCTCATCCATTTTGTGGTAGCTAATCACAATGATGATTTAATCTAGTTTCTCCACATTCTCAATTTAACCATTTCCTAATGTCGACTTTAGTAAACAATTATTTATTTTCAGTGGATTATTATTTTTGTCATCATACACTCTGTATGTAACCAAACTGTAAAACCTTTACTCTTGCATAAACAATGAAATCCCCCCTATGTTAATATTTTAAAGATCAATTGCTTGATCAGTTGTTCGTAAATAGTTAGGGACCCCCAATTTCATCCTTTGGGATCAATTGGTAGAAAACAGCTAGGTACCACCGATTTGTACTGTCGTGTACTATACGATTTTCTCATAAATTCACAGCATGTACTCTTCAACACTTGAATCAAATATTGGGAAAGGGAGTCATTCAATGACATACTCGATCACGGTTATTTATGCTAGTAGTGGTTTTAGACAATGTGACTCAATTCTTTGTAATTCTAAATCACCATGGAATGGAATTTTTCTTATTGAGTCATTTGCATAATTATACCGTAATCCATTCATTATTGGGAAATTCAATTGTCGTGTGAAACATTCATTTTTCTGGTTCTTGAAGACTTGGAATGTTTCAATACAACAACTAAGTTAGATTTTTAAAATTTTTGTTAATAATTTTGGTGTTTTCTTTGTTAACTTTCTGAACAAAATACTATTTTTTTAACGGGAAATAATTTTCTAAATATGTCAATTGTTTTTCTACAATAAAAAATATTTTAGGTGATTTTTTTTTTATTTTTCTTTTATTTTTTTGCAATTTGCAACAAATAATATTGTAGTTGCAACTTTGTCACCAAGATTTAGAATTGTCAAAAAAAAAAAAAAAAAAATTAAATGGTTCTGCATAAAAAATAAGTTTGTTTAAAAAAATATTTAAAGTAATATTAAAGTTCATAAAATACAATCTGTTTACTGGAGTGTAAATCTAACAAAACTGAAATTAAACACCACCGGTTTTTGCTTTAAGAAAAATTCAAGAAATTAACTCCTTCTTCATTAATATGCTCCTTAAGCTCCCGATCCAAGAATAGTTCAACCATATTTGGACAGGACGATTTTAGTTGGTCCACAAGAATTTGTATATCTGTCATTCCTTTATTTCCACGTAACCACAACTCTTGTAGTTGACTACACATCAGGAAGTTGAGTTTTTCGGCCATTCCCTTTAGTAGGATACTATTAGTAAGATTCAAGCTAATCAAAGATGATGGGAAATTTAACATGTTCCCCTGGTCTGACTCGAAATATTTAGTCATGTCCATGTATCCTCGAATACCATATCCTCTATGCTCGCTTTCGCTACTAAGTTTTTGCAAGTTTATTAGTTCTGAAAACACATTTGGACTGGAAAATGAGGAAATCGGATTGCCATCAAGACGTAAATATTGTAAGGACAATGGAAATGTATTGTTGTCTAATCGTGAAATTTTATTATGCAGTAAATCCAAAGTCACAAGATTCTTATACGCTCTCAAATGAAGTTCCTTTAAAGTATCCGATGTAATATGGGACCGTTTTAAATATAATTCCTTCATTTGTGAAGGGAATACGTTTACAGCCGCACCAACGAAACCATCGGAAATATTAAAAGAAACCTGTTCTACAGAATCAGGAAGCAGAAAGGTGGAATCATCTAAGTATTCAAACTTAGTATCTTTAAGCTGCACCAGTTTCAAGTTTGGTGCTTCAACTTTGACTTTTTTAAGTGACCAATAGCCATTTAATTCCAAAATCTTCAAACTGGATGGAAATTTAAATATAAATTCATCCATATCTAACCATCCAAATTTAAGTTGAACTAAATTTTCAAATTCAAGGAAGTTGATTGATTTAATTGGCTCATCAGCTTGTAGATTCATATTCTGCAACGATCTTGGAAAGGTGACGCCTTCTATTCTTCCAAGCAGTAAGCTTAAGTCAACAAGGGAAGAAGGAAACTTTGCAGCAGACCAATCCTCCTGCGGGTATCCATTCAGTTCCCATTCTTCATCCATCCCCCTCGTTTCACTTGTAATCGACAAAACCCTTAATGATTCAGGAAATATCAACAGGGCAGTATTATAGTAAATTTGATAAGTGTTGAGTAGGAGAACCCGTAAGTTATCCGGAAGACATAAGTTACCAGCCACAGTTGCAAATGGCTCCTCCGGTTCCATATGAACACATTCAGCAAAGAAATTTATTTCAAGTTTTTGTAGGCTATCAGGGAACGACGTTCTTTTTGAAAATACCTTGGTTTTTTCACATAGCTCACCATTTCCGATCCGTAACTCTTTTAGATTAGTGTATTGTTCTATACTATCAAAGCTTTCTATGTTTATTTCAATTTCCTCAAACGTGTTTCCTGACACATGTATTCGTTCGATTCCAAGAGGAAATTTAAACCTATCCAATCTATTCAAGGGATTGAAACAGTCAAAAACAATTTCTTTCAAATTTTCTAGATAGGAAACGTCCAATTTGTCGAAATCTTCAGTATATAGTTGCAAAAACTCTAAACTTAATGGTAAAGGAGGCAACGGGCTCTGGGATAATTCTATACGCACAAATCTTAATCTTTGCAAGTTTGGAAATAAACTGGGGAGATTCTCCAAACTGGGCCCCAGTAATTCAAGCACTTTGACATTTTCACCCCAACCTTGCTTGATAAGGTTAACAAGGAAATCATCAGTGATTTTATTGTCCAAAATCTTCCTGATATATTCTTTTGGGATATCGCAAAATCTTCCAATAGTGCTTCGATCGAATGAAACATCGATCCGTGGTAATTGATTTAATATGTGAGGATAATGTTTGTAAAGCCAATCCAACTGATCCACCAGACTGAAATGAACAATCTTAGGTCGAAATTTAGTTTGCATTTGCATAAATTGAACGAAATCATTCACTCTCCATGTCTTATATCTGCAAACTCTATTGCTACCACCCTTGTTAACTTGCATAAGAAACCTTGACAGGCGATCTGTATTAATTTCCATTCCTTCAAATGATTCATATCCTCTTGGACGTGCATACTCCCAACTGCTTGAATAAGGAGATCTAATCTCTATAACTAAATAAAGTCTATTTAGAGCATAATCTCCTATCAATGGTAAGTCAATACACTTTTCCAAATAATCATCAGGTAAATAGTAAATTATACGTTCAATTACTTCTGGGGGAATATCAAATAGTTTACTTGTCATTCTTTGCTTCTTTAACTGTGGTTGTCCGTGTTCTGCAACCATTCTGTATATTGTATGAGTTTCGAAATAGAGGGGGGCTTGGTTAGTTTATGAAACTTGAACAATTTAAAAATAAAAAACTAGCGAAGGTTATTTTTCAATTTGTTTCTTTACCCAATTGTAAAAATTTATTTAGCCTTTGTTGTATAAAAAAAAAAAACTTACGATTATACAATTTAAATTATGAACAACCAGAAGAATAAATGAATATTTTGTTTCGTTACCACAATGGAATTTAACTCCAATAAAAGAATAAAGAATGTTTTCTCACAGGATAAACATGTAAGTTACACAAAAAAGGGAAAATGTTTTATATATGGTGATTTAGAACTATTAATTCAATAAAAAGATTGGTATTGTTATTGTTATGATTATGATATTGTTGAGTGAAATATGACTAAGAGGGAATCATTTATAAATGTATGACAACCCCCCAGTGTATCGATTATTTATGTAATTAGTATCTAAATAAAATGATACAACTGTAAGTTAACCAGTAGCAGTGAATAAATTTTTCATTCTACGAGAAATCGTTTATTTCTTATAAAATTATTTATTTTTTTAAAATTGAACAAAGCCCAGAAAAAAAAAAAAATATTATACAATAGAATAATTAAATAATAAAATATTTTGTAAATATTTAAATAAAAAAATACTCATTAATTATTGGATTGTTACGGCCAAGTAGCTATGTCAAGATATAACTAGCTATTATATCTTGTTCTAGCTTCGTTGCCAGTAATGTTTCTTCTGGTTTTGTGTTATTTACTATTTATGTTTACCGTTTGTTTCCGTATTTCCGTATTGCCGTTAAATCCCTCAACGCCTCGATGGATTTCCCGAGAGTATAAATATGGTTAACTTTCCCACTTCTTTTTATATCACTTTCTTTTAGAATTAGGCATTTCTTTATCCTCATTTTAGACAAATGTCTCTATAGATTATATTACTTTAGTTTATCGCTACATAGGTGTGAAACCCCAAATATACACTAGCTGGTATCTAATAGCTCTTTATAATTTATACATGGATGATATAATTTGAAATAGTTCATGTTGATTGATGATACTTTCTAATAAAACAATATAAAAGAATGACGGATATACACAAATCATATAATGTAGTGCAAGTTCCTATAGCTACTTATCATTTTCACAAAGCAAGTTATCTTCTCTATTATACCATTAACCAGTATCAATCATATGTAATTAGTCCAGAATCCTTGCTAAATAAACAAAATCTACCCTGAAGTGCTCGGGGTTTGTTTGTAAAGCTGTAAATATTGGCTTATTTTAACTAGTAAACTAGTTAATACCATAGTTGCAACCCAGTTAGATTATGAATTGCAAGATTGGTTCTGATGCAGACTCAATCCATGTTGGTCTTCGTCACCATTTTACCATATATGTAGTTTTAATATACAAATACCGTTCTACTATCTAATTGGATGATCGTCTACTTCAGCTCAGATGAATCAAGAAACTATCCCTGGGAGGAGTGAACTTATCTTTTTTACGAACAAGATCGAATTGGATGATGGATGATGGGGACAGCAGTAACATCCAAAAATCAATTTGTTCAAACTAAGACATATTATTAGAAAAAAACTATTCTTAATCTACAGGTATATCCGATAGCCGGTTGTATACCAAAAGAAATTACAGAGATAGATACTCCCATACCATATTCTAATATGAGGATGTGTCACGTGACAATTGTTGGACTTTATAATTACAGTTAATCATAACTGTGATTATGAATTTAAAAATTGCCCTGGAAAGGGTAAGTTACTTTACTGGTGTGGTTAACCCTTGAATAATCATCTATTACATGAGGTTATAAAAATGTGATCTTATTTTGTGTAATACAATACAATTTATATAAATCTCCACATTTCAATAATTTATTATAATTTAACCGAGGTTAAACTTTTTGTTTGATTGGTTTTTAATTGATTGGAATTTGTTTCTTCAATTTTAAAATCATTTTTACAAACAGATTCATTTGTTTTCAAGTAATTGGGGATTACAAGCTTATCGACAAGATAAATTACATACAAATAATAGACAGTCAGCCAATATGGAATCATCAACATTATCATTAAGTAGTAGTAGTATTATTGGTAATAATAATAATAAACAAATTGAAGATGAATATAAATTAACATTAAAACATTTTAAGAATAAACAATTAATTAAATCATTTAAATTAATTTATAAATTATATAAACAATCATTTAATCAATTTAATAATCAATTAATAACAGAACAATTGTTTATCAAGATTATTAATTTATATCTTATTGAAATTGGTGTATTATTAAAACAACAACCACAGGATGAAGATAAATATCAATGTACCATAGCAATTAATTCAATTACTAGTAATGAATTATATAATCAATTAATTATGATTTATGGTGAAGAATTTATTCCTAATGAAATATTATATAATTATCATTTAATGTTAATTACCAATTATCAATTATTAATTAATGATAAATTAAATTATTTACAAGATTTAAATCAAATCATTAATAGACAACTGAATACTTCAAATGATAAGTACTTGAATAAACTTATTAATCTAATTGTATTTGAAATATTACCAACTTTTGATGAATTTAAATTAGCTGAACTGATTATTAATTCTTCAAATATATTCAATGAACAATCATTAATTAAATTAAATGAAATTAAACAAAATAAACAAAATATTTTAAAACAACAACAACAAGAAGAACAGCAACAACAGAAACAACAACAACAGGAACAAGAATTACTTAAACAACATCAAGAACAACAACAAAAACAACAAAATTTAAAATATAAATCATTAAAAGAAATTCAAAAACAATATCAATCACAGACAAGTGACGGTTCTTCTTCTATTATAAAGAATATTGAAAAAAGTCCAATTGAAGTTAATAAATTACATCAATTATCAAATAAATTAAAATATCTTATTAATTTATTAAAAGTTTATATTAAAGATAATTCTTTAATAATTATTATAATTATAATAAGTTCATTAATAATTTCAAAATTTATTAAATTAAATCGAACCAATATTAAACAAAAATTATTAGATACAATTAAAATGGCATTTAAATTTAGTTATATATAAGACAGTTACCCCTATCTATTCAATCCTTTGAATAATTGCAATATATAATTTATTTAATTTATTCATATAACATTCACGCGATATTTCATAATTAATAAGGGCGCGCTCGACTCTCTCATCTTCCCTCCCCCGGAGCTTTTAGGATCTGTAACTCTCATCATCATCATCATCATCATCATCATCCTTTATATTCCTGCTACCCACCATTAAATATGTCCTCACCCGTTCCACAACAAGGAATGTGGATAATAGGCTACGGTAGTCTCATCTTCAAACCCCCACCTCATGTCTCATTCAAACTCACAGGATATCTCAAAGGATTCATCCGGCGATTTTGGCAAAGTTCAAATGATCATCGAGGTACACCAAAATCACCAGGTCGAGTAGTTACTCTCGTATCATTATCTGATTTAAAACGATATGATAAATTTCATAGTGATTTACATATGTATGAATTGTCAAAGACCCATCAAGAAACTGACTTGTCACAAGAAGGTGAAACGACAAGTAGTGAAATCTTAGATATTACTCATCATATTTCTCAACTAACTGAAGAAGATTTAAAAGTTTGGGGAGTAGCTTATTATATCGCTCCGGAAAATGTACAATATGTGAAAGAATATTTGGATATTAGGGAACAAAATGGATATTCTACCCATCTTGTTCCATTTCATATCTTGAATATTGAATCAGTTGAAAGTAGTCCATCAACATCAATCATGAATGAATTATCTCAAGATGAAAAAACGGGGGATTATTATATTGAAAGTATGATATATATAGGCACCATTGATAATGAAGCATTTGTCGGTCCGGAATCAATTGAAGATACTGCCAAGGTGATAAAAACTTCCCAGGGACCAAGTGGAACTAATGTTGAATATTTACAATTATTAACTAATGCAGTTAGAGGATTAGATCCAAGAATTCATGATTATTATTTAGAAGATTTATGTAAATTAATAGATATCCCATCATTAACTTAATAATAATAATAATAAAAAAAAATCGTAATAATATTAAATATACACACTCTAATTGTAACTTACCTAACTATTCAAATTCAAAAACTCCCTGGCAGCTTCAGCAAAAGTATTAGCCAATGAATTAATTTCATTCTGGATCTTGCCCCCATCCGCACCCATTCTAATCATTTCCCTAATCTCCGGGAAAGTATTCCATTCATGTGTCTTATCATTCAATGGAGTTCCATACCCCATGCCAAATAATCGATTCAAATATCCCGGTCTTACCAATTCACTACCTTGATGACTCAGTTGGGGAGTAATAAATGGTCTTAAGAATTTATTATTAAATACCAACATATTTTCATTCCATTTCCAACGAGTTAATGCATATAAACTAGGTTCGGCCCCATTTGAATTAGCAATAAATCTTGTCCATTCAAATCTCCATTTTTCATATTTTTGGCCATTATCTTTAAGAATCAGATTTGCTTTAAATAATGGTTCAAAATTAAGTTGGGAATGAGATGATTGGGCATATGATTGTAGGTCTTTAATTGAATGGTCTAAGGAATTGGATAATTCTTCAAATGAATAAGGTATAAGTGGATCTTCAGCAAATTTAAGTATTACTCTAGCTAATAATTCAACAATTTGTGCATGTTTTGTCATACGACTATTACTACTATCACCATGGGAATATTTAAAATATGACATATCATCAAAACATGAATTCTTAGGATATGTTTCATCTCCTACGAATTTAATTTCTAAACTTGGAATATTAAGTAAATTAATAAATGGTAAATAATTTTTAAATTCCATAAAATTATTATCAATTGTTAATTCTTTCAAATCTCCATGATATGAATTATGAAATAATTCATATAATTCACCACTTCTAAATTTTGAAAATTCCCCCTTTATAACCCCTTGAAGAAAAGGATGAGCATTAATTTGTAATTTATCTCCCGAAACTAAATCAGATAAATCAATATATAAATATCCTTGTTTTGATAAGATTTCTCGTCTATTTTCAATCCATTCAGAACTTCCAGCTAAATTATATTCTCCACCATCAAATGATATAAAATATATTGATCTTGTTGGACTCCATTGAAATTTCCGTTGTAATGATGTGAAAATCTTAATTAATTCAAGTAATACAATTGATCCACCATTGGCAATAGTTCCATCACATAATGAATCTCGATTGGCACCAATAATCACCGCTTTATCATTTTGTTCCCGACCTTCAATTGAACCAATAACATTCCAAATTGGATGTAATTCACGTATAGTATTGGTTATTTTCAATTGTATAGTAAGATCAGATTCATCATTCCCACTATAGGTCCCATCAGGAAATTTAAACCCCTTGTTGTTGCCCAATTTTTTGATCAAGGCTTGTCCATCTTTATTTGAAATTGGGATAGTGGGTATTTTTGGAGTAGTTTGAGATTTTTCCCAAGATAATCTGGTAATATATCCATCTTCTGAAGACCAACCTGGAGTTAATACATCACCAGGAGAAATTCTCGTTAATCCAACATTTTCACGAATTATAACATCATCATGTTCAATAGTTTCCATGTAACTAAATGGGATATTGAATTTTGGAGATATGAAAATTATTGCTTTTATTCCTTTTGATTGAGCTAATTTAACTTTATTTGATTCAGGAATTCCTCCACCATATTTAATTAATGCGATTTTATCCCGATAATTTATATTATTTGAATCAAGTGATTTATAATCTTGATGTAATCCATAATTTAAATAAATATATTTTAGATTAATTTCTTCAGTATTTAATGAATTCGGCATAAATGCAAAATTTTCCAATTTGGAACCATCAGATTCATATAATTTTGCTGTGAAACTTCCATCAGATAATTTAATATATGTATCATCGGGATTTTTACTTGGATAATTTATTAAACTTTGTAATTCATTAAATTCAACATTATGAATTCCATTATTTTTCATTGATTGTTCAATATATTTAGCTAATGTTAAATCACCTTTTGTACCACTTATATGAGATATTGAACTAAAATATTGTAAATTATCCTTCATTAATTCTGGATCAATATAATTATGAATAGCATCTTGTAATTTATTAATATTATAAAGTTTCCCCGTATTAAATGATGATCCTCCTCCACCACTTGAACCTTTAATACTATCATTTGTATTATATTTTGATATGAAAAATATTAATGTCATTATAAATGTAACATATAATAATCGTTTAACAACTAAAGGATTACCTAATTTTAATATTGATTTTTCATATTGTAATTGGAAATATTTATAACCTTCATAAATTGGTTCAATTAATTTATTAATTGGATTTATAATATTATTATTAATAAAATTATAAATAATTAAAATTCTACTTTGAGGATGTAATTGATGAGTGTCATAATCAAAATAACTATCATCTATTTCAAATTGTTCTATGGGGGGTGTATTACCAGTATTACCAGTTGTTGTTGTATTGCTATCAACTAATTCATCATAAGTTGGTGGACTAGACGGGAGTGGATGTTGGATTGAGGATATACTATTAGATATACGATGATATGGTTGATTATCCCGTGTGCTACTACTACTTCTATTGTTGCTATTAGTAGTAGGTGACATGGTGACTATGTGTGAGTGAGTGTGTATATTTATGTAGTGATTGTCTAATGGGGGTTATTCTAGTAATGAGATGGCTATAAGTCCCTAACAATAAGAAGTAAAGTGTGTTGTAAAAAGAAAGAAATTTATTTTTAGATTTTTTAAGATTTTGTGTGTTGGTTTCATTTACAACCCAAACGAATTTACGGTTGGGATACGACGAAGAAAGATTCCAGGCTGAGTAAGTATCCAATGGTAATACCATAATCTACATGACACAGGATATGTGACCAATAGACATATAGTACTACAGATACAATAGAGAAAAAACTACTACGGGACCAACCACTATGGTGATAAGTAACGTTTTTGCAACCCACTCTAACGAGCGTACTTTTATTAAGTAAAACTAGTTAACTACTCTATCTATCTAGCTTTTGATAAGTCCATGTAAGTCCCATTGTCTACAACTTACCAGTTGGGTTTTGTTGTTCTTGTTCCCTCTTTGACTTATTAATCGCTTGATAAACATATGATTCAAATTCTTGATAACCAGTAAAGGCATATTCATCCAAAAATGGTAATAATTGTCCAGCATATAATCCACATACTTTATTGTGGAAATCTAGCCAATAATATAAATTACCTAACCCACTCCAATATAAACACCCTTTAGGTCTACCACTCTTTAAATCATTCATATTAATTGCATTCCCAGTTAACGACCAACCATCTTTTACATAAGATTCATCTTCATTATGAGACATACCTTGAAATTCAACATTAACATGACCAGGCATATGATTTTCAATCGCCCATTTAACAGTTGATTCATTAAGAATACGTTTCCCACTATCGGGACTATATCCATAATTTAACCAAACTCTTAATAATTTAAGATAATCTCCAACAGTACCTAAACATCCTTGTCCTCCTAAATCCAATATTGGATTTGGATGAATTGGAAATCTTTTCATTAATTTAATTGAATCATCAGTATTTCTATAATGAACTCTAACTAATTTACTTTCATCTAATAAATGGAATGTACAACTTGTCATTCCAATTGGATCAAATACATATTCTTTTAAGAATTCACCCAAAGGTTTACCTGATATAGCTTGGACTATAAATCCTAACCATTCATAACTATGTCCATACATAAAATCACTACCTGGTTCATGAACCAATGGAGTCTTTTTATTACTGAAAAATTCTCGAGGAGGATTAATTGGATCCATCTTTTCTCCCTTGGTAATTAATTTATGATATTCAGCATTTATGAATCCATATGAAAATCCAGATAAATGTAATAATAAATGACGAATAGTTATTGGTACTTTAGGTTTTCTTGGTAATTTGGTATATTGACCTTGTTTATTAACAGTACCAGGATCAACAATTCCAATTAATTCGATTTCTGGTAAATATTTATAACATGGTAAATCAAGTGATAATTTTCCTTGTTCATACAATATTAAGATTGCCATTGCTGTCATGGTTTTAGTACATGAAAATAATGAAAATATTGAATCATTATCAATGGTTGATTCTGGATCTTCTAACGAACGTACTCCTTTACTATTTAAATATAAGGTTTGCTTATCATCACTAACTCCAATACAAATAGCTGGTGCAACTAATGGAGGTTTACCATTTTCATTATAAGTTGTAAGTTTATTAATTAATGAATCAATATTTGATTTTAATTCTGGTAATTGTTTTCTTGTAATTGACATTGTCTGTTAATGGATCTTATTCTAGAAAGGGAATTGTAATATTATAATCTTCAACGAAAAGAAGACATACACATCTATATAAACAAGGTAGTAATTACAAAGTGGAGGTGTAGTTTAAATTATACCTTGCGCTAATACAGTGGAGAAATTAGAAATTTTTAGCACAAGACAGAAAACAATGGGGGGTTCTTTTGCAATTTAACCGAAATAATGCCGAGTGTTGATAATTTATTTATTGGAACATAATCCCGTTATACAATTTCCACGGAAATTTTCATACATTGTCCGGAAGACACTAACAAATAAATACATTAATTGATGTATTTGGTTTCATTATCATAAGGAAATCATTCTCCCTACTGCAAGATAAAGAATTTGTAAAAAATTTATCCCTTATCATTTCTCCACTCCTACTCTGTTAACATATGCTAGTACGGAGTCAATCCCCACCTAGGTTAGTAGAGTCAAAATTATCACGTGAACAACACGTTGTATATCCAAACGGGTTTGCGTATTATCACTTTTGGGTATATATAAAGAAGAAAGCTTAGCATTTAGATTCTGTGATTCAGTGTGTAGGATACGAAATAGGCAATTGGATCCCAATTTTTTAATAGTTAAGTTTGTGTAATAATAATAATTAGTTTTTGTTCTTCTGTGGTAGAATTGTAAACAATTCAAAGTTTGAATATCACTCTATCTAAGGTACATTCAATTCTTTATCTGCTAAAGTACTTTTAGTTAGATACATATATATGCAGATTCATTCTAGAGAGAATGGTCAGTTTATATGTAATTAGAGACGTAGATTTCTCTCCCATGTATTAGAAACAAACCTTGTTATTTTTTGGGTGCAACTAATTTTACCAGAGAGAGAAGAAAAAAAAATGATTGCAAAAACTGGGAACTTTACAATCACCAAATTTATCATAGTTTAACCATCTTCCTTTCCTCAAACTCTAATTCACAATATCTCAAATCTACTAATGAACTTATATACAAGATCACACTACCCTACAACAACGCCAAACACCACATTCCCTTCAAAATCTATCATCATATTACTATTAATCATAACAATCATAAATCAAGTGGGCGCTTATGTTCATCCAATAACAATTCATGGTCATTTCTTCGTTGATAGTATAACCAAGGAACCAGTATGTATCTATACCTACATGAATATGAATAAAAGGATTTCTCTTTACTAACTCAATTATCTAGTTTTATATTAAAGGAATAGATTATCAACCGGGAGGTTCATCAGCAGTATCAAATCATAAAGATCCATTATCCGATCCTAAAAAATGTGCTCGTGATATAATATTATTTCAAGAATTAGGTATAAATACAATCAGAATATATTCTGTAAATTCAAATTTAGATCATGATATCTGTATGACAATGTTAGCATCTGCTGGGATTTATTTAGTACTTGATGTTAATTCTCCATTGCCTAATCATCATTTAAATCGTTATGAACCTTGGACAACTTATAATTTATTTTATTTAGAAAATGTTTTTAAAATAGTGGAACAATTTAGTCATTATAATAATACTTTAGGTTTTATTGCTGGGAATGAAATTGTGAATGATCCAACTTCTGCCAGTGTTTCACCAGTATATATAAAAGCCATGATTAGAGATATTAAAACCTATATTCAAATCAATTCTCCAAGACAAATTCCTGTGGGATATAGTGCCGCAGATGATTTGAATTATAGAATGTCTTTGGCAAAATATTTGGAATGTAGTAATGATAATCCTAATGAATCAGTTGATTTCTATGGGGTTAATTCATATCAATGGTGTGGTGAACAAACTTTTTATAGTAGTGGATATAATATCCTAGTTGATGATTATCGAGAATTTACAAAACCAATATTTTTCAGTGAATATGGATGTAATGAAGTCTTACCCCGAAATTTCGATGAAGTTCCAATATTATATACAAATGATATGATTGATGTTTTCAGTGGTGGTTTAGTATATGAATTTACTCAAGAACCAAATAATTATGGATTAGTTGAAATATTATCAAATGGTGATGTTAAATTATTACGAGATTTTGTTCAATTAAAGAAACAATTTGATAATTTACCTGATTTAGATTATTCATTCGTGGTAAATTCAATGAAATCAAATGCAAAACAAATTCAAAATAAATTAAAACAATATAAATCTTCAATACCAAGATGTGAATTAAGTTATACCAATTTAGATGTTTCATTAGGGTTACCTAATTCATTAGCAGAAAATTTAATTGAAACTGGAGTTAGAGTTAAACATGGTTCATTTATTGATTTAAAACAACTGGATCTTGAAAGTAAATATAATATTTATCAAGTTAATGGGGAAAAATACCCAACCTATAATTCAATTGATATTTTGATAGATATTGATGATCCTGAACATCTGCCAAAAGAACAGCACGATCATTGGGAAAATCCAGGAAAAGGTCATTCATCAACTATCATCCCCACTAGCACTCCTACTACTAGCACAATCACCGGTCATAAGAAAGCTAAACATACACAGATTATCGTTGGAAGTAGTACGTATCCTGAAGATATTTCTTATCCATCAGAAGAAAATACTCCTCCTCCAGGTGGAATAGATGTAGGGGGTGATTATGAAAATAAACCAATATATGATGAGGTTGATGCGGATGATGATAGGGTCAGTAATGGATTTATGGCCGTGGTTCAAAAAGTAGCCAATTCATTCAAAAAGCTATATTCTAGTCTATTTAATTAAATTTTTCTCTGTATAAGGAAAATATACGTATTATTATCTATTAGTTAACCTGCATGTCTAATCTCTTCCTCTGTCCGTCTTTGCTAATTTTGTATGATTATTTTATTCATGGTGTGTATTGTATGATGCAGAATTATAAAGCAATTTATGTTTCCTATTAAATATTTTAATTGAATTATGATTATTAATTTCTAATTGTGACAATAATACCTTCCATTCATGATTAGATAATGTATCTATAAGTTTATCTCTCAGTAATTGTTCTTTATGACCACATTTTATACATGTCCTAACTTTTTTCAATGATTCCTTTAACACGATTGTAAGTTTCGATATTTCACTAATATATTTCATAAATGTTTCAAAATTATCCGTGGGAGGTTCTACCCAAGAATCAACATCACTTTTATCGTCTTCTTGTTTTAAATATTCAAATAATCCAAAATTCGTCAATGTAATATTAGTTACATTCTTATACCCACCTAATCTTCCACATATAATTTTAAAAAATGGATTAAATTTCCCAAAATTGAATTGTTGTCCATCTAAATAGAATAAACTTGAATTCATATCAATACAAATATGATATAATTTGGAATTATTCAATTTTATATAATCAATTAATGATAAACAATTATCATTGGTGATATTTTTCAATTCTAATTGAGATACATTATGAAACATGGGGTTGGGTATTGGTTTTGATTTGGGTTTTTTGAATGAATTGGTATAATTACATGAGTCAAGTATTAAACTTTCAATATCAGCAACATGGGGTGAAGCCGTTGTATCGTTGGATAATATTGATTTCGTATCATCAATTATAAAATTAATTAATTGTAATTGATGTATCACATTGAAATGATTACAAATTAATGAAATATGAGAATATTTCAAAGGAATTGACCAACCTGATTGAGTCTTTAATATTAATTTCTCTAAACTTCTCTTTGGTTTTGGTAAGGTGGTTTTCTTATTTCTTAAGAATCTTGATATTACTTGTTTTTGATAAGGTTGTTGAATATTATCAGGAAATTGGAAATCAGGAGAAATTTCATTTATAATTAAACATTTTAATCCAAATGATTCCATAAATAATTTATTTAACGATTGAACAAAATCATCATGACTTATTTCATTTGGTGGTCTAATTACTTCTATTTGATAACTACCAGCAATATTTGATTTATAATTTGATGAACCAGCTCGTTTAATTTGTGGATTATTAAATTCAACGGTTGTTAAGTAGTTTATCTTATTACCACCACTGCTAGTACTGTTTGATAAATGATTATTAGCAAATGATTGAAATTGTTTAGTGGTTGTAAAATGAATTTTATTATATAAGAAATATTTATTAATAAATTGATTAAATCGTTTACAAGTTAATGAGATTGAAAGTAAATCTCGTTGATCCAATTGGTTAAATATTAATAATAAGATTTCAAATGGTAATGAACATAAATGTAATTGAGGATATTGAATATTTGAAGATTTCTTGGTATTATTGTTACTATGAAATGATGATAATAAACCACTTCCTCGTTTACCTATTAATTGATATTTCTTCATACCTTTTGTTATCTTACTCTTCTTATGGGTATCACACACACACACTCTGTTGCTATATATATATATATAAGAGTATCTAAATGTGTTATAAATGTAAAATGAAATTCAGTTTCATACCCCGGGGAAATATAATTTCAAAATCTCATTGCAGCCTTTTTTGTGCAAACTATTTCTTAGTGTAAATTTAATTACTCACATGAATTATGAAATCTACACATTCGTATATTTATTTTTATAAGGCGAGATCTTTGTAATATGGTAGCATTGCTAGGATATTCTTATATTGGTAGCACTGCCATCATAATCTATTCTAGTTAAAGATATAAAGAAGTATACACACGACCATCATCTATTGCATATGATACCCTGATTCTCCATTATTTAGTATTATACATAATATCTTACAATAACTTTACACTGAAAGGTAGTAATTTGGTAGCTCTGCTATCTTTTTTATGCCCATAGGTACGACTACATAGTACACACCCAACCAATGATTCCCATTCTCCCCTAGCAGCTATATATATCCAGTTCTTTTATATCTATGATTCATTTCATCATAAGCTTGTCTCATTTGTACATAACCTAAATGAATCTTCCCCACAAAATGATCAGCCAATCTTCTATCATTATCTAATCGAGATAAATACGCTCCACATCCTTCACATACTTGTAATTTCTGTTGTGATGCTTGACCAACATTCTCAACTATATTTCTTGCCTGTTGAGCTAATTTATTCCTCTTGTCACATAATTCATTCAATTTAATTGATTGTTCCAATACTTTCATTGATTGATTGGTTGAAGTTAAGAATTCAATTTCTTGAATCATTAATCCAATGGTCATATCTACATCATCTAATTCTTTAGTCACTTTTTCAATTTTAAGTTTCTCCTCGGGGGTATGTTCTAATCTTTTAGTAGCAATGGCAATATTTCGATCTAATTCATGAATATATGATTGTAATTGTTTATAATAATCATATTCTAATTCAGGAAACTTTTCACCTAATTTCTTAGTACGATATTCATATTCTAATTTATGTTTTTGTAAATGTAACATTGGACATTTACCTAAATCTTGTTTAGTACCAATAAATAAATCATGGGGACATGTTCCAACTAAAAAACTACGACACACTTTTGGATTAGTCATTTCTGGATCTTTACGTCGTATGGATGTTTCTTTACCCATTAAACTTTCAAGTACAATTCTCTGTTGTTCCGCCATTTGTGTTTTGTTATATTGTTTCAGTTATATCTATATCTCTCCCTATGACTTACTTATAAATTATAGATTGGTCTTCTATGAGATGATGATGATGAGTAGAAAAAATCAACTATCGCACACTTGGTAGCACCGCGTTATATTACAGATTTATATAGAGATAATTATGTTATAAAGCTATTTATAAATATATTCATCTAATCAGACTTCTCTTCTTTCTTTTCTTCTTCTACCTTTTCTTCTTCTACCTTTTCTTCTTCCACCTTCTCTTCTTCCACCTTCTCTTTCTTCTCAATTGAAATCTTTTCCGTTGAAACATATCCCATAGCATCTAATCTTTCTGGTAAAATAGGATGAGAATGATGATAAGAACTATATAACCAATCAGTAATCATTCCTGATAAATTTTCATGACAAAGTTTAATTAAAGCTCTACTTAATTCTTTATCATATCCACAATCAACTGCATATTTATCAGCTTCATATTCATGTTTTCTTGAAATCAAATGTTGTCCAAATGTTAAAATACATTCCATTGGTTGAAAAATATCATTAAATAATAAAAATCCAATTAAAATTGGTTTTTCATTAATGAAACCAAATGAATTATATAATGAATTATTATGAATAAATGATGAAAATATTGAAAAAATAATGAATAAATGACCTTGACTCATAATTAACATTTTTGGTAAATGATTTAATTTCCAATGACCAATTTCATGAGCTAATACTGCAACAGTTTCTTCAGTACTATTATGTTCAATTAAAGTATCAAATAAAACAATTTGTTTTGACCATGGTAATCCGGTGAAATAAGCATTTGAATGAGATGAACGTTTTGAACCATCAATTACAAATAATTTAGTTAATGGGAATTTTTGTTGTAAAGCTAAATTTTCAATTGCAGTTTTTAATTCACCATCTTCTAAAGGAGTAAATTTATTAAACAAAGGCATAATCAAAGTTGGAATAATCGTCATTGCTACTAAATTAAGAACCAATACAAATCCCATAAGATAAAAGATAAATTGATCACCATAATAATCAATAATCTTCAAAAACGCAGCAATACAAGGAGAACCTAAAACAATACTAAGACCAATAGTTTTGATCGTATCAGTAATCCATAATTTCATTGTCAATTTATTAAAACCAAATTTCTCTTCTAAAACAAAATTCTGATAATAAGTCAATGGAGATCCAATAATTGTAGTCAAGATTTGGGAAGTGAAAATAAAGAAAATAGAATGAGTAATAACCCCACCCCAAGCTCTTGGTAAAATAGAAGCACATTTAGCCATCAAAACACCACTGAAAGACCATAATTTAGGTAATAAATCATATTTAATAACAATAGCATTTTGAATTAATCCAAAAGTTGAAGAAAAGAATGAAAATTTAGATTTTGCTCGGGAATATTCTTGTGATTTATCAAAGGTTTCTTGATCAACTTCTTTCTTGATTGACGCTGGTGGTGATCTCTTTTGGAATACTTGATATTGTCTATAATCTAAATAAGTTTCAAATAAGAATTGTCCAACTGTAAATCCAAGAATAACAGTTTTCCAATCAATATTGGAATTATCAGGAAATGAAAAAGTCTGGAATTTTCTGTTAGTAATAAACTCAATTGAATAATAGGTGCCCCATTCGTTCAATTGGTTGGACATGGTAGATAGAGACTACATACTTCAGTTAATGATATCATCTTTATCTCTTGCTTTTTGGTATGAAAAAGAATAAAAGATTCAACAAATTGACAGCAAATTGAAATATTTTTTTGGGGAGGCTCTCTTTTTTTGATTTTCATTTTCATTACCCGGCTTCAAAAGTGAACTTCCGAGAATTGTGAATAAAAATTACGGGCAATATAGGCGGACCTATAATCACATGGAAAATACCTTTTGTAAGAATTACCCATATCTGCTACTAAAAGGACTTAATTCATGCAAACCTCGAAAAGACTAAATGATCTCAAAGACAGAATAGTTGATGAACAACCACACCAATCTGACGAAAGACAGTTGAAGAAGCGAAGAACGCGTCTTGAAATTTTTCATCTTCCTAAAGACATCATAGATATTATAATCTTCTTTATACCAGATGGTTATTTGGAAACTTACCTCGACATTCCCTTTATTGGAGAATATGCTGCAAATAGATTTTATCGATATCTTGAAATTCTCCCTTTAGTTGCGAACACTTATCCTTTAAAATCGCCATACACTTATCCTTCAAAATCTTCAAATTATGCATATATGGAGCATGAACTTGTTGAACCAAACAGGTACCAAACTATGTCAACGAGGAAAACAGAAAAATTCAGGTTACCAAACTTTCTTATTCATCCAAATGAAGATGGCGGTAGTGGAGATACATACTATAGACAATTAAGTCTAAATGCATTTGTTCAGTTGAGTAACAAGTATCCCAGATTTCAACCCAAAGTTGTTCATTTCACGACGTTTAATAGATTTTCTTGGATGCATGAACGATATCCTGGCATATTGGCTCGATTACCACATATAGATATTTCATTTGAAGATCGTATAATACTTACATCACAGTCAGTTTTTAATCTGCAATACAACATTTATCGGGTTTTCAACATTCCAGAGCAATTTATCAACTCGAAAGCGTTTTCGGACATTTCGAGTCTTTGTACCAGATCGTTTCCCATTGGTATCGGTAAATGTTGGGCAGAAACTCTTCAAGAACTTTACTTGTATGATCCGCGACTCGATTTGAATGTAATCTCGAAAATGGATAGCCATTTCCCCAGGTTGAAAAAATTAGGCTTAGAAATCTTCATACAGTTTCTGAAGCTATTCTCGTGTTTCCCCTCAAACTTGGAGTTTTTGCAAATACGCATGATGGAGGAGGATTATGGATGTTTTGCGAATAGATGGGATTTCTCATATTTGACATACTTGAAACAGTTTGTAGTCGATACTGGGTTTAGCTTGGATACATTAGACAGATTCAAGTTTCCTCGTGGGATTGAACGAGTGACTATCTGTGCAGCCGATACTGGGGAATTGTTTCCAGACCCAACAAGCTTTGACAGCATAGAAATGTACCCCAATTTAAAAGAGTTCCGAGTTCGGTATCGCAGTGAGAAAAGAAAAGTTTTGTCACATAATACTTACTTTCCGAAAACGCTACAAAAGCTTGAGATATCGGTGGCGGCCCTTGAGAACCCACTGGTTGAATTGGGAGAGAATTTGCGTTTTCCTGGTGATTTAAAGGTTCTACAGATTTATTCTTATCATGGGGACTACGAGCCTGAGAACTTAGTGCTTCCAGGTTCCTTAAGGATTTTATCCCTTTTCAATGAAACCGATGAAGAATTTGAGGAGCTGTATGATTGGGCCGGTGTAAAATTTCCAGAATCTCTTGTTCAATTAAATATGATGTGCACTAAAGGAGATGGAATTCCATTTCCCAAATCATTGCGTGGGTTGTACATAAATACACTTTATGACTCTACACTTAATTTCCTTACACTTGAGAATTTGGTTCAGCTTAAATGTAGGTCGGATATATGGAGGAGTTCGTATATGAATTGCCTGCTACATTGAAAACTTTAGATTTGTCTTGGAATCGATTCCTTTCGGAAATTATCGTTGAAGCACCAAATTTGAAGCTGGTGGTATTGGAGGCAACGGGGTTTACTTCTATAGATCCGTCAACGTTTCAGTTACCCGATTGTGTTGAATTATTATACTTGTCGACTCCAATGGGTATTGAAGTAACAGTCCCAAATACATTACCCACTCTGTTGACACACTTATATCTACCAAGCTCCTATTTAAGTTCCGATTTATTGAATAAGCTTCAATTACAAGACTATAAAAGGCTTGTCAAATTGGATTTGCTGGATAACGACATTTCTCATTTAGGAAACAACAGTCTTCCGTCGTCTTTAGAATGGTTACGTCTTGATAAGAATCCCATTTCCACATTTTCCAATTCAGAAGTATTCTCGGATCTTAGGCGCTTACGTGAATTAAATATCTCACACACCAACGTCAACGATTATTTACAAACAGGTGAGTTAAAGTTCCCATCATCGTTGATTAGCTTGAATCTCGCAGAGAATAATCTAGAAAAGGATGTAGTGGGTCATTTAATCTTGCTGTCCTGTACTCAATTGCAAGAGTTGTGTTTGGTCGGAAGCGTAGACATTGAGGTGGTTCAAGAGATTGTAGATGTAATCAAATCCACTTGTCCAGACATGGTTGACTTGATGTTGAATAGCTGGCTTGAAGGTTGTGTCAGAAGTGAACATTTCATATCGTTTTATTCACCGCCAATTGAATTTGAGTTTTAGTTGGGAATATAGTCTTGGAAGACTTTGCTGCAATTAAGTTGCGTAACCATGTAAGTTACAAATTAATAAATCTTAACAAAACAAACAAATACCAATCGAGAGTACCAAAACCTTGCTTGTATTGACACCAAAACAACGCTTTTCCCTCTCTCCACCCATGCTGTTGTAACATCCATTTGGTATACCTAAAGGATATGAAAATGAGATCAGAAGTGAAGGTAGAGTTTTATGTAAGCTTAAGAAGAGTTTATATGGATTAAAGCAGGCTCCACTCTGTTGGAATAAGAAAATTACTGAGATACTTGAAAACTTGAAGTTCAAAAGATTGTTATCAGAACCAGGTATATATGTTAGAGATGGAATCATATTAGGTTTATATGTTGATGACATCCTAGTTGTGTGTAAAGAAGAGACAGAATATCAAGAGCTTAGAAAACAGTTAGCAACGAAAGTAAATGTAAAGGATCTTGGTCTAGCAAAGAAGTTCTTGGGAATCAACATCGAGCAAACGAAAGAAGGAATAAAGTTATCTCTTAGTGATTACATTGATAAACTACTTGGAGATTGGAACCTCACTGATGGTAAAGAAAAACGTACTCCTTTTATTAGTGATACTGATATTAAGTCTGCTGTAACCAAAGGTGGTGATGTGAATATCAAAGAATATAGGTCATTAGTGGGACAGTTATTGTTTGCATCCACTACTGTAAGATTTGATGTAGCATTTGTTGTTAGTTGTCTTAGTAGAAATTTCCAAAACCCATCTATGGGTGATATGGCAGCAGCTAAACATGTTCTTCGTTATTTGAAAGGAACTAAAGATTATTCTTTAAGTTATAATGCTCAAGAAGGACTTGAAGTATACTGTGATTCAGATTGGGGATCACACGAAGATGATAGAAGGTCAATCAGTGGTTATATTTTTAAACTTGCTGGAGCTCCAGTGAGCTGGAAGAGTAAGAAACAACCATCAGTAGCTCTCTCCACAGCAGAAGGAGAATATATGGCCCTTGCTGAAGCCACAAAGGAAACATTATGGATTTTGCAGTTACTTGAAGAATGTGAAATAGAAGTAAAACTTCCAGTGATAGTGTATGAAGATAATGAGGCAGCACGTATTTTAGCTAATCATAATGCTTACCATGCTGGAACAAAGCACATCGACATTAGGTATCATTTTGTACGTGATCATGTGTTAAATCGAATCATCAATATTGTGAAGGTAGCATCAGCTAATAATTTGGCTGATATATTTACTAAGTCTATGAGTGAGTTTCAGTTTAAAGCTTTAATTAACCAAAGTGGGTTAAAAGAGTGAATGACTTGTAAGTCTAAGTTTTTTGTGTTTGTTTTTTTTTTTTGGGTAGTTTAACTACTATGTTTGTTTTGTTTAGTTTGTTTGATTAAATACAAGATCGCTATGTTAGTGATTGGACATGAGTTTGATCCTTCCTCTCTGAAGGTGTTCGCAATAATCCCTTAGAGATTTACAAGATCACAGTTGTGATTGGACATGAGTTTGATACTTTTCCCTTTCTCCACCCTCCCTCTATCACGAAACCGGATCAATCCTGGAAGGCTTAGATCTTGTCATCATTGCCTCTAAAAGGATCCTAGAGGATACCTAGAGGAGCAAACCTTGCGTATATGTCGATTATGAGTCAAATTTTACCATTCTGTCTTCTTTAAGTATAGAACACGCCATACGACTATTCTCTTTTAAAACCGTAGATAATATTGTCTATGGGTCCATCTAATGATTGAGAAATTGTGGACAAAGAAATGGACAAGCGGTACTTCAGAAAGTCTGTCTAACATAGTTTAGCGGAACAGCACTTCCGTGACACTATTGGACTTCCTTGCAGCCTCTTCTATTTTCCCAGACCTTATGTGCCAATATGGGATTTAATATATCTAAGAAACTTACGAACTTCTGAGACCATTCTATGAGCTTCTACGAATTTACTAGGATAGTTAGACCTGAACCCACTCTCCATATCGAATGGCCCACGGCATTAAATCAACAAGAGAGAAACGGTATAGAGAATTTCTTTTACAATAATAATAAATGGTTATAACGTAATATAAGTTTTTGTATTTTTACTATATATCAATTGTAGCAAAAAACTTTAATAATAATAATGATGAATAAATGATGATGAGTTATAAACTAAGAACTGTAATAAAAATTAATTATGGACAAAATATATTAATAAACACAATTAGTCTAGTTAGCTTCAGCAGCTAATTTTTCAGCCTTAGCAACAACATCTTCAATACCACCAACCATATAGAAAGCATTTTCTGGTAAATGATCATACTTACCTTCCAAGACTTCCTTGAATGATTTGACAGTATCTTGTAATCTGACTAATCTACCTGGAATACCAGTGAAAACTTCAGCAACAGCGAATGGTTGAGATAAGAATCTTTGAATCTTACGAGCTCTTTCGACAGTTAACTTATCAGCTTCAGATAATTCATCCATACCTAAAATAGCAATGATATCTTGTAAAGATTTATAAGCTTGTAAAGTTTGTTGAACATTGGTAGCAACTTCATAATGTTCCTTACCAACAACAGAAGCATCCAATAATCTAGATTTAGAATCTAATGGATCGACAGCTGGGTAGATACCCAATTCAGAAATACCTCTAGACAAGACAGTGGTAGCATCCAAATGGGCGAAAGTGGTAGCTGGAGCAGGATCGGTTAAATCATCGGCTGGGACATAGACAGCTTGGACAGAAGTGACGGAACCCTTGGTGGTGGTGGTAATACGTTCTTGTAAAAGACCCATATCAGTGGCTAAAGTTGGTTGATAACCGACAGCAGATGGAATACGACCTAACAAGGCAGAGACTTCTGAACCAGCTTGGGTGAATCTGAAAATGTTATCAACGAATAACAAGACATCTTGACCTTCTTCATCTCTGAAATATTCAGCAATGGTTAAACCGGTTAAAGCAACTCTAGCTCTAGCACCAGGTGGTTCATTCATTTGACCGAAAACTAAAGCAACCTTGGAGTCACCTTCTAAGTTAATAACACCAGTTTCCTTCATTTCACGGTATAAATCATTACCTTCTCTGGTTCTTTCACCGACACCGGTGAAGACGGAGAAACCACCATGGGCCTTGGCAATGTTGTTAATCAATTCTTGGATAAAGACAGTCTTACCGACACCGGCACCACCGAATAAACCAATCTTACCACCTCTAGCATAAGGAGCTAATAAATCGACAACCTTGATACCAGTTTCTAAAACTTCAGCAGCAGTGGATTGTTCAACGAAAGCTGGTGGATCAGCATGAATTGGGTTTCTTTGCTTACATTCAATTGGACCTCTTTCATCAATTGGTTCACCAACAACGTTGATAATTCTACCTAAAGTACCACGACCAACTGGGACGGAAATTGGGGCACCAGTGTCATTGACGGCGGTACCTCTGACTAAACCTTCAGTACCATCCATAGCAATAGCTCTGACGGTGTTTTCACCTAAATGTTGAGCAACTTCTAAGACTAAGTCTTGGTCACCATTCTTTAAGGTTAAAGCATTTAAAATAGCTGGTAAGTTACCTTCTTCGAATTGGACATCGACGACGGCACCAATAACGGCTCTATAAATTTATTCTGTTAGTATAATTGAATTCATTAAACAAATGGGTAACATGGCAATGTGAATCAATCATAGCAGTGTTGGTTGACCAATAAGTTTTTTCGGTGTGTCTGGAAAAACGTTGAAGGAAAATTCGCGGGTGGAAAAAAATTGAGCGAAAAAAACTGAAAAATTTCATTGGACGGGAGAAGATTTTGGTCAACTGGCCGACATTAAAACGGTATCGATTGAATAGTTAGTTTTCAAGTGATAGTTGATTGTACAGTAAGTGTAGTTATGTATTAGACTCATTTGATAGTATGATTAGTTCGAGAATCATTAATTTTTTTATTCTCCGGGTTGAGATCAAGAAATTATATTCGATATCTTGATACCGATATCCGCCACAATTGAGGTATGGGCAGTTAGTTCATAGATAATTATATTATATGATTCCTTTCCATTGCAATTGGTCTATTGCTTGTGATTCATATGCCATTGAAACCCCCTTTCAAGGTTAAAAAAGAAAATGTGAAAAATTGGTGTACATACCTAACTTTACCATGAGCTGGAGCAGCAGCAGCTAAACCTCTTGAGAACATGAGGTTACGCTTAGTAGCATTGAATGCAGTGCGTGTAGCAGTGTTAAATAATCTTGGAAGAACCATCGTTGATAACTTTGGTAATTTAAAGATAATCCTCTAAAGTATTAAAAAGAAAGAGAGAAAGGGTTTTTGAAAAACTCTTGTTGAAAAAAAAAAAATTTGGTGGACAGTGAAGAGAATTTATTGAAACATTTTTTTTGGTGGTTCCAATTGAAAACTACACCAAAAATTCTATGAACCAATTAAATCAAAGAAAAAACTTGTGTACGGCTTATATACAGTACCAGTTCTTTAGTAACAAAATTCCGATAAAATTATTCTTTTTTTAGTTAAACCGATTCGCATTTTCTTATTGGACCAACCGAGAATACTGTCAATTCTAATATGTGTTGGTGTTGCAAAAATGTATACAGGCAATTATACACTTTCAATACATTGTATATCTAATAACACCATTAATTGTAGGGATAGGATTCTAGAATTAGCATAAAGATATCTTCAGAAATCCTAGTAATTGGTTATGTAGATGTATCTAGGAGTGTCTCATACTACTCGTCAGTGGAAGGTTGTCCACCCTCAATCAGGGTCCTCGTACGCCACACAATTTATTTCTCTCAATTGACACAACAGCTACTACTCTACAGCTCCCAATTTGATCAGTTTGACCTGTGATATATATTACTCGTTATAAGAGTGGTTTATAAGCTATAATCCTCTGTTGTTTATGGTACTCTACTGCCCTTGATTGTATCTCCAACAGTTCAGTTCACTATCCAATTTGGCTGCGAAAAAAAAAATCCAACAATTCTTGAAGAATATTTGCCAATAACTAGTGACACAACTAAACAATATCATTATACTTTATATTACATATCTAACTCAAATAAACTAAATAACAATTACACGAAAAATTAAAAAAACTAACTAAAATACTACAAACCATAAAAAACCAAACTAAGTTACCCATATTACATTAAATCGGGGTATCATTTACCCAACCTTCTCAAGACTTCTCTTTGTTTCTAAAATGAAAGCTTCCAAATTATTAAGATGCTTTTCATATATTAATTTACTATTAGGTGGGACATTCTCATAATCATCATCATCATATTTCTTTACCACACATTCTAAGCACAATCTTATTTGCGTTGGTTTTTTCTCTTGCTTGGGCTTAGACTTCATCATCATCCTTCCTCCACTACCTCTTGTATTCATCTTATGGCCAACTGGAGACGACGGAGCTTTCTTCACCTTGGTGGCCGCAGATAGGTAATCAATACTATATATTGGTTTATGTGAACTTGATCTTCTTCTGGACGATCTACGACGCTTATTTGATTCTTCATTGGGTTCTTCACTTGTTGCACGTTTCTTAGCTTCATTTATCACTTTATCAAATTCATCCATCATGCATGTTGCACTGTCGTCATCATCATGAATATGAATAACTTCCTTCTTGTCTTCTTCTTCAGGCTTGATTTCATCAACATTGCCTGAAGCAGAAGGTGAAAGATTAGATGATGGTGTAGGAAGTTGTTCCAGCGGCTTCTGTGAAGAAGAATCATTCTGATTGCCATTACCTATCACACAATATTGATAACAAAGATGAGTCTTACATCCGTCACAAAGTTTATCATCTTCTTCATATTCTTCATTTACTCCATATAATTTTTCCTCTTCAGTTAATATACGTTCAATAACAGGCTTGTACTCAAGTGAGAAACTAGTTTTATTAATCCGAAATAACAATGACCTTTGTTTATCTATAAAACCCTCATATTGTTTTAAACTCCTCTGAACTAAATCAATAGTAGATTTCGATATCAAGCCTGTTTGTCTATTAAATCTTTTCATAATATTTTCAAGTAATTCATAATGACTGAAAACATTTGGTTTTTTAGTGATTTTATATTCTTCAATTGCCATTTCACCAAATGGTAACCAATCATCCATCGTGAAATTAACTGCTTCATTGAAATTAAACCCACAATTAAACCCAGCATGATATACTCGAGGATATGTGACGATAAATTCCCCTGGATTTTGATCGGCATAAGTACATGGAATACCATCTCCCACAATTCTCATAGGCGATAATAAAGTCGTTATTTGATGTAATAAATCCGGTTGTTTTTTAAATAAATCGGGAGAAATTGTTTTCATCAATGTTTCAAATTTATCGGCATGACTAGATGGAATCCCATACCATTTCTTGGTAGCTCCAAAATGACAATAATTAGCGGATAATGTATAATGATCTTCCACATGCCAACAGAACGTTGATAATAAAGAACCAATATAGATCCAAGGGATTGTCATACCGGAAATAGCCGTGTTTATATAATTCAATAACGATCCTTTTGCAAATGGTAATCGAGTCAAATTCCAAGGGTGATTGATATAATATTGATTTAGCAGGCTTTTTAGATCTAAATTTGGAGTATTTTTCATAGGGAATCCACTAATTTCTCCTGGTTTTAAATTATGAATATCTGCACCATATAAGACTTGAATATTTGAATTTTCTGATGTTACAAATGACCAAAATTTCTCTTCAATTAAATCTACAGTTAATGGGTTTCCATTATTATATTCAGTGGCAAAATTAGTATCGAATTCAAGACATTTTTGATAAAATTCCGGTAAATCATAGTCATGATCTAAATCTTCATCAAATCCATATTCTCCAGTTCCAATCAAACATTTATCACAATACCATTTCCCTGAGGGGATTGATTGTAATGGAACCTTTAAACAATAGGTATGAAATGGATTATCACAATGGTCACATAACAAAGTTTGGTCAGGATGATCATTCTTGTTACAGATCAAACAGTTATCCCTCTCATCTTCAGAATCACTCTCGGGAAATTCACCCGTGTCACCAAAGTGACTTGTAAGATATTTCTCATAATACAAGATATTCTTTTCATATTCATTTTCAATGTCAGTTGCGTAGGAAGGCTGGTGGTATTTATGATTTATTTCACTCCAATCCGCTCTCGTAATATTCCGCCATCCACCTCGGTTCTTAACATCAATATAGAGGTCATAATAATATATCTTCTCACTATTACCATCTACGGTGAAATACAAAGGCAATTGCTTTTTCCGTCTCATTTTCCAAAACCGATTAATATTATCCTGAAAGAATTTCCGTGACCTATTCACCAATCCTAAATCATTTAAATCTTGTTTTCGAACATGAAATTTAAAATTAGGAGAAAGTGACCGTGGAGGTTTCCAATCTTTTGGTGGTACGATTTTAAGAATTCCATATTTAGCAGCTAATTCAGCCACATCTTTTCTAGCCAAATATCCAATAGGATCAGCGAATTCCAGCTCATTGGGTTTAAGAATTGGACATGGCATTAATAGATCCTTATTGAAAGAAGAATCAGCAGCGGCCGTCATGGTTGTATTTACGCTTTAAAAAAACCCGCTTGAAAATAATTAGCAAATAGGAATAATAATTGTAGGCGATATTGGTATCAAATTAATCACAAAGCTTGTGCGTCTAAAATAAGTGTTCCGAAACGATAGATTGCAATACAAGGTTTGTATATTGTCCTGGACTTGCTTATATGAGCAAAAGTAAAATTGGTTCTTATTAAAGTTCAAATTTTTTTTTTTCCTTGAAAATAGGGTTGGTTGATTAGAGGAAAAACCAAAGAAATTTTTTGAAATTACGGAATAACAAGATAGTAAACTATGAGTGATTAGTATTGATATGTCGTAGTTAATGATGTTGAAGCCGTTGCTAGTCTCAATATTTGCTTATGGTCGTTTCAGAAACTACAACGATTAAAGAGTTGGCTCTTCAGGTTCTGGGGATATTTTATGGGAGATTACAAAATATCTAGATGACACTTCAATTAGAGTTCCTAATTAGGAAATAACCTACATGCACTCCTTCCATCTCATTTTTTTTTCCTTCAAACAGAACTTGAATCCAGCATTTGGAAGTCGGACCCAGTCATAAAAACAACCAAATTGACTCACAAGCTTCATAAACTAATAGGAATGTTAAAGCATAGAGGGGAGAAGACTCCATCCTTATAGACGGCAGATTAGTATAATTTCGCAGTAAGAATTTGGGGACCTCTATCAAAAGCAGTGGTAGTGTTGCTGATCTCTAATTTCAGGCCAGAAAAGATCCCAAGACATTGCTTAACCAGAAGGCATCCTGGCTACTCAAATCTTGTAGAAGTAGAGATCATGAAAGAAGGATTAGACGAAAGGTAGTTCAAATAATTAACTTCATTGGAAGATTGGAAAATTGAAAGTACCGGTTACTGTACCTAAATGGGAGGTAAGTTGAAGAACAATTCTATATACTGACCACACATAATTAGCTAAAAGAATTTAAATAATAACATTAATATATAATATAATATGATATTACCTTACTCTCTTTGGTATATCAGATGTTATTTCCAAGAACACACTAAACCTCTACCGACTTTTGGGTGCAAAAAAATCATTTTTTTTTTCGACACGCTCAGACTTTCCCTTTAAAACTGCTAAACTATACTCATCGATAAACAAATAGAACAAGTTGTAAACATTATAAGGATACCGATACCGGTGTGTTCAGATGAAATCCATTCAGTCTTTCGGTGGTCTTCATATAATTAATTGTAGTTTATGTTAATTTAAAGTGGGGAGGGAGATTGCTCATACCGTACAAATTATACAAACGTCCCAATTAAATTAGTGACAGCGAGCATTTAATTTTTTTTCCGGAGTCTCTCTCTTTCTCTTTCTCTTAACTACTTTTTGACTCACTAATAAATTTATTGGAGTATTGAAATTTTTTTCTTTGGGGATCTCCATCAGATTTAAGACTATAAAATCCCCCCAAGTTTTCCACTAAATTTTACTTTGAATTCCTATTCAATCAATTAGAGAGAACTTACCTTCTAGTAAATACATAAACAAATACATATTACACAATGAAAGATTATACAATTGTCGTTTTAGGATGTGGTGTTATGGGTACTGCTGTTACTTCCGCTATTTTAAAATCAAAATTTGATCCATATCCAGCAAAGATTATTGCATGTACAATTCCATCAGAAGAAGAAAACTTAAAGAAAGTATTTGCCGGTAATGACATAGTTGAAATATCAGCTGGTTCAGAAAGAAATAATCAAGCTGTTGCAAAAGCCGATATTATCATATTAGGTTGTAAACCATTTATGTATGAAACTATTTATAATGAAGTTAAACAATCATTAACTGGTAAACAATTATTAATTTCTTTATTAGCCGGTACCACCATTAAAGAATTATCAATCTTCACTCCATATGTTGCTAAAGTTATGACCAATACTCCTGCTAGATTTGGATGTGGTACTGCAGCAATTGCTTTCGCTTCAGAAGTTACTGAAGAACAACAAGAATTAGTAATGAAACTTATTGATACCGTTGGTATGACAGTTAAGATTCCAGAAAAGAATATGGATATTGCCACATCATTGATTGGATCAGGTCCAGCTTTCTGTTTATTAATGATGGAATCAATGATTGATGGAGCTGTTAGAATGGGTATGCCATATGATATTGCTCAAAAATCGGCTGCAAAAGTTATGGAAGGTACTGCTAAAATGGTACTTGAAACTGGTGAACATCCAGCTGCTTTGAAAGCTAAAGTTTGTACTCCAGGTGGTACTACTATTGGAGGTTTGTTAAAGATGGAAGATAAGGGTGTTAGAAGTGCAATTGCAAGAGGTGTTGAAGAGGCTGCTGTTATTTCAGCTTCATTTGCTAAAAAGTAAGACATCACATTCATTTTTTGATAGAAATTCGTAACTATATCATTATGTATTTAATAAATTAAATTTATATACTCTTTGTATCACCGCAGAGAATCATTAAAAGCAGTTGTAACAGTAGTAGTGGCAGCTGCAATAAATCTAAAATAATGGTTTTTTATGTTCAAACATTAATCTTCCTAATATTGTTTGGAATTCTCTATTATTTACCGTTATACCCTTTCCAACCAATTCTTCCTTTAAAGATTGACACAGTTCTATAACATCACCATCAGCAAACACATCAAATACGATTTCTTTTGGTTGTTCAGTTTGGGCACAATATCCTTTTTGTTTTACTAATCGTTTAATTTCTTGTCCTACTTTTTGTATTGAAGGGTTAGCAGTGAATATATCATTCCATCTAGCCACATCACTCGATTGCATCTCATCAGCAGTTGTACTTCTTTGAAACTTGATAAAATATGGTGCTGAAGAATTTGCTGAGAGTGAACTTGCAGTTCTTAATCCCATTTGTCTAACTGGGCTGGTATATCTGGCTACGGTATTTCTGAACATGAAGCTTGCTTGGGATTGTTAAAAGAGATTACTATATAAGAAGAGGAAAGAAAGAGGGACAGCACCAAATTTTAAATGTGAAATTCCAAGTGGTATTTATAAAAAGATTCAATGGTTTATAGGATTTCCAGTTAAGGAGTTATGTACGCCTGTTGTTTACATTTTTTATTACGGTTGAGCCAGTCGGTTAAATTCGGAGTGGTTGCTTTTTAAGATTTCTTTTTTCTTAGTCAGATGATGAAGACAATTTCTCCGCATTAAAAAAAAGAAATTTCACACCAAAAAAAAATCTATTTTTGTTCTAAACTCCCCCGCCCCTCCTCCACCTCCATACAAACTTAACAAAACTTAAAGCCGTTTTAATGAGAGAACAATTTTTAAATCAAAAAAGAAACTTCATGGGAAAGTCAAAGCGCTTTCAAATCGACTCATTCTGGCCATTACCGAGGGAATAAACAACAATAGTGGAAGCCACATTTGACGTCTCAATTTTCGGTGTTTTAAAACAGACAAATGACTACACGCGCATAAGAGGATGACTAATGAGATTGCTTTTTGAGATGTCAACCAAACAGAGATATTTTTATTTAAAGAAGAATTTAATTCACTTGTATTATGCTTTGTAATTCTCATATGCAGATTTACTTGTACTGGCTAGAGTCTAGACAAGTGGAATATCTGACAAACTTGACATTGCAGCAGTTAATCAGATGATTCATTTATTTTCTCTTTTCTTTGTTTCTTTGCTCTTTAAGACTCAGCCGCTAATCCGTCTTTCTTGGTAAATTATAAAAAAATTGAAGATCCTCTTTCCCGAATGCCTTATCAAGAAATCTTATTCTTCTTTGTTTCATTCATTCTGGCGATAGGGATATCGGCGGAAATATAAATTCTTATTTTTATTGCTTTCGGAGTAATACATCAATCTCCTTGAAGAGGTTTACGAATAAACTGTGTTTAACTCCATGAACAAAAACCCCTTAATAATTGCTTTGAAATTCTTTTTTGATTAATTAAGATTTATTAATTACCACTATTTACACATATCTATACGAAACTTCCCTACCTATAATAGAAGTTGTTAGATTACCCAAAATGATGCTCAGAACAGCTTACAAATTCCTACTCTCATACTTTATTTAAGAATGTTAAATTCCCAGCAATTTGTGCGAAATCTTTATCAGAGATATCTATACCATTTTCAGCCATAGCTGTCCTTAATTTCTCAATATGATCCCTAATCTCCAGATCTGAAATCATTTTAATCAATATTTTCATCGATGGAGTAGTTTGACCTTCTGGAAGTGGGAATAATCCCTTTTTTTCAAGTATATCTTTAAATTCTCGAGTTAATTGCATCAATTGTGGGTTTTGTTGAAAAGCCTTCACGACCTTTAGAAGTGCAACTTGTGGATCTTCCTTTTCGGGTGCTTCTTGTTCTCCTTCTGGAGCTTTCTTAGTAAAACCCCAGGCTGATGTTGTTGAAGTGGATCCGAAAGTTCTGACAACTACACGAATAGCATTTGTTCTTAATACTGGTTTAGAAGAAATGGAAATTCCTGATCTAATAATACAAGTTCTAAACATTTTGTAGATTAGGTTTTTATGCAATAGTGATGTAATTAGGGCGGTGTATCTGTACGAATCAACCTCTTTTCAAAGATGGCATTAGAGTAAGGATGTGAAATAAAATGAAAAAAAATTGAGAACCTTGGATCTAGCCGACATTGTCGTCTTCCCTGACAAATGTCTCATATATTGTCTCAGGTTAATTGATTTATACACGACCATGTTGAAATTCTTTCTCTTTCTCTCTTTGAAAAATTTCCAATGAACAAAAAAAACAAACCAGCGACGCCATTCATTACTTTCTCTTTAAGAAGTATTCAATTTTTATAGAGAGATACACATTCAATACATCAATATGTCTCACGAAGGTCAAGAAGAATTATTGGATTATTCGGATTCTGAAGAAATCGCCGTTCAAACTACCAACCAAGTTGCTGGTAATGAAACTGAAGCAACAACTGGTGCCAATGATAAAGAAGCTGACAAAAAAGGTTCTTATGTCGGTATTCATGCCACTGGTTTCAGAGATTTCTTATTGAAGCCTGAATTATTGAGAGCGATTGGTGATTGTGGGTTTGAACATCCTTCTGAAGGTTCGTACAATTTTTTAATAGAAATAGAATAGATATGTCATAAGAAATTAAAGGACAAAAAGATACTGGATGTGGGGAGGTTGGTCATTGGCTGAAGATATCACTATGCCGATTGATTTAATGCAATTCATCTAATGGAATTGCATCTGCAATTCGCTGAATATTTTGACAGTCGCTTTGACTGATTAATTGAGACTTGTTCTTTGTTGCAAATCAAGGAGATTTGACAGATCAGATCGGTCATCAATCTACTGTGCATAATTATTTGCCATCATTAGTGGTGAGTATACATTCAAGAGGTTGTCTACACAGTCATAGTTCTAAACTTGACTTCGTTGCGTTTACTGAACATCCATCAAGTTTGTAAGATCAATTCCCATACTCCCCCCCCTCCTATTTTTGTCCTTTTTCACTTTTGACATATCCAATCAAGTAAACAAAATAACTAACCAAAATTTTAATAGTCCAACAAGTTTGTATTCCACAATCCATTTTAGGTACTGATGTTTTATGTCAAGCTAAATCAGGTTTAGGTAAAACTGCTGTTTTCGTTTTATCTACATTACAACAATTAGATCCAATTCCAGGAGAAATTTCTACTTTAGTTATTTGTCATACTAGAGAATTAGCTTATCAAATTCGTAATGAATATGCTAGATTTTCTAAATATATGCCAGATGTTAAAACTGAAGTATTCTATGGTGGAACTCCAATGAAGAGAGATATTGAAAAATTAAAGAATAAAGATACTTGTCCACATATTGTTGTTGCTACCCCAGGTAGATTACATGCTTTAGTTGAAGAAAAACATATTAGATTAAATAATGTTAAATCATTTGTTATTGATGAATGTGATAAAGTTTTAGAATCTCTTGATATGAGAAAAGATGTTCAAACTATTTTTAGAGCAACACCCCATCAAAAACAAGTTATGATGTTTTCTGCTACTTTAAGTTTGGAAATTCGTCCTGTTTGTAAGAAATTTATGCAAAGTCCTTTGGAAATTTATGTTGATGATGAAGCTAAATTAACTTTACATGGTTTACAACAATATTATATTAAATTAGAAGAAAAGGAAAAGAATAGAAAATTATCTGATTTATTAGATTCTCTTGAATTTAATCAAGTGATTATTTTTGTTAGATCAACTCAAAGAGCTAATGAATTAAATAAATTATTATGTGCTTGTAATTTCCCATCAATTGCTGTTCATTCCGGTATGCCTCAAGAAGAAAGAATTGAAAGATATAAATCTTTTAAAGAATTCAATAAAAGAATTTGTGTTTCAACTGATGTTTTCGGTAGAGGTATTGATATTGAAAGAATTAATTTAGCTATTAATTATGATTTACCAAATGAAGCTGATCAATATTTACATAGAGTTGGTAGAGCTGGTAGATTTGGTACTAAAGGGTTAGCAATTTCTTTAGTTTCAACTAAAGAGGATGAAGAAGTTTTGGAAAAGATTCAAAGTAGATTTGATGTTAAAATCACTGAGTTCCCAGAAGAAGGTGTTGATCCATCTACTTATATGAACACTTAGGTGTACCTCTTTATTCTATATTTCTATTGTATTTGTTTTATAAAAATCTTTTTGTATAGGTTTGTATAACTAAAAAAATCAGATGTTGTTATTATATCACCCCAATTGAATACATGTAGAATCTATGAGTTTGTAAACATATTGAAGATCTTCTTTCGGTATTAAGAACCATTCAATATGAACATTGTAATTAGTATCAAATGGGGAAGTCTTACGCTTCACCTTAATTGGATCTTGATTACAACCAATACAATAAACATCTCCTTTCCCATATTTTTTTCTTAATGATTTATGAATTGTTGATTCAATTAAATCAAGTTTTGAATTACAATAAAATCCATTATTCTTATATCGTTTATATTGAACATCTTCTTCATCATCTCTAACTTCCAATCGTCTAAATCTTCTAATCAAACCACTAATGATCCCTCCATCGTGTCTTCTCTTCTCAATTAAATGCCTATTCAAAGGTTCTAAATTGGTTAATTTATGATTACATTTCTTTTCCCATTGTAAAATCCTGTTATTCACAGTTTGAGTCGTCTTGCCAATTTTAATCAAAATATATGGAGATTTTTTAGAATTAAATTCAATCCATTTATCGCGGTGGAATTTTGAAGTATTGGGGAGATTCTTGACTTTAAACAGCCACTGTGGCGGTGGATTTAAGAAATTGGTCATTGTGTAGATATATATATATCCTTGGTCTTTTTGGTTTGGTTTGTCTGCTACCAGTTGCCGCGTCTGATTAATATGATAATGACAGTAGCCATTGGTCTTGCCATTTAGTTTACATCGTTCACCTTTGATTGTTATTCCCTGGCATTGAACATAATCTCTTGTCATATACACACTCACAGTCACAGGTCAGTTTTGGGATGACTCAGAATCAAATGCGTCGGTGATTAGTAAATTTAATTGACTGTGAAAATGAAACACGTAGATTGAAAAACTGTGGCTGTTCTCTTAATAGAATATATTAGACTAATTCGGTTGAGATCAAATGGTGTGGGCTTGTTTTATTTTTTTTTCTTGGTTGTCGTCGTATTTGTCATTGTCATGGATTGAGAGAATTGTTGGTCGTACCAGACTGATGATGAGAAGAGAAAGCAATTATTTTTGGACAAGATGTCGTTCAATCAATTAGCATGGCAAGATTTGCATCATGAATTGACGATTACGTTGAAAATACTACCGGTATGAGAAATCAGCAGATAGACTTCCAGTCCATCGTTTATCAATAGCGAAAGAACACGTGAAGTTTGGTTTGTCACGTAAATAGCGTTTTGAAAGGTCTATATTACATTAAATTGCAAATGTGTATGATAGAAACTAATGTGTTAGATTGAAGCTTGTGTAAGTAAGTGAATGGTTCCAGAATACTCGTTTACACTGAAAAAAAAAAGTCAATTGAGAGTTTATTTTTCATGCAAAATCGCTTTAAAATTGAATTAACAAACCACAAATTTTTGACATTTTCATAGAACCTTAAATGAGTACAGTAATTGTGAATTGATATTTATACCTAAAAGAATTGATTTAGAAAGATAACTAAAAGGAGGTAGAGAAGAGACCAAACACGAGGCCAGCGCATCATATATGATTCTATTGTACATGAGTCTAGTTTCGTATATTGTATTATGATTCATTATTATTTTTTAGTAGTAGACCGATAAAAAAATAAATATATGATAAAGTCACGTGAAATTCAATAATATTTTTTTAAAATGTTCCCACTTTATTATTGGGGCTTGATCCTTTATCTCCAGCGTATACATAATATAAATACTCTCCCCGAGACCGGTTTGAAAAATTTTCATTTATTGAATTTGTTACTCCTTTTCCTTTCTTCTTTTGTTTCTTCTATTAATTAAATCTTTCTATCAATAAAATGCCATCTCATTTCGATACCCTTCAATTACACGCTGGTCAACCAATTGAAGACCCTCACAGAGCCAGAGCTCCACCAATCTATGCCACCACTTCATATGTTTTCAATGATTCCAAACACGGAGCCCAATTATTCGGATTAGAAACTCCAGGATATATTTATTCCAGAATCATGAACCCAACCAATGATGTCTTTGAACAAAGAATTGCTGCTTTAGAAGGTGGTATTGGTGCTTTAGCTACTGCTTCTGGTCAATCAGCTCAATTTTTGGCTATTGCTGGTTTAGCTCATGCTGGTGATAATATTGTTTCTACTTCTTATTTATATGGTGGTACTTATAATCAATTTAAAGTTGCTTTTAAAAGATTAGGAATTCAAACTAAATTTGTTAATGGTGATGATCCAAAAGATTTTGCTAAATTAATTGATGAAAAAACTAAAGCTATTTATATTGAATCTATTGGGAATCCAAAATATAATGTTCCTGATTTTGAAGCTATTGCTAAAGTTGCTCATGATAATGGTATTCCATTAGTTTGTGACAATACTTTTGGTGCTGGTGGGTTTTTAGTTAATCCAATCAAACATGGAGCTGATATTGTTGTTCATTCTGCTACTAAATGGATTGGTGGTCATGGTACTACTATTGCTGGTGTTATTGTTGATTCTGGTAATTTCCCTTGGACTGAATATCCAGAAAAATTCCCACAATTCTCAAAACCTTCAGAAGGTTATCATGGTTTAGTTTTAAATGATGCTTTAGGTAAGGCTGCATTTATTGGACATGTTAGAATTGAATTATTAAGAGATTTAGGTCCAGCTTTAAATCCATTTGGAGCTTTCTTATTATTACAAGGTTTGGAAACTTTATCTTTAAGAGTTGAAAGACAATCTTATAATGCTTTAACTTTAGCTCAATGGTTAGAAAAGAATCCATATGTTGAATCTGTATCTTATTTAGGTTTACCATCTCATGAATCTTATGAATTATCAAAGAAATATTTAAATAATGATGCTAAATATGCTGGTGGTGCTTTAGCTTTCACCGTTAAAGATATTCCAAATCATGAACCAAAGGATCATTTCGATGAAGCTTCTCCAAAATTAGTTGATAATTTAGAAATCCCATCTAATTTAGCTAATGTTGGTGACTCTAAATCTTTAGTTATTGCTCCATGGTTTACTACCCATCAACAATTATCCGATGAAGAAAAATTATCTTCTGGTGTTACTAAGGGTTTAATTAGAGTTTCTATTGGTACTGAATATATTGAAGATCTTATTAATGATTTCGATCAAGCTTTCAAGAAGGTTTATGAATCTAAGTAAATGTTTTTAGCTATTTAGTTTAGAATTTCTTTTGAATATACGATTAATTGATACTTTTGTAAATGATCTCTCATATTGACTTTATAGTGGATTGGAAAATTGTTGCAAATATGATTGGTGTTTTGTGCGATAAATAATGTGTTGCAAAAAAACCACTAAAACCTACTAAAAAGAATTTTGTGCAACTTGACTGTTGACAACTCTTAGAACTACATAGTAGAGACAAGGGCTTTAACGAGTCTAATAATAAATAATGCGTATACTCTAATCCCCAATATAAACAAATCTATAAACTTATACAAGTTTAAACATCAGATTATCTAAAACTTCCATCTCATCATCTTCTAAATATGATCTATTATCATCATCATCACTATTACTTCTTGTCGTTCTCTCTTCAATTGGAGTTCCTCCCTTCTTATCCATATTATGTAATGGAATCGATTCACCGGTATTTGCTCGTCTTCTACCTTCAAATATCGAACTATTATTCGATGCATATCCATCATATATCTCTTCTTGATAGAATTTATGTTTTGTGGTATTATTCTCATCTAAGAATGGATTTTGGATTGGGGGGTTATTTAATTGTTTATGACTTGATTTTGTATTTGTACGACGGACCGAGGCCGATTTAGATAATTTTTCACCTAATTTACGTAATTCATCTTCATTTTCAATACTTGGACGAGGTTGAAATCTAGTTTGTTGTTGATGCTGTTCGTTGGCAACAGGACCTGGGATTCGAATATATGATTTATGTTTTCTGAATTTTGGAAATTTAGCCTTAAGAGATTGTGATGCTGTTGGTGGGAGGAAGCTTGTGGTTGTTTTTCGTTGTTTCGGATGAAATATGAATTCTTGATCTTCATAATCATCATAATCTTCCAGGGGGAATTCAGGATTGGCACACCATAATGGTAATGCCCAAGTACACATTGACAACAAAGCAAATAATGTCGATGACCAAATTAATCCAAACCAAGTTTTACCAAAATAATAAACAATTCCAAAATCGGATAACTTTGATTTGACTTCTTGTTTTGTAATTACTAATAATCTTGTCACTAATCCCAGTCCTATCATTATACTTGCAAATGATGCTAATGAAAATAATCCAATCACATGTAGCAAGATTCTCGGAGTTTTGGATAAATCTTGCTCACCATTTCTATTTCCATAAACCACTAATGATACCCCTAATACTATTAATTGAGAAACACATGCAAATATGATTGAATTCCTCACCATTATAAACCTATGATGTCTAGAGGCAACCTTATTTTCATAATCCTGATCTTCTTGATCTTCTTGATCAGTATCTTCATCAGCATTGTCATATGCATACGCAATAATAATTTCCAATCCCGCTTGTGTCAATACACCTCTATAATCAAAAGTATATACCAAATCCTGACATACCAACGATTGATTCTTCTTTTTAACAACAACTTCCCCATCCTTATTAGTTTCCTCATATGTATCATAATACCCAAAACAATAACTCCACAACGAAGTAGTAATAAACTGAGGAGCATAAGCAACATTCTCTTGGGCATATTGGGTCAATATCGCCAATTCAGACGTCGTGATGGAATGTCCCAGTAATTCATAGGTCCCACCCGTCATTTCTTGGACTTTTACGGGCGCGGTGATGGAATTTCGTAAGGTTTTATATAATCCATCGGCAAGGTCTAAATGGGCACAATTTATTCTTGACATGTATGCTCGATCATTGGATAAGGGGATTAATAAAGTTAGGAGGATGAAGATTATGGTGGAAAAACTGGTGAATAGTCGGATTGATTGGACTATACGTTCTTGTTTGGTGAGGTTTCGGAATGGGGTTGTTAATTTATGCCATAGCTGTTTCCCGGACATGGTATGTGTGTGTCTTGTATTGAAGATGGCTCCGGTAAAGAAAGAAGAAGGAAGATGGATAAGGGTGTTTGAAATTCTCTCGAGGAATTATTAAGAGATTTTATTTTTTTTTTTTTTTTTTTATTATTTTTTTTTTCCCCTTCGCATATTTTTCCTTTTTTTTTATAATTCCGAAGTTGCTCTCCTCTTGTTATCCGTTTCTTCCTGTGATGAAATCTTTAAAAATAGAATTAAACCAAAACAATTGTGTTGCTTATAGAAATGTAGAAGATAATCTTTGAGGTAAGGCTCTAAGTTGTTCTCAAACAGGGTCAGAATCAGAATAATTAAATGGCCGCCTTAGCTAGTTGCAACGATTAGTTGCTGCGAGGGTGGTAGTCAAATCACCAATGGAAACGGAACCACGTTTTTCAGTGTGAAAGGTTTACACGTCAACATATATCATTTATCTTGTAATAGCACATCAAATAATCATAAAAACAATCGCCATCAATTAAAACCCAACCGACGCGATGTCTTTGAAGTCTACATAAGATAATCCAACGCGTATATTTTTTAATTGGTTGCAAAAAAAATAATACTAAAAATTATTCAGCCAATAAAAAATAAAAAGGAGTCTATGCCTGGACTGGGCTGAAGTATAACTAGCAAGTGGAAAATTGGACCCTATATAAAAGCAGATCTAATATTTCTTAATACACTTTTTGGAAATATAGTCCAAAAGGTGGTTATATAGGGAAACGAAAATGTGATATCTTATATGTACTGCGACAAGGTAGAAGTGTATGCCGGTGCGACTCTCTCACTCTCTCTGGCAGGGCTGCTTTTAAAACCAACCGGGAAAATCCACACATACTATGGGCTGTAGTACAGAAAAAACAAGATGATGACTGATACAATGAACTGGACATCTACCTCGAACCTAATTCTTTAGAGGGTCGTGCCAGACCTTGCACAATGCTTGGCTTCTCTCTCCGACGCTCTATAAAAGTCTGTCAATAGGATTATATTTCGCAGACAAAGTGGATTCCAATAGACTCACCAAGCATAATTATATGAATTACAAAGGATATAATATCGCTGTATATTTATTTATATTTCTACAATCATATATATATTTATATGCCTTTATATATAAGTATAAGTAATAACGAATAATCAAAAAACCAAACTAAAACAAACCAAATGAATTAAAAATTAACAAAAAGACTGACTGAAGTATTTAAAAAAGCAAAATAATCGATATTTGACAAACTCCTAAAAGAATCGGTCTTTACTTAAAACTCTTCATTAAATTTCAAATCACCATACTTTGCTTGAAATATTGATACGTCTTTTGCATCCATAGAATCATCAAATTTCCTTTTAATTCCTCCATTAAACTCAGGCAAGGTCTGCAAAGGAGCATTATTTATCTTATAATAACTATCCCATTCTTCCAAACTTGAAGTAGAACCAACAGTAGATCCATCATTAGTTAAACTTGGAGGAGCAGATATATTATTAGGTAATGGAACTCTTCTAAAATTCCCACTAAATTGAGATGAATCAGGAACATTATATCCTTCACTTACAGCTTTTCTTATTCTCATTCCAATAGTGGCTAATTTTGCTATATCGGGATTTTGTTGCTGTTCGGTTTGGTTATTGGATTGGATTTGCATACCATTGTTCATTTGTCTTTTGATTCTAGGTTGTGAACTCATGATGGATATCTACTGATTTTGCTGATTCTAGACGCTGATATTTTCTTGTTGGAGGGGTCCCCTTGGTTTTATTTATAATTCAAGAATGAAACGGTGTAATGTAATGTAACAAGGGGGTTTGTGAAACTCTCACCTTTTTTTTGGTTCACACCTCATGGTACTGTATGACAGTTTTTTATTTGTTAGTAATTTAACCGAAAGGAGTTAAATTAAATTACAATTAAAATTTTCAATTTCGGTCATGTGATGTTGATCACGTGAGTAACTCGTTATATACAGGACACATATCTCGATTGGAATTGCCGTTTAAGACCATCGGGGTTAACTTCTAAATTGAGATTGAGATGACTTCTTTTAAGTGGGGGAAATAAATTAAATTATGCCAATCATCAAATGAATTGGTGCAATAATCTCTATAGGCAATAGAAACCGATTACCAACGATTACCAATTGTAGTATAAATTCATCAATAATTTCCTCAAATTTTTCACAATTCCCATTTCTCAACTTTTATTCCTCTTCATTAAGAAAGATTTCTCCAATTGACTTTTCACCATGACTCCACCAAATTTCCAAGTCTCATCTACCATTGCTCGTGAATACGAATCAGAATATTCCGCTCACAATTATCATCCATTACCAGTAGTATTCTCCCGTGCTCAAGGTGCTCATGTTTGGGATCCAGAAGGTAAAGAATATTTAGATTTCCTTTCTGCTTATTCCGCCGTTAATCAAGGTCATTGTCATCCAAAAATCGTCGAAGCATTAGTTGATCAAGCATCAAAATTAACCTTATGTTCTCGTGCTTTTTCAAGTGATGTCTTTGGTGTATATGCTAAATATATTACTGAATATTTCGGTTATGAAATGGTTTTACCTATGAATACTGGTGCTGAAGCTGTTGAAACTGGATTAAAACTTGCTAGAAGATGGGGATATGTCAAAAAGGGGATCAAAGCTGATGAAGCTATTATTTTATCGGCAGTTAATAATTTCCATGGAAGAACTTTGGGGGTTATTTCTATGTCTACTGATGAAGATGCCACTGCTAATTTTGGTCCTTATTTGAAAGGGGTTGGTCCCAAGATTCCTGGAACTGAAAATCAATATATTAGATATGGTGTGATTGAAGATATTGAATTAGCTTTAAAGAATGCTGGTGATAAGATTGCTGCTATTTTATTGGAACCAATTCAAGGAGAAGCTGGTATTGTTGTCCCACCTGAAGATTATTTACCTCGTGTTCAAGAATTATGTAAACAATATAATGTTTTATTAATTTGTGATGAAATTCAAACTGGGATTGGTAGAACTGGTAGAATGTTATGTTATGAACATTCCAAAGGTGTTAAACCAGATATTATCTTATTAGGTAAAGCTATTTCTGGTGGTATTTTACCAGTTTCTGCTGTTTTATCTTCAAAAGAAATTATGTTAACTTTATCACCAGGATCTCATGGTTCAACATATGGTGGTAATCCATTAGCTTGTAGAGTTGCAATTGCTGCATTGGATGTTGTTAAGGATGAAACTTTAGTTGAAAGAGCTGAAGAATTAGGTGGATTATTAAGATCTAAATTAGGAGAATTAAAAGCCCAATCTGATGGTATTATTTCTGAAGTTAGAGGTAAAGGGTTATTGTGTGCAATTGTTATTGATGATACCAAGACCAACGGTAGAACTGCATGGGATTTATGTTTAATTATGAAGGAATTGGGTGTATTGGCTAAACCAACTCATGATAATATTATTAGATTAGCTCCACCTTTAGTCATTTCTGAAGAAGATTTATTAAAGGGTGTTGATGCTATTAAGACGGCATTGGAAAGATTACCAAATGCTCCAAAAGCTGATCATTAAGTTTGTTTATAGTTGTTTAATAGTTTGTATTTACTTGTATGACCCAGAGAGAGACTTTTGTCTTTTTAATAATAGAGATTTTTTATTGTATTAAGTAATGATTTTAAACGTATTGATCGATTTTTGAAATTTTGTTTGTAAATACTCTAGCTGTAAACTGGACGATGAGTTAGGATTTCTTTGCCATAGATGTATACTTTGTATTTCCAAGTAAACTATAGAACAATTGAAATTGAAAACCTTATGTGTGAGGTAGTTGATAGTGAACTTTTGCAACAATTTCGGATGAACGTTTTTTTGCTGCAAAATTTTAACAAATTCTTGTTGAATTTATATAAGCCGAGTCTTTTATTACAAAGAGATTAATCACAGTAACAAGAGTCAATAGTTTCATTATTGATATATAAATTTACATTAGTTTCTAGAAGTTTTCCAAACAAAGTTAAGAATAAGCTAGAGAAGCACGCAAAACGTAAAAAGAGAGGGAGAATTGCGATTAGATTTCCAAAATTCCAGTCCCTCCCTGTGAAACCTTTGAGGGTGTTGAACGGATTAGGTCTGACTGGGAGAGAATTGGCACGCCTTTCCTTCTAAATATAGAAGTATTATGCTTATAATTTAAGTTTCTAATTTGATGTTACATATTTCATGTTTTTAGCCAGTTTTTTTCCTCCGAGGATTTATGATTTAGTATTTTTGATTTAGTTTATTTGAAAATAGGAAAAATGTAAACAAAGGGTGTGGTATGTACATATGTATACGCTCTTGCTGTAGGAGATGTATGGCAAATGCATTTGAATGTAACTTATTAATATGAAATTGCTAATGACTATTTAATTGAAAATGTGTCAATTGATACAAGAGAGTGTAAGTACTGTAGTATGCGGCGAAAGAAAGAAAGAAAGAAAAATTTAGAGTTTTTTTCTTTTTCTTTGATTTCCCAATTAAGTTAAAAGATTCCGAGAGATATCATCATCAGGTTATTCATTAATTACACATTTTAATACCCATTTCAATAAGTAATGTAAATATCTAATTAAAAGATAAGTTGAAATATATAAATACATTTATTAGTTCTTTATTGAATTTAATACTGCTGTAGGTGAACAAATACTTTATATGGAGAGGCTTAAATGTTTCTGATTTCTGATGTAGTTTTTTATATTTATTCCTCGGTAAAAGGAGAAGAAAAAAAAATGTTATTTAGTAGATTTGTTAGGTGTGTGGTGATTTAATACTCGGTAATTTTATAAATGCGTTCCCCGAATAAATAGAAAAATTAATTTTTTAATTTAATTAAAAAAAGGGGTGGGGATGGCAATTATTTTTGATTAATATTACACGACCTTTTAATTTATAGAAATCACATTCAAATTTAAACTTTCAATTCATCCGGAAATATAAAATCAATTTCTTTCTCTCTCTCTCTCTCCTTCTTTTTCTTTCTTTCTTTCTTTCTTTTAAATTTATAATTCAAAATCAATAGTTCTTAATTCTTGAGTTAATTCTATTTAATTCATATCTCCCGAAGCTATATCGTTAAGTTATTTCCCAACTATCATTTGTATAGTCACATTAATATCTCCCATAAAGAAAAAAGTAAAGTAAAATATGTCATTTGTTGGTGGTGGTGCTGAATGTTCAGTCAATAATAATGTTATTTCCCAATTTAATAAACATGCTCAACAAGATAGATCATTACAACAACAAGCAAGTTCTTCTAATCAACAGATTATGAACAACCAGGGATTTAAAAATGAAAATTTAATGAATTTAAGAGATAGACAGAATTTAGATCAATTTATGAATAATTCCCCTTCTTCTTCTACAAATAATTTTCAATTTCAACCAATGAGACATGAATTAAATGCTATTCAACGTCATTCTCCTCCTTCACAACAACAGCAACATAACTGGTCTAATGAATTTAAAACTTCTCCTCCTCAAATTAATGCTGTTCCAATCACACAAGCAAACTCATCAATCACAACTCATAATGCAGGCTGGTCCTCAGAATTTCATCAAAATGTAGCTTCACCTCCACCTCAAGCTCAACAATATACCACTTCTAGACCAAATATGATGATGGGCGGTGGTTATAGACCTATGATGGGTATGTCTATGATGGGTGGAAATATGATGCATCAACTGCAACAACCACAGCAACAACAGCAACAACTGCAATCTCAAGAACAAAATGTTGATTGGGATAATCAATTTAAAGAAATTGAACAATTAACTACTGAACAAGAAAAAGTTGAAGAAATTGCTAAAGAGGATGTTGATTCTGAAATCATAATTGATGATAAATATCAAGCTACTTTTCAAGAAGTTTGGGATGGATTAAATTCAGAAGAATTAAGTGAAGATTTTATTAATCAACAATATGAAGAATTTAAACATACTCAAAGAGATCAGTTCCCGGCAGATATGACTCAATGGGAACGAGATTTTGCTAAATATGTATCAACAAGAGCTCATTTTGGTGATTATCAATTTGAAGAACATACCAATAATCAATTTCTTGATTTACCTCAAGATATGGATCCTTATGAAATTGGATTACAATTAATGGAAAATGGAGCAAAATTATCAGAAGCCGCATTGGCATTTGAAGCCGCAATTCAAAGAAATGAAAATCATATAAATGCTTGGTTAAAATTAGGTGAGGTGCAAACTCAAAATGAAAAAGAAATTGCTGGGATTTCAGCATTAGAAAAATGTTTAGAATTAAATCCGGAAAATCCTCAAGCATTAATGACTTTAGCGATTTCTTATATTAATGAAGGTTATGATAATGCTGCATTTGCTACATTAGAACGTTGGATTTCTACAAAATATCCTCAAGTTTCTGATAAAGCCAGACAAGAAAATCCATCTATAACTGATGAAGATCGATTTTCTTTAAATAAACGTGTCACGGAATTATTCCTTAAAGCCGCTCAATTATCCCCTAATCGAGCCAATATGGATGCTGATGTTCAAATGGGTTTAGGAGTATTATTTTATGCCAATGAAGAATTCGATAAAACAATTGATTGTTTTAAAGCGGCCCTATCAATCAGACCCGATGATGCAGTATTATGGAATAGATTAGGTGCTTCATTAGCCAATTCAAATCGATCGGAAGAAGCCGTGGATGCATATTTTAAAGCATTACAATTAAAACCAACATTTGTGAGAGCAAGATATAATCTCGGGGTTTCATGTATTAATATTGGATGTTATAAAGAAGCGGCAGAACATTTATTAAGTGGACTTTCCATGCATCAAGTTGAAGGAGTGGATACTAATGTTTCAACATTGAATCATAATCAATCTACTTCGTTGACTGAAACTTTGAAGAGAGCTTTCATTGCAATGGAAAGAAGAGATTTATTGGAATTGGTTAAACCTGGAATGGATTTAAATCAATTTAAAGGAGAATTTAATTTTTAAAGTAGACTTCTTTTTTATAAATATTCTAAGAAACTGGTATATATATCCATCGGATAGGTTTATATATAGAGAATTTGTGTGTGATTAAAAAAAATAATATACATATTTAATGGTGATTTTATTAACTCTCTTCAGGTAGTTACTTGTAGTGATTTTCTATGATGATAACTATGTCTAGTGACATAATACAATATGGATAGGATTCTGGAGTGAAACTTGCTCCAGACTTCCAAGTCAGGGCGATAGCCTAGATGATTCATTTATTACTAAGTTAGTCGTGTAAAATGGTTCAAAATAATGTATGCTGTTATCTTTTTTTGCCTATCAAATTATTTATCAATTTTATAAAAAATCATCCAGATGTGAAAAATGACTCACTTTAATTTTTTCTGACTCGTAAAATTTTCTTAACCGCGCAGAAGAATAGAAAAAGGGATTGGTTTATAAATTTTTCACTTCTTCCTTCTCTTTCCTTCTCTTTCCTTTCTATAGTTCAGATAGCCAAGCTTATACTAAATGACATTTCCAATATTACCTTTGGTATCTTCACCACAAGATACTAATAACATATCCACTTACTCATTAGTAGGTCAATTGTTATTCCCATTTGGATCTTTCAAACCTTCAAAACATTTTCTTCAACAATTCCCCCATGATTTACAAGTTATTGTTGATGCAATTACCAATGATATCACTGCAGATCAAGCTGTTGAATTATTAAACGTTGGTATTAAACAAGTATTTATCAAATCATCACAGTATCAAGATCTTGTAGTTTTAACTGGTTTACCAAGTTCTAGATTTGGTATTCAATTTGATAGTGATCAAGTCAATGAAGAAATCTTAAATTCAAAATCATCATTTATATTCACTCAGGAATTATCTAATGATAAATTAAAACAATACAATTCCAATGAAAATAGAAGTATTTATATCAAAGATGATTTATTATCTCAAGATCAAGCTAATAAATTAGCCATTGGTGGTTATATTCCAATCATCACCACTCAAAATTTAACAACCAAAAAACAAGACTCAAATAAAGTTTCAATCTCGTCCTTATTTGTCAGTACTTTAACTACAGACAGACCCGATGGTCTTTATACCACCTTAATCACCACCCCAGCCCCAGCATTCACCGCCTTGGGGATCGTCTATTCATCCCAGGAATCTATCATCGCGGCAATTGAAGAAAAAGTCGGGGTTTATCAATCAAGAAAACGTCGTGATGAATTATGGTATAAGGGTAAAACTAGTGGTGCTACCCAGACTCTTGTACAATTATCAAGAGATTGTGATTCTGATGTGGTTAAATTTGTAGTTGAACCTAGAGTTGGATATGGGTTCTGTCATCGTGAAGATAATTTTACTTGTTTTGGTGATAATCAATTATGTGATGGTGAGTCTGTTGGGACTGGATTGGCGAAATTGGATAATACTTTATATGATAGATTACAGAATTCACCAGCAGGGTCATATACTAAGAGATTATTTGATGATGAAGGATTGTTAATTGCGAAACTTAAAGAAGAATTAGATGAATTGATCGATGCAGGACAAAAGAATGCAAGTGATAAGAAATCGGAAGTTTCTTGGGAATGTGCTGATTTGTTTTATTTTGCTATGGTTTGGTGTATTAAACATGGAGTAAGATTGGCTGATATTGAAAAGAATTTGGATATTAAATCGTTGAAAGTTTCAAGACGTAAAGGTGATGCTAAACCAGCCTATATTGAGAAGAAGCCTCAAGCTACGGAAGAAACTAAAGTTGAAGATTACAAGATGGAAATCATTACAGTTGATGACATCAAGGCATATTCTGAAGATGTTAACCGAGCCATGACTAGACCAGTGCAAAAAACTGCAGATATTATGAAATTAGTCTTACCTATCATTGAAAATGTAAAACAAAATGGTGATAAAGCACTTATCGAACTCACGGCAAAATTTGATGGGGTTAAATTAACTACCCCAGTATTGCAAGCCCCATTCCCTCAAGAATTAATGAATATTTCCGAAGACATGAAACAAGCTATTGATATTTCGATTTCAAATATTGAAAAATTCCATTCGGCTCAATTACCCCAACAAGAAGTCATGACCATTGAAACCTCTCCTGGAGTCTTTTGTTCTCGATTCGCAAAACCAATTGAAAATGTTGGGTTATATGTCCCAGGTGGTACTGCTGTCTTACCTTCTACCGCCATGATGTTGGGTGTGCCTGCAAAAGTCGCCGGATGTAAGAATATCATCATCGCCTCCCCACCGGCACGTGCTACGGGGAAATTAACCCCTGAGGTTGTATATGTTGCTCATAGATTAGGGGCAAAATGTATTGTTATGGCCGGTGGGGCACAAGCGGTTACTGCTATGGCATATGGGACTGAAAGTGTACTTAAATGTGATAAGATATTAGGTCCCGGGAATCAATTTGTCACCGCGGCTAAGATGTATGTACAAAATGATACTCAAGCTTTATGTTCTATTGATATGCCAGCTGGTCCTTCTGAAGTATTGGTAATTGCGGATGAAAAGGCGGATGCGGATTTTGTGGCTAGTGATTTACTTTCACAAGCTGAACATGGAGTTGATTCACAAGTTATTCTTATTGGTGTTGGATTATCCCAAGATAAGATAATTGAATTTGAAGCAGCTGTCAAGAGACAAGCTGAGGTTTTACCTAGAAAAGAAATCGTGGCTAAATGTTTATCCCATTCTTATATCTTATTAGTCAAAACATATGAAGAAGCATTTGAATTATCCAATAAATATGCTCCTGAACATTTAATTCTTCAAATTGAAAATGCCGGTTCTTATGTTCCGGGATCAATTGAAAATGCTGGGTCGGTATTTGTAGGGGCATTATCTCCAGAATCTTGTGGTGATTATTCAAGTGGGACTAATCATACTTTACCTACTTATGGATATGCTAGACAATATTCAGGGGTTAATACTGCTACGTATCAGAAATTTATTACTTCTCAAGATGTGACTGAGGAGGGGCTTAAGAGTATTGGTAAAGCAGTGATGACTTTGGCTGCGGTTGAAGGTTTAGAAGCTCATAGAAGAGCTGTAGAAGTTAGAATGGAAAAATTAGGTTTGCTCTAATTTGACTGAGTGTTGTAGATAGTTTTTTTATAGAAATTCACTAACCTTGACTACAATTTAAAAACAAACAACTAAAATTCAATATTACATAAAAATACATATATTCTAAGTTTCAACTTCATCCGCTACAACCGGACTAGTCAACTCATTCAAATATCTAAGTAAACGAACAACTTCCTTTCCTAAATTAGTATCAATGACAGGTGTCAAAAATATATCCAAAGTTAAATGAACATCAGGAGTAATTCTCGGCAAACTATAAACCGCTTCTAAACTCTTTATCAATTCTTCATGATCCTTGGCATTCTCTAAACCTCTAGCGGTAAGAACATTATTAACCAATGAATTAATCACAATTAAAGCTTTTGTCAATACTAATGTCAATATCTTATATTCATTTGATTCACGAGCAAATTTCCCCGTTTCTGAAGATAATGCAACTACAACTCTTGCAAAATTAGATAAAATTAAATCACGATTATGTAAGATCCATAATAATGATAATCGATTAAGTTGAGTATTTAAATCATCAATGGGGATTAAATCAATTAATAATTTCACTCCAAATAACATTTGTGAAATTGTTGGAGCCCGGACACAAATAAATCTGGAAAATTCATAACTGTTAGCATCGAATGGGATAATACTTAAACACATTTGGAAAGCTCTTGTTAATAATACACCGGATTTATAACCGTCCTTATTATTGTTCAAATAGGCCATGACTAATTTTCGGGTATATTCTTGATCTGAAACACTAACCACGAAATTGTTAGTATAACTAGCAGTTAAACTAACATTTAAGGTTCCATTTAAAACCGCTTGTAAAAGTGATCGATTATGTGGTTCTTTAACTAATAATTTAGTTAATGCATCAATACCAAATGGGAAATATGAATGACTTTCAACACTACATTGAGGTATTCTAAAAGGATCTTCAATCTTGGGACCAAAAGAACTGATTAATGCAAATGCCAAAAATGCTTCTTCTAAACTATGTAAATCAACAAAAAAGGAAATATTATCCAACATTAAAAGACAATCTTTTAATAAACATAATCTTTTTCTACTGAATACAAATTTGGAACCATTTAATCCAACGTTTTTGACAATTGAAAATAATAAATCTTTGAATATTTTATTACTAGCTAATGTCTTTTTATTGAATTCGGAAAAGGAAATATTTCTTAAAATCATCGTAATAGTAATCAATTGATCCACTAACATTACTTGGTCATCCACAGCACTCTTGGTTTGAATCTTACTGAAATGATATTTATTCTCATCCTTAAATTCTTGTAATGCCGTTAAATAATCCGCCAAATAAAATGAAGCCACCTCATTGGTATGACGCTCGGGGGTGCTGGCAGTTGAACTTGGCTCATTAACTGAAAATACCTCATCAATTTCAATATCTGAATCATCATCTTCTTCACCGTCAGAAACAACTTCACCGGTAAGTGAATCCACCACATATCTAATATCTTCACCAACTAGAGACCCATTGGATACGTATTTTTCAAAAATATTATCAATTTGTCCAGTCGAACTCAATTTCGTTACATCAGAAACAACAAATTCATCATCTTTAGAAATACCATTCACAATCCGATTCAAAACTTTTTTTCCAAGCGCAGAAAGCGAATCCAATAATTCCAAACAATCATCAATCCTGAAAGTATAACTCGTATCAGACGTAGTTACAAGCAAAGTATTCAATGCATTAATGACTTCAGCATTATTCAACCCGGTATCACTCTTAATCCCCATAATTAATGCTTGAAGACTAATGGCCCCTAATTCTGGTGCAAACAAATATACCGGCTTTGTAATTTCAATTTCATTAGCAACTTGTGAAAGTTCTTTAATTGAATAAGGACCATGAGTATCAACTACTTTCCTAAAGGGGATATAATTCTTGATAATATTTGCTTCTTCTTTCTTAACTTCCTGTTTCAATGCCATTTGAGCAGTTGTGGCTAAATCTGGTTGGCTGGCGCGATTAGCATCTATGCTCATTGGCGGTTGTGGCATGGGTGAATGTTGACTTTGACGTGATACCAGCCTTGCAGTAGCTGCAAGGGAAGTTTGAGAAGTTTGGCGAAGAATTTGCGATTGTATTTGTTGCTGTTGTTGGGGCTGCACTACTGGCTGTTGTGCTTGTTGTTGTTGGGCCATAGCTTGTTTGTTTAGGAGTTGATTTTGAATTAACATAGATTGTTGGAGGTTAAGTTGTTGATTACTTCCAGAACGTGATAATTGCTGTTGTTGAACGTATGGTGAATTCCCAATACTTGGTGAATTATGAGTGGATGGATTACTAGCTCTTGAAGGTTTCCGTTGCAGTGGAGTAGGTGCATTGGCCATCATTGGGCTTGGCTTTTGTCCCATTCCTCCTGCAAGATTGACAACAGCCGGAGATGGTATGCTTGCAGCCGGTGACATCTGATTGAGTGGTTGTTGTCTACTTTGCTGCTGCTGTAACTGTTGTTGTTGCTGTTGTTGTTGCTGCTGCTGTTGCATCTGTTGTTGTTGCAATTGCTGTTGTTGCTGTTGGTGCAACGCCTGATACTTGGCGATCATGTTAGATTGAAATTGGGTCTTTCTCTGTTGTATATCTCTCAATCCATCAGCAGTTAAAATATATTGGTCATATGGAAGTAAATAGTTTGCATAACAATTACATACTTCACGATCTGTTCTTTCACGTACACTAGGATCTTGAGTATTCAAACCTTCATATAAACCAAGTCTTTGTGCAATCACATACCATGGTGAATTGGGTTGTTGAGGGTTGAATGGTTGTTCAATAAATCTTTGCAACTGTTGAGGACCACCAAGTTTCTGAGCAAATATATGAATGATGAAAAGATTGATCTTCTTATTATTAATCATAATAGCTGGCGGAATGGGAGTCCCACGACGGCTCATAAAGTCATACAATGTAGTTAAAAATAACTCTATTTGCATTTGAACTTGCAAAGTCTTGTTAACTTGTTGTGTTGGGTTTTGTTGTTGAGGAGGTATGGCTGTACCTACTTGTGGGGACATCATGTTGCTCATTGGTGTTCCAGCATTATAAGCACTACCTTGGCTGGCATTTCTTTGAATATTACCTGGAATATTACTTGGCATAACAGGGGTACCCTGTTGAGTATGTGGGGTTTGACCTTGAGAACGATTACCAGTATCTGGAATGTTCATGGGTGATTGAGCTGCATTCTGGGGAGACATATTATAATTCTGAGATTGAGCTTGAAGTTCTTGTTGTTTATGTAGCATCTTTTGTTGCATTACTTGTTGTTTCATTCTATAAAATTGTTCTTTATTGCCTTGGTTTAATTGTTGCTGCTGATTCATCTGTTGTTGATTCATCTGTTGCTGCTGTTGACTTGGTTGGTAGTTCATTTGCTGATTCTGCGGAGCCTGCTGTTGTGCATGCTGTTGTGCTTGTTGTTGTGCTTGTTGTTGCGCTTGTTGCTGAGCTTGTTGTTGAGCTTGCTGTCTAGCTTGTTGTTGTTGAACCTGTGCTTGTCTTATGAACATCTGAGGGTTAAGAGTCTGGGAGGAATAACTAGATGATTGACTTGGTTCCAGTTGTGGTTGACCAAAAATATCAGCACCTAGATTGTGAGTTGGTTGCTGTTGCTGTGGCTGTTGTTGCTGTTGTTGTTGTTGTTGGGGTGGTTGACTTTGCCCTTGGTTCTGATCGAATATGGAGTTAAGAAAATCATCATTACTTGAACCTTGTCCCGCTGAAGTGTTATTTACAGGACTGTTAAATGCATTCTCATTAAGCCAGTTACTATCTGACATTGTAGCTCTCTTGATTTCTTGATTCGCTTGACCCTTCCCGTTTCACTTAGGAGATGAAATTTGAGAGATGTTTATTGTTGTTGTTGTGTTTGGTGGGTTAACTTTTTTTACAACCAGAAGTAAAAAAAAGTCAGAAAGTTAGAAAAAAAAAAAGAGGTTTTGTGTAGTACACGCTCAACCATAAGAGACTTGGGTTATTCATAGGGAAGAGTCAACTAGACTAAGCTACCTGTGTTACATGATATATGTTTATTATGTTACAATACAATATTCTCTATAAATTCCTTTTACCAAAACTTCCACCATCTCCTTTGGAGTTTCTTTGACAATGCTTTATAATGTTCCATTTCACCCCAACAATCTCTCCCCCATTCACATCCGGCCATATTAATGACAAAATCATGATTTTTATAGAAATATTGAGGATCATCAGCTTTATCAGAACATGCCCCCGGTGGGAATGCATTAATCTTTCTCAATGGTAAAAACCCGACTCTTTCTCTAATCCAAGGTTGGGTGGAATACAATGTTTCTAATGCATCTTGTTCTTTATGTTCCCATTGCATATGCATTTGTTCATACAATGCTGGATCCCACCAAATATCTAATAACATTTCTGTCCAACTTGATCTTCTCATCAAGAAAGAACCTAAATTAAATCCACCACAATCTTGAGTAATAATCATATCAATAGGTTGATTATAATCAACATATGGAATATCAGGACGTAATCCAAGAGGATTAAAATGTTCCAAGGTTCTATAAGTTACATTCTCCAAATCATTCAAGAAATGATCTTCTAATGAGATTGATGGGTCCATAATATATGTATGTAAATCTAACCACCAAAACCATTCAGTATTGGGATATTGTCTCATTGTTTGTTTCATAATATCAACTTTTTCCCAACTTTCTCTCCATTCATGAGAATATCTCTTTTTGATAGTCATATCTTTAATAGCTAATCCATATCCATGTCTCTTGGCATAGTTTTTTTTGTTAGCAATTGATGATCTTTCCACTGACCATTCTTGTGGGGATTTCCATTTTAATACACCACCACCTTCATTAGCAGCTAATATAATTACCACTTTGGGAGCTTTTGGTTGGAAATGAGGTATAAATGGGGTATTTGTAAACATTGACAAGAAGAATAATGTGACTAATAAGAGACATGTTTTCTTATGTCTAAGTGACCACTCAGTTAATTGATTGATATAAGATTCTATGAAATTCGTGAGTTGGCCAAGTAATGATTTATTTTTATTTGGTTTGAAAGTATTGGTATAATTCTCATCTCGTGAATGTTCTGTTCCGATATCTTCATGTGTACCTCTGGAATAAGGTAACGAATAACCTTTTGACTCATTCATGATTTCACTTGAAGAAAGAAATATAAAGCTTAAAAATTAAATTCTAATTTTAAACAAACACTTTAATAACTTTTTTTTTCAGGGTTTATTATTTTGCAGTACTACGAGGATCTGATCAATATCTAGTGTGGAATTAAGTAGAGAGCCTGTCTATATAAAGAATGTTACTTCAAAGGAAGCAAATGTTGTTCTAAACATTGCTGTCTACATAATGGACATTCAGGATGTTCTCTAATCCAATCAACTATACAATCCCAACAAAATAAATGACCACAATTAGCAGCAGATGGATTTACCATTGGTGATAAACATAACATACAATTTCTAGAATTCTCCGGTAAATAAGGTAATTGATTATCATCTGATAAATCTATAATCAAATTAGAATCATAATTATGACTTAAATTGACTAATTGTTGTATACTTTCAATTCTATCTTCTGATGATGTAGTCTCTAATTCATCTTTCTTACCCCTGGCAGCTTTAATTAAATCATCATTATAATTCTTTAAACTTATAACAAGTTTAACAATAAATTGAAGAATTATAATCCCACCTAATAAAGAATAATTTCCTTTTGATTGTTCAATTTTCAGATTATCTTTATTATGACCAAATGCATAACGTAATCCAAATATTCTTTTAGAAAGTGAATAAAATTCCCCCTTAAAATAGAAAATTGCAATATGAATATTAAGTATTGTATCAAGTAATTTATAATAATTTGATAATATACTCATTAACCATCCTTTTGGATTTTCAAATGATTCATCATCATCCTCGTTCTGTTTTACTCGAAGCTTTTTAATAATCTTACTCACTAAATAAGGAACAATCGCATACGATAATATAAATCCTAATCTTGGTATTAATTTAGGTAATCGTCTACCTGATTTATTAACATAGATAAGATCAACATATTCTTCTCCTAATGTTCTAGCTCCAATTAAAGTAGTAAGCAGTAAATAAAGTGCTTTGGCCAACACAGTGATCTCTTGTGGATATGCATTAATAAAGCGTTGTCCTTTTAATATCAGAAAGAAATCTTGTATATGTGATCTATATTGTGATTCAACATAAGCATCCTTTTGATGTGCACGGACTAAAACACTCAACAGTTAGTATTAGATTACTAGAAAATCCATAGTAAGTGGATAAGTTACATACCTATTGTTGCTGCATCTGCGAATGGCAACTGTTTATCAGATCTATCGCTAGTCATTTATGAAGTAAAGATTATACAAGAAGTTCTTCCTTTAAGAAAGAATATTGTTGGTTTGAATAAATTAATCATCCTTTTGAATAAACCGAGGTTGTCACACACTGTGGGATTCTCCCCACGCAAAGAATGTCGTTTGAAAATTTAAATGGAAGTGAAAAATGTCGCAAATACAAAAATTAAGAGATGTCGTCAAAGTTTGACTTAGTATGGTAACGGGATAGATACCACGCTCCTTAGATATGTACACTAAGGCTAGGTTGGTAAGGATAGAGGTATAGTTTCTGTTCCAGTAATAAACGGGAATCATTGGATAACGACGCATTATTGGAAGCCTCGCTTTTTGGTGTTTCCCTCTCTAAGATCAATTCAATAAAATAAATACATTCAATTAGGTTAAGTATATATATGACCATATTTATGAATATATATTCGTTCGACAAATATATACATGTGTATTCAGGTTTGCTTATAACAAAAATAAAAACGTATTTCAATCTCAAACTTTTCTTTAAGTAAAGTTCAGAACTAGTGTACAAAATGAAAATAATAATAACTCTATGAAAACATCATTCTTTTTTTGGTAATAATAGTCAACATAATGATAACAGGAAATGATAATAATAATAATTAATTAATAATGCTAATAACCCAAACTATCTAGATTAATACATCATGATGATGATGATGATTTCTTGTAGTTTATAATTTTTCAATTAATGATTCTAATGCTTTACCAATATCTAAGTTTGGATCTTCCCAGTTGATAGATCCAGAAGCAACAGGAGTTGCTGCCTTTGGTGGGTTTAATCTGGCATATTCAGCTTTAGCTTCATCAATCAACTTTTGTTGTTGAGCAAACTTAGAAGCAACTGATTTTTCTTCAGCAGCAGATTTTAAGGTTTGTCTGTGGAGAGCACCGTAAACAACACCGGCACCTAAGAAGGACCATCTTATAACGTTAAAGGTAGACATCTTTTGTTCAACAATCTATAAGGTTTGTAAATGTAGAAGTACTCGAAGTAATTTTTTTTCAGTTTGATAATTTTTTTTTTTTTTTCACTTAAAGGAATAAACAAGAAAACACAATTGAAGTTTTGATTGGAAGATGATCACGTGAATAGAATACACCGAAGAACAACAATCCCGGAATTGTCCACGACAGAAAAAAAAAAGAAATTTTAGATGCAAGACATAACTCACGTGACATGTAACATTTCCAATGTGTCGCAGTGAAGAGAAACAAAATTGTAAACACTGCGGCGGCAAAAATGACAAAAATCCACGATTCCAAAAAAAAAAAAAGAAACTTTGATGAAGATTGATTATAAAAATAAATATAAATTTGTACGATGATTTCTAAACGAAACTTCTTAATTTATTTATCAATAATTGTAATATCAATGTTAGTATCAATATTAACAAAGAGATCTATCCCAATCACTACTCGTAATGCATTGAAATCAACAATATCAAAGAGAAAATTCAGTTTTTCTTCTTCATCATGGACTTCAAATGGAAGTTCAAAATCATATTCAACAGCATCATCCACGGCTGGGGCAGCAACAACAACTGCTTCTTCAATCAATTTTGATTCAGTATTAAGTAATTTTCATAATTATGATATAGCAGTAGCTTATCAACCTAAAGATCGGGAAGAATCTAATTTATTTAAAAAAAGAAATAATCATAATTCAAGTGCTGCATTAGAATCACCAACTGGTGAAGATAATTTATTTGTATCTAAAGAATCTCCTAAAGGATTTGTAGCAATTGGTGTGGCTGATGGTGTTGGAGGTTGGTCAGAAGCAGGATATGATTCATCGGCAATTTCTCGAGAATTATGTGCATCAATGAAATTAAATTTTGAAATTGATTCCAATGAATCAGAATTATCACCCAAACAATTATTAGATGATGCTTTTAATCAAGTTATGGAATCTCCTAAAGTTAAGATTGGTGGGACTACTGCATGTTTAGGTATATTGTCACCGGATAAGAAATTGAAAGTAGCTAATTTGGGTGATTCTTGGTGTGGGGTATTTAGAGATTATAAATTAATTAATGAAACAAAATTCCAAACTCATAATTTCAATACTCCATATCAATTAGCTAAGATCCCAAGGCATATTGTTAAACAAGCAGAAATGGAAGGTAGAAGATATATTATTGATACTCCTGCATTAGCGGATGAATATACTTGGGATTTACAAAAAGATGATATAATAATGTTTGCCACGGATGGAGTAACAGATAATGTAATAGCACAAGATGTTGAAATATTCTTAAAAGATCATATTGAAGGACAAAACCAGAAATTAGATGTGGTTGCAAAAGAATTTGTTAATGAAGTTGTTAAAGTTTCAAAAGATCCAACTTTCCCCAGTGCTTTTGCTCAAGAATTAAGTAAATTAACTGGTCAAAAGTATTTAGGTGGTAAAGAAGATGATATTACAATTGTATTGATTAAAGTTAATTAGAACATTTCTTTATATATCCACACATTTGCATAGATCTTATTTAATAGTATTAATAATAGAAGGTTGTCTTTTTTTAGAATTGTCTTTATTCACCGTGTGTATATTCCTCTTACTGATAACGAAGTTGTTAAGTTGCATACTGCAACGCTACCAATTCCACTAAAGAAAAAAAGAGAGCGATTCAAAACGACTGTTGGTTGTAAAAAACCTTATCAAACATCTTTTACACGAACAAAGCCCAATCATGACTAAGAATCAATCCAATGGTCATCGACGAGTTCTAGGGAATGGACCGTCTTTACTTGATGCCCCTAAAATGTCTCATTCACAATCAGATACCACTTCAAGTAGTACAAATAAGAACAATGATGGACCACTTTTATGTCCTATATGTAATGACCAAATGATTACTCTTTCTCAATTGAATCAACATATAGATGATATGCATTCCGGTTCTCCTGGTAGTCTGCGTGTTTCAATGAGTCCACACAAAGCGATATCAGCAAACTTATCAGATATAGTTCAGCCACAAGCAAATATCACCCCTACAAAACGAAAAATGAATAAGATTACATATTTCAATCAAGGATTTAGTTTGAGTGATGAACAGAATGAATTCATGATTCCAATGACTGCAACTGCCATGAGTCCGAGTAAGGATTCACAACCAAATTCTGCAAAACTCATACGATCTCATTGGAAAACGCAAGCGCAAGATTTATCTTCGAAATGTAATATTAAAAATTGTGATAAAACATTAAATGTCAAGAATGGAATTGTTAATTGTCGAAAATGTGGGAAATTATTTTGTAATGAACATACTCATTATAAAGTTAGATTAAGAAATCCCGTGAATGGTGAACCCAAAGCCCCTCAATATGAGTCAAGTTGTGGTGGAGTATGGGGGAGATGTTGTATGAATTGTTATTACGATAAGCCGGACTTAAAACAAGGGACAACCGTCAATTATACTGATTTGACAGTGCAATTCAAATTCAATAGACAAGCAAAGGTAGATATTCAACAATTGAATAGAAATAAGGTCCAAAAGAATTTCATCAAATTGACATCTTTATTAGTCGAAACAGAATTTAAAAAACATCCGACTAATAGCAATAATAGATGGAATTTTTTTAATATCAACAATCAACCACTCTTGCAGAATGAACAAGAAATTATTGGAGGCGATAATTGGCAAGCTGATACTGATGTTACCAATTGTTCAATATGTTTTGTTAGGTTTAATTTATTCATACGAAGACATCATTGTCGATTATGTGGGAAAATCGTCTGTGATGATCCCAATGGATTTCGTAAAAGTTGTTCAATATTAGTTCCAATATCTAAATTAATGGAAAAACTACCCAAATTGAATTATTCTTTATATATTAGGAACCATTTTGAAATGATATTACATGATGAATCGATAAAATTCAGATGTTGTCGAGAATGTAAGAATGCATTATTATACGATTGGAAACTTCAACATAAAGGACATGAGGATGATGAAATTCAAGATATTATATTTACGATGTATGAATCGATTTTATTACAAAAGAAACAAATAGAGGTATTACTTCCAAAATATGAAACATTAATCTATAGTGATGATGAACTAAGCAAAACTAAACTTCGAAGTAAACTAATGGTAATTCTCAAAGACTTCGAAGGGTTCGTTATTCAATTCCGAGATAGGTTCTTTATAAAAAATTCCGATACTATACTGGTTAATCCGAAATACAATCAATATCAAAAACTAATCAGTAATATATATCAAAGTATTGCCGTTTTCTTACAAGATAATATCATCCAATATAAACAAATTAGTGAAGTTCATCGAGAACAAGAACAAATCGAATTAAATCGAGTTCAAAAGGAGAACACCCCCGAGATTCCCCGATTGACAAAGAAACAAATTCGAGAAATGAGGGAACAATTGATGGTTATGAATGAACAGAAATTTTTGGTGGAGAATCTTATTAAGGATTGTACTAAGGGGAGAAGATTTGATGAATTGGATTCGTTGTTGAGTAATAAAAAGGAGTTGGAAGATACGATTGAGAATTTAGAAAAAGAACTTGGGGAATTTGGATTTTCAGATTAGGACGATATCCAGTTATAGATTATATTTAATGCACTTTGTTGTATTGCGGATGGTCACTAATAGATATGGTTGACTTTTTCTCGTCTCTACTTGAGTTTTAACCGAATAATAATCCAAGCATTAAAAACGATGGCCTGGTATAGGAATCACTTCGGGCAAAGCGCGATCTTTAAAACAGACAAAACATTCATTGACCACTCATATACTCTATAAAAATCTCGAGAGGATTATCCATTTAATCTCTATTTGGAATTCCACTTGGCCAAATCTCATTAAAATGTTTATCACCAAGTAAATCTTGAACCTTCTTCACCAAAATCGCATCTTTTTCATTAATATTATTTAAATCTTGTTTAATTTCCCAATAATTATCAATAGCACTTTTTAATTCTTTAACATCTGTCATTCCTAATGCAATCCCGACATTTGGATTTGGTTTCAAGTCATGGGTGTCTGATTGCGAAGTGGTATTGAATAACCATTCCTTGACTGCGAATCTAGTAGCGAGGTCGGCCATTTCTACATTATCTTCTTTCAATAACTTTTGTGCGATATCATATACTGTATCCTTTAATTCTTGCGGGGCAGGATGGAAATCATGAGTTTTATCTGAACGTAATAATGACATGGATAGAATAGATCCATTTATGAGTTTTTGAATACCACATTCATTAATAAACTTGTCGTAATATGCAAATAATCTGATATTTTGAAGACATCCATTACTATATGATAATATGGCATCAAGAGGTCCAATTTCGGGATTTTGTTTAGCTCCGAGAGCGATCTTATATAAGAAGTTCACGGGATATCCAGTAATACCAAAATTACGAATCTTTCCTTCATTTTTCAATAATTTCAATTCTTTTAAAGCTTCATAAATTTCATCTTCTTCAACAAATTCAATATCATGCATATAGACTAAATCAAGATATGCCGTCCCTAATCTTTTCAATGACCTTTCAACTGACATCCTAACATGAGATCTAGAATAATCAAATTCATTCAATCTGATCCGACCGGCTTTTGTACAAATATAATAAGTTTCTCGAGGATATGTGATTTTCTTCAATGCTTTCCCGATGATTTCTTCAGATGGGCCATAATATGGAGAAGTATCAAGGGCATTTAATCCATTGTCAAATGCGGTTTGAATTAATTCGGGCACGGGTAATGAATGGGGATCTTCGGAATATTGGGTGTTGAAGACTGCACCGCCGACAATTAATGGTGGTAGGTTCTTGATTGAGTATGGTTGTACTACTTCTGGTTTTCCAATTGGTTTAGTCATAATTGGGTTGGGTGTATTGATAAGAAGAGAGAAGGAGAGAAATTGTATTTGAAAAATTTCGCAACAAACCCACAGTCTTACCAATCCAATTTTTCAGTGCGGCGCCACAGCAATATGCAAGATGAAGAGAGATACAGAGAGAGGCAGAAAGACAATAGGAATGGTAATAAAATCACTTCTAAATTGAAAAACATATATAATACACACACATGAGCAATCAAAAGATATCATCACCTTCAATTAAATAATTCCCAGGAACTAAACCAATCATACCTACCGAATCAAGACAATTGTAACCCAATTCTACTATAAACCAATTATCTTCTTGTTTATGAATAATATACATATTCCAACCTTTCTTAAATAATAATTCACCTTCATGTTGAGGTTTATATGAATATCTTGCTTTTGCTTTCCCAATATAAAGTTTCTTATTTATTGGAGTTAAATTTGTTGCCATTACAGAATTTAAATTTAAATAAGATCTTCTTGTCTTTTCTTTATTCAGTAATGTTCTACTTATCCCATTAGGCGAACTTGTTGATTCTATAATCATTGATTTTGGTCTTGGTTTTGATGATTCAGGAGGACGGGTGAAGTTTATAGATTCATATCTTGTTGCAGTTTCATTTCTATCATTGACGAAATCCGATCTGGTGTTTCTAGGGGTGGTTGGTGCCGTACGACTTCTAGGAGAAGAAGCACCATAATTCTCTTGGGCAGCACGACGGACTGATCTTCTAAATTGATTCACATCTCCATCTCCACCTGATTTTAAATCTTCAAGAGCTTTAGCAATGAAATCTATTGAAAAATCTTGTACTATAGATACTTTATTATTATGGGTTTCAGGAGCTTTTGATAAATTGGGTATTGATTTTCCAAAATCATTAGTTGATCTTCTGGTTATTTGTTCTTGTACCTGTTGTAATTGTTTCTCCTTTCTTCTAGGTGATGCCCAATGTCGATCTTCTGAAGAATTGGTGGAATAATTGGAATAGGTAGTTGGATAAGAATAATTTGAAGATCGATTGCTATTGGAAAACACTTCTTTATCAGAAAACACATCATATGGTTCACTTGAAGTTGAATAAGATTTGAATTGGGTTATTGGTTCTTCAACAAATTCTTTAGTTGGTGCCTTTCTTACCGGAGAAGGTGTTTTAGGACCAGGCATGGGAGGTTGCATAACAGGTGGTAATTGTTTGTCAATAGAGTTTGCTCCAGGCAAACAACTATTGACTACTGCATTTGAACCTGTTGACAGTGAGTATGTCAGATTTTGTTTGGAAAGTATTGGAACATAATCGGGATTTCTTAAGTCAGCCAAAGTATATTCTGATGACTTTTCTTCTTGTCCATCCATAAATTCAATAAATTCAGGATCTTTAAATATTTTGCATCCAGTACCATAAATATCACTAAAATCCTGTAAATCTTTAGCTGGTTGAATTTGAGCAAATACTGATCTTGCTAAATCAACTGATTGATCATGATCAACACATAATGTTGCAATATGATTGCAATAATTGAAACAATTTACTTTACAAATTTGAATTCTTTCTAATTCTAATTTATATAAATCATTAAGTGATATATTCCAATCTCGTAAATAAATTTCATTAATTTCTTTATAATTAACCAAAGCAATTTGATAATTCTTTCTTGTTGCAGTAATTGTTGAATTTAATTTGTTGTACTTCTGTTGATTCTTTTCTAATTCTTTACCCCAAGTAGTTTGAATTGATAATCTTAAAGCTTTTAATTGAACACATTCTGTTTTATATTTATTACGTTGTTGTTCTAAATCTTTCCAAGCATTATTTCTTCTTATTATTACTTTACTCATATGATGATCTAATTTAAGTGCTTTTTCACGATAAATATTATTAAAATCTTGTAATTTCTCGAGATTATTATTTGCTATTGATTTCATAAATTTTTGATTAAAATTAACCATTTGATGATTTTCAATTATTAATTTATCTAATGATTTTCTTAATGTACCAGTTTCATGAGATCCTATTGGGAATTTATTATTTAACCGTTCTAGCTTCTTGATATATTCTTTCTCAATTGCTACCTTTTCTTGATAGAAATTAATCAATTCTGTTAATGTCATTAATGAATCTTTAATCCTCGTTTGAATAACTTTGAATCCAGAATCTCCTGGACCCCAGAAGTAATTGACGAAATCTTTATTGATTGGTTGTGAATGTCCCAGTCTGTTCATAATTACGCTGTTTAGTTCAATGGTTCCTATATCTTATCTCTATTTTGATTCTGAAAAAGAAAGTTTAATACGGGGGAATTGTTCTTTTTCCAAAAAAAGATCTTCTTCTTCTTTCGATTGCAATTGATGATGATGATGATGTTCAGTATTTGAATGTTTTTATTTTAATCTAATTTGGTTTTTTATTGTTTACCTATTTCCTAATTAGGAAGGCAGATTGCAGCAAATCAGTTTTTTTAGTTGAGAAATTTTAATAAGCGATTATTCTCTTACAACAGACACCAATCATTCAGCAAACTTCTTGGTATTCTGAATGGTCACATTTGAAATGTATGTCTTCATTCGTTCATTTTTGATAGGTAAAATCCATAATATTACTTATGGTAAAACAAAATCTGTTTTCTGTGTAATGATTAACCTCCAACCCGTAAAAGAGAGGTATTCAAATAAACTGAAGAAGTTATCAGACGAAATTAAATAGCTTTATATTATCTTTATGATATAAGTTTAGTTTTGAGACCATTAAACAACTCTTTTCATGTTAATTTTTGTTTCTAATTCTTTGATTTTCGTAGACTATTTTCACTCAAGAATAAATTTACCAAGAATTGCTGCAAAAAAAAAAGAAACTAAATTCTTCATTCTAAAGAACACCGTCGAAATCGAATACTCTGGAATATACATACACTAGTTACCACACATGCTCACCACACGCATTCAGATGAACAACCATATCGCCATTCATTCATTCGTTCACTATGTGGTGTGATGGTTCACGACATCCCGGAGTTACAAAACCCTTTTCGCTCGACTAGAAAAAAAAACAATCTCCGATCCGATAAATCTAGTCATCACGTGACTTTTACTATATAATTTTATCGGAACCAAATTTATCCGAAACCAAATTTTCTAATCTCCCATTCAGCCGCAATTTCTTTTTTTTTTCAATAAAACTCCGATTAAAATTTTATTATCACATTGTTTTAAATACACGGACCGGTGCCAATTTTCATTTAACACAAGTTGGAGCAACTCGTTGGATTCAACATTAGAATATATAAAGGGTATATATATCCATAATCCTTTTACTGATATTTCTTTTTAACAAATACTGAAAAATACAAAACCCATAGAAAATCAAATGAATCATCATGACATATGAAGAATTTAAACAAACTAAACTATATAAATATCCAGCCAAAGTGATATCATTCCTAATAGGACAATGGTTTTTTGTCTTTTTAGGTGTCTTCATTGCATTAGCTCATTCCTTCCCCAATTTTGCTAGACAAGGTGGTTTAATACGAGCAGAATATACAATCAGTTATGGAGCAGTAGCCATAATTTTCTTAATTAGTGGATTATCAATGTCAACTAAATCATTATTAGTCAATATATCCAATTGGAGAGCTCATTTCACGGTTTTATCAATGTCATTCTTAATTACAAGTTCTATAATTTATGGAATTGCCACGGGGATTAAAATTTCAAATAATGCTCAGATTGATGAATGGTTATTGGTTGGACTTATTGTAACTCATGCATGTCCAACTACTGTTTCTTCCAATGTGGTTATGACAAAATTAGCTGAAGGGAATGATATTCTTACATTATGTGAAGTTTTCATTGGGAACGTGCTTGGTGCTTTTATAACTCCAGCATTATTACAATTATATATGAGAGGGACATGGGGTTTTGGTAATCCAAGTCATCAACCTCAGGGGGATGCTACTATTCAAGATTTATATGCTCAAACCATGAAACAATTAGGATTATCGGTATTCATTCCATTATTTGTTGGTCAATGTATTCAAAATATATTCCCCAAGCAAACTAAATGGGCAATGTCAATTTTCAAATTAGGGAAAGTTGGATCATTTATGTTATTATTGATTATGTTTCAATCATTTTCCACGGCATTTTATCAACAAGCATTTGAACAAGTTTCACATGTTTCAATTATCTTTTTGGTATTTTTTAATATTGGAATTTATTTATTCTTTACCGTTATAACTTATCTTTATGCTAGACCATATTTTATTAAAGTATTCTTTTGGCAAGAACCAAATGAACATTCAACAAGGTTATATAAATTAAGTTATATGTTTTTCCGTCCATTTTATTATGATAGAAAAGATACTGTGGCAATTATGCTTTGTGGACCAGCTAAAACGGCAGCATTGGGTGTATCACTTGTTTCATCTCAATATGGAGCTCATAATCCAAAATTAGGGATTATTTTAGTTCCATTAGTTTTATATCAAGCTGAACAAGTTATGACTGCAAATGTTTTAGTTAATTTTATGAGGAAATGGATTCATGCTGAAAATAAAAAACCAGATATAGAGAATCATAGTGAGGACAACGAAGGAGATATTCAAGAAGAGGAAGCGAATGATACTGAAAGTCATTTAGACCATAGCTATCAGAGAGAAACAGTATCTCATGACTCTGGAGATAAAAAAAGTTGAAAAAGAATCCTAAGGGATTTTATATGATGTGAGAACATCAAATTTTATTTATTTAATTCCTTAATAGTTTATATATATTTATTAATTAGCTTTAATCGATAGAAGTTTTTGTTATGTTTGATCAGATAGTCTTCTCATACCCAAGATCTATATAAATCTTGTTGGGGGAAGGGTATGTAAGTCCTTACTAATTTGCAGCCAACCTTCGTGCAAATCACTAAATCAGTCAATTTACAGCTACACTTTCATTACAAAGAACATATATGGATGATTAGGCGATTAGTAAAAACATTATTATTATTATTATTAAACGAAAGCTATTAACGAAAGACAAAATTTTACTGACAAACAAATCTAATTTTTAGAAGTATTATCTTTTGAATCATCTGATTCATGATCAGGAACTGAAACTCCATCAATTGCAGGCATAGTAGTTTGTTCCTTATTTTGATTGGTAGTGACTGGTTTAGTGGATCTAATTGGTTCCAATACAAAAGCACGATGATCTGAAGAAACATCATCCCCATCTTCATATACTAATTCACCAATTTCTGCTAAATCAGTACCCAAAAGTTCTTCATCTTCATGTAATCTGATTCTTAATTTTGGAATCTTATCCATTACCAATAATAATATCGAAGTAACCACAAATGAATAAGCACCAATTGAAACTGAAGATGCCAATTGATAACCTAATTGAATCCAATTTTTATTAATCCAACCACCAGCAATTTCAACTCCATCAATCATGGCAATATAATCAGCAGCAAAAATACCAGTTAATAAATTACCAGTAAAACCACCAATACCATGAAGTGCCCAAACATCCATACCATCATCAATTCCAATGATATCTTTCAAATCAACCGCAAAGTTACAAGCAGTAGCACCGACAACACCATAGACTAAACTGAAAGCAACATGAGTGAAACCAGCACCGGGAGTAATTGCAATAAGACCACTTAAGGCACCACAACAAGCTCCAACCATTGACCATTTCCCTCCAGATCTGAAATAATCAATAAACATCCAAGTTAATCCACCAGTTGCAGCAGCAACATTGGTGTTGACACAAGCATACCAAGAACGGATAGATGCATTACCAGTGGACCCACCATTGAATCCAAACCAACCAAACCAAAGGAATGCAGTACCAAATACAATTGAAGTAACTGAATGGGGTTTATATTTTGGTACTTTACTTTTAGTTAATGGATCTTTTCTTTTCCCTAACCAGAATGAATAAGCTAATGCAGCAAACCCAGAATTTTCATGAACTGGTCCACCACCAGCATAATCAAGTGCACCTAAAGTTGCTAACCAGCCTTTTGGATTCCAAGTCCAATAAGCAATTGGACAATAAACAACAGTTAACCAAAGGAATAAGAAAATCATCATGGGGAATAAACGAGCTCTCTCACAACCGGCACCAACCATCAAAATCCCAGTCACGGCAGCGAACATTCCTTGATAGAGACATAATAAAATATCTGGAAGGGTGGAAACAACACTTGGAGCACCTAATACATCTTTAAGACCAATATTTTGTAAAGTACCAATAAAACTAGAACCATCATGAGCAAATGATAAAGAATAACCCCAAAAGAACCATTGGATCCCTGTGACACATGCTGCCATAAGGGAGGCCCATAATAAAGATAAAGCATGTTTCTTACGGGCAATACCGGAATAAAGTAAACCGACCCCGGGTATCATGAGCCAAACTAAGACGGAGGATACACCTATCCATACCATATCTGCTCCTTCGAATTGTTGGTTTAAATCGACTTTGAACACATCACCACCTGTTCCTGTTCCTGTTAATCCACTATCAGACATTCTTTTTTGATTATGTTCTGGTTTGTTGAGATTGTGTAGAGAATTTGAGAATTTAATAATTAATAATTTTCAAAGAAATTACGGACATTTTATAATTGAAAGAAAGCCACTTTAGATAAGCGAAGGGAATTGTTTATCGTTAGCTGGTATAATAAAATCTAATTTCGCTTATTTATCAAAAGCACAGACCTTTGTTTCTTAAAGGTTAAAGAAATATATCTGATCCAATTAAAAAGATTAAAAGATTGCAAATAATTATTTTTTTTTTCTTATAAAATAAAATACTGATAAGCGATATGCAGGAATTTCTATCCGTAAAAACAATAAAAAAACAACTAAACAAGAACAATGAAGGAAATAAATCTAAGATAAGCGAATACACACAACCTCACATGAAAAGAAAGATTAATATAACAACCGTTTCATTTAAAAATATATCCGGTTAATCTGTATGCGATGAGATATGGACCAATAACCGAAGGTTATGCCTCGTTATATTTATATGCCACAATTTAAGCCCATTGGAAATCCATAAAATATATGGAATACGAAATAAAAGCCAATTTTATTTCTAGAACCAAAGATTGTCAAAAGAAGACAAGACAAGAAAAAAACAAGCTTGGTTTTTCATATCTTTCAACTTAAATATTTATTAACCTTCATACTGATAGCGGGTTTTAAATAAGAAAAAAAAGAAAACCGAAAACAGCATCGTAAGGTACTTTTTTGGAGGGGATGTAGAGGGAAAGCAGGGAGAGTTAGGATGAAGGGAAAAGATATTTAATAAGGTTAAAAGAGAAAGATGTTACAATTTCAAAAATAACAAAGTTCATTCAAAATTTTTCTTGACCTTAGAACGGCTTATCATTTTAAACAGGGTGACATACATTGTATGTATTGTTATCTGACTTCAATTGATAAGAAAGAGAGAGAAAGAGAATGGGCCCGGGTATCATTTTACATTATAAATCCAAACATATACGAAATCCCATACTTTATTCTTTTTCAGCAGTCTCTATAGTATCGAATTGAAATTATTGTAGTAATTTCAATCATCTTTAATCCTGTTTTCTTTAATTAAACTCTTTTTAATTTCAGTCAACGAATCTTTCAAAACTAAGGCTTAGGATCTAAATCTCAATATTACTTGTACACCTTACTCATTTGGTTACTATAAGACGATAGCCATGCGATTGCGGAAAGATCAAACATGCTCTGATCAATGCCAATTCTAACTAGTTTTGGTTTGGTTAGTCTTTCTACTTTACTGCCTTCGGTATTTAATTACCCCAGACTAAACAATAAGAGAGACTAGACAAACTGGCCAGCAAAAGAGTTTTGTTCTCCGTCGATTCCAGATTTATATGCAGGATATTGTTGTCCATTTTTCAACGAAACCCCTCGTCAAACTGGAAAAAGGGGAACACTACGAATAAATCAAGTGTGTCTAATCAATCAACCAGTATACATCTATAAATCAATTGAAATCTTAGTGGAAATCATCAATCTAAACTAAAAGAGAAAGTGATATATAATAGACAATTTAAAGGATAGACATGACTGAAAATATTGATACTTTCAATTTTCCAACCACGATCTTAACATCAAAACCCCCAGATCAATCAGCTTTAATTATCCCCAATGCTATTAATGCATCAAATCATTTAATCAGCAAAGATTTGGTATCATTCTTCAACCATTATTGTACGGTATTATTGAATTATAATCAAGCTTTGAAACAATTGGTTGGTGATGCAACTAAAATTAGTAAACAATGTGGAAAAGGGTTCGGTAATTTCCCAAACAATTTGAATTGTCTTATTAGTTCACTTCAGATTGAAGTTCAAAGTAATGAATCAATTCATAGACAAGTTAGATCAGATATTATTAATCCATTACAAGATTTGATTGAAAAAGATGTTAGAATTTCTGAATTATTAATTAATGGACAAGAATTACAAGAAATAAGTGATAATTTAAAACAAAATAAAAGAGATGCAGAAATGCAATGGAATTATAAAGCTCCACAAAGTTTTCAAAACCTTGAAAACTTCAAAAAGATTGAAACTCAATTATTATTTGATATCATATTAAATTTCTTTCAAATTCATAATGGTAAAGCAACTAAAGTTTTGAAAAATAATGAAAATTCAACAAATTATTTATTGGGGAGTTTCAAATTAGATACTGAAATGAGTAATCAATTGAAATATTTAGTCAATACGGAATTTAACCCAACTGCTAAGCAAGGATTTGTAAATGACCAGATTCAACAACAAACTGAATTAGATAGGAACACTGGAAATAAACCGGGTTCGTTGAAAAAGCAAGCAACTGGCGCATCTGAATCTTCATCAAAACATGCAACGCCAGTAAAGAAACAATCCAAATTAAAGTCAAGAGTCGGTTCAATATTCGGCAGAAGAAAAAAGAAAGATAAACATAATCCAATGGAATCTTCAATTCCTGAAAATGCATCCTTGTCAACAACCGCATCCTCAGTTCGTGCATCAACAACAAGATCAGATTTAGGAGCTTCCGAACAAAACAGAAGTTCTTCTAAGCAACACCTTCCTCCAATCCCATCATCACCACAAAAGAAGGATCAACCAGAATTACCTCCAAAATTACCTCATGCCAATAATGATATCATTGCTGTTACACCCGAAAGACAACCTTCTACTTCGGAATTGCCACTGGCCAACATCCAGCAGAAAGCAGCACCTGCTTTGATTGATGATTCACCAAATGTAGTTAAATATGAAAACACGGATGAAGAAGCATCCTCCGATGAAGAAGGTCCAGAACCAACTACCGGTGTTGGACGTAGAAGATCCTTATTGGAAAGACATGAATTGAACACCCAGCCTGATCAACGTGGTGCAACAACATATTCACCAATCAGAGTTGCAGTCCCCGTTGAAATTTCTCATGGAACAGGAGCATTGAATAGGATGTCAACGGATTCTGAAGCTCGTTTATCAATTCCAAGATCAAGACAAAGTAGTAGTGGGAAATATAGTTTTGAAGCTGGTGACGATCAGAAACCAATTTCTACTCCTAGAATTGAATCGAGTGGGTTTGATGAACTTACACCGGTTGAAAAAGAAGAAGAAGAGGAGGAGGAGGAAGAACAAATCCAAGCTAAAAATGGAAATTATAATGCTGGCCCAGTTGTTCCACCACCACCTCCATCCAGAAAAGTTGCCCAACAAAAGGATCAAGTTGCTCCTTTGCCTGATGCTTCCCGTCAGCAGCACGTTGCAAGAAGAGACGTACATTCCCAAATGTTTCATAATTTACCACCGGCAAGAGAATCTTTTATTGCACCAGCATCAACAGGAGGTTCATTTAAACCATTATCTAGTCAAAATACTGGTCATTCTGTTTTGAAAAATACCGATCTTTTTAAGCATCATAATTTAAACAATGAATTTGAAAATATTGGATTAAATGCATCGGTTGCCGAAGTGATTAATGCTAGATTTAAAGATGGGAAATTGGTGAAATCGCAAGTTATGGGAGAAGTTGCATTCAATTATCATCAATCCAATCCTAGTGATCTTGCACCAAGTGAACCAATTTTGATTAAGATTCCACAAAATTATGAGAAAATCCTGCTTAATAAATCATTTATGGAACAATTGAATGATAATACATATAAATTAATTCCATCCTATATTATTTCAAAAACTTTAGGAGGAATGAAATATTTGGCAATTTTGGATGATAATCAAGTTCCAATTGTGATTCAACAAATTTGGAAATATGAACCTCATCAATCTAGTTTAATGGTTAGTATTAGGTTGAATCCAGAATGGAAATCTCGGGTGATTTTAGAAAATTTTGTGGTATCAGTGGCATTGAATACCGATATTGAAGCTACTTCGGCATCTTCTAAACCACAAGGTGCATTCAATAAGGAGAAGAATAGAATTACTTGGAGATATAATGATGCATTGATTTTAGATCCTAGTAAAGGTATTACTGAAGAGAAATTAATTGCAAGGTTCATTACCAATGGACTTGGTTCTGAACATGAATCAGGAGTTCAAATTAAGTTTGAGATGAATGATTGTGATTCTCATTTTATTTCAATTTTGGATAATGATGATCCAACTAGAGAATATCCTACATTTAGAAATCTAGTTAGTGGAAGTTATAGTAGTCACTTTTGATCCAATAAGATGTTTTATTTTTTAGGTTGATGATTATATACTGTATAAGTTTATATTATTTTTTAATCAGACTTTTTATTCGTAGTGTTAGGTTCGGGAGATAAACTATCATAAGCACTTTGTAATCCTTTAATTTGTTTCTTTAAAGTATCGATATCCAATTGTTTAACTTCAATCAAATGTTTCAATTCAGTGATTTCTTTATCATCTTCTTCAGTTGATGCAGAATTGAGAACCAATTTTCTATATTCAGCTTCCTTCTGAACCAACTTTCTAACAATAGTGATAACAGTAGCAATAGCCATTTGTAAATATAAAATAGCTCCACTTAAATAAAGGTTTCTTTGGGCATAGAATTTACTTGCCAATTGATCATAATTCAAAGTCATGGAATGTTTTATAAGATTGCCACTTTGAAGCAATGGATCATCTGAACGTCCAGAATATCTATGTAATCTATTTATACAATCCATGAATTGTAATCCCATTAATACGATTGAAAATACAACAAGAACTTTGAAATTTTGTGATCTTTGAATTACAAAAGTTAAATCAACAATTTTTTGACGAATCATTTGTGGTAATGGTAAAACAAGAATGAAAAGGATAATCATTTGACCAACCATGGTGCAGAACACCAATGACATTTGAAGACTCATGATGGGAAGAGTATTGTTTGGTTGAATTGAATGTTAGTTGCAATGCCAATTGAAAATGAAATTGATGGCGAAGTTTATAAATTTGATCCCTGTGCTGGTGAGTATTATGAAATTTTCGCTGTTAAAATAAATTATGAAAAATTTCTCACATGTGAATTTTTAATAAATACAGATAAAACTATTTAAAACGATAGAATCTTCCCTATAAACCAGTAACCTTTCTAGCATAATTGTAGGCAAATATACTAAAACAGATCATAAATGCAATAATAGACCAGAACCAAGCCAATCCATCATAATCTTGTCCAGGTACTATACAATTCATTCCCCATAACCCTGTGACAACATTGATTGGTAAGACAATTGTACCCAAAATTGTAATCTTTCCCAAAACATCATTAGTATCATTATTGACTTTTGTCATATCAATATTGATCTGAGCCAAATAATTTGAATGGAATCTTGCTAATAATTTTTCATAATGATTTAATGCTTGTACCATTGTTACAATATGATCTTGAATATCACTTAAATACATACCAATTTCTTGTTTATTCATAGTACTTGAAACTTCGGTATCATTAAGTCTTTTACTTAATCCTTTTATAACATCTGCTTTTGAACCTAATAATCGTAATACTGACATTACTCGTTTACGACATTCACCGATTCTTCTTAACATATCCCCTTTACGTTTCCATCCTAAAATTCGGGAAGATGTGGATTTTGAACTAGAACTTGATTTGGATGAACCGGCAGATAATGCTCCACGTGAAGACCTCTTCACGACATTCCCAATATGATTATCAACTGTAGATTTAGATCTTTTTCTCCAAACAAATACATTCTCGACTGTCAGTTTATTATTATTAGTTCTGCCCCGGTTTTGTAATTGTTGACGTTTATATGAAGATAATTTTGGACTACGAAGGGATGAAGCATTAGAATCATCATCTGAATCGGAATCATCATCAGAATCAGAATCACCCGAATGCATTTTCAAAATGGCATCTTCAATAGAATTAACCTCTGCTTCAATAGTATCAATCATGGGGGCAAAAGAATCGGTAATGTCATCAATCAATGCATAACACATCCAATCAGCACTTACAGTCAAGTATTCTTTCAACATTCTTGCTCTTCTTCTAACATTAATAGGATGAGGAGTAACGGAGAAATGAAATGTAATAACCGCATCTTTGAATACAATCATATACATATTCAATGGTGCTAATTCACCTTCTCTAACTTTCTTATGACGTGATTTATGAGATGAACTGCCAGGTTTCTCGATAAATGAATGTGTGGTGGCTCTCTTTTCCAATTTATTTCCAGTAAACTTTGACTTTATATAACTCCATATACGTGATCTTCTTTCCGTGGTTCCATAGATACTATCATCATCAACTGCATTCTCATACATTTCTTGTAATTTAGTCAATTTCTTTTCTTGTTCCTTTGCTCTTTGTTTTCTTCTTTCATAAACCACATCAAATGATGTAAAACATATGAAATAATATGATTTGAATAATTCCACTTTTTCTCTTGCTTCTCCTAAAAAGATATCTTCGGTAGTCAAAGGATGAATCCCAAATGTTTTAGAAAGGACTTTCATTTCTTCCTCGGTAGGGTCCAATACATCTAACCAAAACGGTTCCGCCTTGGGTGTAGATGCAGTCATACCGGAAATATCATTACTGGAACCCATGGCAGTTCCTGGTCTTGGAGTTTGAGTACCCTTGGACAGAAGCTTTTGATCCCCGGCATAAATATTAAGATTTGATGAACTAACTGGTATGGGAGTTAAGGGGATATTTGTTGGGCCGATAAATTCTTGTTGGGGGATATTAACTGAAGATGGCATACTAGAAAGTTTTCCTGAATAATGAATGGGTTGGAAAAGGTCTTGAAGTTTCTCATAAATCGTTTTTTCGTCATCATCTTCCTCTTCGTCCTCTTCATCCTCCATTTCGGATGAAATGTCTAACTTAGATAAGATCAATCCACTTATAGAAGGAGAATGTACTGTTTTATCCAAATCACTCCTGAAATAAGTATATCGACATAACTCTCCGTCAACTCTGCCTGTTTTCAGATTAAATTTAGGATGTATGTTCATTTGCAGAGATTTTTTCAAGATTCTTGGTAATTTCTCTTTTTTCATCTCCCATGGTTGAATAGGTGTGGGTCTTACTCTAACTGAATGATTCAACAGACTTAATGATTCTACTTCGTTTGTTTGGACATTATCAATTAAAGGACTTGTTTCAGTTACGTCATCCCGAGCTTTGCCCATATCTTCACTATCATGACGAATGACATCCCGTTGAAAGTTGACTGATTGATTGAGTCCTTTAAGTTCGCCTTCGGCTTCTGCTTCTTCGATTTCTTCTTTAATAAATTCTTCTAAAACATTCAAGTCTGGCCATTGATAACTTGTCTTTTCATGATCACCAGGACCACGAATTTCATCATAATAATTTGGAAAACAAACATCATCTAATGAAGTGGAATCACTAGAATGTTCAGAAGAAGGGTTTGATTTCCCAAATTCCAAAGAATTATCTGAATATGCATCGTCATTATTTTCATCATATTGGTCGTCATTATTGCTGCTATCATAATAACGTGCTTCTCGATTTTCGTCAATATTTTGCATGGCGGGAAATGGATTTGCCCAAGTATTTGGATGAGTCAATTCTCTTTGTTCTCTTGCATATTTGTCCATGTCAATTGCAATTGCTGTAGGCGATATTGGTGAATCATTTTGAGAATATTCTTTTCTTAAAGGAGAATTTGTAATTAGGTTTTCTAAATTTTTGTTTGTTAATGGTAAATTTGAACGTGGTGGTTGCTCTGTAAATCTTCTAGATAATTTTGGATTGCTATCAGCACTAGCTGCTTTGGGTGATTTTCCAGAATAATTCTGAGTGGCTCTTCGTCTATATCTTGCAGGAGATGAATGAATTTGGGCTAAGTCGTTTTGTTTTCTATGATCAATGTATGCACCAGGATTTACAAATGAATCAGATAAGGCAGCATTACTGTTATTTGCACTAGTATTTGCACTTTCAATATTTGGGATCTTGCCGATTGTATCATGTTGATTACTTTGTCTGTGTTTTATATTGGAATTATTGTCATCAATGTTTGTAGATCTTGGAGATGGACTATCTCGTGATCTGGAATCAATGGGAGAGCAACTTGCAACCGCTATTGTTGGCTTATATTTTGATTTCCCCATTGTTTGTTATTGATTAATATTATAAGTTGATTATTTGAATATTCTAATTAAACTAATTGAATCATATATAGAAACAGCAATCAATCAATATAAATATAACTATATCCTCTAATGATAAATCATAAAGAAAAAGTGAAATTAATAAAATGGGAGAGAAATGTAAAAATTGACAACCAAAAAAAAAATTGAACACTCACAAAGCAAAGAATGACAAAATTAAAAAAGAGACCAACAAAAAAACCACCCCACGTGATACTTATCCCAATTAAGATAATCCTATGAACACAAATTACATACTATAATATAAAATTATTCAATGTTACTAGCTATTAGCCTATCCTTCTTTAGCAAACTTATTGGTATTATATTTATTCATCAGCATCACTTTCTTCCTCTTCTTGTTCTTCTTGCTTTTCCAATACATCAGTTGCGGTTGTTGGAGGTGCGGCTGGCGCCTTACGAGCAGTTTGTTGTTGTTTTGGAGGTTGACTAATATCCACATCTTCAAACTCTTCATCATCACTATCTTCAACTTTTTTCTTTTCTATTTTAGCCTTTTTAGTTACAGGTGCTGGAACACTTGGTCTTACATCTTTAGGTAAATGACCATTTAAAAGATCTAATGCATTTTGAATCTTATTTGTAGAATCTAGTAATTTAAACCATGTATCTTCGGTTAAAGAGATTCCCTTTTTACCTGGTTTCTTCTCTCCATCTTTATCAACATAAAATTCTCTAATGTCAATAAGATTAATATTATTGAATTTACGAATAGTCACTTGCTTTTTCTTATCCAATTCAATTACAACATCGTCACTACTACTGGAAGAACTGCTAGGAGCTGGATTATTATATGACCCTCTATTGGAATATGATCTCTTATATGCCATTGAAAATATATATAATTGGTTTTATTAAAACACCAAGCAAAATGAATGAACGATGCCTTCCCGCAAATCAACGCGTTTGAAGAAATTTCTAAATAAAACGACATCACGACATCGATGTCGTAAAACCCTTCCTTAAATTTTCAAAGTTGTTAAATTCACCAACGTAATTGAGATTTGGCTAGATGGAGGTGAATAAATAAGAGACGGATGAGTAGCGGTAGGGTTCTTAAATCCAAGGAACAACATGGGGTCATTAACTTCAGTTTTTTACAATTCGTGGGAGGGTATATATTTTCCGTATAAATAAAACTTCTAAATTTAGCAGAAATTGAAATAGTTTCAACCAAAGGCGTACATTTTCAAGAAATGAATGACCAATTGATGATTAATTATATTAATATAGCAAATCATTTCATTGCAAATAGCCTTATCACTACTGAAACCGTTCTAGCTAAAGCTTTTATTTCACCGAAATTCTCCACGGAAAAAATTCCGGGGTACATCTACATCGTGGGAGTACTTCCTAATTCGGAAAGAATATCGGAGATTCATAAAATTTTTCAGATGAGTAATTAGAGCGACCCCGTAAACCCGCCTGAGACAGCTTCTTATAAAATGATTCTAAATGATCCAGAAAATGAAACCCCAGAAATGAGACACCAGCATCACATTCCTCCATGTCCACTGTCAATCCATTCAAATCTGCAGCTAGAAATGAAACTATAGAAACAACTAGAGAAGAATTCGAGATCGTTGAAACTCCGAAACCGTTTGGATTTAGGAACCCTCCAAAGAACATTTTTCGATTATTTACGGGCTTAATTTGGGCTTTTGGATTAGGTCTTTCTGATGGTTCAGTTGGGGTATTGTTGAACTACATCCAGAAACAGTATAATATTACTTATAGTGTGGCATCCACCCTCTGGTTAAGTAATGCACTTGGATATATCATAGTTGCCATTTTTTCAGATCAGATGAACCGAAGATGGGGAAGAAAATCCATCTTTTTTGGAAATATTTCATCGATAATTATGTATTCTTTAGTTCTGACTGGTCTGAAATATCCGGTGATTGTTCTTGGGTTTTTCTTTGGGGGTCTTGGTGGTAGTGCTTGTGTTTCTCAATATAATGTTTTTATGGGAAGATTAGAGAAATCATCTACAGCTTTGGGTTATTTACATGGTTCTTACGGACTAGGAGCATCTGTTGCACCCTTGATTGCAACCGCTTTTGTGGAAGCAGGTCTCAAATGGAACTACTATTATTTGGTAGTATTGGGGATATTTTTCTTGAGTTCATTCAATTCTTACTTTTCATTTGTTCATGATCAAAATGATTTAAAAGCTTGGGATGAAGTACCTATCGGCGAAGAATCGGAGAATAAAGGATTGATGCGGGAATCCTTAAAGAATGTTACCACTTGGGTTGCTGCTTTATTTGTATTCTTTTATCAAGGAGCTGAAGTTGCATTTGGTGGATGGATTACGACCTACCTTAGAGACTATAGAAATCATAATAATACTTCTATTGGTTATGTTGCCTCTGGGTATTGGTTTGGATTAACGTTTGGTAGATTGGTGTTGACTAGATTGATTCATAAAGTTATAGGAGCAAGAAGAGGAAATTCAATCTTGATTGTTTGTTCAATTGTATTTGCCATGTTAACTTGGATTATTTCCAGTTTACCAATAGAAATTGTCACAATAACCTTCGCAGGTATAACGATTGGACCAATTTATCCATTAATGATAACTTATGTTGTTCTGGAGGGCCTATTACCTAGAAAGATTGCAGTTATTTCGTTAACTGTGATGACCGCATTTGGTTCAAGTGGAGGAGCAATATTACCATTTGTGGTTGGGCTCATCTCACAATTTCGTGGGACATACGTTGTTTTACCTCTGTTCATAGCGATGTTTATATTTACATTAGTTCTCTGGTTGATGTTGCCAAATAGCAGATATTCAAAGGGATCAGGAAAGGGAGATATTTTCAGAAGAATCTGGTAAGAGTATTGATTTATAGATAATAACAAGTATTTAGTTTATTAAGTAATTATTAGTAATGTATGCAAATATAGTAGAACAAAAAACGTAAACAAATCAGCTTTCTCTTTTTTGGGACCAAGCGAAGCGACAAGCAATTGATCCATACCAATCAGAGGAAAACAAGACTTATAATTATCGCAAGACGGAAAACACACCCAAACTAGTTACTCGTAATCAAATTATTTAAACTTTGGGGTTGTGTTTTCAAAGGGCGGTATGCCATCTGATAACTTTAGTTTCCAAGAGAAAGCTAAATTATTTTTCAAAATTTTTTTCGCTAAACAAATATTTTTTAATTAGAAACAATTCCGATCGGGATTTCTTTCAGATTTTTTATACAATTCAAAAGCCCCTTGGCTTACGAACTCTTTGAAAAATTGGGCAATTGATAAATTCCCACATCTATTATGACCGGATATAATGGGACTTAGGATCAACCATATTTGGTCTTGTCACCAAGTAATACTTTTGTTTGTGTATTATTCCAAGACTATAATATGCTAACCAACAAGATTCTTTGAAACCGATTGGTGGAAATATCGTTACTAACCAAGAAAATAATATTTTTTGTTTTTTCTGTCCAAGCATTTCTTTTGTTTAAAATATTTTTTTACACATTATCAATAAAATCTAAAATTTTTATCTATTTCATCATTCTAGAATTTTTTTTTTTTTTTTTTTGGGATCACAAGGGGGAAACGCTAACTTTAAACCCCTAAGTTTCAATTTCTATATATTTAGGCGAAACAACTTCTTCTTCTTCTTCTTCTTCTTAGATTGAACCATCATCACCCAACTCAAAATGAACTACATTACAGTTTTATTAGGATTATTTATTTCATCTTTCGTCTTTGCTGAAGACTACGCTACTTATCCTCAGGTTCCCAAGACTGCAAGTATTAATGGGTTTGCTGATCCAATTGTTGATTTATTACCACTGTGTGCCCAAGACTGTGTGAAATTTGATACTGGTAACACCCCCTGTCCTTATTGGGATACAGGATGTTTCTGTGTTATGCCACAATGGGCAGGATTGATGGGTCAATGTGTTGCTCAAAACTGTGAAGGTAATGATGTTGAAGTTGCAAGGTATTTGGCTACCTCCTTGTGTAATATCGTAGGTGCAAATACATGGATGATGCCTGCATCAATTTCTGACGCTCTTTCATCTGCTGCTGGAACAGCCGAACCTTTAACTACATTGGATGCAGAGATTGTTTGGGTCATTTCAAGTACTACAAGCGTGCAAGAAACTGGTAGTGCTCTGTCTACTAGTAATCTGTCCGAAGATTCTACAAGTACTGGAAATTTAGCTGCTTTACAAACTGGTAGTATCACCTCACTTATCTTGGGATTCGTTTTATCCCTTTTGACTTATTAATTTTTTTTAATGTGTACATGTTACATATTTTCTTCTTCAGTTTTTTAGATTTACATACAATATGGAAATAAACTTTTTTTATGCCGCGTAGAAACAAAAACAATCACAAAGCTTAAAGAGAATTTCTTAGAACAATAAAAGAATCGTTTAGGATTGGAAAATTTTTTTTATCAGATGGTGTTCGCCAAGAATTAATCATTTCATGTTTTCTTTTTCTTCTCTTGCTTTCCGAGGACGGAAGTTGAGTTTGATCCAGGTTACTTTTGAAAAATATATTAAGAGATAAGAACCTAATTTATACATAGTCAATTATAAATAATTTAAACCAACCAATGTTTATAAATTATTTCGTGGTACTCTTGAAAAAGATCAGTTCATTAAGGGTCATAATTGAATGTTGCAAGGAAAAAAAAATAATCAACGTTACATTAAAAAATATTTTATTTTTTTTATCCCTTGGGCTAAAAATAAAAAAAAAAAATAATTACAAAATAAACTTTTCTCAATCAAATCGATACTTGTTTCTACCCAATTAGGATTGAAATCTTCGAAACTAGAATTCTTCTCGTTAATTTGAATATCATCAACCCACATGGCCGTAGATTATATAAATTCACATCAATTCCCTTTCTCTGTCTTGTAAAATTTGTTTTCTATTCTTTTTTTCTCATCACAAAACAACAACACTCGCTTTCTACAACAATGAAATCTACTCAATTTTTAAGTACCTTTTTATTATCTGCTGGTTTCGCCCTTGCTGCTGATGAAGAAGAAGAAAACCCATATGCTACCTACCCATCCGTTGCCAGAACCGCAACCATCAATGGTTTTGCTGACCCAGTTTATGATAGTCTTCCATCTTGTGCTCAACCATGTGTTGACCAAAACACTGGTTTAACTCCATGTCCATACTGGGATACTGGATGTTTATGTATCATGCCCCAATTTGCTAACTTAATTGGTAACTGTATCGCTGAAAGCTGTAAGGGTAATGACGTTGCCGTCGCCACAGAAGCTGCCACTGCCGTTTGTGCAGCCGCTGGTGTTTGGGACCCATACTGGTTCGTTGGTGACTCTGTTAAAGAAGCTTTGGCCGCAGCTGCAGCTGTTGAAGCTGAGACAACTGTTGAAGCTCCTTCCACCACAACTGAGCCACAAGCATCTACACCAGAAGAAACCGCTGCCCCAGAATCTACCGCCGACGCACCAGAACCATCTCCTGAAGCACCAGAACCATCTCCTGAAGCACCAGAACCATCTCCTGAAGCACCAGAACAACCTACAGAATCTTCTGCCGAAGAGCCACAACCAACTGTTCCATCTTCAGCCGAAGAATCACAAGCTTCTACTGCAGCTGAAGAAGAACCAGAAGCCTCTGAGGAACCAGCTTCTGTTTCAATTGCCCCACCTTTAAATGAAACAGAAATCTCCTCCTTACTTAATGGTGCTAACCACCATGCTGGTGGTTTTGTTGCCGCTGTCGCTGGTCTTGCTGGTGTCGTCGCCGCCTTAATCTAAGTAGAGTTCCCTAAATAGCTTTTTATATATATATTACCTCATTTCGAAAATGTTTTCTTAATTAATTAATATCGTTCTTTTATGTTTTGAAAAAAAAATTGTGTTGGATGGATCAGTCTTACTCCTGATAAATCGGCGTATACCAAATTGATTATTATTCATATTACAGCCATGAGACCTTTATACATCCGGATTCTCGGAAGTGAATCCGGTTGTTTGTGTAGTTTGTAAAGTTGTATGATTTCTATAATAGGTCTAGCGTAGTTAGCAGTAGTAGATCGCTTCCACTATTATACTTTGAGAGTTTACTAACTGATTTATATTTGTCTTTTAAACCTTTTTATCTCTTCACTACTACAATAAATATGTTGGGATTTGAATCACCAAAGCAATAATAAGTAAACGATAAAGCAGATAACGAAATGTCCAAGGCTGTCTCCCTTGTGATGCTGCTATCTTCTGCTAATACCTCCAGAGTTACCAAATCAGCAGTATTCAGTACTGCGACCGGGATATATTGTTGTTGGATGGAGCAGTATTAGTACAACAAGACCAAGAACAACCAGTTTTATAGCCGTTACAGCCACCAAATTATTAACCACTTAACCCTTGTTCATTTTCTGCAATGCGGGCTGTGTGCATTCGACTTGTGGAGCCCAATTTTTCTAGCATTAAAGAGAAGGATATCTGTTTGAATGATATTCATCACAACGAAATTAGTCATGGAAATCTCTTTAAGAAATATTCATTTGTGTCTCCTATGGGTCGAATTTAATTCAATGTGAAGGTTTGTACAGAGTGCAGCATAAGTTAATAGGGCAAATCAAACGGACATTTTACTTACAACAAAGCTACGCATGGCCATTAGAATATTTATAATGCAAGATCGTTCAGAATGTCGGTTTTCTAAAAGATATGGAACATATCTGAAACCCGACTAGTAGAATAGGATTAGTAAACGAGACCAACTATGGCGATCAGCCTATGGAGCCATTTTTCTATGACTTCTTTTCATTCTTATGGGGTTTTCCATGATATCCAGGAAACTCCCTTCCAAGATGGCAAAGACGCTGTCAGCCTATAATAAAATCTACTCCTCCCGCGGCAAAAATACCCGGGATAACCTAATGGGAATTAGCCGAAATATTTTCCATTCATAGGGTTTCAAATCTATTGTATGATTGATGAAATGAATTATGGGTTGTGGTCAAAAGACATTCGCAATGATTTCTTTTCCATATGGAATTCTAACAAGAAGAATAGAGAAACAAAGCAGAGGATTAAGGGAGGCAATGATTTAACATTTCATATTATTTAGAAGAACTTACAAGATGAAATCATCTTCTGAGGTATACCTCTCCACGAACACATGTTTGCCGCGATTAATACTTATAGATTAATTGGTATTGTTACGCTAGGTATTAATTGGAGATGTCTAAATAGCATGTCAGTTTCACACTTCCAAATATGTACAACGATGCGTAACTGACTTAAAAAGAATCGGAAAGAAGTAAGTTTTACAACAAACAGGTGAGATCGTCGTTCGGATAGGATGGCCTTGTAAATACGAAAACCACGATTTATTCAAGTCTTTAAAAAGGCAATTAGATAATTAATCAGAATTTCAGAAAATACCTATCGAAGCCTGACAAATTATGACAAAGTAATGCAACGAGTTTGTTGTATTCCCCACAAAATCAGCCTCGTTAATATAATATAGCTTGCACATAGTACATACAAGAGCACAACAGATGAAGTATATATTTAGAAGCTCATGTGAATTCATCGAATGCGCTGAAACAAGTGAAACAAATACCATGAATCGAAAATTCAACTCCCTTCAGTAGATTCGAGAATATATGATTCACCAAAAACGGGTTCCAGTGCCCCCCCCCCCTTCAGGTCAATGATACTTTTGCTCTTAAATACATAATATTGAACCCATTTTCTTTGAGGGCCCTAATGTAACTCATTTATATTTAATTATGCAGTTTTTGTTGGCATCATAGCAAGGATATCTTCGTGATAAAATAATATCGATATTTTTGATCCTATAATTCAATCACATCGCAATTCTCATTTCTGGATGCGATGATATTTACAAATGTGCGATAAACCACTGATTTATGCATTGGTAGGGCACCGTTGAGACATTGATCAATTAGATTACGGCTAGGGATAACTATGATAAATGAAGAATACTTGCTGGTTCTTTTCAAACTTCAGCCATTTAAAACAATAACTGGAGTACAAGTTAGTTCTATACGACATGAGCTTGGATTGAAATTTGAGAACAACTGCATAGTTAAGTTGGTGGAGTTTATGGTAATCATCCTCATGAACCATTTCAGTAGTTGGGGTTCCTATTTGTAAATCTTTAACGTGAAATACATTACCTCACCCAACTTTCAATAATTAGATCAATTGATTCAGATGATATGATGTTGGAATCATCTCAAAGTTAGATATATCGCATCCATCATAACCTTGATAAATTACATGGGGATCAGATGTTACTATTCTCCAGCCTGGATCGAGCATGGGGGTTGTAACAAGTTTATTGGTAGTCATAAACTTTGGAATGGTTTTATCAATTAAAATGGAATTTGGAGCCAGACCGCTCATCTGATAAATCTTATTTCAAACTGGTTGCTAGTACGTCCTGAATATCATTGGTGTTGAATCTGATTTTGAACGATGGTTATCAATGATGTATCATTATTTTCTTTATAGATAAAGACATTGGTGGAACGAAGCAATGAAGAAAGAGGAAAATTCGTATGAAGAATAAAATTTTCTGTTGTGACTCCACTCAAGAAATTTAAGGGGTTAGTCGAGTTTATGAATGTCGATTTAGATTTTCTATTGCATTTATTCGCGACCCTACGCTTCTATAGGAAATAAGAGATAATTGCTATTCTGATTCCTCGCAAAGCATTCCTGAGAGGTTCGAATTCAATTAAATTGCCTATATAAAGGTCAACATACCAATACAAATGAAATGTTCAAGGAGAGTTCCAAACGTAATAATCTCAGCCAGATGAAATGGCCATGGAATTTAAAAATGATTTGTGTGTGAATATGACAGAATTCACAAACATGATTTCCGTTATGAATAATCGCCCAAATGCAACCTACGGAAAGAGTCTGCTAAATCTGGTTGTATCTCTTAACATTGAAAATATGGTCAAAAAAGAGAAGCCAGTTCATTCATGGTCTGCCATGTCATATCAACATCAACCACGCCACTTTGCGAAATCAGGATTGATAGTTTTCATCAAAATGTCTCAGGAGATGGAGGAACCAGACTCAATATTTTTATAAAAATATAAAAGGTTAGGCCGTATTTTTAATTCCATAACCATTGAGAGCTCGACGTCAAATAGACTTCCCAAAAAATGGAATTGCCTGTTTCTAGATTAGAAGATAAAGATCAAGAAAATACTACTAAACCACTTCAATATCTATGAAAATACACATTAAAACAATAGTAACATAGAGCTCTTTTCCAGAAAAATTCATCTAATTTTTATTCTCTCATTATAAATTCCAACAATTAATTTTATGAATACGAGCACTCACAGTCTCCAACAAGACTAGAACAATGCTCGTGCTCCTAACACTTAATTAATCTCATTCATAATAATAATCTCAGAACTTAATTTCTTCATATAAGAAGTATTGCATTAACACATTTCTCAACAACCACTAACTGACATTCAGATTATTTGAAACATCTATGCACTTAATATGTGCGATACATAGATAGAGAACATAGTACCTTACAAGGACTCCAATGATAGTAGAATTTCGGCGACAGAACATACTGATAGATTCGTTATCCCAGATCTGAGACCGCGTCAAATCGTCGGCAACTAAAGCAGTTCCACGGGAGAACTCAGTCCGCCCCAATGGGCTCGGCCTGGGCACCGAATAGATTAGCATAGAACACCAAATCAGCCAAGAAAAATGTTCCTTATCCCAGGGTACAAGAACCTACAGCAAACTTGGAGGAATAAGTATTGTGTACATAACCGTTCCTTATAAATCTCGTCATGCACAACTCCTTAAATATCAAAATAGAAAAGTGATGACGAACATTTGAAACACTTACATTCGTTCGACTTTTAAATGTGGTGTGCCCTGAAAATTGTGACCCCAACCGTGTGCAAGTTCCATTAATGACAGCAAATTATTCGAAGAAAATATATCCCACGATATCCAGTTGTTGTTTATAACATGCTAAGTCATTAGATTTAATTTGTTGCCATTGTTCAGTGTACCCTTGGAAACAGAAACATTTGGGAAACTTCTTATTATTCTCCAGTCACGCGTTTTCTTTTTGGAAACGATCTCAGTTTGCATCAGCATTTCTTATTAAAAATAGCTCTAGAGTTATGAAACATTACCTGAACCCGGAGTTTTATTTTAATTGTATTCGAGATACGCGGGTGCCCTCTCCCCCAGAAATGAAATAGGTTTCCTAACCTTGCTAACGGGATATGCTGAATAATTGGACGATGATCGAAAAAAACTTATCTCTAAAGAGCTCCATCTTAAATTTGGCTAGCCAATCAGAGTAGCTATAGAAGAATCATTACAAAAGGATTTGATTAGGGTCATTATGCTACGATATCATACTCTGAGTCGCCAACCGATAAATGCCTACGGGTACATTCAGAAATATCATTCAGAGGCTCAGAACCCAGTGTGATCTGATCACAAATACCCAGTATACAAACATTTGCCAAGATGTCATACACATAAATTACGCTTAGTTCTCGGGAAATGACTATTTGGCTACTAAGAGGTTATGTGCCCGTTAGAGAAAGGCGCTTGTTGAAGAGCCTGAATCAAGCCCTGGTTCCACAATATTATTAAAAATTATACACAAGTGGAAAGCAGCAGCTACCAGGAAAGGGCTCTACGCGTTCGTCTTCATTGCGTGCAGATTGGCTCAACCTATGACATTGTTTCATTCTTACTATCTCCGTCACCCCTTAACCGCTTTAAATTTTATAATAAATACAGCATCAAGCTCTTTGGTTTTGTATTCAAATGCTTATTTCCATTTTATAGAAGAATTCTTTACATCAATAATCAAAGCAATTTATAATTAAAAGATAAGAAAATAATGTTATCGTTATTTCAAAGTGAGATGAAAATGTTATTGTTTTGTCTCCTAGCTCTATTGAGCTCTTGCTTAGCAGACATTGATATTTATGGAGAAAATTATGACTATGGAGCAAAAGATCAATATGAAACATACATAATTCATGAACAATCATTTTACAGTCTTCAGATTGATGCTCCCGCGGATTCACTTGGTTCACTCGCAGCTGTAAGCTTAATAAATGATGGTTCTTACTATATTACCATTAGATCTAGTAGCTCTAATGCAGGTGTTTATTTCGGTAGTTTTGAAACTGAATTGGATGCTGATACGATCGGAGAATTCGAAAACTCCGGACTTGTTGTTCTTAGTTCACTTAAATCGTCCACATCGGCTATATTTTCCATTACTGTCAATGGCTTTACTAATTCAGGTTATTTGTACTTGGGTGCTGACGGTGCTGAAGGAGATGCAGATGTTGTTATAAGAGCTGCTTCATGGGAAAACACTGGATTGATTCAATTTACCCAAAATCATCGTGGGAACGGAGAAATTTTGCTAAACGACGCACTTACATCGATAACACAAGATGGTACTATTTGTATTCAAAATCACCAGTATGTGCAGAGTACCGAGTTCTACGGTGAAGGATGTATTATTCTTGAGGGAGACACTATGTTAACCTTAAATCCGAATTATGATTGGAGCCAGACAATTATTATGAATGGACCAAATACTAGAATACACATTGACACGGATGCTTTAGTTTCAGGACACACTTATAAGGTTATTGGTTTTGGGAGCATGAACCTGATTTCCGTGCTGGCGGAAGTAGATTCTGATATTTCTTATCTGGCTGATACTGGACTTATTACAATGGATGTAGAAGGAGTAGTTATTTATTTCGACGTTGGTTTTGGGTACGGCCAATTGAATTCTGGAGCTGCTGATGGTGGCACTAGTTTTCTTGTTAGGTATAAGGGAGTGGTTCCTGCAGATTCAAACCAAGCGCCTACCACCTGTATCTCATGTCAGCCATTCCCAACAGACCCTGGTGCTACTCCAAGATATACCACAACCACAGTAACTGGGCCAGAAACTACCGAAACCCTCGAATTATTGTATACAACAGATGAAGATGGCTATTGGACAACGACTACCAGCACACTTGTTGACCACTACGACACCACGTACATAACCGATGGTCAAGAAATAAATGCCTTAGTCAGCCTTACAACAGATGAAGCTGGTGATACTTCGTGGGTTACTTCAACATATCCCTATCATCACACATATTATACTACTTATATATCTGACGACGTTTCCTACTCAGCCGAAGTGATCGTTTCAACCGACCCGGAAGGTAACTTTTATACTACCAGTAGCAACATCCCAAATCCAACCTCATATCTGACTACTTTTGTGGAAGACGATACAACTTACAGTGGCTACGTCATCGTCAGTAAAGATGTTGAAGGTGATTGGTACACTTCAACATCAACGGAACCAAATCTTGCTTCATATACAACTACATACACCGACGAAGAAGGTACAAGGACTGGTATTGTTTGGGTAACTACTGATGACAATGACGACTGGTACACCAGTACACTGGACTTCGTGGAAACATCATACACTACAACATACACGGACGAAGATGGTACAAAGACTGGTATTGTTTGGGTTACTACTAATGACAATGAGGACTGGTACACCAGCACCCTGGACTTCGTGGAAACTTCATACACTACTACATATACTGATGAAGAAGGTAAAAAGACTGCTATTGTTTGGGTAACTACCGACGATAATGAGGAATGGTACACTAGTACTCTGGATATCTTCGAATTTACCTCGTATACTACTACGTATGTCAATGATGAAGAGAAAACCAGGACTGGTGTTGTTATTGTTAGCACAGATGAGAATGAGGAATGGTACACTAGTACTCTGGATATCTTCGAATTTACCTCGTATACTACTACCTATGTCAATGGTGACGAACTTACCAGGACTGGTGTTGTTATTGTTAGCACAGATGCGAATGAGGAATCGTACACTAGTACTCTGGATATCTTCGACTTTACCTCGTATACTACTACGTATGTCAATGATGAAGAGGAAACCAGGACCGGTGTTGTTGTTGTTAGCACAGATGAGAATGAGGAAGGGTGCACTAGTACTCTGGATATCTTCGACTTTACCGCATATACTACCACCTATGTCAATGGTGACGAACTTACCAGGACTGGTGTTGTTATTGTTAGCACAGATGCGAATGAGGAATCGTACACTAGTACTCTGGATATCTTCGACTTTACCTCGTATACTACTACGTATGTCAATGATGAAGAGGAAACCAGGACCGGTGTTGTTGTTGTTAGCACAGATGAGAATGAGGAAGGGTGCACTAGTACTCTGGATATCTTCGACTTTACCGCATATACTACCACCTATGTCAATGGTGACGAACTTACCAGGACTGGTGTTGTTATTGTTAGCACAGATGCGAATGAGGAATCGTACACTAGTACTCTGGATATCTTCGACTTTACCTCGTATACTACTACCTATGTGAATGATGAAGAGGAAACCAGAACAGGTCTTGTTATAATATCAAATGAGGATGCTACTTTGTACACAACCTCAAGCGATATTGAAGGTGAGCCTTATTCATACACTACTACATATGTTAATGATGAAGGGCTTAGTAGGACTGGTGTTGTTATTGTTACTACAGCTGAGAATGCGAGCTGGTACACTACTACTTTGGAAATCTTAGGAGTTACCGTATCTACATCTAGCTTCGTTGATGATGGAGATGAGACCATAGATAGTGGTGTTGTTAGTTCAAATGATGGTGTGAATTTTTACACTTCCACACCTGACATTGAAAGTGAGTCTTATTCATACACCACCGCATATGTTAATGATGAAGAACTGACAAGAATTGGCGGTGTTATTGTTAGTACAGATGAGAATGATGAATGGCACATAACTACTCTGAACATCTTCGAATTTACCTCGTATACTACTACCTATGTCAATGAAGACGAAGAAACCAGAACCGGCGTTGTTATTATTAGCAGAGGGGAGAATAAAAGCTGGTACACTACTACTCTGAACATCGTGGGATTTGCTTCATATACGACTACTCATGTGAATGAAGAAGGACATACTAAAACTGTTGTTGTTATTGTTAGCACAAATGAGAATGAAAGCCGGTATACCACTACTCTGGACATCATGGGATTTAACTCATGGACTACTACCTATGTGAATGATGAAGGACTTACCAAAACTGGTGTTGTTATTGTTTCTACCGTCGAGGGAGCTAATATGTACTCGACTACAAGTGATATTGAAGGTGATGCTTATTCATATACCACTATGTATGTTAATGATGAGGGGATTACTAAGACTGGTGTTGTTATTGTTTGTACCGATGGGAATGAAAGCTGTTATACTACAACTCTGCAGATCTTGGTATTAGTGCCATACACTACAACCTACATCAATGATGAAGGAAAGACTAGGACTGGTTTTGTTGTAGTTTCTACGGATGATGGTGCTCATGTGTACACTACTACAAGAGATATTGCATATAATCCATTCTCGTACACAACTACTTATGTTAACGAAGATGGTGAGACAAGGATTGGTATCGTTAATGTTAACACAGATGATAATGAGATTTGGGATACTACTACTCTGGACATCTTGGGATTTACCTCGTATACTAAAACCTACATCAGTGACCAGGGAGAAACATGGAGTGATATGGTTAGTATTGGTACTGACGAAGGAGCTAGTTTTTACACAAGCAGAAGAGAGATTGAACATAATTCTGATTTATTCACAACTACTTATGTTAACGAACATGGTCAGACAAGGAATGGCGTGGTTATCGTGAGTACAGATGTTAATGAGAGATTGTATACTACTACTCTAGACGTTGGGGCCCATATTACTTCCTATGGTGATGACCGTATTCCAGAGGTAAATGAAATGCTAGATACTGGTACCTATCACAAACCTGTGTTTGGCTTTGTTGTTCTATGTCTCATTTTAGCGATCTTATCGTAGACTTGGTTTTATGTAGTATATTTGTCTGTATGTAGATATGTAGAGAGATTATTTTAAATCGTTTCTCGTTATACTTGTAGCTGTCTTCTAATGAGAAGTAGAGTTTTTTAAAATGTTTTTAGATTTGCTTAGTGACCAGCATCGCTTAAAGCATGGATACTTCAGGGTTCTTACTGTTCTCTTAAGAATGAGGATAATCCTCGTTATTATTCATTTATTTTTTAGTTTCTGTTATCTGTTCTTTAGAGAATGAGAAATCACGTTATAAGCTATGTACACGAATCCAATATAGTTACAAGTTAATTAAATAAAAAGAAGACAAGAAAGATATATAAAAATATTTCAACATCTGAGCAGATGCATCTCCTTTTATAGTTCTCCGAGTAAGCACAATTGTACAACTGCAGTTGTCTCAATCTGGGGGTCACAAGCATAATATTTGTGAAATATTTTAACTTTAGTGTTTTATACATATTATTCTTGAATATTTTATATGTCGGAATTTACTAAGATTCCAACACTCCCGCGATCTAAGATGTTGATTCTGATTGCTTGGATCCTCATGGGATTCATGAGTAAATTCAACTTACATACAAGATTGATCGATATTTCTTCATTGAATAATTTAGATCTTAAGTATTCGAATGTATTCCTCGAAAGTGCTTTGGTAAAAATATCAGCTGTGTTCGTTTCATATATTATCCATTTAATTTACAAGATCCATCGTCTGACTCTTTCACGGATGTATTTGAGACTAGTGTCAATAACAGAACGTCCATGCCCAATACCAATATGATTGCAATGTAGAACAACGATTGTATGGTCCTCATAGATCACTGGAGTAGAAACTCTGAAATTAAGATTCGTCAATGTAGCATCTTGCCTTATTCAATACATCTCTAAAATTATTGAGATAGAAGGAAACTTTCAACGCTTTCTTAATCGACCCTAAGTCTGTCTTATCTTTCAGTGGCTGCTTAACCACAAAACTTAGTGTAAGCCACAAAACTTTAACTTTGGCAACCAAAATACCTGCTTTCTATCATTCATCCGTAAACTCTTGAATTGTCTTCTTCTCTGGTGGTGTTGCACAATATGCAGCTCATAAAGCTGTAATTGCATTTGTAGTTCCTATCTGATGTTTGAAAGCACCCTCTTGTTGTGGTCTTGGAGTGGTTGAAAAAAAATTCAGAAAATTCAGAAACAACTCTTTCTCAATATTCTTTCTCCTTTCTTGTACGTTTGGTCTTTCAACTTCATATATTTTAAAAATAAATGGTCTCCATATTGAATTCAAAATTTCATTTAAAGACTGGAACTAATGTAATGGAATTCACAGTTAATTTTGGGTATTGATTTGGTATTCAATTCAAATTAATTGAAGGGAATTGAATTGGATTATGTGGATAGTTGTCTATATAAAGCTGGTTCGATCACTGAGCTCATTCCTTAAAACAACTGAAATGGTAGTTAGTTCTGCATCTACAGGTTTTGAAATATTAAGTGGCTTCCTGCTCTGTTGACGGCAAGAACAGTAGAATTATATTATTCAAGTATTGATAGATTGTTTGTAGGAATTAGTGATTAAATGATGATCTACAAATGAATTATTAAATTATAATTTCAATTTCATTTTTTCAACACTTCTCATCTTTCCAAAATATTTTTTTTTTAATTCCACTTCCAATTCATTTCTTGTTAGAACACCAATTTCGGCAACAACAATCAGTTTCCTCTACAAGAATCATTTATCATCCCAACTTGAATCATTGAGATAATTCGAAATTACCACCAGATGAATTTATTATAGATGGATTGGTTAGTTAGTTGATTAATTTCAATAAGTTTGGCAATCTTTAATTTCAAACGCAGATAAATCAAGTTTCACTATTAATCCATCTAATTGATCAAATATTAATATAATTGGAGTATTGAGAAATTGATTAAGAAGTTTCCTTTCTTGCACTAAGCAAAACTCCGTCAATATTTGAGGAATAATCATCAAAAATGTATGTTATATTTGGTGGGGTGGAGCCGAAGGAGAAACAATCTCAAGAATTGGAGAAGCAAAGACTGCAACGATCGATTGAGATGAAGCAGAAGCCATACGATAGAACGGAGAACATTCTGGAATCGATTGATTGAAAATTTCAAAATTTCTAAAAAATGATGATTTAGTAGCATCCACCAACTTGGGAATTTATCCATATTATTAATTTAATTTAAGTTCATTCTTCTTATTACAAAACAAATGATAATGTTATAGCACAACAATCAAATACATCGAATATATCACATATTGAATTTGGCAACGAAGAGTCAAATAGCAGCATAAAAAGAATAAATAAATTCAACAATTGAAATTTCAAAGGCAATTTCTAATAAAATAAGATCAAATCAAAAGGATGTAGTGGGTGATTACACATATGTGTTTAGAAGTAGAAATGAAGTACTGAAATCAATTAGTAATTGATCAGTTGAAGTTAAAGAAGATTGTAATATTCGTACATTGATAGGTGGTGATTGTGCAAATAATTATAGAGAAAAAGTATACATTCATACAACATTGAATCACGATACCATTGAATATAGATAAATAAACATATCCACATAAATTGAAGATTATCAGCGTTTATAAATTCAAGCATTTGTATTGGTAAAACCCTATAATTTGCAACAGTTTTGATATGTTAGCAGAACAAAGTATACAATACATTATTACAGTAGCTTAGCTATAATTCATTATAGAATCTACCTTTCTTTTTGATTGTATAATTCAACTTGTTCTTATGGGCATATCTTCGTCTTGGTCGATACATCATCATCCCATTATGTTTCTTGATTTCCCTAAATTTGTTATAATATATAATGACAGATTTCGTAGATTCTTGGGTTCTGAATAATTTATAATTTTTGTTCTTCTCCCAACAATGGTCAATTTTCTTACTATGTTTCTTCTTGTTGTTCTTCTGATGTTGCTGATTCTTCAATTTCCTCTGTAGCTCAAGGTGCTGATTCTTCCCTACATGTTGATTCTTCATTTCGATCTTCCACTAAACCTGGGGACATTGCGTTTGTCTTCTTATGTATTATCCTGGTAACTCGATCGAATCTAAATCTGATTCTCATTCTACTTCTATTTCTAATGAATCTTCTACTTAATTAGCCACAATAATATCTTTTTTTATTGAATTATATTTATTTGGTAATTAGTTTAGTTTAGCCCAAAATGGATTGTTGAAGATCTCTTAAACCAAATGTACAAGTGGTTGATTCAATAGATGTTAATGAATCTTGTAGTGGAGTTTAATTAATTGCGTCTATCCATTTTGAAATAAAATTTAGTGCATTTTGTTTATATTTGTTAACGACATGAAGGGGTAGGATTAATGATATAGTTTTTCATTATTATTTTGTTGTGTTTGATTAATAGTTGGAATGAATTGAAAAGATAAACAACTGGTGATAAGCTTCTAAATTTGTCTTTGAATTTGTCGATTTGAAATGGCAGAGCAAAAAAAAAAAGACTCAAGATCAACATTCAATATGAGACTGATCTCCATTCTGACTATCAATTGCATAAATTGAATTCTTATTCAATATCAACAATGATGGGTCCTCCAATTATGGAAATGTATTCCTAGTTACCACGAATATAATATTCATGGAGTGAATGTCAGCCATGATATCACATCTCATACTTGATAAGAGAATAGACTACCAATGGTAGATGCTGGTCCTGACGATAACAGAAGGGGTACTGTAGGCGCCGTACTTGGCCATTCTACTACTCTAAAATTATGGTAATATTGAATAGGTATATTGTTTAATTCGAATGAGCTCTCTGTGTTTTAAAGTCAAACAAAACAAAATATGCGTAGGTTTAAGCATGGCATCTCAGATCGAAAGTTCTATTCTAAGTTGCCTGTCCATAACTCAATCTCTCTAGTATAATTTCTTCCATGAAGATAAATTCGCATCTTTCCTTTGTAAAAATATCCCCATTTAGGTGTTTCAAGTTGTAAGTATGTTGCTCATGTAAAGATTATTTTGAACTTTGAAGAAACTGGTAAACAAATTTGGGTGAAATTTTTGCAATCATTTCATAAAAAATCAAAATCAAGAAATTTAGGAAATATTGGACTTAAGCTACAAAGATTAGTTCCAGGATAATTGCCACTATCAAGTCAACTATGGACTATCTTCACAACTTTAAAATTTATATTAATTTCCGTATATTTTGGTGTTTAATTAAATTATAAAAATTGCTTCAAAAAATAATCACATGATTCTCACATGATATCCAATACGTAAATCATGTGATATTAATTTCCTTATTAGGAAGTGATCCCAGCAGAACAAAAATATGAAGATTTCCAACAATCCTCAAAACCAAAACAGATTGGAAAGACGATTCACCACAATAAAATTGAATCAAATATTGTGCTACTTTCAACCTGGCATTTCTCAATGAAGATATAGTTATGATTACTTTGCAATTTTGGTTGGCTTAAAGCAGAGCCAGAATTGTAATATGACTAAAGGTTTCAGAAAACCATCACCTGCAAAAGGAAAACAAGCAATCCCTGGCTGATTGAATGAAGTCAAAATACTTTCAACCGACTTGACCCATTACAGAAATATCCCCAAAGACGACCCTTTTCTTTGAGATTGTTGTTTGTTGATGCAACTTCCAAAGTAAGACCTAGGACATTAAGTCGACTTGCAAAAAAAGAACATTTAAAACAGCCCAAGTGTTTTCATACCATTGGTGTAGTAATTATTGATTTGAGTTTGGTTAAATCAGCTGATATAGACAATTGTTTTGGAATTGGCACCGATTCAATGTGCTGATTTCATTCTTTGGGTTGTCATGGGTTGACCCCAAAGCTATCAAACAATTGAATGTCATCTAAGAAACGAAGAGATAGTAAGTCATCCACCCATCTATAAAGCTATATACTGAAAGCTACTCGTTTTAAAAAAAAGCCAGAAGCAGA